TTATTTGTGTGAAAATTTATTTTGTTTTTAAAAAAATATGTCATTAATGAAAAAAGAGTTTGAAATAAAAATTATATTGAAAAAAAACCTGTTTAAAAAATTTCATTACACGATGGAAGAAACTAACTTCATTAGAAAAGTTAAACTAAGCGTAAATTAATGATACAAATAATATATTTTATTTTATTTATAATTACGATAATACTAGAAGACTGTGTTACTGATAGTCAATTAAAACACAAACTAACTGAAGAAATAGCAAGTAATTCAGTAACTTAAATGATTGATGAAACAAAAAAAGGAAATATATTAAAGAAAAATTCAATTTAAAAGTAAAGTATTTTTTTATTATTTTGAATTGTGTAATTGATATTGTAAAGAAATTAACTCAATATAACTTGATGTGGTATATCTCTAACGATAAAAAATATCGATATAAGTAATTGGTTTTGAAGAAAATTATGCTCCATTTCAAGAAGATCAATCTAATATTTATTTTTGGTAAGTAAAGTTGCTATTAAACAGTTCGAAATTTAAAATCATATAAGCATTTTTAATTTTTGATTGAAAACAGTGTAATTACTGTCATCTATTAGAAAACAGTGACACTAGTTGAATTTTTTTCTACTATACCGACGCAAGATAACTTACCAGTCCTAATTTCTTAAGTTGACTGCTCAACGAAATGATAAACATTAAAAAAAGAAAAATTTTTATAATTTGATTGAATATTAAATGATTGAAAATAAAAAAAACCAATTTTAAAAGATTAAAAGAATAAAGCTTATTTTTAAAATGATCATTAAATAAAAAATCTGGGCATCATAGAATTTGGTTAACAATCAGTAAGATTATACATTTAAAGATTGAAATTTAAAAGATTGTGAAAATGCCTTTGACTGACATCTTATTGGGGACGGATGTCACGCTCCCTAAAGTTGTAGGGTAGTACACAGAAACGCAACAAGCGGCGCTGGCATCAGGAAGCGTCGAAATAAAAAAGAAGAGAGGGCATATAAGGCGGAGCATCATAATTGAGAGGAGGAGGAGCATGAAGACAGAAAGTGGTTCCCTCTGAGGGTCCGAAATCGAAGCAAAATGAAAAACTAATAGAATTGAATTTAATACAAAATAATCTGAAATCAACTCCCTGCGTAGAAAAAAAAATTTTTCAGAAAAGTAATTTAAGAAAAACAAGAAATTGACGATTGAGAACATCAATAAAAAAAATGGAATTTTAATGACTATTTTGAATATCTAAAGGGACAGATAGCGAGCGCCGCTTTGACCTTTTAGCGTCCAGCCATTCCGTCTTGCTGTACTTTTGAAGCAGACGCTCTTTTGAAAAAATTCCCAACTCATCAATTTAATTAACAATAATCGTCTATTGAAGAACTGTAGGAATAAAAATTGGCAGACTAATAAAGAACAGTCTGATCTATAATCCTGCCCAACTAAAATAATTAAAAACCGTGAATCGACCTTGCGGGCAATTATAAGAGCATCAATTTTAGAGAAGAAGGTACAGAAACCATGCTTTTTCACCTTCTAAAATCTGTAGCGAGGTCGATTCACAGTTTTCAATCATTTTCATCAGACAGGATCATAGATCAGACTGTTCTCTATTAGTCTGCCAATTTTTATTCCTTAATATTAATGTTGAAAAAAGTTACAGATTTTAAAAGCTACAAAAATCATGTTTTCTGTACCTTCTTCTCTAGGCTGTCTGGCCTGAACTGATGTGGGCGGATCTACCACTGTCGCGCTTTAATTTTCTTATCCCTCTCTCTTTTTTTATTCTCCCACTTGTTTCAATTTTTCTGACGCTTCTTGACATCAGCGCTGCCCGTAGAATTTAGGAGAACTATCCACCAACTCTACTTTTCGTACCAAAATCCCATCCCTGAGCTCGGCCTCCTTATTATATTCTCCATGATGGCTGGGGATACAAAGCAAATACTAAAATGCCATATTATATGTATCCCCAAGAATTCGTCCAACAAATCCCCACGCGGTGGTTCTTCTATATTATTTCTTTCCTCTGACAATAGAGACTATTCCCACTTAAAAGTTGTTTAACCTAAAATTTCTAACTATAAAAGAATATAGTCGGACTGAGAAGAGAGTTCCTCAGAAGCTCTTCATGTGTTCTTGTACGCTTGCGCAGTAGTAAAAAACATGGTAGAAGGGGTAGAAAATCAGTGGTGGGGAACCCGAAAGCATTGAAGCAACTGAGGAACTCTTTTCTCAGTTCGACTATAAGCCATTTTTTATTTTTATACAAATAAAAAAGTAATTATCAATTTTAACTGTATAATATAAATAACTATAATAATTTATTAATTATTTTCGTTCTAAATATTCAATAAAATTTTAAAACAACATTCGATATTGCACAGTCCGTTGACACACAGAAGAGCTTATCATAGAAAGAATAATAACAAAATATTTAATCAACTCTTTTGTACATCATTATTAAAAAATGTACGATCTAATTGTGGTGAAGCAAGATATTCTGTGAAGTGTCCAGATAAAGCTCTTACCAACACAGCCACGATAGCAATGAAGCTGGCTATTTCTGTTTTAATACTACATATTCTATTAACTTATTTTGCAAACTCCAAAACATTTACTTGAGGTAATTTTTTGATTTTAAATATTTATATTTTTTTTTTGTGCTAAAATTCTCAAAGATGCTTTATTACTTAAATCACCTGGTTGTGGTGAAACAATATTTGCGATAGCAGTAGCAACTGCAATCGCAGATGAACACAATGAAAATTGTCATTATCCTAAAAATATTCCACTTAATTATGATTATTATTGGTATTTATGAATATTTTTCTACTATGATAAAAATTTATTTATAATTTATTTATTTAACTAAATTTGAGATATAGGAGCTACACGAAAAAATTATATTTTGAATTTGAAAAACATGATATAAACATTTACATATTATGAATCAAAAATTACTTCTTGACATCTCATTTGGTACGATTTACTAAGATAACATAGCCCAGCAATTACACTAGCAAAAAAAAATATTAATTCGTAAAATTAATCGAATAATTTATAAAATTTATTTTGTGATCATTACGAAAGATCATGATAACTAAATACATGCAGTCATGAATTTTCTCGTTATCTTATACTAATATTATCTGCATGATGTTCTATCTGTTCTTCAGTCGCCTAAGATATAAATGAATTTTAATTGAGGCATACCCGGTGGAAAAGCAATTTTCCTTCATTAATGATTTACGAATTTTTTTAATTACAATTTTCATCTTCAGTTTTACTATATTTATGAATTACATATAAAAAATATTTAAAAATACATATAAATTCATTTTTCTGATAATTATATAGAATTATTACAAACATTATCACAAAAAAAATATTCATATAAAAATCTTTTAATGTATGGTTCTACTTCACGGATTAACGAGTCTTCTTCCTCTTGACTTATTTTATTTTAACAAATCTGTATAGCTGTAAGATCATCTATCCAATATTAGAAAGATGAAATATGTTAATGTGTTATACTTCATCAATTTTTTCATTTAATTGTAAAATTTAATTTAATTGTTAATTTAATTATAAAATAAAACACTTCAGAAGAAATTTCTTTTGTTTTAACATTTTTTTGTTTTGTTACCATATAAATAAATATTCAATTTTCATTTACACGGCCAACGATTATGTCCAAAATATGCTATTCCTAATAAATTGAGAAATAGAAAAAATGACATGTATTGGGGATCCATGACAAGCCACGAGCTGTTAGCATTACACGAAACTTCTTCCAGAATGAATGCAGAAGAGTATTTAGATATTCTTGAAGAAATAATGCTCCCTTCTGCAAGAGAAAGATTCCCAGAAGAAGACTTTAAAGAATTTTTTTTTATGCATGACAACAGTGCAGTTCATACTGCACGAGTTGTCACAAAGTGGTTTGAAGCACATAAAGAAATAATTGTACTTCCTCATCCACAAAAATCACCAGACTTAAACCCCATAGAAAACATTTGGAGTAAGTATGTAAATATAGAGGAGGGGAGTTAGACAGAACAGAAAACTTAAATAATTTTGAAAATCACTAAACTATTCATACATCCTGTTCTGTCTCACATGTCCTACTTCGCCTAACTCGACGTAATAAATGAAGAACAGGAGAAGAAATTATAACGCGGCAACATGTTAAAAATGATGTAGAAAGAATATGGAGACAATTATCGCGTCGTACAAATATGACAAAACAATTAGTTCATTTAATGCATTGGCGAATGTTGAAAGTTATTCCTAATTATGGTTACTGGATAAGATATTAATTTTACATACTTTTAATTAATTATTAAGTTAATGGATTTTATAATTATTATTATTTTCGATCCTAATGAATAATAATAATAAATTCAATCATAATTAAATAAAAGTTTAGTGAATTTAGAAAAATTTTTATCATAATGAAGCTTTCCTTGCATCACTGACCTTCCATAATAAAATTTTATAACTCTAATTTAATGATGCTCGACTTTCTGTTGTTGCTATCGCAACGTATAAACAACGACATGTCTATATACACATATATATATTTATATAAAACACAAAAAAATAATAGATATCAGATTTCTTAGTGACTGCATATGATTGTTATTTAATTTGTAATTGTTTATTTAAAAAATGGGTGATAATGATAAGTGTAATTTTGCATTAATTATCATTTAAATTTATTATTATTAAAAAATATTTTTTTAATATCCATAAGTATATATATTAAAACTTTTTTCCATTCATTACAATATTTTTTCAGGGTACACACAGCTCGACAAGAAAAATTATGTTATTTGAGATTGAAAAAATATAGACATATTTTTCCGCACAATAACAATTACCTGAATATTACCAATATATCTGATCCTAAAAAAATTTTTAATATTTTGTTTTAGCACTATCGTCATCTTTTCCATAGTGGAGAAGCTAGTAAGATTGATTGGTTTTTATTCAATGATTTATTTATGGGTATATATAAAATTATTATGTAAAATGATTAAAATACACTCAGACATTACAAACCCAAATGTAAAATTGCCACTTCAAATAAAAAGTGCTTTTTTGGAGACACAACGAGACACTGTGCTACAAAGTATGTTGTTTTGTGTCTAGGGCCAAACGGACCTAAATGAAATTTCTTATTTTTCAAAGTACAAACATCCAAATACAGAAAAAGAAACCGTCTATATATGATTTTATATCTCGAGTCAGAATTTTTCTACAATTTTGCTACTGAACCCCTTAAAAATCTATATTTTCCGGCTGAACCCCTTGAATTTGTTGAAAATATTATGCTGCTGAAGGTGCTGAATTGGGAATTATTAAGAGGGTTCACCAACAAAATATAAAAATATTTTATATTATTTTTCCTATGGAAAGTAATAATTTTTTCCCGCTGATGCTTCTGACTTTCAGGAAGTTCAGCAGCAAAATAAGAAAAAAATTCTGACTCGGGACTTAATTGTGTTTCTAAATGGAACGCTTATGTTAGACATAATGTTACATAGTGTCTTGCTGTGTTCCTAAAAGAGAAGCACCTACAAACAAGACACATTCTTATAGTTTAACTAATTTTTATAAACAACCATAAAAATTAATATTTATAGCTTAGATATCATTTCAGACCACCAAGCAGGTCGTTTAAAATTGTTTTCATTTTCTAATAATAATTTTTCTAAATGCTCATAAACCTGAAAAATAAATAAAGCGTTAATTATGTGATAATGTTAAAAAAATTCCCTAGTAGCCAGTCCTGACCTAAAAATTTTCATCAGTCTTACGTATATTTGGCTACTACGGAATATTGTAAAATAAATAAGAACCAACTTTGCCATCAGACATCCCAAGCGGAGAATCTAGAATAAAATCTGGTGGAGCAAGAACATCTGTTAGTGCAACAGCTTCATTAACAAGCTCCTTTGAAAGTTTAAGAATTCCTTCACGAAGCAATAAGCCTATTTTGGAAGTGGTATGTGCAAATCCTCCACTATGTAAATCACCAAGTCGTCGTTCAAGAACCCAAGCACCATAAAGTGAACATAATTTTGTGAGCACTTTTCTTTCTTTGTGATTCCAATTATCATCGTTTATTTTATTGAAAAAACTTTTAAACACTATATGCTGTAATTTGTAATTAAAATAATTGTTTTAATTAATCTAAATTAGAAGAAAAAAGAATTTTTTTCAATACTTACTTCCGCATATATAAGGGATAATGTTTTAGCAAAATACGTTTGGCTTTCATTTCTTATTGTAAAATGATTTTTGCCTTCTTTGCTTAAAGTTTTTACTCGTTGGTGAGTTAGGTTTAGGTAATAACAAATGAGCCATCGAAAACATCGGAGTAAATCTAAAAAAATTTTTATTGTTAATTTTAAAATAATACTTTTCCAATTCAAATAATTAATTAATAACTCACTTTTGGGTTCCAATGTTTCTTCAATAGTTGTACAATTAAATTGATCTCTTAAAACATTTTCGCTATCAACAATAAAATCAATTGATCCAAGTGGAGATTGAATCGATTTACCTTTCATACTGGAATGAAATAAATTCAGTAACCAATTGCTAGCTTGTTGAATTAAAACATTGTTTTCTCCCTCATAAGTACAATTTGCATCATTGTCATTCCTTAAATCTCCTAATCGAGCGACTGAAAACATAAATATTTTATTATTTTTTTAATAAATAATATCAAATTTCAAACGACTTATATACTATGAATATTTCACTAAACCTTTTAAATAACCCATTCCTCCACAAACTTCTCTACAATCTTGAATAATGTCTCGAGCAGTCCAAGTACATAACGGCTTAGTTGCAGACGACATTGCATGCAGTTCTAGACCTTCAGTAGCTAGTTGACTTTTATCTTCATGTTGAGCATTAATCATACGAATTTGAAATTGTCTAGCTCGTGATAAAAAATCAGTAGAAAATATGTGAATAGCAAAAACTGCTGCCAATAATGGCATCAATCTTCCGTACTAAAATTTAAAAAATTCACCAAAAACATAAAAATATAAAAAATCTGAATAAAAAGGATGTTATTTCAAATGAAATTATTTACCAAGGCTTGATATTCAATAACTGGCCATTCTTCTTTATCAGAAGGACCAAATTGTTTTCGCACAGCACAATATCTTACAGCAATAGCCATAGCCAAGATACTATATTTACTGCAAATGTTAGTGATAGTAACACGACCAAGTGAAAGAACTCCCAAAGACGCACCTGAATTTTTCAAATCAAATTATTTCTATTAATTATTCAATGATAAATTAAACAAGGAAATAATTATTTACCGAATCGTTTATTAGAATCTTCGAAAGGTGAAATAAATTTTCCATCTGGGGTAACATCGCCCATCCGATTGAGCAAATTTTCCTTCGATATTTTATAATTATTAAATAGTACAAAACCATTATCAACACCATTAAGACCTATTTTTTCCCCCATATCCCCTACTGTTACTCCATGATATGGAATCATTGTTTGTGGATCTCTTATGGGAACTATAAAAATATTGAGACCGTGGTTAGTATTATCCGGAGTAATAAGTTGGGCGAAAACAAGTGCATGAGTAGCTTGATGTGCTGTAATATTATATTAAAAAATATTATTAAAAAGAATGACAGAAAATTATATCGTATTCATTAAGTAAATTATGGTTATTTAAGTGCATACCAAGTCCTCCAATCCAAAATTTTGCAGCTTCAAAATCTGGAGTGTTAATAATAAACGATTGCGAATTTTCATCAAATTTGGCTGTTGTTCTCATACCTTTAGCATTAGTACCATGAGAAACTTCAGTTAAAGCAAAACAACATCTATACTAAAAATTATTATCTATCAAATTACTACTTTATCAAAAGTTATATTTTTATTTTTTAATAAAGAAAATTGTTAAACATGTGTATTTATATAAGAATTTTTATTTAATTGTTTACGATTTGTTGAATACTAGTATACTTACTTGAGCATTATAAAATTTATTAAAATATTCTAAATGTCTTTCAGTACCCAAAGTAAAGACGACTGAAGGCGTCATCATATAAAAAATACCAATGATGATAGGTAGTGAAGAATTATAGAAAAAAAGTGAATTTATTGGAATATCTCCTCTTTTCTACATAAAATAAATTTAAAAAATTGACTTTTTTAATCATTTTTTTATAAAAAATTTATTAATTTTTTCAATACTCACAATAAAATCGTTTTCGAAAAGAAGTTTAATTTGATTAAAACATCTCCTTCGATCCTCATCTATTGAGAGAGAATATTTAGGTTTATGAAACTCTGGCCTAGATTCAATAAATTTGAAAAGTTTGTTCTAGAGAAAAAAAAAACAAAAAAATATAAATAATTTCATTTATTTTCACTATCCATAATTTACACATTTTAAATTAGTCTAATGAAATATTTATTATTCCTATCAATAAATAAATAAACAATTTACCTCATATTCAAGGTCCTCTCGATTAAAGATGTTTAATTTAAATATTTTCCAATCGAAGCTTGCACGTTTTCTATAAATTTCTAATGGACCACCTTTTGGAAGTTCACGAACTAATTTTTTTATCATCCTCATTTTATTTTTCTCTGTAACATGAAACATCATTGGATAATAATTTATTAAAATAAAAACAACATAAATCTTATCAAATATCAATAGACATTTAGGTATTATAATTGGATTCTCTAGTCTTTTCTTAACTAAAAAACATTAAACAAGTAAAGTATTGAATTAAACTATTTTCAAACAACCTATTTAACTGTTTTTAATTTTAATGTTTCTTAAAAAATTTCATGATAAAATTACAATCGTACTGTTAATGACAATGTTTATTAGTTTGTTAGTAATTGTCCAATTAATAATAAATTCTAAAAGGTATTCAATATTTTATATTTTCTCCATATGAATAAACAATATTTTAACTCATATTTCAAGTTTTATGATTGATAAATGGCCTGAAAAATTCGAGGAGCCCTTAAATAATATGATAAATTCAGTAATAGAAGAAATTTCGAGAAGAAGCAACTGTATAGTTTTTATAATAGATCCATTTTACAATCGTTTATTGCAGTATTATTGGATGAGTAAAAAATTAACCTCATATTTTACAGTAATTTTGATATTAAACTATTTTATTAGCAAAAATTTATCCATTATTTCAGAAGAAATTTCTTTATTACATATATCTATTTTAAAAAATATCTTTCACTAGATAAACTTACGAGAAAATGAAGAATTCAATCCTCCAAAACAAAAAATCAACAGAACATTAATAGCAAGTAAAAATTCTGCTTGTGACGCTTATGTTATTCTTATTTCCAATGGCTGTCAAGTTAATGAGCTTCTTCAATATGCTGAGAGGTTTTTTTCATTCAATACATTTGCTTGCAAAACAATGTTTCTCATTAAATTTTTTTTAGTAGATACTACTTTTATTATTTGTTTCTTGCTTTATTCATTTATTCATTTAATAAATCATTGTAAAAATAAATTTCAAAGAGCATGTATATTTATATAAAAATTGTTTTATCATATTAGTTTGATATCATTTTTTATTCTAACATTAATAAACAATTTTAATTATCTTATTTGTAAATATTATTATATCAATACTTTATACTATAGTATACTAAGTTTTCTGTAAAGTTATCTGAATAATTAATTGCATATATTCAATAATATTTCAGTGAACGCTTATTAAATACACAAAGTTTATTTCTCTTAATCCATGATACTAGATTATTTACTGCAGAAATGAAATATTTATGGAATAGAATAACAAAGTCTATATTTATTCGTATATTTAATAATTTGAATGTACGTTTAGGAGAACGAATGAACAATGAATGGTTTAATTTAGAAACGATTCGCTATCCCCTTTATTCTGATAGTTCAATCATAACTTATTATGTTAATACGTGGTATAAAGGAAAATTTCGTTATGAGAAAAAAAATTTATTTAAGAAATTAAACAGCTTCAAAGATCTTCAAAATCAAAAACTCAAGTAATCGAAGAAAAATAATGTAATTCAAAAAATCAATAATTCATATAGTCATAAAATAATTTTTTTTAATTTTTTTAGAGTTGCTATATTTGAACACATACCAGCTGTAACAAAATATTCTCGGATGTTCTATGAAAGATACCATCATTCAGCCAATAAAGCTTTAGGAATTGAATTTGAAGTTATTTTTAAACATTAATTTATAAAATAATAAACGTTAGATTTTGGAGTTGACGAACGAAACTATTTTGCAGATTATAAGACTTTTATCACAAAAATTGAATTTCAAACCAATCTATTACCGACCCAGTGATATAGAAACTTCAAAATGGGGGACACCTGATGGCAATGGAAGTTATAATGGTCTTCTTGGTGAAGCTGTTGAGGCAAAGGCGGCATTTTTACTTGGCGATTTTTATTATACTCTTCAGCATTATAGACTTTTAGAACTATCTTATCCGTACAATACTGAATGTCTTACGTTTCTTACTCCCGAAGCATTAACTGAAAATTCTTGGAAACTTTTAATCGTGCCATTAAAGTATATTATTAATCAAAATTATTTCATATTATTTTGGTTGTTACATAAAGTATTTCTTTTTTAGATTATACAGCTGGATTGCTATTATTTTGATACTCTTTTTAGTTGCATTTACTTTTCGGCTTTTTGCTGTATTTTATCAAAATCAAATAATGCCGTTTAAATTGTATGAGAATCAAGACTCAAACAATCTAAAAGTTGTGAATAAAGAAAAATCATTAATTGGCGTAAATAATAAAGTTAAAGGTTTGGCACTATTTACTGATATGCAAAATTCTCTACTTTACACTCATAGCACTCTGTTGCAAGTATCTCTACCTAAGCTTCCTGAGATTTGGGCCCTTAGAGTATTTATAGGTTGGTGGTGGCTTTATTGCATCTTAGTAACTGTTATTTATCGGGCTAGTTTAACTGCAAGTTTGGCTAATCCTATTGGAAGGTACAAAAAAATTAAATATTTAATTAATAAAAAATAACATCAACATTTTGCCAAGAATGAATATCTATAAATATTATTCAGATAGCGTATTCTTTATTCTCAAGTTTTTTCTAATTTTATGTTATCAGAGTTACCATAGACACATTCACTGAGCTAGCAAGGAGTTCAATAACGGTTGGGAGTTGGGGTGAAAATAAAAAAGAACCATTTATACTATCTTCAGATATTGAGTTAAACAAAATTGGTGAAAGATTTGAAATAATTAATAATGAAGAGGATGCGGTTGCACGAGTTGCTAATGGAACTTTTGGTTATTATGAAAGTGTTTATGTTTTAAAAGAAGCTCGTGCAAAAAGACAATTGTTGAATGCTATGGAGAAAAAAAAAGCAATAGAGCAAAATCAAAATTTAATTATCGACCGGGATTTACACATTATGAAAGAATGCGTTATTCACATGCCTATTTCTATTGGAATGGACAAAAATTCTCCTCTTAAACCCGTAGTTGATGAAATTATAAGAAACATTATAGAAAATGGTTTAGTGGAAAAGTGGTTAAGTGACGTAATGGAATGGTCTAAAATTGCAGAAATCAAAACAGAAAATGTGGCACCAAAAGCTCTAATGGATCTTAAAAAACTTTATGGAGCTCTTATAGTTCTAGGAGTAGGTTGTTTCGTTGGTTTAACTACACTACTTATTGAGAATTTACACTGGAAATATATCGTAGTAAAAAATCCTGAATTTGATAAATATCAGATGGATCTTTTTTATAAAAAAATAAAACAGAAAAAATAATTCATTATTTTTAAATGTATTGTATGATAATTATCAACATATAAAACTTAAATTTCAAAAACCGGAAATAAACAAAACTTGACAAAAATTTAATTCTTACTTTGTTTTCACTTCGAATATTTCAGAATTTTAATCAATAAAAAGAACTGCTAAATTATCAAAAATATTATTAGTAGTATAATAATTATCATTAATAATAATAATCTTTATTGGCATCGAAACTTACAGTTTTATACAGCCGTATATAGAAATAATATAATGAAAATTACAAAAATAAACATAAAAAGGTAGATAAAAAATTAAATGTAAATATTTGAATCTTTTAGAAAATTGCAATTATAATATCTTTAGAAGGGTTAGAAAGAATAACTTCAAATTTAACAGGAGGGGACATATCTACTTGAGATAAAGCCATGGAGTCTAGAAGAAGGAGATACATCTCCATCTATTTTTACATACCAGATACGGGTTACAGAATTTAAAACGTTAATAGTACCTTTTTCTGCCGCTAGGAGCTAAAGAACTAGAATGAAGTTCGCTGCTTATTATTATTATTATGATTTTAACTGAACTGAATATAGTTACTCATGTTCATTTGAATTTTTGGAGTAAACCCATTTCATTTTGTGTTGCGAAAAGAGCTTTTTTTTTAATTAACTTCGGTTAACTAACTACGGTTATACCTTACTGACCAGGGTTTTGTAACCAAAGTCAGTAAGCTAACCTAGGTTAACGGTAACGCATAAACACTTTAACTTGGATTAAGAAAATAGTCTTCGAATTATTACTAGATTCTTTATGCTTCATGGCCGTCAAAAGTAAATAATTAATTACTTCAGTTTTTTACTAATTTTTCGCTAGCAAAAGTTGTCTGCCAGTATCCTTACCACCTTTTATATTATAAATAGAATCATTTTACATAATAAAACGCAGTAATTAGGATGTATTTTGTCATATCATTTTTCAGGTGCTTTCTGCTACCACTAATATGTGGTAGTGGTGGTAGAGCAAAAATTTTAAATAAAACCTAGCCTTAGGTACAGGAGAGTATAGGGAAATCGCATGTATAACTTTCAGAAAAAAAACAAAAAAAAATTGGACAGCATTTATGTCACGTGATGTATTTGCACATCGTCTAAATTGAAAGAAAATTCGAATTTAAAGATAATTCTGTTCAGTGATAATCACTTTATCAATATAAATAATGATGCAGAGTATCATGTACTGTTTAATATTTTCTTCTATTCTATTCTATGTATTTGTACGGCACCAGCACCTAGGTGGCGCTTTACGGCCTTTAAAAGAATGTTAATATTTTCTTCAAATCGAAAACATCCAAAAATTATTCAGGAATTTTTGTGCGCTTGTGCAATACGGAGAAATATGGTAGAAGGGGGCAAATAACAGTGGTAGGAGACTACATCATTAGATAATCTGGAAAAGAATTCTATTCACACAGTTCAATTACATAGAATGAGTACAATTATAAAAAATGACCGATGCTGAAATACAAGAAGAAGAAAGAGAAGTTTTATTATCTATCTATGAAGGTGATACAGCTTTTAAACAACTTACTCCTACAACTTACCAATACAAGGTTTCACTTCATTTACATTAATTTAATCTTAAAATGTAGTAATAAAATAAATGTTAAATCATTTTATTTAAAAATTCTAACAATTATTAGTATGGAGAAGATGATGATCCACGATCTTTTCTTTTGGAAATCTGTTGGGGAGCAAATTATCCTACAGAAAAACCAAAAATCAGCATGGAGACGTTTTACAATAAACATATGTATAATTAATTGAATTTAATTTCATTTCAATGAGTAAAAATAAAATGATTATTTATTACAGAATTATTAAATTTGTTTTTTGTTTTTTTTTTTAAGAATACCATCAGTAAAAAATAAAATCGTTGCTCATATAGAAGCAGAAGCTGAACAATGGCTAGGCTGTGCAATGACTTATACATTATTTCAATCTGTTCAAGAAAATTTAACTCAACTATTAGAAGATCAACCGGAATCAATAGTTGGACTCAATGTTCAAGTTTCAAAATTAACTATAGGAGATGAGATACAAAAAGTAAATATTAGGCTTTATAAATTCTGATATTCTGATACATTTGAAACATTATTCATTTTAATATTTTTTATTTAATTGTTTACAGGAATCGATGAAAAAACCAAAAAAAGAAATTCTTACCAAGGCACAAAAAAGACGTCAGTGGAATAAAACTGATGGTAAAGGTGAAAAATCCCGAGGGTGGGACTGGGTAGATGTTATAAAACATTTATCTCAAACTGGTTCTAAATTTGAGCAAGATACTTAGGGCTCCAAGCAGAGCAATAGTGCAAAAATTCAATTTTATATCATATTTTTATAAAATAATACATAGACATATATATTTTAAAAAATAAACTCAATTCTTTACACTCCAAATCCCTCGCCAACATTTTACAGGTAAAAGATGATGTTCATGATTCCATTCTAAAAAATTTTATTTTTAGTTAATCAAATAATAAAAGAAAATAACTTCCCACTGAGAAGTTAAAAATTTTTTTTAAACTCACCACTCTTTCTCAATAATTCATACCATTCTAGAAATTCTTTATTGAGAGAATTTTCAAGAACTAATATTTTTGATAGTATAAAATGACCTTCGTTTTGTGTGCATTTCAATAAAGAATCATTTTTTAAGAATTGTTTTATCACATTTCCATAAAAAAATGCTTTAAAATAAGCTTCTAAAATGTCACTAGGCTGTACATTATGTTTTAAACTTATATAAATTGTCTTTTGTCGATAATCAGGTACAATTAGATATACGTGATTTTGATTATGTAATATGATATTTCTTACATATTTTATAAAATCTTGATTTTGATTTTTCAAAATAGAAAAGATGGAAATTCCCAATTTAATGTGAAATCCACATTGTTTTTTTGCTAAAATTTTGATAAAGATAATAAAAATGAATTAATAATTGAAAAAGCCACTTTCAAAAAAATTATAAAAATTTTTATACATATTCTTACTTGTATTATTGAAAAATAATAAAGATTCTTCACTATTGATCTTTTTTGTATCTAATAGTATTTTGGTTGAATAATAATGTTTTAATAGTAAAACTAATCTGTCTTCATTTAAGGTACTTAATCTTAGAGATTTAACTGCCGAATAATTGGCATAAATATGTATTAATACCAAAATTAAATAAATTTCTCGTATATACCTAAAAGTAAAATATTTACATTCAATGTTACTGTTTAAAACTTTAGATATTAATGTAATGTTAAAAGATTTTTACGAATTTTCAATGATCAAAAGAATAAGAATCCCCATAACAGAAGCTATTAAATTAACAAAAGTTTCTTGACTTCCATCTTTAGCTGAAACATCAGCTAAATTGTTAGTCAATGCTTGATGTTGGGTCAGAGCTGCTCTAGTTGCTGCTCCAGCAACACCAACAATGGATTTCATACTGGTAGAAATACAGAGTAATATTGTTATTGAAGTTTGTGAAAAATAAGGTAGTATAAGTTCAATTCCCATTGCAATATCATTTAAAATATCAGCTAAAAGTCTCCACTTTTTACTTTGAGAATCTAGATCAGATCTAAAAGAAATTATAATAAATTCAAGTTATTATGGTTTAAAGTTTCTACAATAATTACCCTTTCCACCAAGCAAATAAAATACGACCAATCATCCCTGTACCATCTTTTAAAATCCAAGAAATTGCTGCTGCTAAAGGAGTTGCTGTTGATTTTCCAACACCAACTCCTTGTAGGATCGAATGAGTTGTTAATGTTCCAATGATTGTACTGGCAAATGCCTACATTTATTTGAAATGTATTAAAATAATAATTAAAAATATCTTAAAGTTCTTTTAATGATGACTTACTTGAATAGTATCCCATATTTGATAAGGAACATAATCAGGATGTACACTGTCAGGAAATCCTTGAGGCAAAAAAACTTCTTTAAGTAAATGCCTTAAATAAGATAATCCAGGTAAAAAACTTATTTTCCAACTTTGAGATTCTTTTAATATTAATTTATCATCTGAAACATTATTTAACATTCGTTGAGAAAGTAGATAATACAATATTTTTAATGTATTATTTTTATATTTTTTATAAGAAATGGATTTACATACGTACTTTTCAAGATAGAAATATTCAATTTTTTATAATTTTCATAATATTCTTGAATTTCAATTGTTTCTACCATTATTACCTTACAGAATACTAAATTCTAAAACTACCTATATAATTATAATTGAGTCGAATGAAATAATTAATTATTTCATTGTTTCTAATGTAAAAAATACAATATGTACGTACAGACACGTTGCTAACTTTTTTATACCTATATGATACCTTTTTGAAATTAACAATTAGTTTTTCAAAAATTCATCAAAAAGATATCAACATAGATTAATTTTTGGATAAACAAAATGATGTCAAAAATGTCAGAACAGATATCCAAGAGATGTCTAAAAAAAACATCATGAGAATATTTTGTCTTTCTTTTAGAAATTATTTGAACAAAGCTTTAGGAAAAATGGGAATTGGATATCTTTTTATCTGAATCCAAAAGATGTCTTTTCGAAAACTTTTTTTAGTTATAAATACATAAATATCACATATCTTGCCTAAAGTCAACAGGCAATACATTGGGATTTCATATAGCCGCCGTATTTTGGTGCCTATTTTTTCCTTTTGTTTTCCATGTAGATTCCATCAGCTGATAGAATCTACAGGAAGTGACCCCTGTCTCACCAGACTATACTACTCCACATTACTACGCCACCTACACAGTTTTAAAAATGAGTTTGTATACAAAATTTTTATGAACTCAAAATTATTAAAAAAAATCTTTCAATTATATTTTAAACAAACGATATTTAATTACATTTGGCATGATTTTTAGGTTAAAAAAATTATGTTTACATTTTTGTAAATTTACCTAAATCATTCGAATTTATTTAACTGTATAAGTATTTTCATATCTGTTAAACTTTCCGCGTTTTCAGTATTATAAACAATGTCCGTAAAATGCAAGATTTAGCGCGCTGGTACCTATAATATTGTCAAGATTAAACTATCAAATCTCTCTTCTAAGGCATTCTCTTTTTTCTCAGTTCAACTGATGTTCTTGGTATATATTACGGCGGAAACTCGTCGTCAGCGACGAAACTGTAGAATAACTTTACTCTAAAGAGTGGTGAATAAAATATTATATCGAAGGCGAATCAATTTATTGTTTCTTTGACAATTTTTTAGTGTTATTTTTTTCAGCTTCTTGCTGTTTCGGAAAAATATTACCTTATCGAAGGTCATATTAATTTTGTAACCTTGCAATCGAATATGGCTTATTGAAAAAATGAAGGACATGCACCAAGTAATTATTTCTCCCTTCGGAGAAGAGCTTATCTCTACTTACAATTTTATTATTTATTCTGCTGACTCAAAAGCCCAAATTGATTATGGACAAAAAGTTCAAATATATTCCGTCCTCTACTACCAAGAGCACAACTGCTGATTCTAAAAAAAGTCAAGGTACTTGGAAATAAAAAAATTATACCACCTAAATATTTCGTGGATAACAATTTCGTTCAATTAATATAAGTTTCATTTACTTATATTATTCAATTTTGATGGTACTTTTTCTATAGATGTCATTTATACTAAGACTTTCCCGAAGATTTCTAAAAAGCGAGAACTACCTGGAGCAAGTGGCTACTCCAAAAATGAACAGACTAGAAAACAGGGTATACAAAAAACAAAAAACTTTGATAAGAGACCAAAACCTAAAGGACAATATTATGGCGGTTCAAAGGAGAATTCCGAGGTGTATAAAATATTTTTTTCTTTATTAATTTATATTTTTATGCTTTAAAATTCATCAGTTCTTCATCAGTTATTTATAATATTATGATTATGTGTTGTAGGTAGATAATGAAGAGCTAGCTGAGATCAGCTCAGCGATGGTTCCAGGAAGCAATAAACAGAACTTGAATCACTTACTTAATTTTCACTATGAATCTCGTGAGATCCGAGGAAGTAATTCGGGAAGTCGAAGTTATGGAAGATTATCAACAAATTATAATGGCATCAATCGCGGGTTACCATCTACTCAACGGCATCGTTATAATAAAGAACAATTTCTTCAAGCAAAGTAAATGATATTTCACAATAAATAGTTAATTTGTAAGAGATTTTTTATCTTAATTTGTAATTATTTTAATAGCTGTCAGTTTGTCGTGAATAAGGATGGAGATTACACAGTATATTTGGTTGATCCTGACATCTTCGTTGACTGGAAGTTAATCGAACAAATCGTAAGATTTTAATTAAACGTTGTTTGTTTTGTATTTTTTTAAAATTATTTTTTAAATATTTTGAAACAGTTTGAAAGTTTTGTCAAGACTTAAATTTATAATGTACTATAATCAATTTTTTCTCATTTCTATGATCGATTACGTAAGGGATTGTTTTTTTTTTATAGAGAATCCACACCACTGAAAGTCTTTCTTGTCCTATTTGTCTTGGCTCACCAGTAGCAGGAAAAATGACTCGGTGTGGTCACGTTTACTGTTGGCCCTGTATTCTTCACTATCTTTCATTATCTGATAAATCGTGGCGAAAATGTCCAATTTGTTATGAATCGGTTTATAAAAATGATCTGAAAAGTGTCATTGAAGTGACTCAAATTAATATGAATATCGGTGATATTATTTCATTAAGATTAATGCGTCGTAAAAGAGGTTCTTTACTTGCAATACCAGTAGAAGAACATGAAACATCAGATCCGCCCAGTTTTTTTTCAGTTTCCGACAACCCACAAAATCAAATATACTCCAAATTGCTCCTTGCAGATGTTGATGACATCTTAAAAATAATCGAAGGAGAAAAAACACAACTTCAAAAAGAATTAGTAGAAAATTTGGATTCTCCTGAAAGTTGTTTTATTCAACAAGCTCTTCAAGATCTTTCCGTACGTGAAGAACATCTATTAAAACAGGTATATTAAGTAATTTTTTATAAATATAATAATAATAGTAATAATAATAATAAGACAAAAAAAAGGTTCATCTTGGAGAATCAGATGTAAAGGTAGATGAAATTCATGTGGAAAATAATATTGATATTCACCAGCCAGAGAAAATTAGTATTAATGATTATATTAAAGAAAACGAAACAGATGGTCATTTACTACTAAGTAATCAAAACTCTCCTAAATTTTTTTACTTTTATCAAGGTAGGTTTGTTTATTATTTTAAATTATAATAATCAATCATAAAAATATTTTTTAAAGTATTTATAATAATAAATCAACAATTATTTTATCAGCTGAAGATGGTCAAAATATATATCTTCATGCTATGAATGTCAAAATGTTGGAAGTACAGTATGGCAGTTTGGAGAAATGTCCTCGAATAATAAGCGGTAAACTTTTAGAAAAAGAAACAAGAAGTTACACAGAAGATTTACGTAAAAGACTACGTTACCTCTATCATTTACCATTGACTTGTATGTTTGAAATGGCTGAAATTAAATTAACACCACCACTGATATCTGATATTATATTAGATCTATTTGAAGATCAAATAAAAGCCAGAGAATGTCAACGTAAACGTCGAGATCGTGAAGAAAAAAAACGAGAAAAAAAAATTAATGCTGAGGAAAGTAAACGCCTAGGAAAATATCCTATTTCCGATGTTTATATTGAATCTCGTAAACATTTTCCGACCTGGCAACCTGAATTTCAATCTCCTAAGTAATTATTATCGAAATATTATTAAAAAATTTCTGACGAAAAAAATTTTTTTTAAAATTTTATTAATTTCAGCAATGGTATTTTATTACCATCAGAGTCTGTAGGAGAGACAAGCATTGCTAGTAGTCTAACACAAAATACAGTGGATGATAATGAACCGAATCTTTCTTTCGCTCAAATGCTACGAAATGAGAACTCAAAAATATCTTCTTTAAATCCCTGGCCATCAATTAGCCCTCTAGTATCATGGAAAAAATTATCGAAGTCAAGAGAAGATCATAATTTCAACATACGCAATGATGATGAATTCACAGCTCCAAGTTATAGTCAAAATTTCGGTGATGTTATAGCTCAAGCTTTAGAGCAAACAGAATTAACGGATCAATTTGGAAACGATAAGTTAAAACAGAAAAAAATAAAAAAGAAAAAAAAGAAAAAATGTCACTCTTCTTAGTTGTTATAACGCCATAAATTTCGTAAATTTGCTTTACTTTTTTGTTAATCTTTTCTGATAAAAATATCTATATCAAACTCACCTTCATGAAATTTATAGTAATTTAATATAATTTCGAAAAATCTATTTATATGTGGCTTTTTAACTTTTCAAAATATTATAAATGATTTAATTGTAGTTTCGCTGAAAATAAATATATTCATGGACATGGCAGATCCTGAGATTATTTATTTTGTACATAAAATTTATGAATAAAAAATATGTAGAATTATTATTTACAAGTCAATTAAAATAATCAAAATCTTGTCAAAAATATCTTTTGACGAATAATAAGGTTAAATTACTTTAAAGTACAAAGAGAGAAGTATTCATTATTCATTATTCCAAAATTACAAGTTAATTACATAATTTTTTTTTTAATTTGTTGTACTACAAACGATAAAAAAAATTAGACTTTTTCAATATTAATTTTAGCACGTGAAAATTATCAAGTTTTTTTATTTTTAACATTTTTTTAAAAATTATTTTAAGATCTTTTAAAGTATTAAAATATTATGTATAATAGTTAATGAAATATATATGAGAAAGAAATGTGTGTAATTTAATTGTTGTTTTTTATTGAAAAAAATTATTTTTAATAAAAATTTTATCAATTTGTAACTCAATAATGAATAATAAAAAAAATATTAAAACATTTATATTAAAATGTAACTAAATTATTACTATTACAAAGGGGAATGATAATTAAATTAACTGATAATACGATCGAATATTTTTTATTGATGAATTTTATCTCAACTTAGTAATGTCAACATACTAGTGAGTCAACTTGACGAAATTATAACAAAAATTATAAAAAAAGAAATTTTTAGATGTCGTTTAAATCAGCCTTTATTTAACTTTAATCAACTTCTTCAATGGTTGGACCAGATGCTCCACTTCCACCAAACGAACCACCAGGCATATTTCCTCCAGGCATTCCACCAGGCATACCTCCTGGCATACCACCTGGCATACCTTGAGCTCCTTGATAAAGTTTTGTAATAATTGGATTACATATGCTTTCTAGCTCTTTCTGTTTGTGCTCATACTCTTCTTTTTCTGCTAATTGATTAGCATCGAGCCATTTAATGATCTCGTTACATTTATCAAGAACTGTTTGCTTGTCAGTTGCACTAATTTTGTCTTTGAGTTTGTCATCTTCAACGGTGCTCTTCATGTTGAAACAATAAGATTCGAGGCCGTTTTTAGCCGTGATTGTTTCTTTTTGTTTTTCATCTTCATTCTTGTATTTTTCAGCTTCATTGACCATTCGTTCAATATCTTCTTTGCTGAGTCGTCCTTTGTCGTTGGTGATTGTAATTTTATTCTCTTTTCCTGACATTTTATCAGCTGCTGAGACATTTAGAATACCATTTGCGTCAATATCGAACGTCACTTCTATTTGTGGAACTCCACGTGGTGCTGGTGGGATACCAGAAAGTTCAAATTTACCAAGTAAGTTATTGTCTTTGGTCATAGCACGTTCACCTTCATAGACCTGAATTAATACACCAGGTTGATTGTCAGCATAGGTAGTAAATGTTTGCGTTTGTTTGGTAGGAATAGTTGTATTACGTTTAATGAGAGCGGTCATAACACCACCAGCCGTTTCTATGCCAAGAGATAATGGAGTAACATCGAGAAGAAGAAGGTCTTGAACGGCTTCAGATTTATCACCATGAAGAATAGCTGCTTGAACAGCAGCACCATAGGCAACAGCTTCATCAGGATTAATTGACTTATTAAGTTCTTTTCCATTGAAGAAATCTTGAAGCAATTTTTGAATTTTAGGAATACGAGTAGAACCTCCAACAAGTACGATGTCGTGAATAAGAGATTTGTCAATTTTTGCGTCTCGTAGTGACTTTTCAACGGGCTCTAAAGTACTACGGAAAAGATCAGCACAGAGTTCTTCAAATCTAGCACGAGTGATTGATGTATAGAAGTCAATACCCTCGTAAAGTGAATCGATTTCAATACTAGCTTGAGTTGAGGAAGAGAGAGTTCTTTTTGCCCGTTCACAAGCTGATCTTAGACGACGAAGAGATCGTTTATTGGTCGAAAGATCCTTCTTGAATTTACGTTTGAATTCTTGAACGAAATGATTAACCATACGATTATCAAAATCTTCACCTCCAAGATGAGTGTCTCCGGCAGTTGACTTAACTTCAAAAATACCATCTTCAATGGTGAGAATTGATACATCAAAAGTACCGCCTCCCAAGTCAAAAATAAGAACATTACGTTCAGCACTTGCTTTTTTATCTAATCCATAGGCTATGGCAGCAGCAGTAGGTTCATTGATGATTCGCAATACGTTCAAGCCAGAAATTGTGCCAGCATCTTTTGTGGCCTGTCGTTGTGAGTCATTAAAATAAGCAGGTACAGTAATCACGGCATTGCTAACAGTCTGTCCCAAATAGGCTTCAGCTGTTTCCTTCATTTTCACGAGAACCATAGAACTCACTTCCTCGGGGAAAAAAGTTTTTGTTTCACCTTTATATTGAATTTGAATTTTTGGCTTTCCACCATCATTTACAACTGTGAAAGGCCAATGTTTCATGTCTGCTTGAACCGTAGCATCATCAAAACGACGTCCAATTAACCTTTTGGCATCTGAAACAATAGAATAATTATTAAATATAAATAAACAACGAGAGTCATAATAATTATAGTGGTAAATTAGAAAATTAATTCAATTACAATACATTTGACAAAATATTTTGTCAAATGAGTTAACCGATGAGGGGAAAAAAAAAGTTTTGTGAATTGAAATCAAAATGGATGACTTACCAAAAATAGTATTGTTAGGATTCATTGCAACCTGATTTTTAGCAGAATCTCCGATAAGCCGCTCAGTATCCGTAAAAGCGACATAACTAGGCGTCGTTCTGTTTCCTTGGTCATTGGCAATAATTTCAACTTTTCCATGTTGAAAAACTCCAACACAAGAATAGGTTGTTCCAAGATCAATACCAACGGCGGGTGCTTTAGTCATTTTGCTACTGAAAATAAAAATAAAAATACAATTAGTATTTTTGATAATGTTGGTATTAATTCATAATATTCAATAATTAATGAATGAAATTTTTTAAATAATGTATAAAGATACATACTTTTTTAGTTCGTGTGAAAAAGATTAATAATAATTTATATAAAACTGACGAACTTTTACGTTCAACGGTATACAACGTGAATGATGGGATAACGTGTTACACTCGTATATATCAGCTTGGTAAACGATGCTTCTGGAATATTCTTCTACTCATGATATTTTTCAACCAATAGGAAAATATTCTTCTGTTGTTGCTAATGGGTATTGGTCGAATGAAAATACTACGTAAGTCAAATTTGAAGTGACATTATTGATTTTCATGAAGATAAAATATTTAACTGTAATAAAATACAATCAAAAATTTTTTAATTTATTAGAGAAATTTTTTTTGTTTTTATACTAAATTTTTTAATTAAAAAAAATTTTATATATATAATTTTTACGAGTATATTTTTTCAAAATAATAGGAAAACAAGACGGAAACGATGATGGCAAATACAGAGTGCTAGAATCCTCTAACATGTTCTAGAATTCACAAGAAATTTCTGTTAAATATAATTTACACACATAAGTCTTTGTACATGTTATATATAGGTATATATTCATTAGATGAATTATCTTTTCCAAACTTAACATGAAATTTTTGTGATTAATTAATTAGTTTGCTTTAATAATTGCTTAAAGTTTCAATTAAATTAACTTTAATTTTCGAACAAAACAATAAGTAACAGCTTGAAATTATTCAAGGAGACTTCATAATAAAGAGTATTTTTTCAATTTCTTGATCATTCTCTCAGAGAATCATCGTAGAAATTTTTACAATTAATTTCTCGTCATTCATTTGAATCATAAATCGATGACATAAATAAGTAAATTTCTAAAAAAAGTTTCATCATTTAATGTAATAATTATTTGGTTAGTAAAGTAAATTTTAATATTATATCGATCTTTAATCATAATGATGTGAAATGATCAGGTGTACATGGCATAGAAATTCAATAAATATATACATATACAGATGTAGTAACCTTGAATAGTTCATTGTTTTTATTAAAACATAATGAAAAAGTTATACAAAATTAAACAATAGAATAATATTTACTTAACGTAGGTAATTTTGGATCAAAAAAAGAAATCTTATTAGCCTGGGTAAATCAAAATCAACCAAATATATGTATACTAGATTCAATTCCGTCGTCAAATTATAATACAATATTGTATTCAACAAATGATCATATTTAGGATAAATAATTTAAATTGAATATATTCTATCAATTCTAAAAGTGGTCATAATTTATTAATTCCCTATAATGTTAAATTGTTTATTGTAAACTGATCGATTCGGTCCAGATAAAGGACTTCCTACTGTAAAATATATTATGTAGTATTTACACACATACATGTGTAGGAAAGAGAAAGACCTACACATGGTTGATTCAACATATATACATTCCTGCTTGGTATGATTCAAACCTATACACTACACGACATAAATGGTTTCCGATTTTTTAGTTTATAAACTATAGGTTATACATGCGATTCCTTGTACCTTCCTATACCAAATTGAGACACCATTTATGTTACGTATAGTGTAGTTATATCAACACGATCAACACTCAGAGAAATATATGTATACACGGTGACACCTAAAAATTTATATATAACACGTGATTGTTCTTCTATTTATTAAAGCTTATTTTGAGATAAAATTCATAACACTATGGACACATTTGATGTATTTAAAAAACTTTCTGTAGGAACGAAATTTAATAAAATACGTTTCCGATCTGATGCTGAGAAATTTCAAGTAAGATTTCATTTAAATATAACCTCTTTTTTACATAAGACTTTAATAAAAAAGTAAATCGCATATTAATTACGATTATCTAACACTGAAATTATATTTTAAAATATTATAAGTCTTTTATCGCTAATAAATTATAAAGTTTTTGTTTAAATCCATTTTTTAAAAACCAAATTTGTGACATCTTTACTATATGTATAAAAAAATACTTCAATGTCATAAATTTGAAATGCTGGCCTATCTGTTAATGATATAGTTCTCAAATAAATGTACTGACTTTGAATGTGAGTTTTTATCATATGAAATTAATTTAATCAAGGTAGTTTATGGTGATGTTAGATAATAACTGCTTCAGCCATATCTAGTAGATGAGCCATAAACTTATTCACATCTAATGTTTTTAATCTATAATTAATAAAAAATATATTTTCCTATTTTTTTTTTCCAGTTAAAAAAATTAAATTGCAATGATAACCAACTACAAATTAAAGAACATCTATCAGACTTTAAAATTTCAAATAAAAGAAAATGGAAAGAAGATGTTGAATCAACTGGAAAGACAGAAGAACTTATAAAATTTAAAGAGGAAAAAAATATTTTAACTCTTTTCAATAGAGTTTCACCGTCATCTAATGACACGAAACTTAAAAAGAAGAAAAAACAAAAGTTGATGACTGATGAAAAATTACTCCAACTTGAGCAAGAAAAGGTAAATTTTCTAACTTAAAAGTTCAATTACTATTTCTTTTTTGTTTAGATAATTTGATTTATTATTTTTACAAAAAATATAAAATTTTTTATTTTTAGATCAATCACTTTAGGAATGTACATCGTATTTCAGTTGTTGGTCAACATATTCCTAAACCAATTGAAGTTTTTGATGAATTATTGGATACTTATAATGTTGGTCAGGACCTCGTAGAAAATATAAAAAAATGTGGTTATACAATACCTACATCAATCCAAATGCAAGCTTTACCGATTTTATTAGAAAATAAACCAATCTTAGCTTGTGCACCAACTGGGTCGGGTAAAACTTTAGCTTTTTTATTACCAATAATTCATCATTTAAATGGACCAAAAAATCAAGGATTTCGGGCTATAATTTTGAGCCCTACAAGAGAACTAGCGAAACAAACATATAGAGAGTGTTTAAGATTAAGCGAAGGTAGAAATTTTAGAGTTCATATTATCAGTAAAATAAAACAAGCTCATAAAAAGTATGGTCCTGGTAGTTCACAAAAGTTTGATATCTTAATCACGACACCTAAAAGGTTGGCATTTTTATTAACCCAAGATCCTCCGGCAATTAAGTTAACTAATGTTGAGTGGTTAATTATCGATGAAGCTGATAAACTGTTTGAAGATGGTCCTCGTAGTTTTAGAGATCAATTAGAAATAATTTCGAAAGCTTGTACTAACAAAAATCTACGTCAAGCAATGTTTAGTGCAACCAATACTCCAATTGTCACCAATTGGTGTAAATATAAATTAAACGGATTAATTACTGTAACTGTTGGGCATAGAAATGCTGCGACTGATATGGTTGAACAAGAATTATTGTTTGTAGGAAGTGAAAGAGGAAAATTGGTTGCTTTCAGAAACATTATTTGTAAAGGTATATCTCCTCCAGTTCTTGTGTTCGTGCAAAGCAAAGAAAGAGCTCAAGAATTATTTAATGAGCTCATTTATGATGGAATCAACGTTGACGTCATTCACGCTAACAGGACTCAAACTCAAGTGAGGTTTTTTTTATTCAATATAGTAGATAGTGTATATTTATGATAATAAATTTTTTGTTGATAAATTAGTAAAATAATTTATAGTAAATAATAAGTCTGAATAACATTTAACGAAAAAAAAATAGTTACCTATGATTTTTAATGAAATTCTTAATCAAGTTATTATTTTTTGCAGAGAGATAATGTTATAAGGTGTTTTAGAGAAGGCAAAATATGGGTTTTAGTATGTACGGAGTTGATGAGTCGCGGAATTGATTTTAAAGGTGTCAATCTTGTTATAAATTATGATTTCCCGTCATCTGCTATATCATACATACATAGAATTGGTAGAACTGGCCGAGCCGGTCATAAAGGGAAAGCAATAACATTTTTTACTGAACAAGATAAGATTAATTTACGAAGGTATTTTTTTTATTATGAATCAATATTTAATGCAATTAAATATATTACTTCTTTTTAATATTTATTATTTTTAGTATTGCAACAATCATGCGAATGTCTGGTTGCGATGTTCCTGAATACATGTTAGCTATGAAAAAACATAGGAATGAGAAAAAGAAAAAAAAAGAACATTCAACTCTGAAACGTGACTCAATTTGCACAATTCCAAAGTTTGAAAGAAAATAATTAAAATCTTTAGGATTTAAAATGTATTAATTATTTAATAAATATTTTATAAAAAAAAGTATACACGTTTTATTAGTTATTGATTAATATTTATGTGGGAAATGATCTCAAAAAAAATTGATTGAGAGAAAGGACTTAAATATACTCAATGTGCTGAAAATATTAACGAAAACAATTGGATAGAAGTTTTTTTATTATAATTATAGATGCATAAATTATCTCAAAATATGTATATTTATTTTTAATCAATTTTATTGCATATTAAAAATATTATAATTAATAATAATTTTATTATAATTTATTTTAGAAAATTGATGTTGTACGACTAGAGTATTCTTATTCAAATTCAAAAACACAAAATTTTCAATAATTAATAATACAAGTAATATATAATTTTAAAAAATTAATTGATTTTGTGAATATATGAGACAATTTAATGCTTGTCGAACAATTGAAAATAACACGAAACTATTAAAAACTATAAAATCTTGTTCTGATAATGATCATATTTGGAACAAGATTTTTTGCTTACATGATTTACTCAAATTTCAGTTTAATAAAAAAGTTATTTTAAAACAATATATATCTAAGAATAGTAACATAATATCATTCAATAATATTCGTTAGTTTACTTATAATATATTTCTAAATTTAATATTAAAATTTACCAATCAATAACTTTTTATTAATTTACAAGTAAAAATATCCTGCCGCAAATTATATTTTTTAAAAATAATTGTCATAATAAAATATCATTTGGTCATGTCTTATAAATTTATACAGTTTCTAATATAATAATTCTTCGTATGATTAAAAATTTAATTTTAAGAATATTAATATTTTTCACAACATACTTTTGTTGAAATTAACTTTTTGTTTAATATCTGTAATATATTTATTTGTATTCAGTTTGATAAATTTATGTCTCACATAGCCAATCACAAGGTAATTTAGGTAATTTATTTGCAGGCCACGGAAGATACCCTGCTGTTTTAAATATCCAATAATCGTATGATACTTTTGTTATTAAACTTACTAGTAATATTATTTCAGTCGCAATGATATAATAAATATAATCGGTCCAATCACCTGGATATACGCACATTTTTGATGAATCAAGATCAATTACTTTCTCTTTAACATTTTCACAAAGAACCTCTTCAGAATCTAAAATTTTAGTTTGAAGCCAAGCTTTTAAATGTTTGGCTGTATTACAGTCACAATATAATCTGTTACCGCCTAGTTTCACGTATCTTGAACCTAAATATTGTTGATCATGACCATTTGGTGATAAAATATATGTTGGTACCTGAAAAAGTCATATTAACAAATCAATATCTGAACGTTAGTAATTTGAAAATTCAAAATTAATTCAAATTTTTCTCAATATAGATAAGAAACTAATTTACCGAACATCAATTAATTTTTATATTTATTTTATGTTAAAGTTCAAGTCAATAAATTTTAAATTATATGCATATTACTTACTGATTTAAGTTTGTTATAACGAAGACTGAGAAAATCAAAAGAATCAGAAAACTTTGAACCTTCCAGTTTGTTTATTGAAGATATGTTATTATAATCTGCATAAAATTTACGAAGATCTTGATAGCATGGATTTGTACTGATATCATCAAGTGCCGTAATCTATAAAAAAATCATTCTTCTTAAAAGTCAATTGCTTTTTTTTTTCTTTTAAATATAACAAAATTTTTTATTTACATTATTATAGGAGACATTAAGAAATATCGTATTTCGTGGTAGCTTTTCAGGTAATTTTGTCAATTGAATACTACTGCAATCAACTTCAACAGCTAAAATTGGTTTTTGCCCTTGGACAATATCTAACCGTGCAAAACTACAATGACACTGCCAGTTATCTCCTTTTGGACATTCAGTTTGTAACTATATACATCATTTTAACTAAGCTTTCAGTGAAATAAAACAATTAAATAATATTTTTATTCAAGTTATAATATCTCACCAGGCTCAAGTATCGAACTTGCTTCAATGGAACTTGTTCAGTGGTATTGAACCAATGCCAAGTTTTACTAGCTGAGCAAACAGTTTCATTCTCACGATTGAAGTTAATTTGTTTTTCACCAGTTTTATTAATATATTGATAAACATCATGGCACCAAAGAGTATTAGTCCCTAAATAAAAAAACAAAAAATAAATACTATTGGCAATCTTACTGAATTGATTTTACTTTTACTCAAAGGTATAGCATATTTATTTTTACCTGAAATATCAAGCCAAAACTCCCGGCCATTCATGGTATTTAAAGCAGGTAAATGTGTAATATTATTGTATGAAAGATCAAGACTCGTTAGCTGAGCAAGTCTTGTAAATGAATTATTTTCAATTTCCATGAGAGCATTATTTGATAAGTTTAAACAATGAGTAGGTGTCATCATAAGAAATTGGCCTTTGATACGATTAATCCTACCGTCAGTGATCGCTAATGATTTCAGTCTTCTCCATTTCACTTCGCTTACGTTAAATGTGTCTAAAGTTGTATTTCTAATATGAATATATGAAACATTTAATGGAAAGTCTGAAAAATAATTTATAAATTCTTCATTATAATTTAAAATAAATAATTAAGTATACAATAGTAATTTTTGAAACAACGAATGAACTAATTACATTGAAATTGTTATCAAAATAAATTGTATCACTAGTTTTATAGAGAACAAAATTTAAAAGTTTTCTATTATAATAAAAGAACGCCTGGACCAAATTATATTACAATATTTCATTATATTCTACTCTTTTTGATACATATTTATTTATTTATTTGAATAAGATATTGATATACTTTTTTCTTGTGATAATTTTTTGTCAATTTAACTTATTTATTAAAAAAATTACTTACTTGCACACGTTAAACCAGTCTCAAAAGTTTTACTGTTTAAATTACAACAAAAAACTGCATTTTCTTCAGAATTTGTATGCGATAAAATTGGAATTCTTTTGCATGGACAACTATCAGGACTTTCTATTTTTGGACATTCATTAGCTTCAAGATAAAAGCATCTCTCTGGTGGTGGAACGCTAACCCTTATCTCTGTGTGGGCTGCAGGAGAAGATGCCTGGTCTTCTTCAGTTCTTGCACTAACGACGCCACCATATAGATAAATTATTAAGGTCAACAATTGCATCTATAACTCCAAAAACAAAAATTCTCACAGTTTAAAGAATGATAAAAAATTTGTATGTATGTAAAAATTCTGTCAAACAATACATTACTTTCGTATACTTTTTTCGACATTTATTTACATTTATGTACATTATGACGACAACTATTAATACTAAAAAATATTTCAAGTTTTATATTTTTATTGATGACTTGTTGAACTAGTACTATCTTCTGAATGAGTTAGATGTACATAATAAATTTATTAGAATTGTAGTTTAAAAGCCCTGAGAGATAAGGTCTATCTTTTTTGTTATTAGCTCACGCCTTAATTAGATATTTTTTTCAGTGATATGTTACAAGAACTAAGTATTAAGAAAAAAGTAAAAAAAAATTTTTTATATCTTAGCGTAATGATAATGTAAAAATTTTCTTGATAACTTCCACAATTATCTATAATTTACAAAATTATTTCACAATATTCCATGTACGTAGTAGAGTCTATGGATTTTCAACTTTATCTACTTTAAACACATTTAGTTTAAAATTATTAGTAATTTTCAATTAATTATTATTATAATAATACCGTTTGTTATTTCTAGTTGAAAATACATGAGTTAAACTCTTCTAAGTGGTTGAAAATACATGGATCATACTGTATTAGTTGAAGACATTATTACATCATTATTTTATTAAAATAAGTTTTATAGCTCTTTCTTTCGAAACAATTGTTATGGAAAAATTTAGACATTACCTTCATCATGATTTTTTTTATTGGCCTTTACATCTTTGAAATATTCATTGTTTATTTAATTAGCGACGAGAACGATCATTTATCGTTTCTAGACTTTTTTTCAGCAGTTTAAATTAATATACATTATAAAAGCTATAGTGCATTCATTATGACTTTGACTACTTTTTATATACACACATATAATTTGACTCCAAATTCACTTCATTGATGTATGCAATAACTTTTAACAGTGATTTGTAGCAAGTTTCGATTGTAATTAACTATTTATATACCCTCGTGTAACATATTAAATAAAATAAAAAATAAATAAAATAACAAAGAAGAATAAAAATAATTTTTTTAAACAATATAGCGTTTATAAATTAAAATTTTTGTAAGATGGTATAACACAATCTAATTAATCTATTTATCTGATTGACTCTATGTCATTCAAATCATTATTCCTCATACGATGAATCAAAACTATTTGATTTGTTACTTTTATTTAAAGCCTCCATGTAATCTTCACCTTGTTAAGAAGTCAAGAAATCTAATTAAAACACTTGAACTCAATAACTATTAATTACTTCAATAACTTGATCTTATTACATATAATTAAATTAAAAAAAATTTTAAACACGTTAAAGTCTTTATTTTTCACTTTCGCTTCATTATTTTATTGATTTATCGGTATTTGAGCACTTGATGGAAGCGTATGCGAGACAAAGACATGTAATTCTGATTTTAATATCATCAAACAACTATACTATGGAATATGCAGGGAGTAAATTAACTAGCAGATACTACCGATGAATACGAAGAGAGACAGAAAAGAAATTCTACAACCTACTACTCATCACGGTGGCAGTAATACTAAATATTGTTTCAAAATGCTAAAGAGTAAAGTGTAATGATGGAGTCACACTAACTACATGCATGTGTACGTACATGGGCAAATACAATACTAGTTGGATAAATGAATAATACGAATTTTTTTTTAATTAAACTTATCACTTTTTCTACGGCTACTCAACAATTGTCTAATTTCAGCCCAATTGGGCATAATAATCTACAACAGGTCAAAATTTACATAATGTTTTTTATTTATTTATAATTTTTTTTATAATAAAATTATTACGATTTTTTTAAGGATATTGAGTATTTTCAATTTTTTATTTTATTTCAAGTACTTTTCGTTACACTAGATAAAAAATAAATAAATAAATTTTAATCATCGAGAAAAAGTTTATTTTATATACAACAATAGTTCGATTAATAATAAACTTGTATAACAATAATCCTTATAATTAAACTAATAAGAGAATGGTTCTGGCCGATGTAGCCAGAAAATTTAGTATGCATTTTTATGAAGCCAGGTAAGAGTTAGGCATGGTTGAGGTGATCCTTAAACAGAAAACAGCATTGAACTTTTATACACGTCTTTTTTCTCTGTTATTGTATAATGAATCGTTTTCCTTTGGTCAACTAGTGACTGTATGCTGTAATTTGTTTTCCTAATTTGAAGGTGATAAAATCTCGTTTGCCCTATTGTAATATGAAAAATAAGATTTCATTACCTCAAATTGGCAAAAAAAAATTTACAATAAATTGATAGTGAACTAAAAAATAAAAAAATTCTAATTTAAATTAAAAAATTTATGCAAATTATACAAGCAAAGACAGTAAATATTTTATTAATTTATAAAAAAATATTTTGTATGATCGAAATAAAAGACATCGATAAATTTAGTCGATGCAACTCACTCCCGCGTATTTCTAGTTCTTTTCTAGGGGAATACTCTTTTCTTAACTCTCCTAACGACAAAAAAAGGTACTATAACGTGTTTTAAATTTTACGACTGCACATATGCCACAACGATAAAATGACGTAAAATTGTGGCTCTAATTTTCCAAACTCTCTGTGATTGAGACTATCAGCAACCTTCTTTAAAATTAACGATACGATTTGGTTAATATAATATTATATACATAAAACAATCTTTTCATTCATTCGTAATATAACTATGAATCAATGGGCTACTATTAAACGTTAAATATAGTAAAAGTTATGTTAAAAGGTTATACACATAACTGACCGAGGAAGGGTATTTAATCCGTTTTCTTTTCTGTTATAACATATAATTAAATTATTTTTAAGATACTTAGTATAAGTTCATCGTTTGTTCTTTTACAGAATAAATTGAGTAGTCTAACCATGGATTCATATGTAAGTTGTATAAAAATTCGTGGGATGCCAATTCTTCCTCCTCTTGTAAGTAAACTTTTTGAACTAAATTAATTATTTCTGTTAAGTAAATTCAATATTCATAGATTAGTAAAAAAGTTAATTGCTGAATATCGAACATTAAATTAAAAGAATTTTCAATACAAATAATAATATATATCTTAAGCTTTATATTTACTAAATATTTTTTTTTAATTTAAACTTTAAATAATACAAAGTGAAACATTAATTATAGATGACTGATAACCTGCGTGCAGAAATGAAATATTATAAGCAGTTGGCTTTAGCAGTTGAAGAAAAATTATCAAGATTAGAATTAGAAACAAACCAAAAAGATGAAGAAGAAATTGATAATTCTTCTTCTTATGAGCATGAAACCATGAGTGAGAAAAAGTCAATGACATTAAGCCGGCAAGAAAGTCTTTTAAGCTCAGGAATAGAAAGTCCCGATCATTTATCAAAAATATCTAATGATAAAATAAATTTTGAAGTACTCGAAAATAAATCAAAAGTAACATCGGAAGATGCAACTTTCCCAAAAAACACAGATGTCCACATATATTCGAATACACTAGACTTATCAAGAACTGATGCATTAGAAACAATATCTGGAATAGGTAAACCTCAAGTGCCCAATAGTTTGAATATTATTCCAATAACAGTAGAAACTCCAACAACAAACAAAAAGAAATCTTCATCGGAAATAGAAGAATCTGAAGAAGAAGCCCCAAAATTAATCAGACAGGGTTCTTATACATTAGAAACACCAAGTTCAATGTTATTGGCTTACATAGAACAGTCTGAATACAGTAGTGGGCTTACATCATCAATAAATGATGAAAAAGTAAAAGAATTTAATTCAATTGAAATTCAGCCGGAATTGAGAAATTTGGAGAAACAAAAAGAATTTTTAATAAAAAAAAATAATACAAATAATGCCAATAAACGGAGAAGTAGTATATCAGGAAATGAAAATAAGTATCGAGAAAATAATAAAGCTTTCGAAACAACTGATAAACAATTAGTAGGAGAAATACATCAAGTTGCTCGATCGATGGATTGCATTCAAACGATGTTATCAAAAGAATACATTTGTGGAATGACAAATTTCAAAAGAAATTGTTCTAATAGAAGATCAAAAGATAATGGTCATACTGTAAATAAGAATAATATGTGTAAAACTACTGATAACGCATCAATCTCTCATTTACCTAATAAACTTGGAGGATCTTTAGGATCATTAAGTTATGAAAAGTCTCCAAATAAATGTGACGACAATAATAGAATGACTAAAAGTTTTGAAACTTCGTTTCCTGATAGTTATAATAAAGAGAATGTTAATAAAATTAAATCAATAACTTCTGATAAATTAATGTACGTGTTTAAAGAAATTCAAAAAACTCATCAACGACAAATGGCTGATTTAATGGCCCGACAACAACGTGAACAAATAATACTACAGCAAGAATTTGAAAAACAGCAATTAGTACTTCTCGAACAATTAGAAAAATCTTTTCCAGGAGTTTCTATGCCATCTATTGTTAATAAATACGTAAGATCACCAGTATATGATAACAATCAACATAAATATTCAAAAAATTCAGTTTCACTGCCAAAATCACGTCAAAATCATTCGGATGGCGAATCAAGCATATTCAATGGTAGCTCTTTTGAATCTGAAGGAAGTATTTCTATTAATTGTGTATCAACTAGAGATACTTCTTTTTCCGAAAAAGTTAATAGTGAAAAAAAGAAATCTAGTGTTAGTCGGCAACTTTTTTGTGAAGAAACACAACATCATCGTAACCTTATCATTAATGGTTCTGCTTACAATGAAAAACATGTACGCTCAAATTATTTATTTTAAAATTGATTCAAATCTTTTATTTGATTAATAATCTAATATTTTTCATAGATCAAAGCGGCCACAATTATCAATGCTTACGCTCGAGGTTATTTAGTAAGAAGACTTATGAAAACTGAACGTGTTATGACATTAAAAAATACTTATAAAGAGGCATTACATTGTATGTTAAAGCTTCATGTTGATGCACCTTGGGAATTGCCTGAGTTAAATTTTCATAAACGTTTACAACATCAAGTGAGTACTCATTTTATTGAAAATATAATTTTATACATTCAATATTAATTAATTATGTAATTAATAGTGTGATGCAGCATCAATTAATATTGTTGAATTATTTGCGCAAAGTCCTGCTAATAGAATGGAAATTATTTTCCACGATAGACAAATTAAAAAATGTCGTCAAGAAAGACCATCATCTACAAGATCTACTTACTCATTTGCAACACAACGAACTTTAGCAAGGAAAAAATTTAAAGAGTACGATTTTCGCTATTTAGTTTCTTCCTCAATATCGTAATTTATTATTATTTTATCTTTAACTTAAAATAATATTTAGATTAGGAATAGCTCAATTACCGGTAGCTGCAAAAAATAATTACAGTGCAAGAACAAGGTGTCAAACATGGACATCTAATTCACGAGAAAAACGTTCTCCTGCATTAATTAGTAAGTAAATTATTAATTTTGTGAATTTTTAATTATCTTCTATTTAACTATTATTCAAAATTATAACTATTTTTGTAATTATTCAAAAATAATTACAGATCAAGGAATAAAACGAAGCACAAGTGCAGGTGCTGTCCGTAAGCCATGGCGATAACGAGATTGTGTGCCTTAGTATTAAATAATATCTAAGTCATACAACCATAAGTACAAACTTTTATACTAATTTATTTAATGAAAATGTAAATAAAACTCACCTAGTGCCTGAAATATTACGTTTTAAAAATATTCAATAAGTATTTATCTATAAACGCTTACTCTAATTAATGTTGATGAATTATAAAGTATAATTATTTAATTTGCTTGTGTAATTTTGAATTCATCTATTGTCAATTTTTTACTACAAAAAAAAATTATTTCTGTGATAATCTAAACATGGCTGGGATTTCATGATATCATTCATATTATACAAAATAATTTCATTATAATATTCAATATTATACTTCATGCTTTATTCAAGATTTTAAAGTTTGATATTTGATTCTATATAAACGTTTCAACGTTGAATTTAATATAAATCAATATATTAATTGCGCCCATTAATATTGTATAGAAGAATTGATAATTTTCTGCAACAATAATAATAGTGATAATGGAAAAAAAATAATTATTTAAAATTGCATATTTAGTATAATTAACCAAAATTTAATAATATAAATCATAGAATTAAATATGATAATTTAATTTAATTAATATAATTGTACGTAAATATTAATAAAAATTTTCAAGTACAAAGTACATTAACTAAACAAATGTGCGGTCGAAAAGTGGTTGTGACAGGACTAGGAATTGTTTCTCCTTTAGGAACAGGTGTAAAACATGCTTGGAAGGCTTTAATAAATGGAAAAAGCGCTGTAAAAAAACTAAATACATCAGAATATAAAAATTTACCATGTAGAGTAGGTAGGTTATTTTTATCTATTACTTAGATTAGGTTAGATAGGTTAGAAAAAAAATTTTTAAATAAATAAAAAATGTAATAAATTTTGATTTATTAAATAAAATAGCTGCCCTTGTACCAAAAGGCAATGGACCTGGAGAAATAAATCTTAATACTATATTTTCAAAAAGTGAACTTAGATCTATGTGTGTAGCAACTGCATATGCTTTAGTTGCTGCTGAAGAAGCTTTAAGTGATGCTGAATGGAAGCCTATCAATGAAGAAGATAAAAGAAATACTGGAGTTGCTGTGGGAATTGGAATGATCGATTTAATTGATGTTTGTTCCACGTACGAAACTCTAAATAAAAGTTATAGTAAAGTCAGTCCTTATTTTATTCCAAGGATTTTAACAAATATGGCAGCTGGTCAGATAAGTATTAAATATGGATTTAGAGGACCTAATCATGCTGTTTCTACTGCCTGTGCTACTGGAGTTCATGCTATAGGTACAAAAAGTAATTCATTTATTAATAACAATAAAATTTTTATTTATTTATTATTTTTTTTTTAAAGGTGATGCTTTTCGTTTCATCAAAGGTGGAGTAGCTAATGTGATGGTTTGTGGTGGTGCAGAAGCTTGTATCAGCCCATTAGCCATTGCTGCTTTTTGTAGATTAAGAGCTTTAAATACTATGAAAAATGATACTCCTGAAGAAGCTTCTAGACCTTTTGACAAAGATCGAAATGGTTTCGTAATGGGTGAAGGTTCTGCTATTTTAGTTCTTGAAGAACTTCAACATGCATTAAATAGAAATGCTAATATTTATGCAGAAATTTTAGGATATGGGCTATCTGGTGACGCTACTCATTTAACTTCTCCTAGTGATGATGGAGTGGGAGCTATTTTAGCAATGGACCGGGCTATCAAAGATGCTGCAATTGATCTTCGTGATATATCTTATATCAATGCTCATGCTACCTCCACTTTACTTGGAGATGCAATAGAACTTAAGGCTATAGAAACTCTTTTTGGAGTTCATAGTGAAAATGTTGTAGTTTCAAGCACTAAAGGAGCTCACGGCCATCTTCTCGGATCAGCCGGAAATCTTGAAACTGTCTTTACTATTCTTGCAATTAATAATTCATTAATACCTCCTACAATTAATCTCAATAATCTTGATTATCTAGGTAAACTTCAAATAATTGCTAATAAAGCTAAAAAATGGTCTGTGTCTTCTAAAAAAGTTGCTTTGAAAAATGCCTTTGGTTTTGGTGGAACAAATGCTTCATTATGTTTAGCAGAGTTCGTAACATAATTGATACAAATATTTTTTATAACTTATTGTATTATTTTTAATGAATAAAAAGCCATTATTAATGTTCACAAGGTTTTTAATTTAAATACTTAAATTATATTTAAATAAAATAAAACAATTACTTAAAATCAATGAATGCATGGACAGTTGGAATGCATTATTTTCTTATACCATTGATACAACGGATTGATAATTTTTTTGATAGCTGATTTTTGATAATACAATTGTAAATCTATAAAAAGATATTTCATTAATATTTAAAAATTAATGGTAGTATAATTAGAATATCAAATAAATGATTCTGAATAAATGAAATACATAAATTACGATACTGAACATTTTGAAAATAAAAGTTGTTATTTTTATATTATATAAAATCTTGAATTTTTTTTTTCCCCACAAAATTTTACCAAATGTTTGATATTTATATACTTGCATAATTTGTATGTAGATGAAAACCTACTGATTTTGATAAATTAAATTATGTAACATAACTACATTTTAATTTAACTTTTTCTGAGAATTGTTAATTTCCTGATTCATTCAAACAAGTTATTTCTTAATAAAATCAATTCCAATAAAAATTTTTTAATTAGAATAACCCATTGTTAGTGTGCATCATAACATCAATTAAATTTTGTCACTTTTTTATTTGTTTCCTTATGATTTAATAAATAACGGAAATACAACAAATCAAACGATAAAATAAATTTGATGATTCATCATAAATTTAAAGTACTTATTGTGGAATGCTACAAGATTTGTAATGACTGCAAAGTATTGCAAAACGTTCCCTGAGGTTTTGTCGAAGCTGTAGTCGTTTTTCTCGTAATTGGCACATTTGAGCTTTGAAGTTTCGTACTTCTTCCGCTGAGATGTAGTATTCGGTATTTTCATTTTCGGATAAACGTGAGTCCTGAAAAACGTTTAAATAAGTTGATTGATTTTTTACATTTTTTTTATTAAAAAAAAAAAAAAGAAAAATTACAAACAAATTAGATAACGTGTAATTTAATCATTTCAAAACTCTGAAATTACCTCTAACATTTGAGTAAGCGTTAAGCCATGTTCTCTTAATAATGTAATGCCCAACATGGAATGATCTGGCTTTTCAAAAAATCTATTATCCGGGCATTCACCTTCATGACTACAATATCCTTCACTACATGCAACTTCTGATCCTTCTGGAGTACTAGGAACAGATGAACTGCTGGCATTATGTTCCGATAAATAACCATAGTCTTGAAATAATGGCTGATTTAAATCACGATTCAAATCTATTTGATTAATTACACCAACTTCTGAACTTTTATCTATCTTTTCTAAATACCATTCACTATCTTTTTTTATTTTAACTGAGTGATCACAAAACTTTTCACAGCATAAACACAATTCACGATTAATTTCTTTGACAATTTTAGACTTTTTGGGACTACTGGCTTTTTCAAGAATTATTTTTGGTTTATTTAAAACTTCTTTAATATTTGCCGTCTTCAAAGATGGTTGAGATGGCTTTCTCACTAATTTCTTATTTCGACTAAGAGGTGATTGGGGTAACTGCAGTGATATTTTAACTATTGGTGAAGTTTCATTTATTTTTGGTTTCTGTGAACAATCTGGACAACCGCAAGTTGATTGTTCTTTTTTTATCGGATCCACAATTTGGAGCTATAAATTTAAAAAATGATCAAATAGTATTATTAAATTATTAAATTAAAAAGTAAATTAAAAAATTAATTCTTACTGTATGTCGATCATCACTATTAGTAGTTGGTTTAGGTTTTACATAACGACTATCATCACTAATATTTTTTTTTTCTTCCGACCCCTAGAAAATAATTATTTCAAATAATATTAATAGTCTACAAAAGTTCTTCAAATGTCAATAATTATTTTTAAAAAATTTCTACCTCACAATTATTTTCTTTTTCTTCAATATTTTCATATTTACGTTCCTTCTTTTTTTTTCTTTTAAGACGTAATTTTTCTCGCCGTTGTTTTTTAATAATTTCTTCCCGAGTAAATTCTTCATATAAAAGTTCTAATTGCGTAATTCCCTGTTTTGTTTCAACAGCTATTTGAAAGTTTCTAAATAATGTTTCAATTGCTACAGCAGCAAAGACTTGACAAATTGTTTCTTCTTCTCTTAAACGGCGATGAATACGATAAAGTCGATCAGTCACACATATTCCAAGACATGTTAGAACTTCTTCTTGAGCTATTTCTAACGTTTTTGCATGACGTTCCCTAAAATTTATGTAAAGAAAAATACTCTAGATTTAACTCAATTTTAAGAAAAAGATAAGTTATTTTTTAATTAGGTTTTAAAGTAAAATTACCTTCCAATAATTTCGGGCTGTGCACGATCAATTAAAGAACTAATATAATCTGTATTCGTTGGTAAATGAACATGACGTTCTGGTATACATCGTTTGATACCTGCATATAAAGCTGGAACATATCCCTTCTCTTTCATGGGTTCTGATTCAGACGTAAGAAGTGTTGAGGCCAATAATACCTTTGTACGACACTCTCCACAAAATCGATGTTTACGTAAATAAATATCTAATGCACTTTCTAAAGTATCTGTCTCAACAAGTGTTACTTCTTGACGACAAGATGTTTTCATAACATCCCATGCTTCTTTCCATGCATTTAAAGGTGGTCTCATTCGTTGAACTTCCAGAGAATGTAAGGCACATCGACGTGATTTTTTATTACGAGTTTGACGTTCTAAAAGACTATTTAGTCGTGCACTAAAAAATGTAATTATTTCTTTAATAAACATGTTAGAAAATAAATGAAAAACTACTATCACTTTATTTATAAATTATTGGTATTGTATAAGTTATTAGTAAATAACAAAAAATTACCTATGACCTTGCAGAATAGTACAAAGTAATTTTGGTTGTGCTAAAGTTTCTTCTTCAATAGTAACCATCCCTTCTGGAGTAACGATTAATGGATCGAGAGCTTGGTGTTCTGATCCCATGAGATCATAAAATAATCTTTCTACACTAATATTATATCATCTAATTAGTCGGATAATAATTATCTCAATTCATTTTAAATATGTTTATAGAATTATTATTATTATTATTATTAGTAGAATTTAATAGTTGAAAATATTGCTATTATCAATTACCTTCTTCTACACCCAACGCAAGGCACAGCCTGTCCGAGAATAGATAATATATCTTTATTAGTAGCTTTAAAAGATGCCTTAACTTCATCTTTCGTTAGAACGTTCAATTTTTTTATAAATTCATCGAGTGGTTTTCCTCTAGCTAAAGGATTTTCATTAATATATCCTAAATTATTTAAATCCATGATCATCTAGATATTATAAAACAGATAATTTGTATAAGTTTTAAATAGAATATTGACAATTATATTTGTTCATAAAAGAAAAATTTAGAAATTGAAAAATTTATCTACCATCTATAAATGAATTAAATAGTTTGTGAATATAGTATTTATAATATTATAATAAAAAATGATTAGCAATAAAGAAACAAATAAAATTAATCTACTAGATATACATACAGTTATATTTTGACATTTGTTGTAGACAATTCAAATTCAATAGTGAAACAACATAAAATATATTGTATTTAACTTTTCATTTACAGATAAATTATTTTTACTACTGAACAAATAAAAAAATTATTTCTACGCCAATGTAATAAAATTAATGAAAGGTTATGTTATTAGTGAATTTTTCAATTTCAAAGTATTTATTTTCATTTACTTGATAGCAACATTTTCCAAATTTTATAACACTTTTTTTTTAATTAAATAAATCATGAAGATACTTACTGTAAGATTATCGTCAACAATTAATGGCATTTGTCGTCGTAATAAATCGACCGGCTGGTCACACCGCCAAATATCGACTAGTTTGGCCATAATTCTACAATTCACTTACTTATATTATCAACAATAATTATTTAACAATAATGGTTATAATGTGTTACTCTAATATCTTAACTTAAAATTGATCTGATAATTTTTTTATATTATGAGAAAACAAGTAGAACAGTTTTACACATCTGCCATTTGCAACGATACTTCTCTTCCACTTCCGCCTTGTTTAATTTCTTACCTCCCACTCTTTTCATAGATGTGTTAACTCTACATTTGATTGAATATTTAATAATTACTTTGATGAAATTAAATTCAGATATTTTACTAGCTATTTTAATAGACTAGTTTATTCATTATCTTTCTTCATTTTATTTTTTTAATCAATTTATTTCTAAAGGTGATTAAAAATTTTAAGTAGTACAATCATTTTTTATATTAAATTTTAATTAAATAGTTTGAATTATGAATATTCATTACATACATAATTATTCATTTCATTACATACATTTTTTGAATAAATTTAAAATAATATTTTATTCGAGTTTAAATTAAAACTTTATTTAAAAAATATTGTATTATTAATTTTGCCATAATCTAAGTACTTTATCTTTGCCTCCTGATACCACTCTTAATCCATCAGGAGACCAATCTACCGCATAAATTTCATCAGCATGTCCAGGAAGATCTTGAGCAAGTTTCTTAGTTTTCATACTCCATACTTTAAGAGTTGAATCCGCACTACCACTAACAAGTAACCGAGAATCTGCACTCCAAGCTATCGAATAAACTGCTTGAACATGACCCCGCAATGATGTAATAAATTTTCCTGACTTTGCTTCCCACAGTTTAATAGACTTATCGAAAGACGCTGAGGCTATTATACGTCCATCTGGAGAGAATTTAACATCATTGATTAGCTGTTGGTGACCTGTCATCCTTGCTAAAATTAACAAGAAATGATTATTTTCTTTAAAAAAGTTTTCTTTTTGAATGAATTCAATACAAATTATAATGCAACTAAAAATAAATATACCAATTGGTTTTTTTTCTTTTTCGGGTCTCCAAAGATAAAGAGTAAAATCGTCTGATCCAGAAACTAATATTTCTTCACCGACGGCTTCATAGCGTTTTAATGCACGTTCTGTAAGACTTTTTAAATCTGTTTTCATCTCTCCAATTTCAAATGGACCAGTTCGAAGAACGTAATCTACATTTAATGCTAAAGTATTAACCCAATGAGCATGTCCTTCAAGAATTCTGCATAAAATGCCCTACGATTGGAGAAAAAATTAAATAAGTCAAAAATATGAACAATACTATTTAAAATAATACTTTCAAATTTTATCTTACGTCTTCTGCTCTCCAGACTCTTATCGTTCTATCCTGAGAACCAGAATAAATTAATCCACTTCCTCCCCATCGAACACAAGTAACACTTTTAGTATGTCCTGCAAGAACACGAGTTGTCTGTCCAAGTACTGTATCCCAGATTCTTAAATCACTATCTTTAGAGGCGCTAACCAAGAATTTACAGACTCCAGAATTACGATGATACGGTTCCCAACTTAATGCTGTTATCCACATTTTGTGTCCAGTCATAACTTTTCCTAGTATTATTTCAATTAAAAGATTTGTTAACGATCGATTATAAAAAAGTATTTAAATAGTAAAAAAAAGATAACTCATTTTACCAACTTGTTTTCCGGTAATTGGATCCCATTGAATAATTGATCCATTTTTACAAGCAGATACCAATTTCGTACCACATGGAGACCAAGATATGCATAATACCCAATGTTTATGCCCTGTGCAAGTATATTGAGGAGTTTGTGTGTAAATATCCCAAAATCTAACAGTTGTGTCTCCTGAACCACTTGCTAAATTTTGTCCATTAGGAGAAAATGCTACAGAAATTACTGCTTCTTTATGTCCTAAATAATTGTAAATTTCAATTAAAAATTTTATTTAACTACGTATAAATCAAGTGTATTAATTACCCTCAATGGATCCTGTACACCTCGTGACCGCTCGTACTTTAAAAACAGCTTGTGGTTGATAAATAATGTCAATTACATTTTCGCTAATCGAAAAACGTTCAGTTAAATTTTCTTCTAAAGTTCCAGTTACCTCAACATCATTAATATAAAATGCTAAAGGAATAGGATCATCTTGTTGAAGTAATGCATTGCAAATAGCTTGAAGTTTATCCGTCGTAATATCTAGAGGTAAATCTAATAACCCCCCAGGCAAAATATCTCCTGTATCTGATTTAAATCGAGATAAAACTCTTTTTGATTCACCCTCATATTCTGACTTTAATTTATTTTCTTTTTCATTATTTCTTTTATTCATTTTGATCAATTATAATTTAGTTAATTAAAATTCACATGTAGTTTGTATTTGAAATTTGAAGGTTAGGACAATCAATTTCCTGAAAATACAGATAAATAAATAAATGTATGTATATCAGTATTTTTAAAACAAGAAAACTGAAAAGTATAATATTTACCACGTATATTTATAAGTTAAATATGAAGGAAAATGTTTAAATTCACATATTTATTCATCGTTACAAAAGCACGTGTTCACCGTAAGTTAAACAACTGAAACAAATCTCATGAATGAATTTGACCATAATATTTTTCATTAAATAGATGGAGTTAACCTATTCATCATTATTTTTAACTAAAAATTAAAATTTTAGTATATTCTTAAGATAGCATTATTTAAATTGAGATTTTTTGCATATTTAATAATAATAATAATAATAATAATAATAATAATAATAATAATAATTATTATTATTATTATTATTATTATTATTATTATTTATCTTGCGATTCGTCAGAGGTGTCTGGCCAGGGATCCAAGGGCTCCGACCCACCTGAAGCCTGACCAGACAGAATTATCAGACACCCGACTCCCTCAGGTTTATTATTATATTTGCATATATTATAATTATATACGGAAAGCAAGTACTTTTCGATTAATTTTCAGTATAGAAAAGAATATTCTCTCAATGAACTTTACACAAAATTTAAATTTAAGCGCTTCAATTGAATTTAATTAATAATTTTATTTAAATTGTTTGGTTTTTACTATGTAATCGAATTATATAATTCAATATTAAAACTCCGATTGACAATTTAAACTTAATTTATGGATAAGTACAGACTATAAGAAGTAAATCTAATAAAGAAATATAAGAAATCAAGAGTAATAAACTTTCGTTGAAATTTCTGAATTATTTGATTAACCAAATTATAGGTATTTGTAATAATTAAAAAATATTTTTTTAATTTATTTAATATTTTATTATTTTGAAGAGATTTTGTACACGTATAAAATAAAATCCATTTATATGATACCAATTTTATTGGCAACATCTAGAGCATCATAATCGCGAGCTAGACGTACGTACGCTTTCTTCTTCCCATCAGGTCTAATTAATGTATTCACCTTTGCAACATCAATATCATATAATTTTTTAACTGAAGCTTTAATATGGTATTTATTAGCTCGAGTATGAACAATAAAGACCAACGTGTTATTGTCTTCAATCTTTTTCATAGCTGCTTCAGTCGTTAATGGATACTTGATAATATTGTAAGCATCCATTCTGTAAAAAAGAAACAAGTAAATAATTTCTAATAAGTTTTATATCTCATATTAAATTAAATGATTTCAACTTACCGGTTTCGATTTGCAACGGATTTACGCGGATACTTAGGATTTCTGGGTGGTTTGAACGTCTTTGGACGATGAAAATGGACAGACGTTCGTATTTTACGTACTCTGGATCCGTGAACACCTTTTAAGACCTATCAAAAACATTATTTAATTAATTATATTTTCTCTTTAGATAAGATAAATTCATTTATTTTTGTTATTTAAATTTAAGATTTTTAACCTTCTTTTGAGTTTTAAGAGCCTTTTGAATAGGTGCAGTTTTGCCTCCTTTAGAAGTTTTCTTCGTAGTTGGAGCATTTTTGACCACCTTAGGTTTAGCCGTTACTGGTTTTGGTGTTGGTTTACTTGCAGGCTTAGTTGCGGCGGGTTTCGTAGTTGTAGGTTTAACTACAGGAGGTTTTTTCAATGTTGAGGCTGCAGGTTTGGTTACCTTTGATGTTGATGCAGTAGTTGCAGCAGTTTTTTTTTCTGATTTCTTCTCAGTTTTTTTTTCAGTAGTTTTAGTACCTAATAATGTTCAAAATGATATATATATATATATATAGATTAGAGTCACATAATTAACTAGTATTATTAATCATATTTAATGATAATTTTTCAATTATTATTGTTATTTGAGATTGGAATAACCACATGGCCACGAAATAATTGTAATATCCTTTAAAACACATAACCTAAGATACACATTGGGCGCAAAATTTTTGATGACAATATATATTTTTCATTCAATTCAAACTTTTATCGCCTTATATGTATAAATATAATGAAAAATATTCATTTTTTCACCTGATTTCTCAGTAGGCTTTGGTTTCGGAGCCATTTTGTAGGAAAAGATCGAACAATCAACCGGAACTCAAGTTTAGATCTTTTTAGAGACCATTTTGAGAACAACGTGAATCATTGAAAGATTTTTTTGTCAATGCCATCTTTACCAACAGTAGATAATTTACTTAATTTATTCATTTATCCCCACCGCGAAACTTGAAAACACACCTGCCGCAGCGACGAATGTTTTTATTTTAATTTGGTCGATACAAAGCTAAAAAATTCATTCCATATAATTCAACAATAACTACACAACAAGATTTTTTTCATAGTATTTCAATTATCAGTAAAATTATGCTTGAAACAAGATCGGCAATATTTAAAATGCTTCAGCCTTCTGCTCATGAGGAAAGACGCGTAAGTTTAATCTATTTATTATAATATTATTTATATATTAAATTTGTTATTTATAAAATAGTATTTTTCAAATGAAAATAGCATGTTTATTTTTAAAATATTTTCAGATTTGTAAATGGCCACCACCATACTCCACTAATATGACACCATATAAAGATCGTGATTTTAATCTTTCAGTTCGTAAATCATCTTCTTCAGTATCTAGTACGCCAAGAATGGCCAAAGTGATCGTTTTAGGTGATTTAGCTGTTGGAAAAACATCATTAGTTAATAGATTCTGCCATAAAATTTATAATAATAATTACAAACCCACCATTGGAGTTGATTTTGAGGTTGAACGATTTGATATACTTGGAGTTCCATTCAATCTACAAATGTAAGTATATCTAATTCAAAATAATGAACCGTTGATTTTATTTAGTTTTGATAATTTTAAATGTTTTCGAAATTTAATCCAAGTACAATTATAATAGTTTTTCTATTTCTTGTTTGTTTGCGAATAAAAATTTCATGTCAACTAAAAAACATAAACCAATACATTCCGCATAACGTTTATTCCTTGTATAATATCAATAAACATATTACATAAATTATTATTCAACTCAACTAAAATATTAATTAGTTTTAAAAAATACAAAAAACAATTTAACATTTATTTCTTTTTTATTTTATCATTATGAGTGAGTATATAAAATAATCATTTGGCTAGTCAATATCATCTGATATTAATAATAATGATAAATTATAATTAAATAAGTATTAATTTTACTTGAAGTAACAAGTTACCGTACTATGAATGAAAATATCATAATAAATGAATAATAATTATTTTACACTTTATTAGTTGGGATACTGCAGGCCAAGAGCGTTTCAAAGCCATTGCAGCTTCCTATTATAGAGGAGCAAATGTGATCATGATAATTTTTGATCTAGGAAGTTTATTATCTTTATCACATTGCCAGCAATGGTTGAATGAAGCTAGTCATAGTAATAATGACGGTTATTATATTTTTCTGGTTGGTACAAAAAGAGATTTAATGGTGAGTATTTTTTAATCGATATAAAGTTGAAAAATATTTATAAGATAATGATGATAATTATTATTACTATCTATAATTATCGGATAACTTTTAATGATAAATATTTTTTTGTAGTCCAACCAGTCTTATGCAATTATAGAGAAAAAGGTAACAACAGTAGCGGAATCTTTGAAAGCCGAATATTGGGCAGTATCTGCAAAAACGGGTGATGGAGTTTTTGAATTATTTACACGAGTCGCTGCTTTATCATTTAATGCAGCAATGTTGAGAGAATTAGTTTCAACAAAAGTTGAATTTACAACTATAGGATCTGATGTATTTAGTAAGTTTTTGTATATCATCAATTAAGATAGATAAATGATTTTTTTCGAAGTTGATTCATAAGAGATTAAAAAATTAACTAATTTAAATTGTTATTTTTATGATGTATGTAAGAGGATGATAATATTTTTATTTTTTCAGCATTGAAGCACTCTTCAGCAACAAGTAAAAACTATACTGAAAAAAAAGAAAAAAAGAGAATTAAATGGCCAATCTGTAATGTAATATTATAAAATAAAAAAAAAATAATTTTATTTTTTCATAAACTTTAGATTACTTTTCAAATAATCATTATTTTGTATAGGTATGATAAATAAAATGAATTCAGGTTATTTCATGGATAATGTATTTTAGAAAATGTTTTTTCCTAACATGACATTACAATCTCACAAGGATATACATCAGAGATAATTCTTCCCCTCCTTAGAATATTCTACGTCGGTAAAATCTAAAACGTGTCTCAAATGCCAGTCGGTTTTCATTCGTGGTTACGGGAAGGTGTAGTTAGTCACTCAAATGACCGATAGTCTGAAAAATCAGCTGTAATATTTTGATGAAAATCCAATTTATTTTCATTCAAGACTCAAAGTTTGTAAGAAAGACACTTGTTGAACTCTAAATTATTCGAGTGTTTTGTAAATTACAGAAGTAGAAGTAAATATAAATTCTGTCTAGCGACTGCGCGTAAGTTAGCATTATTGGAGGGGGTTTGTCAGCATCACTAAAAAGAAACGAGTAAAAAGAGATAGAATAAGAATAAAAGATAAAGCAAAAGACGTGGAGAGTCAAGGATCGTTTTAAAGTCATATCACATGGTCACGTATTCGATCGATGATCCACCAGCTTAAAGATCGCCTAATACAACTGTTTTTCTGGCGTTCAGTCATTGACTCTTTTACCTAAAAAATTTAAATATTTCTTTTTAATTTTAAGGTGAGTTTACGACGTTTAAATTTTCTCTTATGAAGAAACTTATATCATTACTAACTAGCATGTTTTGGAATTTTAATCCTTCATTTGTTAACATGTATGAACAAGTGTATAAGTTTCTATTTAAGTAAATCACATGTAAGAGATCTCTGGTGATAGTTTCATGTCAGATTTGACCTGAATTTTCAATCTTTTTCGCTATTAATTTACATTATTTAAAATAATAATTATTCTATTACCCTTCACTATCTACTTAAATTTAACTACTTTTTTTAAAATGTTATTTAAACTTTTATTGTACATTAATAAGAAAATAAACTTTTACTTTATGAATAATAAAATATTAAGATATCAATTACATTAATTTTTTATTTCAACAATTAGCAAATTTTTATAAGTGTCCAGTATGGAAGTCAATACAATTTCCCTTAATTAAATGATCAAAAATAATTCAATATCCACATTTTAAAATTTTTATAATGTAGATATCCGATTATATTATATTAAACATAAAAATAAAACACAATGATTTTTATCATTCATTGGAATGCTTCAGTGATATTAAATCAAAAATTTAATTCAATTATTCAATAATTATTCAAATCATGCATTTAAAATTGAAGTTTAAAATCAAAAAATTTTATTGACTATTTTATGTGGGACAATTACACAAACCCAAATTTAGATAATCGTAAAAATGGTTAAAAAAAGTGATCAAAATGCGTTTATTTTAATATTGGAATATTTTTTTAATTGCAATTATCATCCAAAAATTAAATATAATTTGTTTTCAGTCAAAAATATTAATATGCTCACCAGAAACTCATTATTTTTTTATGAATAAATCTATCAGTATTTTGAATTCTTTATCAAATTTTTCTTTTCAAATAATTTAATTTCTAAATCCAGTTTGTATTCCGTTGATCATATTCTGACAAAATTTCAAATTGGAATCACAGTATTTATCAACGTGATTCAAATTATTTCTTGATTCATTGCTTCTATTTGATTTCTCTGGATATTTTTTTTCAGTAACGATCATGCTCTCCACATAATCTCGATCATTTTTTGCCCCTTTTGAATATTTCGGTAGAGTCATCATTGTTATGTTAGTTGATTATCAAAGTTCTTTAAATTTATGTTCCAACTGAAATAAAAAGAAAATTTTTATCAATAATAAATGATTTGTATTGAAAATTTTCAAGTGCACAACTTTAATTTTAAATTATCCGATCTTTATAGTGGAACAAATAAAAGTTGTATTATTAAATCACCTGAATGTTTGAAAGAAAATAAAAATTAAATGAATTGTAATTTTTAAAAATAATTTTGAATTTTCGATGGATAAATGAACAAATAATTTTGTTTGTCAAATAACATTAAAAAAAAAACAATAGAAGTCGTTTGTTGATTGTCATTTCTTGGTCACTCTGTGAATATTACATATTAAGTTAAATAAATTTAAAATACTGACCATGAACTTTGAATTTTAAAAAATTTTGTAATCATAGGATTTATCTCTTTCATTTTCCAATAAGATATTTGAGCTTTAAAAATTCACTTGGTCTTTTAATTTTCAACGAAATACGTCATTAAAGTGCAATTTCAATGATTCGTTAATTTATGAGCTAAATGTCATGAGTTCGTAACGAACATTCATATTAAGTAGTCTACGTGCTAGAATACAATTAGAGTTAGATATTTAATGGAAAATAAGAATGATTGCATTTATTAAAACACACACATTTAGATACTTAATAAAAGCATATTTTAGTTAACATTTATAAAATATTCAAAGTCATTTTTTCTTCAATTTTTAAATACATACTTTTCATTCTTTCAATCATTTAGAAATTAATGTTTTTTTTTGCGTTCATGCCATACATGCGCGAAGCAATGTGACGTTTTTAACATTACTTCATAGGCATTGATGATATAATAATTATCCATGTTATTACAAATATAAAAAATAAATAAGTCATATACGAGTGTGACCCTGGAAATTTATATCAATAGCCTCTCTATATTTGATATTAATTAATAATATTATCAATAATAACAAAAACAATATCATTAACAAAATTTGGAGTTTTTTTTTTAATTTTTTTTTTTTTTAAATAATAGTTTAAACTCATTCGAGTATTCGTTGATAAACAGTTATTATCAAATTTTTAGTTATTTTATGAATGAAACAGGAATGGATATATTTTATAATTGAATTAACGAATAAATATGAATAAAATGTGTTTTACCGAATTTCATAATGATGAACTGTTAGAGTTCTAATGGCCTGATAACAATAACTTCTCATCAATAGAAAGAAATACATCAAATTTTAAAAGTTACAATCACGCGTCATTCGAATGTCTTACATTTGATGACTCGTCGGTTTTCCACTACCAAAGTTACATACACCTTTTATACATGCTTTAAGACCAGTTAAGAGTGTAGCCAAAGTCCGCAGTGTCGAAGCAGGATCCGGAAAACCGCTAGTTCTCGGTCTGGTCTTGTGGTGAATGCGTCAGTGGATTTTGTGTTGCATTTCGATCGACACTTATTCAAAATCACTATCACGCCAAATATTTTTCATCCTTTCTTATTTAAACTTTCTATTCTTAATAGTAAACATCAGAAGATGGACTTGCCGGTGAGTAATAACAATTTTCAAAACTTATATTGATTAATCGATCAAGTCATTAAGTGTTTAGAAAATTGATAACATAATTAATGCAAGAAGGAGAAAGCTTGTCAGTGAAATTTTACACTTCTTATTTCATTCACTTTATAATTCTAATACTCTTTTTTATACATAAATATTATTTTGCCAGTTTTCAATTTAATATTAATAATAATCATAATAGTGATGAGTAAAACAAACGAAATCAAATTATGAGATATTGAAAAAAAGTGTATATTTATATGATAATTTTCTTTCATTCACAAATTCTAAATTGTCTACGTGACACGAGATCAGCAAAGCACTTTACACTGGTAGAATTACTTGCAAGTCAGTTTGACGCACTTCCATTACGAAATATCTCGCATAAATCCCATCGTTTATTATTAAACATTTAGTTAATAAATTAAATATCTCATCATCAATTTACAACTCTTTCATTTTATTAACACATTGATCTACCTAATGATGAATATAACCTTGAACTACCGTCTGCATTTATTAATTTACATGATTTTGTAATTATTTATGCAGTCTGTTGACTTCAATATTCTGCATATAGATTTGAAACCATATTTTATGTTGATTCCTAAACAAAAATATGTACGTTATTTCAGTGACTAAAATATCAGAGTTTTTACTTTTGCATTCTCATTTGTTTAACAATGTTTTATTATACAATTGTTAGGTAATGACGTTTTGCTTTATATTTGAGAAGTGGCTGTTCAAAAGGTCCTATTTACATGATAAACAAATTTTATAGGAAACAATAAAAAATATTTAAATTGTTTAATGAAATATAATAATAATTGTTATTATTGTATTTAACGCAGATTAGGCTAATTGATATACATGTATCTTTTATTAAAACATTACATTAACGTTACATTTTATTAATTTTAAAAAATAAAAATTTTTTTTTTCTAGAGGGAAATAGGACCTTATAAACAGACACTCCTCATTTACATATGGATAATGATAATTTTTGTTTTTCCCACTTAAATAAATAGGTTTTCATTGGTCAAATAAAATAAAATAAACAATTAAAGTAATATATATATATATATTTTAATTAATTTGTCAGAAATTGTTCTACCTTAATAATAACTCTAATAATGTCCAACAATACTAATAATGTATCATTTATTTTTATCGATATTCATTAAACAATTACGATTACTATATTCAAACGTAGTAAATATTTATTAAGTTAAGTTTAATATATCGTTGGATAATATATTGAAATTTTTTTGGTAAAAAATGTGTGGAAAAGAAATTTTCTAAATATTTTATTGAAAACTTTCTAGTGGCGATAATTAATAAAATTGAGTGAAAGTTAACTTAGTATATTGAATTCGTACTATCTTACGTGATTTACAACGTAAGCATTAAAGATTTCTTGTTCCAAGATTATATTTAAATGCGTAATCGAATGAATTCTAGACAGCTGAAGCGTCTCAACCAAAGGCCGTAAGGATGACAAATCCACCAGTGTTAGATGGAGAAGAAAAACCCGAGTTAGCTGAATCTTTTACATCTGTCAGCTCCTTAGATGTTCTATTACTATGTGGTCTTCTTGTGTTTGCACTTTGGTATTTAATAAGAAAAAATCAACGAACGGAAAATGTTCCTGCAGCTAAATCATATTCTATACAGTAAGTTTTTGTTTGTAATAACAATTTTATCGTAATTATCATCTACTTTTAAATTATTATAATATTTTTACAGGCCTACTACATATACGGTAACAACGCCAACAGAAAATTCCTTTATAAAAAAATTAAAAACCTCTGGTCGTAGTCTAGTAGTTTTTTATGGAAGTCAGACTGGAACTGCTGAAGAATTTGCTGGGCGATTGGCTAAAGAAGGTGTTAGATACAAGATGAAAGGAATGGTAGCTGATCCTGAGGAATGCGATATGGAGGAATTAATCAATCTGAAGACGATACCAAATAGCCTTGCAGTATTTTGTTTAGCTACTTACGGTGAAGGAGATCCAACTGATAATGCAATGGAGTTTGTGGATTGGCTAAAAAATGGAGACGGAGATTTAAATGGCCTCAATTATTCTGTAAATATTATATTTTATTTATTTTAGTGGATATTTAAATTTTTCAATGAATTTAATAGACAACTATATGAATAAATTTGATAAAACATTCAAATTATACCATCACCAACTTCGTTTTTCTCCACCTATTGGCAACATGTATAACTAAATATTTTTATAGAACTCAACCTCAATTGAGTATCTGAAACACATGTTGTAATCATTTTAATGTAATTACCATTACATGATCATATCGCTCAAGTGTAGTTGAGTATTGTATAAATTAAATTCAATCACTGACGTCGTTATTATTCAAAATATGACTGTCATTAATATATTTGTTAGTTTTGTATCAATTAATATTGATGATTTATTCAAGTGTATTTTACAAAAATCTATCCATGCGGTGTTTACGTGATTCGAAAATTAACCGTAGTTGCAAACTAATTTATTAAAGTATCATGAACAATAATCATCATGAAATAAAGTTACAATGAATGTTAAATTAAATACATTCAGCCAAGTCATGCGTATTTCAATCAAACAGATTCATACAAGCGCTATTTTACGGCGATTATCAAAACTAGTTTTTCCTCATAATGTATGTTTAAAATGTCATTTTGTTCATTCAATAGTTAAAATGTTTTATCATAATATCAATATTTATAAAAGTAATTTTCAATTATTCATCAAAAAATACTAAACTGTTAAAGTTGTTTTAATTTATATTCTAATTATCATAGAAATTACATCATTGATGTTAACTTATATCTATCCGTATTTCAAAAATATTTCTTTAATTATACTCCTCTTAACTAGTAAGTAAAAAATGATTTTGCTTTTTTCTTTTAATTTTAGGTTTTTGGATTGGGTAATAAAACATATGAACATTACAATGAGGTTGCTATTTACGTTGATCATAGGTTGGAGCAACTAGGAGCTACACGTGTTTTTGAACTTGGTTTAGGAGATGATGATGCAAAGTAAGAAACTTTTTTGTAATATGTATATCAATTATTAGTTTTTCTTTAATAATTACATAAATCCATTAAATATTAAATATAAAATAAATTATTTTTTTTTTTTTTTTACATAGTATTGAAGATGATTTTATCACATGGAAAGATAAATTTTGGCCAACAGTTTGTGATTTTTTTGGTATTGAAGGAGCTGGAGAAGATGTTAGTATTAGACAATATAAACTTACCGAACACGTGGATATGCCTATTGATCGAATCTATACTGGCGAAATTGCTCGACTTCATTCCTTACAGAATCAAAGAGCGTAAGATTTTTTATACTCGTATATATTGTTATGCAAAATAATATTAAAAATTATCACGTTTAATGATTTTAATTTTAAAAAAATACATTTTTTAAATATTAAATCCTCTTTAATTAAACTAATTCGTTATTGAATGAATATAACATTTTGACATCAAATATTCAAGTGCTTATATGGTTGTTATAATCTTACAATTTTTTCTCAAGTGTTATGGATATTTTTAAACTATGTTACGGATATCCTGCATGATAACTATTTGTATAATTATTAAAACTAAAGCATTATAATAACACAAAAAAAAAACGTTTTTAATCTATTTTATTAGATTTTCATTTTACATAATTTTGATATTATTTTTTATTTTTCGTTTTCTTTTGTAGACCTTTTGACGCTAAAAATCCTTTCTTGGCTCCAGTCAAAGTTAATCGAGAACTTCATGGACCATCGTCCGATCGATCTTGTATGCATATTGAATTTGATATAGAAGGATCAAGGATGCGTTATGACGCTGGAGATCATGTAGCGGTTTATCCAGTTAATAACAGCACTTTAGTAAACAAAATAGGTGAAATTTGTGGTGTTGATCTCGATATTGTATTTACTTTAACTAATACTGATGAAGAATCAACGAAAAAACATCCATTTCCATGTCCTTGTACATACAGAACTGCTTTGACCCACTATCTTGATATCACCAGCAATCCACGAACTCACGTATTGAAAGAATTAGCTGAATACTGTAGTGATCCTGCTGATAAAGAAAAGTTAAAATTAATGGCATCGACATCTGCTGAAGGGAAAGCTCTATTCCATCAATGGATCACCGTTGAAAATAGGAATATTGTTCATATCCTTGAAGATATACCAAGTCTCAAACCCGCTCTAGATCATCTCTGTGAACTTCTTCCACGTCTTCAATGTCGTTATTACTCAATTTCCTCTTCTCCAAAACTTCACCCAACATCAATACACATCACTGCTGTTGTTGTTGAATACAAAACTCCAACTGGAAGAATAAATCAAGGTGTAACAACTACGTGGTTAAAACAAAAGCACCCTACAAATCCTCCAAGTTATGTACCAATATACGTTAGAAAATCTCAATTTAGATTACCAATACGCACAACTACTCCAATTATTATGGTTGGTCCTGGGACTGGAATTGCTCCATTTCGTGGATTTATTCAAGAACGTGATTTTGCACGCAGAGAGGGTAAAGAAGTCGGTGATACCATTTTATATTTTGGATGTAGAAGAAGTGAAGAAGATTATCTATATCGCGAAGAACTTGAAGAATATGTTAAAAATGGCACTTTAATTTTACATACTGCTTTTAGTAGAGAACAAGAAAAAAAAGTTTATGTCACACATTTGCTAGAAAAGAACATGGAAGAAATTTGGAATGTTATTGGTGATAAACATGGTCATGTTTATATTTGTGGGTAAGTTTAATCTTCAACATTATCTTTTATATCATTATAGAAAATATCATTAATAATTTATCATTGGAAAAAAAATTATTTTGTTTTTTATTTGCAAATTGTTAATTATGTAATTTTAGAGATGCTCGTAATATGGCAAGAGATGTGCACAATATTTTACTCAAAGTCGTTCAAGAAAAAGGAAAAATGACCGAAATGCAAGCAGCTGATTATATAAAGAAAATGGAATCGCAGAAACGTTATTCAACAGATGTCTGGAGTTGAACTCATTTCGATATCTTTAGATGATGTATAAAAACAGTTAGAGTGCGATAATTCTTCAAGCACCATTATACTCTGTGATTAATTAATAAAGAGTTGGTATTATCGTACAATAATGATAATAATAGAGTTTTTAAATGGAGGCGATGTTATATAAATATATATCAATTATGTATAATATATAAATACGTCCATACACCAAATTAACTGGTGTAAACTATCTTTAGTTTAATAGTTTCAATAATTGCCAAAAAATATAATTATAATTCTTCGGAAAGTTAATAATTTTAAGGTGTGATGGATTTTAAATAATAACTTTCGAAGATGTGAATATTTAAAAAAAAAACAATTACCATGCATACGGATGAATTACATCAGGAGATTACATAGCCACTCATATTATAATTATATTTTTTGCATTATTATAGGAAAAGTAACAATTAAAACACTATTATATATATATATATATTATTTGTGAAAAATAATTGTAAAATAATTTTGTCGAATTATAAATTTAATTATCGAATATTTTATTTTTTAGTTTTAGGAAAAGGGAATGTATCTTCGTAATCTAACAATTTTTATGCCAATGGTAATTCTATATAAGTAATCGATATCAACTAAAGATAATTTTTTTATCGTTATGTTATAATAACGTTTATATAATGAGTAATATAAATTTTATTATTATGTATAAAAAATTTTTCTTTAATTTTCCATAAACACAAAAATTCTAAATTACGATGGCCGATGATTCAGTATTTAGTTCTCATCATAATTACAGTAGAGTATATGTATTTTCAACTCTATTCACTTTCAACTAATTTCGTTTAAAATTAAAATTATTAGTATTATTTACATAATTATTATTAATATCACAATTGTTATTTATTATTATTTAGTTAATTATTATATTAATCATCAAAATGGTGGTTATGATGAAAATTTAAACATTATATTTATTAAAAGCAAAAAGTAAATGATTGATTAAAAATAAGCTTTGAATTGAGCCATAAAAATCCACGTCAGATATTTACAGCAGATATCAAACTAGCTGTTAGATTGAGGATTTTGCTGAAATAAATTTAGCCACTTTTTTTTTCGTTTATCAGATAAATTTGATTAAACAAATCAATATAAAAACAATTTTTCTACGAAAATTCTATTATCCCTAAATTCTACGGAAAAAATAAATTAGAATAATTTCTTAAATATTATCAGATTTCATTTTCTTGGTGTAAAATCATGATAAGCATTTGATTTAGATACAATGATATAAAGTGACACTATAAAATTGTTCAAGTATTCATTTTCTATCCATTTTCTTTGTACAAATTTTTATGTTTTAAAGTCTTAACCACTTTTTTTATTATAAAAACAATTTTTCATGCAATCAAACATTAATTTCAAGTTACATTTAGTAATATTTCATAACTTAGATGGATTATTTCTCATGCAGCCTAGGTTTAAACAATTTGCGGTCGGAAATTTCATTAAGGTTGTTTGAATTTAAAGATTAATCTATAAAAATTTCAAAAGTGATAGGTAATAATTCAAAGAAATCAAGTTCGCTTTATTAATAAATTTCACTGTTTAGTTTAGCTATAATAAATGTATAAAGTTTAGTTAAAAGTTAGGTTAAACACTAAACCCAATGGCACAAATAAATTCAGATTTCTTGTGTACAAAACGATCAAAAGTTTCATTATTTTGTATTTAATCAATTCTAATTGTCAAGTTTTATTTAATATCAAATATTGTTATTTATCTTTAAATTAAAATTTAACATACATTTTCCCTATATATAGTAGACTATACTATTGTTCGTAATCGAATAACCCTGCTTGAACATTCCTATTAAAAAAGATTAAATCCTATAGGCTTTTTTAGAATTTGAATAGGAAAAAATGCGAAATTTCTGTCCCCCACAAAATTTCTAATAGGATTATACGAATCTGAATAGGTATGAAAATGGTGATCGTAGAACCTATTGGATTCAGAACTTTCTTATTTGATTAACTGAATAGGATTATGATGATTTTGAAAGTTTGTTACCAATTCTATAGGAAACGGAGAGTTTCTATGGGAAATAAAAGAAAATATTTGAATAGGAAACTGAGTAATTGAATAGGATAATACGACTTAGAAATTTTTCAAATTATTTATCAAACCACCATAGGATTTTGCATTATTCAATAGGTTTGACTTCTCTAACATCCAATAGAAAATAAATAGATCTCAATAGGGAAATACGACTTAGAAATTATTTAAATAATTAATCAAACCTCCATAGGATTTAGCACTTTTTAATAGGTTTGACTTCTTTAACGCCTAATGGTATATGAATAGATGTCAATATCAATATGATGTTGGAAGAGTTCAATCTATTAAAAATAATGTTAAAATCTTTTGCGGCATTTAGGACTAAAGACGAATGTTTTAAGTCAGATTATCTTATTGAATCGATCAATTTCTCATTCAAATCTCTACTGTCAATTCCTATAGAAATTCTTTATTTTCTATAAAATCGCTAACTTTTTTCTAGAATTATTATAATCCTATTCAGTTCTGTCAATAGGAAAACTCTGAATTCCGTAGGTTCGTGATTTCACTGGTTGAAGCAGGATCTTGTGAGTAATGGTCCCAGAGTTTCTTATAAAAATAGTTGATTTATGAATAAGAATTATTTACCAATAAGTTCTTATTTAATCTGATGACAATAATTCTGATAGAATCAGACAGAACATCAAACGGCGTCACTTACTCATAAATTCTCATAGGATCTTACGACAAACGGTTTGATTGTTTCTTATAAAAATAGTTGATATACTGAAGAAATTGTTTACCGATAAGAATTCATTGATTTCTTACAGGAATTTTTCTAATGTTCTTCTTTTAAATAAAATAAAATTCTATCATATGACATTGGGATAAAGATATAATTTCTAAGTTGCATTTTAACTATCACATCTTTACAAATGACAAGTATTCTATTTCTGCTTTGAAATACTTGCTAGGGAACAAATTTAATTAATGTTTAAATTATTTCAAATATTTAACGCGAATAGATTAGGCGAAAGATGAGTTTCCATGTTTTAGAATAGTGCAGTCGGCAGCGTACTAGACTGTGAACCCGAGGATGCTAGGATCGAATTTCACCGTCAGCAGGATATTTTCGGATAAAGTTTTACTAACAAATTTAACTAAATGTATATATTTGCATAACAAATTCGTATAAATAAAAAACATCCAGAGCGAATGAAAATTTCCTTTTGGTTAAACTAATTTTTTTCGAGGTAAGAAGATAAATTCCGATAAAAAACCATACAAAACGCGCTTATAGATTCTAATGCAAAGCGATTAGAATATTTTTAATAATTTATTATAAATTCCGATAGAAAATGATACGAAACCTGCTTATTGATTCTTATAGTTATTTGATAAAATAAAAAATAATATGTCGCATGCAAAAATGAATTATTTCCCTTTGTAAGAAATATTTATGTTATTTTTCCTGACAAGTGCCTATAGCGGTACAGTAAAACCTCTCTTAGTTCTGTTCTCTGGCCGAATGTATGTACATATGTATTTTTTAATGAAAATGAAACAGGAACAAATTTTACACTCCCTCACAGTTTTCTCTCTGACTTATGGTCAATTTATTAACAAATTAATTACTTAGTTAGTTCTTTATATTGCAAAATATTTTATTTAAAACAAATAAAGTTTAAAAAATATCTACACATTGGAAATTTATTTACAGCCCAAATCTTCCAGGAGTTTTTCGGTATAACACTGGTGTTCCAGGCTCTCTCATTCCTGGAGTTAAAATTTCTTGCCTACAAGAAAAAAAAATTAGAAATAAATTAATAATAAATAATAATAAATTAGTTTGTCGCAAAAACTTACTTTCGAACGGAAGCTAGCTCTTTTTCTAATTGTTCCTTTGCTCTCGACTTCATTTCTTCTTCTGCCTGCTTCATTTGCTTCTCCATAAAATCAAGATGCTGCATAGCTTGTTTTCGTTTGGCACGACCACATCCTCCAGTTTCTTTAACGCTAAAAAACATTGGCCCTAGTTCAGCAAGCCAATGACCATCAACAGATGTAACACACTGCATATACTCTTTTGCAGTCATAACTAATTCGTGATAAACAACATAGTCAGGAGTAAATCCCATACCAAACAACGCTGAAGTTGGATGAAGATGACAAGGCATTCCTGTTCTACAATTAACATACTCTCCAATTCCTTTTAATCTTGCAGCTTGATGAAAATAAGCAGAACAAATGCATTTTCTAACAATATCCCAATCTGTACCACAACTTACAACTTCCATTTTTTGTTGTTTCAAAATTTCTTCCAATTGTTGTCGAACTTCTCTGACCTTTCTCATAGCCTTGGCATGAATAAAATGTTCATTACACCAAGAACTAGAATACCCATTTGATTTCCATTGATTATAAACATTAAGAAATGTTAAATGATCAGATTCTGGAACTTGGAATTTTTCCCTTGCTGAATCTGAATCTTCTTCTCTTCCTTTTGGTCTATAGAAAATTGATGGAACTGATAGCATTGATACGATAATGAGAATCTCAGATGTACAACCAAGCTGAGAAGCAACGATGAGCATCTGACATTGGGGAGGATCAAGAGGGAATTCTGCCATTTGTCTACCTAAAGGTGTTAGTCTTCCAGTATTATCTAGAGCTCCTAAAATCCATAATTGATACAATGAATTTAGAATATTATCTTGAGGAGGTGGGTCCATAAAATGAAATGCTAATAAATCTTGAACACCAAGAGATTTAAGTAAAAGAACAGTATTAGCTAAATTAGTTCTCTGAATCTCTGGAACACCTGTCTGTAAAAGTTCATCGAGATATTGTTTTCTGGTGTAAAGTCGATAACAAACTCCTGGGCCTACTCTACCAGCTCTTCCAGATCTTTGATCGGCATTAGCTCGCGATACTGGATAAACTTGAAGAGCATCCATACCAATACGAGGATTATAAACTTTCAGTTTACAATATCCAGAGTCAACTACGAAAACGATACCATCAACAGTCAGTGATGTTTCAGCAATGTTCGTAGCAACAACACATTTCCTTAAACCACCTTCTGATCGTTGAAAAATTTTTGCTTGGAGATCTGAAGGAAGTTGAGAATAAATAGGTAAAATTAATAATTCAGGAGCTGATTCAATTTCTGCTAATCTTTCGTTTAAAATTTCACATGTAACTTCGATATCTTCTTGACCTGGCATAAAAACTAAAATATCACCACTTTTCGGCTGAAGATGAATCTGAAGCACTTGTTTGACAGCGGCATCAACATAATCCTCAACCGGATTTTTTGCATGCATAATCTCAACTGGAAAAGTTCTTCCAGGTATTTCAAATGTAGCGGCATTGCCAAAGAATGCAGAAAATTTACTAGAGTCCATAGTAGCTGAAGTGACTATAAGTTTTAAATCTTGACGACCAGCAACAACATCTCTAAGAAGCCCAAAAAGAACATCAGTAGAGAGCGAACGTTCATGAGCTTCATCCATAATGATAACACTATATCGATCAAGGTCTCCGTCCCTCAAACTTTCTCTTAACAAAATACCATCAGTCATATACTTAATGACAGTATCTTTTGAAGTACAATCTTCAAATCGAATGGCATAACCAACTTTATCACCCAAAACAGAACCCATTTCATCAGAAACTCTTTTAGCAACAGACATAGCAGCAATTCTCCTTGGTTGTGTACATCCTATTACTCCATTTTGGCTATAACCTTCTTCATGTAGATACTGAGTGAGTTGAGTAGTTTTTCCGCTTCCAGTTTCTCCAACAATTATAACTACACTATTTTCTCTAATCACATTGAGAAGTTCTTGACGAACAGCAAAAACTGGAAGACTTCTTCTCTGATTTTGAATGTGTCTTTGACGAGTTTCACTAGAACTGTTCAGACCATCAATATGTTTTGCATATTTTTGTCCAGCTTTAAAATCTTTCTCTTGACCAGGAATCTCTTTATCATCATTTCTACCATCTTTAACTCCCATTATGTTTCCTATATGAGTTCCTGCTAATTCCCAATGTTTTTTTTGAGCTTTTCTTCGCTCTTTTTGTTCTCTGTAAGCACGTACTAATGCTGACCCTTTTCTAGAAACTAAAGCCATGTCAGAACTTGGATCACGGACTGGAATTACTGGTTCTGGTTGCTTTGTAAATACAATTCTTCCATCCAAAAATGGTGGTACAACATTATGAACTAATAAATGTACTCGAGTTTCCCCTTCATCATCTGGATCGTTATCATTGTCCAAAGAGCTCACAACACCTGATGTTAACATTCGATTTCTCTCCCAGAGTTCATTATCTTTATTGATTTGTCTTTGTTGTGCTGAAAGTCGTTTTTGACGTTTTGCTTCTAATTCCATTTCTTTCTTTTTTGTATAATCTTCAGGAATATTTGAAAATTGACGAGTTTCACCATCGTCTGAACCATACCACTCTCGATCAAGCCTTTGTTGTTCTTCTTCCCAATATTCTGGATCTTCTCCAGCAATCATTGGTGTTATTCCAGCTTTACGTTCTTTATTCCATGAGTTATATTTATAAGAAGGTGTAAATTCACTTCTTACACTTAATTCTTTTTGAGATCCATATATTTTTGGGGTAGGATGATCCCAACTTGATTTTTTTGGCTCTTCGTCGTCATCATCATCCCAATTACTCTTTGATGTTGAATCCTATAAAAAATATTCTAATATAAATAATTATATTTAAAAAATAAATTATACATTAAATTCATGATAAATACTTTAGTTCTGAATTTCGGAGTTTGTGGTTCATCTTTGAATTTGAGCGGTGTCTGTCGTGAACTATCACGTTTATCTCTACTTCTTACACTGTCGCTATCCCTATTCCAATATCTTCGTTCACTTCTTGAACTTTTGTCATTGTTTTTTCTTGAATTTCTTTTTAAATCATATGCATCAAGTCTTTGTCTTTTCAAACGATCATCAAATCTTCTTCGAGCATAGCTATTTACTCCACCAGTGTGTGTTGGAGTTTCTTCAACAGGTGCACGATAACTTCTCTCTTTACCATCTTTTCTTGATAAACAGGACTTAGATTTAGAAGAAGAAGAAGGTTTATTGAAATTTTCATACCGTCTTTTTTCAGCCAATTTGTCTAATCCTAATGCTGATGGCAGAGGTTTTTTAAATGTATGATCTGACGTTTTTTTTCTAATAATTAAACCACCAACATCGTCCTGAGTTGCTTCTAATTTATATATACCAGAATTTTCTTGAGATTCCATTCTGCTATAATTATGATTAATGTATCAACAATATTTATATTAAGATATTTGGCTAAAAACCATTTAGACGTTCAATGCTAGCAACAAAGTTAAAAAATACTTGAAAAATGAAACCACAGATTCATCGTTTGGAACTTGTTAATAGAATTTTCACCACAGTAAAGTGGAAAAATTTCACGCATTAATTGTGTGTTAAAAATAAAAAATTTTGTTTATAAATAAAAAATAGTTACAAACAACAAACACAACAAGAACACTATTTTCACTCCCTTTCGGAATATAGTCGGACTGAGAAGAGAGTCCCTTAGATGCTCTTCATGTGTTCTTGTACGCTTGCGCAGTAGTAAAAAACATGGTAGAAGGGGAAGAAAATCAGTAGTGGGGAGTCCAAAAGCATTGAAGCAACTGAGGAACTCTTTTTTCTTAGTTCGACTATAATAGTCACATGTTCAATATCAGGTCTCACGCGTTTATTAATTATTATAATTCTTGTTGGAAACGTAGCGTGGTGTTTATACTATAACTGTACACTCGGCGTCATTAATTCCTGGTCCATCAAAAACTTTGATACCATCCGAGCAATTATCGATGGAGTAGTCAAATAGAGATTCCACATCTAAATTAATTTAGAATGTTCATGATTAAATACTCTTTTAGATAGTCCCTATAGGGACTGACAGAAAAAATGTGATAGCTAGAAAGTATACTAGCGGCAAACACAAAATATACTCAATTTGAGTATAATTATTTTTTGATGCAAGTACATTTTATATCAAAATGAAGTTTAAAGTGTACTGTACAATCATAATAACATTAACTTGATTTCAAATTTTTCATCACTCAATCCTAATATAATATTAATTTATACCAAGAATAGCGATTACTGCATTTTTGTAAATATTTTGCTTATCTCAAGTAGGTAGATAATAAAAGAAGATTACAAAGTTTACTTCAGTTGATAATATAGTTTTCTTACACTGAGGATCTTCCTTACTTACCACAAGTGTATTTTATACGGAGATCCCGTATAAAGCGTACTTATGCTAAGTATAATGCTGTTTTACACTTCAAAAACCATGTTCTCACATTATGAATCCTTTTTTATTAATAAGAAAATACTTGTTACTTGATTCAAGTATCAAGAGACACGTTTATTTTAGTAGTGTCTCGAGCGCCAAGTATGAATAGCGGTGACGAAGGCACTACCGTGTCTCTATTCCGCTCAAATTAGCACTTTTGAGGTTACGCTCCTTTAAATTTCTAATTTCTCTGCAATGATGACATAAACTTTATTAAATAATCTTTGAAAACCCCATTGATTAGCTACGACAATAAATTGCAATTACTATTGTGTCCTCAAAATCATTTATTTGCAAAAAAAAAATTGGCCACGCCCCTTGGACCGCATTTTAAGTAAAAAGAATCTTTTTCCTTAAAAGTACGATTTTTTTTTATAAAGTTGGTACTACCATGAAGTTGCTGCATGACTATGGAAAATATTATGTTGGTAAAAAACGAAAGAATTACTGAGGCGCCAAATTATGAATGTAAATTTTTTTTGGTATAAAAAATTAATAAAATGTAATAAAGTTTTGGGGAGTGTATCAATTGGGGGGGGGGATATACCGTGTACCTATTACTTAAATAAAACAACCATCTTTCAATAAATGTTCTTTTAGCGCTGGTGAGGGAAAAATCTCAAGCTGCGAAACAAAATGTAAAGGTTATTTTATTGCAATAACAATGAAGTAAAGTACAACCAAATGAACATTGTCATTTTATAGTTCAATGTCTTTTTCCAGATATTACACATCAAAAAGAAAAAAAGAAGAAGAAGAGAAGTTGGAAAAGAAAAGAAAAGGGTTTGACAAATTATTAAAAATATTAGGAGAAAATTAAGTAGATTTAAAATCATGTTTTCATGTGTTTTTGAATTTTTTATAATTTTGAGGTACAGATAAATTTAAAAATATACTTTTTTTGGTAAATAAATAAAAAAATATAAAAAAAATAATCAATGAATATTCTACTAATCATAATGAATATACTTTATATCCAATAAATACATGTACTAGAGGATCATTGAATAAATAAACACAATGAACGGTTTGAAACTGTTTCTACTCTACCAACATTGTAAATTTACTGCTAGCACATTTCGAAAGGGGCACAAATGTTATATGACCAAAATGTTCAGGACAGTATAATTCTGGTACAAATGTCGCTCCAGTACAATAGTATAAAATTGTGTTAAAATTGTTAATAATTTTTTTCAAAATTACTTTTTATTTGAATTAAGTTTTTGGGAAAATTCTAAATATAGATTTACAGAAGAATTCAAATAGTTATTCTGTTGACTTTTGATTCACTCTCATGTGAATGCAGCATGAATCTTCTGTCTACTTACGACTTCATTCTGAACGGTCAATTTCCCCCTAAAGAAAACCAAAGTGTACAAAGTCCAGAGATTGTTATTTATTTTATAATGTTTAACGAAAATTAAGTGACTCATAAATGATAAGTAAGGTAGCTAATCTATTTTTTACATTTAATCACAATAATTAAAAATTGAACATAATAAGTATTTCTTTTCTTTTATTTGTAGGAAATTCTCATGAAAAAAGTTGATGGTGGGAATGCAATAGAAGAGAAATTGTATCCTACTAAATTGAAGAAAAAGAGAGGAGGAAAAATTTAAAGAATAGAACTAAAATTTATGTGCTCATATGAATTATTGCACTAATTGTTTTACTTACATCTCCTCACTTATTACTTTTTAGATTTTATAAGTTAAAATCAGAAAAGGCGCAAAAATCTAATATGCCGGAAAATTTAAGGTGCCGCTTCTAATTCTGAACCTGCGTGGATGTTATGCGCGACGATCGATCGTACATTCAGCGCTGTCATTATGCCGTGTCCGTATTATGCCGACCGAGTTTTTCGGTATCGAAAACGACAAATATTTATGTACATTTTAAGTTGATAGGTAATACATAGAATGTATTACCGATGGTTTGACGTTTTAAAAAAAATCGTTTTACGTTTTTTGAAAACTAATTCATGTCCTTCAATCAATAATTTTGTTTATATCTCAAGATCGGTAAAAGATAACAATTTTTTTTTTATTGAGTTGATAGTTAAATACTACCAGACTGAAGACTATTATACAGTACCGGACATAAATGCTGTGTGATTTTCTATAGGACGGTATAGAAAAATCGCCTGTAGAACCCTTAAAAAATTGAACAGCATTTATGTCTGGTACTGTACAATCTATATACAGATAGTGATGTCTGTTCTAAAATTCCATGTCGTAGTAACGGAGTCGAATAATATATATTCCATTTGTTGTACAAAAAATCATGAAATCACACCAAAAACAGCCCTAACGGACTTCACAAAAATACGCGCCAAGTATGAATAACGAAGACGATAATCATCGTTCATCAAGTGCGATCTCTATAAAACTTCTTTATGTGAACAACTACAAAAATGCATGAAATCATTGCAGCCAAGAATTTGAACATAAAGATTAATTATATTTAATAAAATAAAATAGAAATGTTTTTTAATTTTCGTTAAATTATTATGTAATTTTTTACATAAATCAAAGACAAACTCTTTATAATGAGATAAAAAAAAATTCAATACATGAAGAAAGTTCCCAGCCTTATTACGTTTTAAAATTTTAAAAATAGAAAAAAAAATTGAATTAAAAACAAAATTTCTCTTTTTTTATAAAAATTTATTTAAACACAATTAACTTGGCGTGGCTATCGATTATATGAACCATCTAATCAATTATAGTTTTATCTACAGCTGTAAGAGCCACGCCAAGTTAATTGTGTTTAAATAAATTTTTATAAAAAAAGAGAAATTTTGTTTTTAATTCAATTTTTTTTTCTATTTTTAAAATTTTAAAACGTAATAAGGCTGGGAACTTTCTTCATGTATTGAATTTTTTTTTATCTCATTATAAAGAGTTTGTCTTTGATTTATGTAAAAAATTACATAATAATTTAACGAAAATTAAAAAACATTTCTATTTTATTTTATTAAATATAATTAATCTTTATGTTCAAATACTTGGCTGCAATGATTTCATGCATTTTTGTAGTTGTTCACATAAAGAAGTTTTATAGAGATCGCACTTGATGAACGATGATTATCGTCTTCGTTATTCATACTTGGCGCGTATTTTTGTGAAGTCCGTTAGGGCTGTTTTTGGTGTGATATCAATTCTTCACTGCAAGTATATTATATACTTAAATTAAGTATACGAAGTACTCATGCTAAAATTTTTTTCTTATTAAATTTAAAAATTTCAAAATATAAATAATCATATTAATAATAAAAAAGTTACTGTTATACCCATTGGTATTGGTCAATTTAAATTAGTGACCATTACTGATGAAGTAATTTAATGATTAAATATTCAGTAATTAATAAATAGATGAAAAGTAATCTTATAATAATTACAACAATTACTGTTGTACTTTTAAATACGTGGAGCTGCTACACTTACACTGGGCAGCAGCTCGAGATATTGAAATATGCAACAATATTTGTTGCACTTATGAAAAAATTATGATTATCTCTATGAATTAATGATTATACAATCAATCATTTATTTATCATCATCAAAGGTATTATATCGAATAATTTATTTCTGAGCGCTAAGTTGGAAAATAAACACTCTATAGGCATAGTCAAATTACGTATAATTATCATAATTACCTATTCATATTAGTTTAGAATTAATTTCTAAATTTTTCCAAAAACGACATGTATTCTCTTTATTAAAAAATGTAGATTCTATAAAACTTTAAAAAAAAATCTTAATCCAACATGAATAGGTAATTATTGTAATTATGAGTAATTTTAACAACGAAAAAAGAAATTGGCTGTGACGGGGATCGAACCCTGCCCGACAAAATAAAAGTCGCGTGCTCTGACCACAGAGCTAACATTTATTTACTTACTACGTTCATGTTTATAAGTCATAAGTTGCAGGCTTGGGTACGAAGAGTGGGAATAGAGCTTGCCGGCGAAGCGCCGGAACTCGCCGCGGATTATTTCAACTGTTTTTTGCTGTTTATTATTTTTGTTTGTTAAAAAAAAATCCTACAACTAAAGTAACTATATAAATATAAATTTTTCTGCACTACTTTAATTTTTTATTACTCTTTCGTCATTGATTAGAAAAATAATTATAGAAAAAATTAAAATTGATATTGAAAATAATTTTGGCATCCAAAAATTGCAATTACATGCAATTTTAACAAAAAAAAAATTTTTTTTAAATCTTTCCGTAACTGGGTTTGAACCCTGCTCGGCAAAATAAAGCACTGGCACTCTAACCACGGAGCTAGCATATCTTCATTCAATTTCTTCGTGTTTATCATTTTAAGCTGCTTACGTGGGTATGGAGTGTGGGTATCGAGCTTTCCGGCGATGTGCTGGAACTCGTCACAAATTGTTGTAAGTGCTCTTCATGTTTTATAATTATTAAAAAACTGTTGCCTCTTTTGTAGCGACATAAAAACAAGTTTTTTCAAACTTTATAATAACTTTCTTACTCTTCCGCTATAAATTGGAAGAGTAATTAATAAAAAAAATTTTATTTAAAACTAATTTTGGCATGCTAAAATAACGCTTGTATATCATTAAAAAAAAAGAGAAAAAAAAAATTGGCTGCAGCGGGGTTTGAACTCGGCTCGGCAAATTAAAAATCTAGTGCTCTGTGTGCAGAGTTAATACATTAACTCTTCTATTGTTTATATTTATAAGTTATAAGCTACTCGCTTGGGTACGAAGGAAGGGGATAGAGCTTGCCGGCGAAGTGCCAGAACTCGCTGCCGATTGTCGTATGCCTCTCTCTTTCTACGAACATGAGCCTTTCTTACTTCTACTCATACTTTTTTATGTGCAACACATGCGCAGAAAGATGGAATGAGTAAGACTGCGACAGAAGATATAACGCTCTTTGTTACTTGTCTTAGGGCTCTGAGTAATTTTGATACGCACTGTCGTCAAAATCAATAATCATTCCATGCCTTTCAGAGACCATTGCTACGCCACCTGTCGAGAATGGAAAAAATACGATTCTGTGAATGATCACCTGAAATTTTTCTCGCGAAACTGTGTTTTATTTATTTGTTTTTTTGTTATAAAATATTTTTTTAAATATCCTGAACAATAGTATGTACATCAGAAAACAACGATTTACAGTATAGGTACAGTGGTTATTGTGAAATAAATCATTTTCTCGTTGACGGCTGATGACAGCGGTATCCGCCATGACACCTCTAAAATCTAGTGAAAAATGAGTGCATATCTTTATCTTCATTTTTAATTATGATGAAGTAATTAATGTTATTATATTGTTGTTTTCCGAGGTGAAGAATAAAATAAGCTTTCGATTAAGTCCTAAATTAACTAAATTCATCCATTTTTGACGCCGTCATTTGTAGAGAAAAATTTGCTAGGAACTTTCTAGGGGGAAATCTGTCTACAGCCCAGCCTTAATGACGCCGAGTGTATATTATAACTTAGGGAATTTTATTTTTATCTACAACACAATCATAGGTGTTTTTTTTACCCGCCACTAGAGGTGTGGTCGTAGCACTCGTGTCGCCACAGCCTAGCCTGAATGAAGCTGAGTGTAAATAAATTGTTGTCGTTTGATCAACTTACACATTGTAATATTATTAGGTTATAAATCACACTTTTCAATTAGCTTATTTATAAAAAACATATTCAAATAAAAATTTATTATAATAAATATAATAACATATCATGATGTCGCGTTCTGTGCGTGCAGAAACGAGAAGCCGTGCCAAAGATGATATAAAACGTGTTATGCAAGTTGTAGATAAGGTTCGACATTGGTAAATGATTTTTTTTCATTTATGTTATTATTCTCTATTGTATTTAAATTATTTTTCAAATCTTTTGTGAAAGTAATTCTCGAATTTCATTATAGGGAAAAAAAGTGGGTGACTATAGGAGAAACTACAATGAAAATTTACAAATGGGTTCCAATCTCTACACTCGAACAGGTTTGAATTTATATAAAATTAATGAGTTAAATTTTTGAGTAAAATTAAATTTAAAAAATTGGCTAATATTCCGTTTGATATTTATTTATTATTCAAATAACATTAATTGTATTATTATTACTTGTAAATTTGTAGAAAAAGAAAGCAAAATCTTCAGCTGATAAAGAGAATGGTTTAACTAGAAAGAATAATGTTGATTCAACTAATTCAAATTTTGGTTTAACAGAGGACTCGAATACATGTAATATAAATTTTCGTTTTTGTGTTAATTAAGAATACTGTTAAAACAATAAAAAGTAAAATAAAATAAAAACTTTTAGGTTTTTCAACAGTCAGTGATTCTCAAGGTTTAACTGATTTTTCAACTCATTTAGCATTTTCTGAAGATTCGAATTCACAAAACAGTGAACTTCCTTCGAAAGTACTTAAGGCTGACTAAATAATTAAGGTTAATTTAATTTATTTAATATATATATATATATATATATATATCTCTAAACTGGAAATATTTATGCTAATTTTAGATTATAAAAATCACTTAATTTCAATTGTCACGATGATATTTCCTATTACAATTTACAAATCAATACTTTTTATTTGTGAAGTACATTGAAATATTTAAGAGAAACTTGGATCTACTTTTATAATTTTGTCGTTAATCTAATGAATTTCTGAAAAATTTGTTGCTTTTGTTTACAAACTAATACGAGTATTAACATTTTTGTAAATAGTATTTAATATCACCTTTCTTATATTTTTGAAAATTAAAACAAGAATTATATTACCCAATAAAAAGATGTATATAAACACTATCAATATCATTAAATCACAATTGTAACGAGCGACTCAGTTTATAATAAATAATGAATATGAAAAAAATTTTTCTACCTAAAAATAACATATTTCACTTTTTTTCTAACATCTATGTATACATGAATATATTATTCATGATTATAAAAATTTTATCAAAATGGACATAAATGTCATAAGAAGCAACAACAAACTTTTTCATAAATTTAAAATTGTTCGCAGAATGTTATTATGAATATGCATACATTTGATAATTTGATACATAATGAGAATATTATATTTTAATAAATGCAATATTTTACCAACTACCAATCTATGCAGAATATTTGAAAAATATCAAGGTAAAAAATGAAAATCAACTATTCGAGTTATTTGAAGCCAAAATTTTGTTATTACTTAAAAAGACTTTTAAATTAAATATATTCTATCTTAGGTCAGTAATCAAAAAAAAAAACATTAAATACACATAAATTTTCTTAATTTAATTATATTTATAAATCAAACGTTACATTTATTTTAAAGTTAACTTTTTATTTTTAAATTCAAGTTATTTTTAAAATAGTTTTAGAGTTTTGAAAAAAGTTTTCAATTACCAAGGTAAAGTAGTACCGTCATGTTGAAGAAAACAGCCATTATCTTTTTCTGAAAGATTCATGAGTGTTTTAACCATATCACTGCAACTAGTATCAATATCTAGAGGCGCATTAGCACCTCCCATATCTGTCTTCACCCATCCTGGATGCATACAAGCTACCAAAATACCATCATTTTGTAAATCAATACTTATCGATTTAGTAGCAGCATTTAAAGCAGTTTTACTGCATCGATATGGATAAAATCCACCCATAGTATTTTCAGCAATGCTTCCAATAATTGATGTCATGTTAATAATTGCAGCCCGATCAACTCCCATGCCAGTATTTTTCTTATCAGCAGCTTTCTTCAGCAGTGGTAAAAATGCCTAATAATAAATCAAAATTAAAACTTTGAATCATTTTAATAAATTTAATAATAACTTTAATTGACTTTTTTACTTTAACAAGCATAATAGGAACGACGGTATTAACGAAAAAACATTCTGTCAGATGTTCAGCTTTAACTAGCCCAATTCTAGTAAATTTTGTAGCCATTCCAGCATTGTTGAATAATACATTAAGACCATCATCTCCGACATGTTCCTTAATTACATAAACTAGACTATCATACTCATTTAAGTTGGTCAAATCTATAAAAAAAAAACCATAAAAAATGAGTTTAGATTTTGTTTACTTCATTAATTTGATTAGTATAAATAAATTATATTTAGCAACAACTGCATAGTTAAAAAATCGATTAGAAAGTATCAATGTCATATTTCAACCTTGGTTAAATTCAGTTGTATCAATTATTTGCTAAGTCATGGATCTATGAGTAAGATTATATAATGAATGTTTTGAAATATTTTCAATAGAGAATTTACAAAGGTATAGGTTATTTATACCATTATTATTCTTATCAGTTGATTGATAAAATAATATCTCACCAGCTTTGATGATATAAATGTTCTTTGATTTTTCAGCAAGTTCTCGAAGTCTCTGCAAAAAATTAAGATTTATACACCTAATGTATTATGATTGTGGTATAATAATCACGATTACATATATTTTTATTTTATTAACATTCAATATTGTTGAAATTGTATTAACGTAAATTTTTATAACCAGGGCTAAATTTTGTTAAATTTTCTATAATCATAAAAAAATTCAAGTAATGTATTATCATTTTCTGTAACAGTTATTTGCTTAGTAATGATAATTTCACTAAAAGATGTAATATTTCATTGAATCATTTCATTAAAATTAAATAAAAGAATCACGTGATTTCTAGCAATGTGCGAATAAGAGGTAAGATGACTAATATAGAGGGCAGTTTTGACGTTTATGTATATATATATATATATATATAGATATATGTTGTAACTCGTTTGATATCGTCAGTTCAATTTCTTGTTGCGGTTAATAGAGTTGATTACCTTGTAAATCAGTATCTGATTTATTTCTCAAGTCTAAACTTATCTAAAAAATTATTTATTTAATTGCATATAACTTTTTGATATATCTAAAACAACAAAATGGCACCAGTTGGTAAGAATAGCATTTTTTTACATCTCGTTATTTGAGTATAAATAAAAAACATCATCAATTAATACTAATGATCATAAAAGAAATGTTTTCATATTCTAACGAAATAGAAAAAACAAATATTTTTTAATTTACCTCAGCCTTTGAAGGATCCCGGCATGTCGCGAAAATTTTTTCAGGGGGATTTGGGAGTTGAAGTAAATGTTGAACTAGTCCCAGTCCAAGTCCTCTATTGCAACCGGTAATCAAAATCGACCGCATCTTGACGTAAATTCTGTATAATTGATGTTAGCTTTCCGCTATAATTCTTTGAGATACAATTCTAAACTGATTATTTGAAGGTCACAATTAAGTTTATATAAGCTTGATGCTGGATAATTATTGAATAGTAAATATTGCACATGTTTTTATATAAACGTGAATGCACAGATAGCTTATTCGCTATGTCATAAAGTGACGTCATGATCATTTTAAATTTTCAACGTGTGTGCAAGTGATCATGGCGACGTTCAGACTCTTCTCGCGTCTTCAAACTTTTCGAATTAGCTCCATCGTATTTTTCAAATTCCGACAGACAAAACAAAATCATACAAGTAACAAAATTCTTTCAGCATGGTTTTGTAGTGAGTGACAATAAATTTGATAATTGACAATCTTCTTTTGTTTTTTTTTTAATGGGCAAAAAAGTTTTTGTTTGTCAGAAGAGCTAAAATTGTAATACTCTTAACCTCACATTATTTTTCACAGGTGATTCAAAAAATCAATATAATTTAATTGTAATTGGCGGTGGATCTGGAGGTTTAGCGGCTGCCAAAGAAGCTGTTGAACTCGGTGCTAAGGTAGCCGTTCTTGATTTTGTTACTCCATCGCCGAGAGGAACAAAATGGGGACTTGGAGGTACCTGTGTAAATGTTGGATGTATTCCCAAAAAATTAATGCATCAAGCTGCTCTTCTTGGGGAAGCTATTCATGAAGCAGTTGCTTTTGGATGGCAATTACCTGAACCAAAAAGCATTATCAATGATTGGGAAACTTTAAGAACTGCAGTACAAAATCATATTAAATCAGTAAACTGGGTGACTAGAGTGGAACTCAGAAACAAGAAAGTCGAATACCTTAATGCCTTAGGGTATTTTAAAGATACTAATACCGTAGTGGGAGTGATGAAAAATGGCGAAGAGAAAGTTTTAACTGCTGACAATATTTTAATTGCTGTCGGCGGTCGTCCAAGATATCCAGATATTCCTGGTGCCGTTGAGTACGGTATTACCAGTGATGATATTTTCAGTCTTGAACATGCTCCAGGAAAAACTTTAGTGATTGGAGCTGGATACATTGGTCTAGAATGTGCAGGCTTTTTGAACGGTCTTGGGTATGACGCAACAATTATGGTAAGATCAGTAGTTTTACGAGGATTTGATCAACAAATGGCAAATCTAATTGCGGAAGAAATGGAGCAACGTGGAGTTCATTTTATTTATCAAGCTAAGCCTAAAAAAATTGAGAAACAAGAAGATGGCCGATTACTTGTTCATTATATTGATAAAAATGGAAAAATGCATCAAGATATCTATGATACTGTTTTGTTTGCTATTGGTAGACAAGCTTTAACTCAACAATTAAAATTAGAAAATGCTGGTGTTACAGTTGTTCCTGAAACATTAAAGATAGCTGCAGAAAATGAACAAACTAACGTTCCTAATATTTATGCCGTAGGCGATGTTCTGCATGTAAGTTTAATTTTATTATTAAATCAATGAATTTGTGAATATAATATTAAGCCAATCGATTTGTTTTTTTTTTAGAAAAGACCAGAATTGACTCCAGTAGCAATTCATGCTGGTAAACTCTTAGCCAAGAGGCTTTTTGGAAATTCAACAGAAAAAATGGATTACACTAATGTAGCTACAACTGTATTTAGCCCATTAGAGTATGGGTGTGTTGGTTTGAGTGAAGAACAAGCAATTGCAATGTACGGAGAAGACAACATTGAAATTTATCATGCATTCTATAAACCTACAGAATTCTTTATTCCTCAAAAAAATATGTCTCATTGTTATGTAAAAGTGATCAGTATGAGAAATACAGAACAACGAGTGCTTGGAATGCATTTTATTGGCCCTCATGCTGGTGAAGTAATTCAGGGATTTTCTGCCGCTATGAAATGTAAACTAACATTTCCAGCTTTGAAATCTACTGTTGGAATTCATCCTACTACTGCCGAAGAGTTTACTCGAATATTTATTACAAAAAGATCAGGAGTAGATCCAACTCCTCAAAGTTGTTGCAGTTAGAATATATGAAATGATTGAAAAAATTGTTCAAGGTTACTTTTTAATAGAATAAGTCTCTGAAAAGATAATTTAGGCTGTTTATTAATTTGTATCTTCAATACAGAAGATATACTTGTATTATTTTTATATTCAACTTCAAGAAATAATTAAAAATACGATGAACAAAAAGTTGGCCTTACATTTTTGTTAACAACTATTATTATGAATATTAATAAAAAGAATTGATAAAATGGATGTCATTGTGAGAGTAATTTATTAAAAAAATAGACTTAAGGGTATTTGCTTTTACGTCAAGTTAGTTATATTATTTTTTATGCTTATTTTTTGTTTAAATTTCTCGTAATATTAGTATTATACAAGATCTTTTACAGACATCTTACTATTGATGTATCTTTTAAAAATCATATCAGCTTAAAGGTAAAACAATCATCAATTATATTTTGTAGCAGTTTTTTTACAACTTTCATTGTTTAGCTATTTTAACTATTACCACAAAAAAGTTTACTAATTATATAGATAGAATATATATATATATATATATATGTACATTAAAATAGATAAAAAAAAGCATCAAATAGAGAGGATTAATTTTGAAGAAGGCATAAACACTGCCAGCAGTGTGGGAAGGTGTGAAAGTAATAAATATTCATTTAGTTATTTAAATTAAAACAATTGAATATTTTTTGACATTTTTATGAATTAATGTAATGAGTAAGAAAATGAAAGAAAAAGGATTATCTTTTTTCTATTTTAATTTTTTTACACGAGACAAAACTTACTCATTATCGTCGAATAATAAACTCTATTTAAATCATTAATATTTACACATATTTACAAACATTTTTACTTATACTGAAAGAATTTATTTTTATTAAAACATATAATCACTGTGCATATCAGTACGTTTTATTTGTTGTTCATTATTATACTTTTTCTTGCACTAATCAAAATGATGCAAATATAATAATCCTGAACTCATGAACAATATTTTAAGACACAAGTCATGTCTAAATAAAAAAGAAACATCTTGAATTGTCTTTAGTCATATAGATTTCATTAAAATTCATTACTTATTGATGGAGAACATTATTCATAGCATTCATTCTCCGGTAAACTGGAATCTTTAATTCTACAATTAGGGCAGTACCATTTACCTTTCGGTGGTACCATAATTCCAACACATTCAAAGTGAAACCATTCGATTTGGCAATTTTCACCATCGCATGCAATCATTTCTGATACTTCATCATATGGACACTGACAAAAACAATAGAGGTTTGTTGATCGAGCTGATGGACCTGATGGACCTGATGGTGCAGAATAATTCTCTGGAAAATTTGATTGAGTTGAATTCATTACTTGTTCACTTTCAGATACATTGGAATCACTACTAGAATCTACTGGTTCTTCAGAGTCTGTTACAGAAGGTGCAGGCGCTAAAGCTGATTCAGGAATACTCGACGGCGGAGAATCAATTTTAGGTTGAATCATAGGAGATGGTGGTGGTCCGAAATTCTGTTTTATTGTAATATTTGGAACATAAGGGATAACTGGAATTTGGTTCTCAACTTTTCTCCACTTCTGAGTCACATGGTGAGACTGCCGTTGTTCTTCATCACTTGAATCCCCATAAAATTTTTTTGGTATTCGTTTTCTTTTTGAAGATCTTTTACTTTCATTAGTATTATTTATACTTTTATTTTCATTTCCAAGTAATGTGGAGCTCATCGATTGATTAATTGCACTAGAATTTGACTGAGTAACTTGATAATTAGCAGAATAAACTTTGTCATTAACTTGAGCAGTATTGATATTGGGAGATGATGTATAAGTTGGTTTATTTTGATATAAAAACTTTGGAATGTTTAATTTAATTGACTCAGTAGCCTGTTGTTGTTTATTTGTAGATCCAGGAGGCCGTCCTCTTCCTCTTCCTCTGCCTTCATCACCTTTCTTTCGTCTTTTAGTTCTAACTTTACGCTTATTAATCTGTTTAGAAGGCAATGAAGGTGTTGATGTTGCTAGAGAATTAGTTTCAAGATTAGAAGCCTCTATAATTCCATTTTTAGTATCATCTGAAGCAGATTTAAAATTTGAATCATCTATAGGCGGATCTACAACGGCTAACAACATCAATTGATTTCTTTTTTCTGCTAAAAGTTTGTTAGCATGCTGTTGAGGATATTCATCATAAAAATCCTCATCAGTTTCTGTTTCTGTCGTTTCTAAATCAGACTCTTTAAGAGATATATTAACAGAAACAGTTTTTTCAACTTCTTCATTGACACAAATAGTAGACTCAGTAAGTGCTTCTTCATTTGATCTTACTTCATTTTCAGTTTGAACATCATCTTGAAAAACGGATGTTCCGTCTTTATTTTTGTTTTTTTTAGCATCTCGTTCTTTTTTTCTATTTTTTTTTGTAATTGATTGTTTTTTTGGTGAATTTTCGGACATCGAACTATCAGAATCTGAACTACTACTTGAAGATGAGGAACTTTCTGAAGATGAACTACTACAACTGCAATTAGTACCACAGGAGCAACTACTTGAATCACTATCACTAGAAGAATCACTTGAAGATGAACTGCCGATGCCATCATTTTGTTGTTTCTTTTTTTTTGCGGATTTCATTCTCTTTTTAGTATCATTTTCACTGTTATTTGTAGAATTAATTAATGTAGAACTTTCAGTTTCTTTTGTTTCAATATTTTGTGATTCTGCAGGTGTTTCTTTTTCTTTCAAGTCATTTGTATAAATGACACAATAATCATGCTCAGCTATGATAAGTTTTAAAAGTTCTTCTTTTGCTATTGAGTTTTCTTCAATCTTTTCAAAAGATTCTTTAGACTCTAAACTTGCCTTATAAGATTTAAAATTATTCCAGATTCCGTTCATGATTACAACTTCTTCTTTTTTCTGTTCATCATTATCTTCATCATTTTCGCGTGTATTATCATTAAATTCAGATACTACAGTTTCTTCAACAATTTCTTCAGAATTCTCTTCAATACCATCATTTTTTTCATCATTATCTTTTATTTCACTCCCGTCTTTTGGTTTTCCTTCATTTTCTTTCTTTCTTTTCTGTACTTCTTCTTCAGTATCGGAATCACTATCTGAAGATAAATTTAAAGGAGGTAAATCGTAAACGTCTACAACCTTTTTAATCGGTTCTTTGGAAACATTTAGATCATTTAAAATATCTGTTTCAATAGTTTCGCTTACTTCAGTAACTGTATTGGATTCAATATTAACTGATAATTCTTGCAAATTTTCTGGAATTTCTAGAGGAATTTCTGCCTGTGGTTTATGGCTTTCTTCATGTTTAATAGCTAATTTTTTAGATATAAATCTTTCTGAACATTCTGCACATCCATAAGGAAGATCTCCAGAATGTAATCTTTTATGTACTTTTAATGCAACAGCTCGTGAAAATGTTGATCCACATTCTTCGCAAACAAATGAATTTGGAGGTATACAAAAATGATAAACATGTGGCCATTTCTTCTGTAGACATTTTTTACAAAGAACACTCTCCGTTCCATGCTTCCAAAAGAGATGTTTAGTAATATCAGGCTTATTTCTATATGCAATTCCACATCTGTAACAAAGATGATGAAGTTTGTGTTTCCAAACATGGTTTGAAAGTTTTTGTTGATTCCCTGTTGATTCCAAACACACATCACAAGCATGATGTCGTTTTCTTAAATGAACCATTAATCTAAATGCTGATGGAAGACTTTCTATTGTACACATACAGCAACGATATCGAATATTAACATTAGACGCATAAACTCCAGGACAAAGATGACATAGAAGCTCACTGTGATTATAAAAGGTTGATTTACACATTATGCAAATAAGAATTGTCTTCTGATGCATCTTTCTGTTGTGAAGATAAAGTTCTTTGTAAACGGTATAATAAATTCGACAAAGATAACACTCATACGTCCTCACCGTAGGTACATCGTAAGTTCCACGGATAGTGTCATAGCTATCTAAATTGAAGTATTGAGATTCCAGCTCATCTAAAGACTTTTTTACTCTTGAAATGAATTGTTCTTGTTGAATTATAATTGCTGGATGTTGAGGTTGAAATCGATGTTCCGCTAACATATGTAAAGCAAGCTGTTTTCCATGTACTGCTATGTGTCTTGCGTGATTACAATATACACATGTTGGACTTGCAGCTTCGATACATCTCTTTAAAATATCATCAATTTCCATACTGTCTAAAGTACCTGCTACATTCAAATCTATACTAGATACATCATTAGTTGCTAAAATAATTCCATCAGAATCTGCTTGTATTACTTCCAATTTTTTTTCTGTTTCTTTAAGGTCATAAATTGAAGTTTCTGGTAGATTATTTTTTACATCTACAACAGAATCGGAAAATGCATTTATGTCTGCAAGTTCACCAAGATTTATTACTGGTTCTGTTGTTGCTAGAACTTCAGTTTTTTCTATATTTGCCGGTTCTATCGTATTTTCATCAATTTTTTTCGTTCCTACAGGCTTATCAACATTTATAGATGTTTCTTTTATTTTTTCTTCTTCAGATTTAGAATCAGATATAGCCACAGTTAATCTCCCACTATCCGAGTAACTTCCTTGATCATTTATTGAAGTATCTTTTTCTGCTTCTGTATCGCCAGTTTTGTCATTTTCTTCATTAGACTCAATATCTTCATCTTCGTCATCATTAACTTCATTATTCGTGTAAGTTCCATTAGCATTAGGAGTCTGTACAGAAAATTGTGAATTTTTATTTGCACAAATTTTAATTACTAGGCTCCTAGAATTATTTGAATTTACTCTAGTAACAGAATGAGATGGAGATTCTTCGGCAGGCGAAGTAATTTCTTTTTCTTCAATTAACTCTGATATATTAGACGGTGATTTATGAATAGGACTTTCAATACAAATCGGACTAGTTGGAGGTGAGTTTCCTGAAGAATCTTCTTTTCCGTCATCAAGAATCAATTCTCCTTGTTCACCTTCTTCTAGACTGTCATCTAAATTATTTAATCGATCATCTTCTCTATTTTTATTATCATCATGATAATTCCAAAAATTACTAGATTTCGATGTTTCTTTAAATGTTTCTGAATATTTACAGTACGGTTTTTCAGAAAGTGGTGATTTTACACTTTGTCGATCTTTAAGATTTTCTGAAAGTATTAGTCTACTTTCTTCGACTTTAACTCCATATTTAGATGTTTGTATTACATTTTCTGTAATTTTATCCTTTGAAGATCGCCTTCTTGACTCTATTTCATCATCTCTATCAACTGAAGGATGACTAATTTTGAAATGTGCTTTTCTTTCATATAAATTAGAAAATTTTCTTTGATACGATGATAAAAGTATTTTTTCATTATGCTTAAGTTTAGCTTTTCCGGCATTGAGTAATTTTTTCGCAACAGCATTTGCTGGATTTGGAAGTAAAGTTCTTTCAGAATCACTAGTATGTATCCTTTCAATTGTATTTTGTTGCTCTAATGATGAATTTAAACTACATGATGACAAATGTGTTCCAGTTTGTCTACATACTGAACAAATTTCAGATGTTCGTGTATTTGGTGAATTACAATTATGATTGGAGAAATTATCAGTCTCTGAGAAAACTTTTTCACACGTGCAACAAATAAGATAACAAGAGTCTTTGAAAACTGTATAAAAATCTTCTATTGAAGTATAACATGTTTCTGGAACACTGTGTTTTTTTGAGAGATGATAAGACAATCTTTCAGCTTGGCCAAACATTCCAAGACAAAAAAGACAAATGTGACGTTTATGAATTTCTCTCATATGTAAAAAGAGATTCCAATTTTCAAAATACGTTCCACAAGCTGAACAAAGGTAAACTTTTCTTGTAATATGGAAATTATTCGTATTAGGAGAAGATATATTAGTTGAATTTTGATCAGAAGGCCCTGGTGGTGTATTAGAATTAGGGTTAGCTGCACCTAAACAAACACACTGATGTTGTTTCAACATTGATGGCGACCGAAATGACACTGTTGGATGGCACGTTGGGCACTTATACTTGCCAGCAGGTTGTAATCCAAGATACTGTGCATATTCAGTTATTTTACCACGTTTTCCTTCAATACTTTTATCTTTAGAAGCTTTTAATGTCGTCATTGGATATGATTCCTGCATAATTTGCTCAGGCATTTGATTTTCTTGTGTCTGGGCAAGAATTCGTTTTTTAAAACCTTTAAATATAACCTTTAAATTAGATAGTCTGTCTTCCGATGTTTCTTGTTTATTTTCTTCGATACCGTCGATATAGTCGTTCATATTGGTTGCTTTTTTCAATGTCTCACCAATATATGAACTATCTTTGTATGGCGATTGGTCAGGAATAGACCAGGAATTAATGTTCGAACCTTCTCCATCCTCATCTTCCATAATAGTTCCGATAGCGACGATGGCTTTATCTGTAATAGCATCACTCAATTACTATTTTACAATCGTTTACTTTTTTTCAATAAAGATCTACCACATTTCACGGAAACTGAATGATGATTATAAAGCAAAAGTAATTTTGAAAAATTAAATTATGGATATAATTAATTATAAATTAAATGATTGAAAAATTATTATAAAAATTTCATAAAATCATTGAACAAGAAAGCACCCGGAGGAGCTTAGAATCACGCACTCTAAATGATACAACACAAGCATTATAACACATACCTCGAATAATAAATGATCACGAAACAATATTCTACGAATAACGACAATAATTTTTATTATCACTGTGAAACTAAATAATTTATTTCCGGCAATCCTCCAATTTATCAAAAGTGCACTCCAAGTTTCTCAGACTGTTTCGATGCAACCCGCGCCGAAAAGGTTAGTAAAATGGCGTCATATCCCCACGGTATGACAAACGAGATCGAAAACTAGGGACCACTAAAGATTCACAGAGTAAGCGAATAAGTAGCAATAGTTTAAACTAAAAATTAAAAAAAAACACAGTTTTGACTCTCTATTTTATAAATTGATAATGTAAAGAATATAAAAATTACGCCATCTCTTGATGATTAATTTTAACTGATTTTTATAGCCAGTAATCTCTGTATGTATTTCTTCAATATTTTTTTAACATTCATAATAAATTCAATTATTTAATCAGAAAGGTATTAAATTATTTTCGAAAATTTTTTTCTAATTTACTTTCGACTATTAAAATCTTTAGATGATAAATTGAAAAAACTCTCTCTGATAATAAACATCTATAGTGTATGTACATATATTAAATATACATACATAAAAATTTCAATACACTTTAGATCGATAAAACCTTTAATATGTTAAACGCCATCTATAATGATGAAACAAAGGTTATATTTCTTCATAACAAAAAAATGACGCGAACATTTTTTTCATTCATAAAAGCAATAACGAAAGAAAGAATTTGAGACAAATAAATCCGCCCACCCCCCATAATTTCGCATGATGATAATTTAGCTGTATTATGAACTATTAAGTTAAATTTTATAAAAGATACGTTATTCAATTATTAAATATTAATCATAAAATAATTTAATATGTTTAAAAAACTATAAAAAAATTAATGATATTCGTGCTGTTGTTCTACGCAGTGTTGTTATGCATTAGTTTCTAATATCTATAGTCTTAATTAAACAAAATTTTTAAATAAAACAATAAAAATGCTTCAGCTCTTATTATTCATAAAGTGCTAGTTTCATTACTAAGAATTCACTCTATTCATGGTAAGATAATGCACGTAATTTTTATCATAATTTGTTTCCTTTACTTTATAGTGTTCTCAGAAAATGCTTAACATTATTTTTTCAATCTCGTCATGATTGATAATTGAACATTATTTAATGCTTGGATTATTTCTTGATTTTTATAGGCGTTTCGTATGATGTCAGCAATAGTAACAGGAACTCAAATTACAACAGAATCTAATAATGAACCTAATCATGCAAATGATAGGGCAAAACTTCAAGAAAATCTTTTAGCGGCAGCTAAATTATGTCATGTAAGATTTGGAGGTCGAATGGAATTAGCCACTGAAAGTGATCAATGTGTCTCAAAACTCTGTCATGCTTTTGAATCAATATTTTGTCATGGATTACGATCTAAACCGATTGATAAATTTAATTCGGCATTAAGGTAGGTAATAATCATTTAACAAATTGTAATTACCAACTGTTAATCGTTCAATGTAACTTCAATATTATTATTATTATTATTATTATTATTATTATATAGACACGTATCGGATTTAGTTTCTGGAGTAACGACCAAAAACGATGCAGCTTTTTGGCCTTGTATAAAAGAGCAATGTACATGGCATGAGCAAGAAAGATTCAGTGTTCTCAGGCATGTTCAAACGGATTATGGACGTGGGCGTGCATGGTTGAGAGCTGCATTAAATGAACGATCTTTAGAGCGTCATCTGCATGCGATTATTAATATTAGTACCTTAATAGTTTTTTATGAAGATTGGGCTTTTTTGATGGATCAAGAAAAGAGTTCAGTGCTTCCTAATATTGCTGCAGGACTTGGAACAATTGTATTTGCAATTAGGATTGATAATGAAGAATTGGATGATCGATCTGAAAACAGAGAAGTTGGGAAGTTTTTAGCTTCACAATCAGAACCAATTATTTCTTCAGGATTAGAATCAAATGTAATACGTGAAAAAAGGAAGAAAGTTCCAGCTCAAATAATATCTTTTGATAATGATGAAGAAGATGATAAAATATTAGATAATAAAACGACAGCATCAATGAGTGCTCCACCTACTTGTTCAAATTCTCCTTCCACAATTATCAATAAAGATTCTATATCTCCATTTGAACCCACATCGCTAAATATTTTAGAAGCCCGGGATTCTAATGATGTAACTTCAGATGTTCAATCTAATAATTTTGAAAGAAGTGATTCTTTAGAGGAAGAAAGAGTTTTAACTCCGTTAACTGATGTTGGGAATATCGGAGGGTTAGTTCCAGTGTCTCCACTAGATCAAACACTTAATGATATGCTGGTAACTCTTCCTAATTATATAGATGATGAATCTGAAATTACAGAGAATGCTATTGAAGCTACAGAACCTTTAGCTGGTTTAGATTCTCATATAGATGCTGATCAATTAGACATTAATGCTCTTCGAGTTCGACTTTTAGCAATGAGTGAAGTTCTAGAACAAGCTAAAGAAGATGCTGTTACTAGTAGATTACAATTAGCACGATTCCAAAGACAGCATCAAAATTATTTAGAGCGCCATGAGGTTCAATTGCAGGCATTGAACAGAGAAAATGAGTTACTAAGACAGCAATTACGGAAATATGTCACTGCTGTACAGATGTTAAAAAGAGATTCAGATAATGCTATGGTTTCAGAAGAAGAACAATCGAGAGATTATCATAATGAAGCTCAACAGTACCAAGAAAAACTAGTTCAAGTAGCTGAAATGCATGCAGAGCTCATGGAATTCAATGCCAGATTAACTATGCAATTAACCAATCGTGATATATTAGTTAAAAGACTGCAAACAGAATTAGAATGTTTACGAGGACCTTTGAATGAAGAAGATATGCCTGCTGAACCACCTTGTCTTATTCACATCTGGATTCCATCGGCGTTTCTCACTGGACAATTATCAGATATTCATCATGTTTATCAGGTATTTATCCAATTTAATATAGTATAAAAATTAATTTTTAAACATGATTTTGTTGATATTAACAATATAAAATAATTGTTGTAGATATACATTCGCATTAGAGATGTTGAATGGAATATTTACCGTCGTTATGCTCAATTTTACGCTCTCTATAGAGAATTAAAGAAACATGATACTATTGTTACAACTTTTGAATTTCCTCCGAAAAAAACTATAGGAAATAAAGATGCTAAATTTGTTGAAGAACGAAGGCAAAAACTTCAACAGTGGTTGAGAAGAATCGTTGGTAGATTAGCACATTGTTCTCCTGCATTTACTTTGCGACCAACTAAGCATACATTAATATCTCTTATACCATTTTTTGGGTAAGATTAATTTTTTTTAGAAAAATTTAAATTATGCCTACATAATAGTCTTTAACTTCTATATGAAAATTAATTAAAATATCTTAAATGTTTTAGTGATTATGTAAATAATGAAACAGCTAAAAGGAAAAGTTCAGGAAGAAATAATTTATCATCTTCACCGCAGTACATGGGTTTATAACTCAAAATATTATTGCTGTTAAATGTATATAAACGAATTGAAATTTAATTTATAAAATGAAATTTTTTAAATTAACAAATTTTAATTTGAATAATATTTTATTTTGAAAAGCTATAAGTTTTCAATGAGATACACTAATTAATTTTTGTTATTAGATACAAATGTAATGATTCAATATAAAAATTGTTACTAATGTATTACAGAAATTTGCTGTACTTTATATCATGATTGTTAATGTAATTTGTACAGTATTATTTCTTAATATTTATTATAATCGGTTGATAAAAATTGACTCTATGCATGAATGTTAGCATAAAAAAATTCATATATGTTAATAATAATTATTAAAGGCTGGCCTTTCATATATAAAGATTCATTAATTGATGTGTTAATTGGCACTATTTTTAATGTAAATAGTAATATACTTTCTTATGATATTAATTAGAAAGTAAGTAAAAATAAGGAAATGAAAAACGTCCAAGTGAATGTGATGTTGATAAATTTTAAAAAATTTTATTTATGTAAGGCGACTTAACAGTAATATAAAAAGGTACACTTCTTTCATACTTATACTTTATGATAAAAATAAAAGTGCATATTATTATTGGAACAAGTACATACAACTTTAGGCTGATAAATAATACAAGGAATTATTTTTTTATAAAAACGATACGTCTAGCCATTTACGCAGATGAGTTGTTTATTTCTTTTTTCATTATTTATGTATTACATTATTATTTTTTTTTTGTTTTCAAATTATTGTAGAAAGAATAAACCAAAATAAAGCGGGAAGAAATTATGTGAGATCAGTATTTAATCCTAAAGCTAAAAAAACATTAACAAATTGACCTTAAATAATAGTAAAAATTATTTTTTTTATTTATTCATAAATGTAAAAAGATATATTAAGTAAATAAAATTAAAACAAATTAACCACAGTTGTATTGAAAATTGTAACAACTATTCCTTTCCATATTGCGATAATTAATAGTATTAATTACCAAGGTGTGTTAATAATTGTTTTCTTTCATGTTATCATTCATGAACCATTTCAAGTAATAAGTCAACTGTATATTATTTTGTATAAGTATACGTTTAAAAAAGAAACTTATATTTATTCATAAGGTGGATCGATATTGTATAAACTAATAATATTTGAATTAAAATAAGAATAATAATAATTTAAACTATACATATTATAACTTATTTATATGCGGGAGTAATGAAATAAAAAAAAAGATGAATAAAGATATAGCAAAAAGTATAAATTCTTATTTGGGGAAAGATAGATTAAAAGAGAGACTATTTCTTGTACATGAATTCTATACAAAGCACAAACACACCTAGGTCAGAATGTTTTTATCGCATGAAATACATATTTTATACAGTACAAAATTTAAAATTACTTTACTATTTTCTTTTGTTTTTTTTTTTCTTGTCATTAGTGATAATTAATTGTTAATCAAGACTACATGTACTTATGAACTTGTTTCTTACTTAATAGTTATTTTATTTTGTTTCTTCACGGCTTCACGTTTGTTATAAATTAACTAATGAAGATGAATTTTAAATTACTCACTGTTTTAAACGACTCTTTAATTCTTTTGTTAAATTTAAATTAAAAATCAAAATTGTTTGCTTGACGTACTTGTATTCAAGTTATCAGTGCAATGACAAACATTGATCTTTGAGCTATTAACTCTATTTTTCATTAGTTAAAATATATGTAAAAGAATATGAATAAATCACTTCATATAGAGATAATTAATATAAAAAAAAAGAAACAAGCTGCTTAATCAGTTTGACCAGTCTATCGTTTACATTACAGCGACAGGTCTAATATTCATTAGAATATTTTTTAATTAATGAAGCCACTTCAGATCCAAATGCAATCACTTTTAATACTGCCATGACAGCAATGGTTTTTTTCTAAACTATTTTTTAAATAATTATTCATTATTACTATTATTCATTATTATTGTTATTATTATTATAATTATTATTATCATTTTTATTACTTCTTGTGTCAGTACCGTTAAAATGTTTTGCACAGGAGTAATAAATGTCGAAATGACAAATGAGCTCATTACTATCCTTAGTCAACTACTTTCTGGACTGCAGAATGTTTTTTTATGATTCATTGTATGTTTTTTTTACAATTAATTATTAATTTTCAAGATTGGCTATTATTTAAGGTTAATTTAGCCCTGGGACTGAAGCTTCCAATTATAATCTTAAAATATCTTCAGTTTTGTCAAAATATTATTTATTATTATTATTATTATTATTATTATTATTATTATTATTATTATTATTATTGTTTATGTTTATTATCGTAAGATTGATTTTACTAATCTTACAAGTCCTAAGGTTAAATAAATTTATAATTGACTTAATCACTTTGCCATTTTCTGAAACCTGCTCAGATGGATTTTTTTTAGATATGTTAAGAATGTACCGAACAGTAAAATCATTTTCATTATTTCAATATTTTTTAAATTTTTCACACGAAAATTTAGTTACTAAGAAATAGTGATTATACCTAAACTCGATAATAGGTAATTAATAAAAGGAATCTTTATAATCGTAATTTACTTGAGAAACGATTTTTTGGATGTATCCAAATAACAGGTAATCATTCAGCAGTCTTTGCTTACTGTTTAATTTTTGGAATTGACCAAAAAACGTTAACAATTTAATATTGATAACACATTATGCAACTACACGAAGGTTATTTGTAGAAATTAATTTTAATTTTTTCCTCTTTGATTTGTTTCATTTTTTTTTTAAGAAAATCATTTTTTTAATCTTCTTATTTACGTATAAATAAAATGTATAATTAATTTTCTAGTCAATTTATCGGGCATCCAATCATGAAATTAATCGAAGTGTTAATATAACTTTTTATTAATTAATAATTTAACCTTCGTGTGGAAATGACAGCACACCATGCTACGCACATCCTAAGGCATAAACTTGCTAGTGAGCTGGATAAAAAGAGAGCATAGACCAGTGTGCCAGGTACTTATGTGTTAATGTTTCCAATATTATTTTTATTTATTTTGTATGTAATAAAATTATTTGTTCAAGTACGAGGTAACATGAATCTTAATAAGTAAAAGCTAATCATAAGAATAACGTTTACGTGTTTTTTCAATTATTTACTGAATAAGAAGTAACTTTTTTAGTATTTACCATTAATAAATGATGACAGTAATCTTGTGGATGTACTTTAAATTTTTATCGCCAAAGGAAAAAATTAAAACCGAACCTCATATCAATATCATTTATTCAAAAGTTAAAATAAACAAGACAAAAAGCAAGAAAGTTACTTATGTTTTAATATATTTTAATTCTTATAATAAACGTTATTCATTCAATGATTGCTTAAAATAAAAACGTATAACATTATTTCAAACACATATACATTGAGATCCACAGTAATTTCATAATTATTATGAAAGTTGAAAAAAATTAATTTTGAGAGAAAAAAAGTTTTTTTTAACAAAGTCGTATTTTATTTTATAGATAATTATAACCTTAACATTAAATATTAAAGTAAGTGATGATTCGAGATAAATTAATTGCACAGTTAAAGCATTGAAATTGCATTGTTTGTATTCTCGAGGTTATCAAAATTAATATCATTATTAGTATACATTAGATGTATCAATTTAGAATACAAAATTTTTATTGGTTGTTAAAAATACATTTCTTTTTTCTCTCAATGGAATAAAATTATTTCGATCGAATTAGAAAACCTTTTCACACACATTTGATACCACACTGGTCATTATTCACATATCAATTAGTAGTTTAATAATATTGTCTGTTTACTCGTTTGCGATTACAGTAGTAAATTAAGTTTATCTCGCCGTACATCCATTGACCTGTCATTGCATATTTTTGTTTACTTTTTTTTCATTTAATCAATTGTACATGTTCAGTTTTTTTTCTTTTTTGTAATAATAAAAATCTAATATAATACAAATAGCGAATATAATCATACAACCCTATGGTTGTTGTATAAAAATTATTCATTCTGTATGAATTGTAAATAATTTATTTCATTGGCCCCTTAAGGAGAATTTTAAATAAAATATTGCCTTTTTAAATAATTTTATATAAATTTTCAAGACAAAATGATTTTATTAACGTCTTTTTTTCATTTCACTATTTATTTTAATCAATTAAATTAATACCATAGGGATGCGTTCCTTCGCTACTCGTAAATTATTTTCTAATATTTAAAGAATATGTTTTATTCAAAACAAATAATAATAATAATAATACAAAATGTTAAAAAACTTGTCAACGAGTGATTGATTCGTGTCAATGAGGTTTTTTTTATTAGGTTAAAAGTGATTAGAAGGCCTAGTAAAAACTAAAATCATTTTTTAACGGGGATTTTTTTACCTATGTACATACCTAGGTACAAATGTCCCTTTTTTAATCTGTAGAATTTTCAAAATCATTTTTCCAATATATGTAATACTTAAAAGTATTTTCTCTCTTTTTTTTCGTCATATTGGATATTCTTTTTTTCTTTTTGTATAAAAAACTAAAATTGTCCAGCACATTTTTTGCGCTAAATTTAGAATACATAATTTTTTTAGTCTCTTTTTCCTGCAAAACACAATGTTTATTCCTTAACATTTTTTTCAGTTATCACAAATTATTGTTCCTTTATTGTTTTTTATCATGTTTCTTTACATCGTTTATTTGATGTACCGAATATTCGACAGGACCCTTTTTTATAATAATGTTTTTTGGTTGCTTGCCTTCCTTTCACAACATTTTTTTCACCTCGACGCGATAATCCAATCCACCGTTCGCTTTCAAGAACACCAAAACCAAATGCATTCTTGGACTTTTTTTAAAATTTAAAAAAAGTTTCTTTTGTTTTTACAAGAATTTCCTTTGCACTAAGAAAGTCGGTTTACTTCGGTAACTTTACAATTGTTGAAAAAGTTAAACGCGTTGTAGAATCAAAGTCAATCACTCTTTACCATGAGGTTACTTTTTTAAAATCTTATTTTAAAGAAGAAAATAAATGTATAAATCACTCACGTTGACGTAAGGTACAGTTTGGGACTATGGATTTGGGGGTGGCGTTACTGGTGTCGTTTGTGAGGATGGTGACACGTTACTTGTTACAATTGTAGGGCTGGCCGGTTGTTGAAGAGGTAGGAAAGCTGATCCCAAGCTTGGCTTCAACTGAAATGTGACACATGGCTTCGAACTGTAGTCTAATTTGCTTAAGTCCATCATAGGTCGCCTGAAAACATCAATCACTTGCTTATCTGCTTACTAATTAGTTGTTTTATTTATTGCTTTGTGTGCTAAATTTATTATACCTGGCATCTTCAACAAATTTTAAATTAACTTTTTCGCAACCATCTGGCGGTTCTCGAGCGAGAAACCTGTTGATGTGGGGTGATGTACCTAAACGTCCTTCTCTTTCTTGCTCTGGAGTAGATCCACGACTGCCACCTAAATAAATATATCATTTAAAACATATCTACAGAAACTTAATTTATCAAAACTATCATAATTTACATGCGATTAAAGATATTTATAGAGAAAAAAGTCACTAATAATTGTTAAAAAAAATTTTTTTTTTCTTCAAGTTATTTTTTTAAATTTAATAATTTCAAATAATTATCACGCGTAAAACAATTAGATGACAAAAAAATAGGATAAAATTTTGTTACACACAGTATTATAGAAAATTCTTTATAATAATATAATTTGCTTAAATTAATTAAGAAGAAAACACTCAAATAAAAATAAGTCTAAATATTAATAAAATAATAAAAAACAAATAATATGGTGCATCATGTGTTGTACGTGCAACAACAAATAATCTAACAAAAGTATGCAAACATGAATGGATGGTAAGGCCAACCTTGTGGGATATCGCTAGGTGGACGGGAAGTATCCATAGAACCTGGTATCAGCGGTGATTCGGAATTCCTAGACGGAGGGCCTGTGTTTCGTAACAGTTGCACGATCCCTTTAGTTAGTTTGGTTACTTGATATTCGCGCATCATGCATACATGATTAGAGTAATATGTCTGAGATGTAACATTACATACATGTCACATAAAATCGCGATAATTTACGCAATCATCGTTTTAAATAGATTGTAGAAAATACGTTCATATTACAAACAGTCTTTTGTATATGTGTAAAGAGTTATGAAAGTTGAATTCAAAAATCAAAATTACCTGAAGAATATGAACTGGAGGGAAGGTCTGTAGCTGGCGTCTGTGTGTTTACATTCCTGGTTAATCTTAGAAGATCTGCTAAAGGTGCTCTATGACCCTCTGGTGTCATTTGCTCACGATATCTTGCGTACTGAAATTTTTTTTTTCACTTAAAATATGCTAATATAAAACCGATTAGAGTTAGTAATTATAATTAATTACTTTATCTTCTATCGAATGGTCCGGGTCACTTGTATTTGCAGTAGATTTTAAAACAAGTCCTTCAATTTCTTGATTAAGACCTTCAATTGATGAACGCATTGGTCCCCTCATAGGTTTTACTGGAATATTCATTGGGCTAGCTTTTGTACTCAAACTAGGTTGATTTTCTACATGAAATCAATATAAATTATCAAGCATAAGCATACTTTTAGTACAAAAAAGCAACTTTGATACTTACGAATTGACGTTTGTGAAGCAATACTGGGTAATAAAACTGTATGATCACCAGGAAGTGCTGGAGGTGGACCGCCCGGCATAATGAGTCCAAAAGCAGCAGTTCTTTCTCTGCTACTAGTACTCTCTTTATTTGTCCTTTGTAATCTGTAAATTGATTAGTTTTTTAATGTTTTTTAATGGTGTTTAATCGAGCAATTACAAATAAAAATGGTGATTGAAAATTTACCTGTGCCTAATGTACTTTTCCATTGGTAATTTTTCGTCTGGATTAGATGTTTGATCAGTGGGGTGTCTGGTATGTATTTTTCGTGGTTCATTTTGAGTCCATTCATCAGTTTGTGTAGATTTATCCACTAGTAGACGGCTAGCATGGATATAAGAATAGTCACGAGGCCATTGTCCCTTCAGATAAATAGTATCGAGAGATGCTGTCCTTCTAATATTTTGACTTCCACTCAAACCATCACTACAACGACCACTAAGGGTCTTTGATTTAGCTGTAAAGTTGAGGGTTATGTTTTATAAAATAATTGAAACAGGAAATACAGAAACCGAGCAAAAAAAAAATTCGGTTACCGTAGCAAAGGAATGTAATAATATAAATTAATGAAAAAATGATAAAATGAAAGATTTTAGAATATTGGGTAAAAATACCTTTGTATGAAAGTGATCCAGGACTTCTCTGCCCTGAAGAAGCCGATGTCTCTGGTGAGTTTCGTGCCCGCCACGCGTTCGTATTGGTTGGTGATACGGCTGGACTGTTGCTGTTACTTTGCCTGAGATTGCTTCCTTGTCTGCTTTGTCGAAGCAATGAGCTTACCGGCAATGTAGCCCGCATTGGTCCCTGCTTCGTCGTCGAGCATGGCGACGATTTACGCATCCGTTGTGATCCCGACATTTTGTCATGTAGGAAAGAACAGATGTGATGGGGCTCCGAAGAACCCAGAGGGCTAACAACGCACACACGACTACGATCAGCACACGCGAGAGGTGAAACGGGGAACGCGGGTCCCGCGAGTGGGACCAACACACACAGGACAAGGTGAAGGCGCCGGAGCTGTGGTGGAGAAAGAGGAGAATCAAGTGATAGAGAAAGACAAGCTAATTCACGAATATTCCGTTCAGCTTTTTTTTAAGTTTATTATTGTCTTCTGTTTTTTTTTACTTGTGTTTTTCTTCAAAAGCTTTCTTTTACCACTTCACTAATTCACTGATTCAACGCAAAGAAACTCTAATTTTTACTCACAACGATCCTCGACGCGTCTTGTCATTTGCAATGTTCCTGCTGGTTCAACACGCACATCACGTGATTCAGGATCCGAAACAACCATTGGTGCTCGCCGAGCCTCCAAAGAAGCGTCGTACTACGCTAGGGCCGCGTTCCATTCACTACCACCGTACCATTATATCTCGTAATTTTCTTTCTCTCTTTTTCACTCACTCCAACTTCGTTCACTATTCTTGCGCACCCGCATCAATGCTTGTCTTTTTCTCACTCTGTACATCAGTTTCATCGAGCTCTGGACCTCCGTGTGTATATATATATATGTGTGCTGAATGTGCGCGCGCGTCAAGAGACGCGAACGCCAGCATTTTTGTCAGTGATACTCAACATCTACTATAATGATAGGTCATATATATTGACGCCACACACTACAGCGTGAATACGTAATCAAAAAAAGATTTCACTAGAGATGTAATGTTCTCAATGTGAACTGTGTTTTGAAATGTGTTTTCAATGCCATCTGTAATATACGCGCGTTATTTCAAAATAAGAAAGATAAAATATATTTTTAAGTTATTTTGTAACATAATATAATTTACAATGTTATTCACTGTAAAAATAATATAATTTTAATTAATGATTAAATTTCATACAATAATTGTGTATAAAAATTCAGAATGGAGTTCAAATTTTATTTACATGATATTTTACATTACAGCGCGTTGATTATCAATATTATTATAATATATGAACAGTCATTAAGTATGAGTGAAAATATGACTAGATTAAATAAAAATACCAATAAATAAACATTAATCATTCATAGTATGAAAAATTTTCAACTAAAAATCTAAGATTTTTTGATGCATCAAACTCCAACATTTAAATATAATATTAAAATGTTTTATAATTATAAAAAAAGTCGAGATCTTAAGAATAATGATTAAAAATAGTTATTTAAAAATATTCAAAAAGTTAATAATAAGTTACAGACACAACTGATAATTTGGATCAATAAACACGCATAAAATACATATATAATATTAATTGAAGATAATAAACTAATAATAAAAACAGACAAGCCGTGTAAAAAATAGATGAATTAAAAATATTTAAGTAATACTCTGCCGAGTAAAAAAATGGCTTTGTAGTTTAAACCATGAAAAACGACTAGTTATTTCTATACATAATTTACAAAACGATAAATCATCGAAATCATGCAGAATTTTTTTTTGTCTTTTACTTCACGGCATCAACTATTATGACATATCGTTTTATGTGCAAAATTTTTTAATTAATAGTTTATATAATACTGAAAAAAGTATAATTACAGACTTTTTTTAAAGTTGTTTAATTGACAAATTTACTTTTTGTAATATTAACTTATAAACGTGAAATGCATTTTTTTTTGATTGTGCTTTTAATTTATTTTTAAAATTATATGCGGCAGTAATTAATTTGTTATTTTTTTTTGTTAAATAATTATTAAATATAAAAAAAAATAATCACAATTATTTATAATAAATCCAGTACTATTGCACTGTTCAAAATCCAGTTAAGGACGGCTTGAAACAATTTACAACTCGAATATATTTTTTATATTCGAAAAGGAATAAAAATAAGTTTTAGTATTTTTAGAGTTTACCAATATCGATATTTTTTTATACAATCGTTACCTAAATCAACAACTACTAAATGATTGTTTGGTAACACTGCAATCCCCATAGGGCGTCGAAGTTTTGAGCTATGAGAATCAATCTCTGTTAAAATACTTCTTTCACCAAGTTTTAAAACTTGAATTATACTACTACGGCCTTTATCACTTCTAGATGCAATTATTTTGCCGTCTGCATCTACGGCTATACCTCCATATTTTCCTTTACCTAAAAAAATTCGAATTTCAGATGTGTAAAGATTAAAAATATAATTAAAATCAAACTAATTAAATAAGAAATGTTGAAAAAATTATTATTTCAATAGTTTAAAATGAAAAATTTTTTAAATTACCATTTTCTTCAGGATAAATTTCTTCAGAAAAATCACCCTTTGCAGAAAAAACTTGAATTTTAGAATCAGCAACTAGAATTTCACCTGCAGGACCTACGGTCACGGAGCTAATTAACTTAAACATGCCTTTTTTTCCAACTTGGAAAAGAACTTTTCCATCAGAATCAAATACGAAAACACAGCTTTGTCCATTGTCAGCAACAAGAATATGTCCATAACTACGATCTACAGCTACATCAATTGGTTCCTAATAATACAAAAATATTTACACTTAATATTTAATATTCGAACATACTAAAAGATATAGATAAAAAACATTTAAAAATATAACATGTGAACCTGAAATGTATTGTGGGTGAATGAACGAATTGTATCACCAAATGTACTCATTTCTGTAATAGTACGCGTTCTCCAATTCACTACAACTAGCCCTTGATCTGATATGGCTATTCCAGTACAACTACGACCTTCCAATCCTTCATTAATTATATGTCTTTGAAACTCCATATCACTATCAAGCACCTTGAGTAAAATTAATTAATTATTTATATTGTTAATAGTAAAAAAATCTTACAATAACTCACTAATATTAATGAATACTATTTTAACAAAATTAAACTAATAATCTAATTTTATGTTTTATAATTACCTTTATTCGTGAATTTCCTGAATCAACGACATAAATCATGTTATCGTCATCCACAGCAACAGCAACTGGCTGTAGAAATTCATCTTTTCCATGCCCTCTTTTCCCATAACTCTTAATTGGTTCATTATGCTCTGAAGCAGTAAAAAATATAGGATAATCTTTTATCGGACGCTCAAAAACGGTCAATTTGAGAGCATAACCACTTGCAGAAGGTGGTCGAAAACGAACTTCGTAGGTTCCGTTCTCTAAATCTTTAATTTCTGTTTCAATTATTTGATCTTCTGATTGAGTATCTGTGAGTGTAAGTTCAACACCAATTGGATCACCACCGGCATTTCTAGGGTGCCCATGATAATCCACAGTTTCGAGTATCACAGTCGTTAATAACTTTGCAATGGCAGTATCTTTTAATTGAGCTCTGCACAGTCCTGTAATTAAACTCATACTGATATCTTGTGTCTATATTGAAATTATATTAATAGATTAATCTCAACTAAGTTTTACTTTTTATATATTACCTGGTAACGTTGTGCTAGAACGTACTCTTCCAAGAGTTTCCAGTGCTTTTTCTAATTCTTTTATAGCACTATTATGTCCAAATTCAGCTGTAATGAAAGCATTCTCACGTGGTTCACTCAAAGCAACAGCAGCATCTAATTGATCAGTAAGACTTCCTATTCTCTGAGTAATATTTCTAACTTCGACCTAAAAATTTAAGTTGATGATCAACAAAGATAATAATAATAATAATACCTAATCACTTACTTGATATTGTAATCCTTCACACTCTCGTTCAACTTTATTTTTTTCAGCTTCAATAAGAGCATGCTGCTCTTCAAGAACACGTTTTTTGTCTCTAGCAGCCGCCGCAATGGCTGCTTGAAGTTCTACTCGTCTACGCTCGACTTTCGCAATTATTTCAGTAAATTCTGTATCAACTATAGTCAAACATCTTTCCATAGCAGTTTCTAAACGTCTTAGTTCTGTATTTACAGATTCTTGAGCTTGTGTTAACTGATAAAAAAATAAAAGATGATGATATTACAATTTACTTAATTTTTTTTGTATCAAATACAAATAATACATACCTTAGAAATGCATTCATTAGCTTTATACAGTAAAATTTCAGACATTCGTTTGATTGCGATACTAAAAGGTATTATTGTGTGTTCAGTGCATCCCGGCGAAGTCTCGGCATGATTACCTCCAGTACAAACTGTACAGAAAACTGTATCACATGTTTCACAAAATAGTAATTCTTGATTTGTGTGAACTGAACACTTTGGAATGACTTCTCTTCGTTGTCGAGACATTAAATCGAGTAATTGATTAACTAAAAAGCTTGGAGGCAAAGCCGGAACTCCACCACGAGGTATAGTAATGAGTTCCCGGCATATAGGACATCGAAATGCTCCAGCTTCACGAGTTTGTGAAGCGGCAATTCTTGTCAAACAGTGTAAACATACCTAAAAAAAAAATTACATTTCAGAAATTATCTCTTATTAATATCGTAAAGTTTTAAAAATGAACACTTACTGTATGAGAACATGGTAAAAGTTTAGGTGTATGTTCACTGCCATCATAAACACAAAGACAAGTCCCGCAGGTCAAGAAGCTCTCGTTAAAGTCCTCGTAGTTGATACTAACAGTCTCCACGAGCATTGAACTCATGCTGACCATCCTCTCCCCCAGTCGAGTCCTATAAATTACAAAAGACAACTGTCAAAGTATTTTTCATTTTTTATGTTTAAAAAACTAATTTTAATAATGTTGATAATGATAAGTACAATCTCATCATAATAAAAAAGAAACTTACTGAATAGCTAACCGTAGTGCTTCCATTACAATTTAGCCTCTAAATACAATTTTGGAAAGCAAAAATTTTACACGCGTGGCAATATGAATAAGAAAATGGGTAAAAGATCAAGAATACTACACGTTTGTTTTATCTTATTTTTTCTATTAAAGCACAAGTAAACACAAAGATATACGACGTGTATTTGAGATTCTGTTAATGAATTTTAAGAATTAAAAAAAACTTGACGAATTCGAAAAATCATACTTTTCTTTCCTAACCAAAAATCTTCCTTTTCTTTTTCTAAAGGACGCATTATCCTTGATTCTCATATTTACAACAGAAGATGTTAAAACTTAAAAAATCCTAACCTAAATTGTTAACCACATTATTTGATATACTAAATCATTTTTAAATTTTATTTCAATTATACACTAGTACTTAATTATTATAAATTTCCTGAAGAAACTTAATCCACAAGGAGAGAACAGCGACTGTCGAGGCTGCTCACGTTTCACAGCTGCGCACGTTTCTCGAATGGAGACAAGTATTCTATTGGTTAGTGAAACTAACAAAGAAGCAACGATTAAAATAATAAATGTAAAGAAAGAGATGCCACTAAAAATTGTTGGCCAGAAGAAGCGAGAAAATACAAGCGGGGGAGGATACAGATTGAGATTAAAGTGCAAGAAGGATAGCAAAGGAGTAATGCACGTTGTACGATACTGCTTGTAATGCAAGTTTATGTATGAATAAAGGATAAACAGCGGCCAGGGTGAACAACATCTGAATTTTCTTCACAACTGCGCATGTACGTTTAACAGAAACATTATAACCTGTAACAAATGGGAGAAAATGAGATAAAAGTAAAGGAAAGAACGAATGAATGATGAAAATGAACAAAAAAGGAATGAAGAATGATGAGAGAAGACCTTGTCCACCATGCAAACTTGTTGTAGGCGCCAGAGTCTATTATATAGACTCACACCGGCACATATTGTATTATCTTAATGAGGGTGCATAATAAATTAGCTTTGTACTTGTCATAAATTTTCAGGTATGATAATACTTTTTTTTGTAATTATTCTGTAGAAATGTATTAAAAAAAATGAAACAATGATATTTTATTGAATTAATTTTATCATTATTAGCAGAACGTTAGTTGAAAAAGATTAAGTCCCTGGGTCACCCGGTGTAATGGTCCATCAGACTTTGTGTCGGGGTCATAACCGCTTAATTGGTAAAGAGAAGAAAAAAAGAGCAAGAGTCGTATGAAGCTTGTATACTAACTATACATTGCTTAATAGATTTAAAATATTATCATCCGATTTTAGATATTTAAAAGATTGAAAACTCGAAAAAAGATCAGTTTGATAAACTAATATATTTTTATTATATTATATTTCATTCTTTAAAATACTTTCTATAACAAGAATAAAATGACGAATGGTTCTTATAAAAAAAAAAACTAACTTACATTTCCTATCAATGATTTATTTTTTAACTTGAGAGGTTTTATTTGTTTTTGTTTTTCATAAACCAGAATTATGCCAATGTAATGTATACTTACAGAAAAGGACAACAGCTCATGTAGGTTTTTTTATGAGTTGAATTGCGTAAGAGAATGCAAAATTATCGTACAAGTGATGTTTTATTATTATTTTTTTTTTTTATATTTCATAATAAACTATGATAGTGTTTTAATTGTCAACAGAGCGGTAAATCTTCTGTTAGCTACATTCGGTTGTTCCGGGATAGAGATTAAGAATGCTGGAGACATAAAAATAGGAGATTACCAGGTGAAAACAAATGGTATTGTTAATCGAGAGATATAAAAAAAAGGATAGTAGTTATTTAATATTGATTTTATACACGTTTTTTTAGCACCACCAGGTGTCACGAGTAAAATAAGTATAAATTGTCAGTTCCTTTTCAATTTGTTGACATTTAAAAAAAGAGTATTTTAAAAAATTTTTCGCGAAATTTCGAAGCATGCGTCAACAGAATCGGGTCACTTCATTACTACTCGACCGAGATTTTGAATAATCTTCAGGGCGTTTTCTGTTTCTGTGATGACGTCAAAGCAATCTTTAATCATCTTGAACACGGTTTAGTTTCTACTTCACTTGATTGTTTTTCACTTTCTTTTATCCATCACAAATAGAAGGCAGACTATTGTGACTATATACAAAACCGATCACAAGTGATTGGAGATAGTTTATATGACTCTAGAAATGAAATGCGGCCATTCGGAACAGCAAAACTGGCTCTGAGGGTGGCCTGCGCAAGCAACAACTCCCCCTCAGCAACCCCTAACACCCACAAAGACACCAACAATGCTTACTGATAGACACACAGTCTTGAAATAAAATATTGAACGAATGGTAGGTCATGGTAATGTTATTTGTATAATGATTACAAAAATCTTTTTTTTTTGTTCATTTCATTTAGTATAAAATAATAATTAGCATTAATAATATACCTATATCTGAGTAAAAATAAAATGTTAATGGCTTTCTTCCAATATGAATTTTCAGACTCTAAAAAATGATTAAAATGTTCTTTAAAATTGAATTATAATAATTGATCATGGAATACGTTTTGTGTATTATTTATAATACATTGTAGATTTTTAGTGTATCATTTTTACGTTCCAAGACGCTACATGACTTAAATACTTCATTATTTCTTGACAATTTCATTCACGAAACAGGTTATATTTATTGTCTCATAAGTTTTCTGAAACTTTAATTATATTTTGTTTACTATATCACATATTTACTTATGTTTACTTTTTGCATTTGTTTTTCTATTTTAAGTAATTTAAAGTCCTGCTGAAATATTTTAAGTGTTTTATCTATTAAATACACTCCAAAACAGTTAAATTCTGGGAATTGGTAATATAATGGACTTTATCCAATCGACGTAAAAATAAACACGAGTAAAAACATCGGGGTATCCTTGCCCACATGGAGAACCCCAAGAAGCAATGCCTATCTGTGTTCCATCAGTGACTAAAGGTCCTCCTGAATCACCCTGAAATGATGATTATAAAGAAAAATATTTATTACTAATAAAACAATAAAAACTTAATCTGATAAAAGCTAAATCTTACATAACAAACACCTTCTCCGGTTTCGTTGAATGTACAAAGATGAGTTGTATCAACTTGAGCAAAGATTTTTTGACATGCAGAAATTTGAATGACACAAAGTTGAATCATTTGAAGTTTTCCAGTGTTTGATTGGTCAGTCTGTAGAAGGTAAACAAAGGAAAAATCAATTTTAAAATTCTTCCATAGTGTGTATGCAAACGTGACTTACATATGTGTTACCCCATCCGGTAAATATACTCAAAACACAATCACCTTGATAGATATCCTGAGTAGGTAAAGCAATAGGTTGAATGGCTTCCGTAAACTCAATAACGCCATCAACCATCAAGATACCAATGTCATGTAGATGTTCAGCTTTATTAAAATAAGGATAGACATGAGTGAAAGCAGAACGATAAGCTACACCGCCAAACATTAAATAATTCGATCCGATAACAACTGTAATTTTTGAAGCTTCATATTTTACAAGACAATGAGCCGCAGTTAAAATCCAATATTTATTAAGAATTGAACCACCACAAATATGACGTCCAATAACACGTAATGAAGCTTGATAAGGATATGCATTATCCTGAGCGTCATTTCCACCAATTATACGTGTCAATGAGTTACCGATTACATTTGATGAAATAAATAGTAGTAAAAAAATACTTTGATTATAAATTGTGATAATCATAATGAATTAATTAAACCATCACTTATATTTTTTTCATTTATATATGTTTCATTATCAGACGTTACCGCCTAAGAATTATTTATTCATTATTATTTCTCATATCAATGTTGTAATAGTTATCAATATAAGTAAATATTTCATTAAAAATTTATTTATTCATTACTCGGAACTAATGACTTGACTTATTCACGGAGAGAAAGGAATTATAAATTTTACTCCGAAAAATGGTAGTCTGTCGCTTCGGGTACAAAAATGGCAATAAGCAATTGTCTGATTAGTATACATTATAACTTTTTCTTGTAAAAATTTTATTATGAATCAAAATTTTTAATTATATAAAAAAAAAGATAAAATATTACAATTTATTTTTCTACAAGAAAAAATTGTTTTGTATACTAATCAAACAATTGCTTATTGCCATTTTTGTACCCGAAGCGACAGACTACTATTTTTTGGAGTAAAATTTACAATTCCTTTCTCTCCGTGTTAAAATTTGCATTCTTCGGATATTTTTTAAAAAGATTATCAATATCATTTAATATACATATATATTGGTTACGATAATTATTATTTTTTTTTATAATCATAATTACGAAACTCATTTATTTAAAGTTTATTGATTTATTAGTACAAGATTAGCAAAAACAGCATAGAAATTGTAAGAAATGAGAAGACAGAGAATTTTGCTTTTTCTTTGTCTTAGTTATTATTTTCATGTTCAGGAATAAATATTATCTTCAATCAAAATTCGAGATTGAAATATTTCACCTATTGTTAATTTTAAATTTTAATTTCTTTTTAGTTTGTTTATTCTTACTAATACTATTAGGTATTTATATAATTTTATTTATTTTGTTTCACTCATGATTGTAAATAAATTTTATTACTTATTTAAAAATGTAACTAATTGATATATATAAAAATAGCAGCGTATGTTGAAACTTTTATTTATCCTAAATTTCGCCAATAAAAAAGGGCTGTAATCCAAGATCTTGTACTTGATGCTTTCTCAACTCGTCATTATCGTTCTGTTATATCATATCATATTCATTATTCATCTCCCAACACCTAATGAGTGTTTAAAAGATACTTTCATACCATCACTGTTTATTTCCTTTTAATAATGAGGGAGTTCAGGCCCCCCTGGAGCGAGAATTATATTTAGTGAGGTCTGAAGCAAAGTTCTAGTATGTACTTTTGTCTTTATGTACATTAATCCTTACACCGTCTTTTAAATATTTCTTTTATCACTCAAAAACAACTAAAAATTTTCCATTTAACTTATTTTTTAACATGAATATTTTTTATTAGTCTTTAATTTGAATAGTTATGTATCAAAGAATGGCCGCTTTTTATTTTATGGATTAATGTGTCAAGGGTACCGTTCCTTATCATCTACCTTCTCGTTTTTCAAAGTTTATTTGCTCAATAATTGTCCAAATCTAATAAATTTAATAAATTAATAGTTATAAATTTTAATGTCCAATTAAGTGTTTTCTAATTATTTTATAAATATTTTCATGTATAATTATCTTATTTATATTTTAAAATGATATGTAAATGAAGTGTTACGTTCCATGGGACAAAAAGTATATATGAGATATTAGGTTTAATCAAATTGAAAATATGCAAAACTATCATTATTATCGGCTATATCAACACTGCTACTTTCTCTACTAGGTTTGCTTTCAATGTGTTCATTAATCCAATCAATATAACTATAAACTCTGGTAAAAACATCAGGTTTTCCTTTAGCACAAGGTGTTCCCCAAGACACAACGCCTATTTGAACTCCATCAGCAACAAGAGGTCCACCAGAATCTCCCTTAAAAAAAATCAAAGTTCAAGTAACTCAATATGATTGTTAGTTATCGTCAGAAGAATAAAAAAATGGCCTGTTTTAAGATCTATGAAAGTTAATAAAAGTAAGTAGAACACTTCACAATAGACACCACTCTATAACGGAACTCTTGAAAGAGTACTAATACCACTATGTACTCACATGACAAGCACCTTCGCCTTTTTTATTCAACGTACAAATATTCTTGTCTGTCACCCGGATACTAACATTACGGCACTGCTTTTGATTAATTACTGTTAGTATAATGAATTGAAGATCATTTGGCGCTTTTCCTGGATACTGAAATTTGTTTTATTTATAATTAATAAAGTAGTCAATTACTTTAATTTGTCTTTGTCTTTTTTATTATGCTTTTGTAAAACGAAACATTAATGTGTTGTTGTTCTTTCATCTCAATTTAATCAGAAAAGTTATTTAATGACAACTGTGCGTATTATAAAACTACATGTGATTTATTTCTAGTTCATTCTCATTATACAATCAAGTGATATTTAATCATTATATTCAAGTGAAATTTCGATGAAATATTAATTTTTAGAATGAATTAAAATGGTTAATAGAATTTTTCAAGTATTACTGTATAATTATCTAAAAAAACGAGATGTATATTCAACTTACACTGGTTGTTCCCCAGCCTGATAATACAGCTGGATAATTACTTTTTTTAAAGTTTTCCGATGGAAGATCCACTGGCTTTACTGTTTCTGAAAATTGAATATCCTCGTCCACATAAATAAGACCTATATCATGCCAGATGAATAGAGAATTGTACTTCTCATGTCCTATTACTCGAGACGACTGGTAGAAATCACCGCCTTCATCTAGTTTTGTTGTTCCGGTAACAACGTTTATTGCTGTGTCATTAAAACTAAAATAATTTTACACCATTATTACTATGGGATAAATATACTCAATATCTTTATTTTATCATCAGATTATCAATCAAATAATTCATTGATAAATCTTGACACACTCTGATGAATAATATAATTTATTAAATATATTATGAATTTTCATAATAATTGATTAATAGCGATCAAATAATTACCCTCTGAGACAATGAGCAGCAGTTAAAATCCATCGATGATTTAAAATAGATCCACCACAGAAATGTCTATTTTTAATTCTCAAGGAGACTTGATAAGGAAACTGAGTTTCATCAGCAATATTACCACCAATTATCTTGGGATGATGATCATTTTTTTTTGCTAAAATTAGTAAAATAATATATTTTAAATATAAATAATGATAATAATAATGGAGATGATCTTACCAATAGTGAAATGATTATTGTACGAAAGAAATAGATAAATTGCAAAGAAAAATATCACTGTATTGTATGACTTCATTTTTGAATGAAAGCACTTTTACTATTGTATGTAAAACAATTCATTTCTCGTTAGTTGTGGTGTTGTATATATAGGGTAAAATGATATAATGAATTGCTAGTCTCCCGCTGTTAGATATTTAAATTTAGGTCAGATATTGGATCAAATATAGTATTAGAAACGTCAACCAAACAACTTAGAATGTATCTCGTGCATATGCCGATAGACTAAAGTAATAAATAAGTGAAGGGAACAACAACAGCATTTGAACAATCTGTGAAAGCCAAGTTATATTTTAATTTGGACTCGGATCAGTAAATTTCATGAAATTCGATTATTTTGTAGCTACTTTTTACGTTTTTTTTTTTTTCTTTTTCTTTTTTTCCACAATATTTATTACACCGCAATATTCTTAAGTAATAGACATTTAAAATGCGGAAATTTTATTCAAGAATATGAAGAAAACTCGGTAGAAATTATTTTCAATGACAATTCATTAAAGAATGCTTCATCATTACTCTCTTTGATGTTATTATGCAATTTATGTGAATAAATTAATAAAAACGGTAATGAACGAATATGAAACTCAAATGAAATTGATTAATGCATTTATTGAAACATTGTCAATAGGTCTATCAAGTTGTTGGATTTTTGAGTAATTTAATGATAATTAATTGAACGTATTCGTGCTGATGTATTTTGAATTGGAAAAAAAAACAAAAAATAATAATCAATGTTCTGAGAAATATTTATGCACTTGCCATAAATATTCATAAGTTTAATCGATAAATTGTGAAGTTTTCTATGTTAATTTATTAATTTTTTTCTACGACGTAAAAGTTTTTACGGAATCTTGAAAAGCTGACGGAGAGATTATAACGACAGGAAAAATAATGAGATTAAGTCTATAAAGATATCGGACAATGACTTGTTTTTATAAAGATTCCGGAAAAATCATTTATTGGAATAATTTTATATTCGTTTTTTTTTTTTTTTTATTAAATTAAGGTTTGGCTAATAATAATAACGCTATCAACTTTCGATTTAACTGATGATGACAAATAAATTATATTTTCAAGGATTTTTTTTTTTTTTTCATTCAGATTTGGTAGACTGATTTATTATGAAAGTAATAAAATTAAAAGAAATGATGAAATTAATAATAAGGTACAATGATTAACCAATTAAAAATTATTGGTATTTTAACTGATCAATAAATAGAAATGAGTTAAAACAATTATATTTAAAATGTAAATTACGATGCATTATTGTGTATAAGCAAAATTATCTGATAAAAACATTTTTGGTGTATATAGAATCTATTTTTTTCCTCAATTAATCATATCATTAGTCAAATTCCTTAAACTATTATTTAAATTATATTTATTGAATATATTTAATGAAATATTTATTATTTAGTGGAATGGATAGTTTTTTAAAAACTTATATTTTTATTTCAGTACTAGACTTTACTCAATGTAAAAGTCGATAAAATTGAAAACCAATGCTTCAAAAATGGACCTATCATTTGATGGTAAATGTAAAACGACAATTGATAATTTCTCAAGAAAAATGATATTGTCGATAGTTGTTCAAAATTAATAAGAACATTAATTATTAGAAAATAAAAGAAAAAAAATTGAAAAACACACTTCAATCAGTTAAGTGACAAAATGTATAGTAGTGCAGAAAATTGAGAAATCATAAATAACTTTATTTATTCTAGAGAGTTTGTAAGATACTTTATTATTTTCTCAATACAAAATTTATTAGCCGTTCAGTATGACTTTTTCCGTATAATATGATATTTTTTGATACTATTATTTGAATAATTTATCGTACAATAAACTAATTTATGAAATATAATCGTAATGAATGGAAACAATGATGTTTAATAAGTAGTAAACATAAATGTTTGAAGGGATTAAAACGAATAAAAAGTAAAAATAAATCAAGGGGAAGGGAATAATCATCTTTATCGAATAGGACACAAACCGATACCTACATCGTAATCGTTGGGGTACGTAAATGCCGCATACCATGAACAAACTAAAGGTCAGTTAGTCCCAAGGTTTACATAACCACGAAGCGAAAGGTTGTCTCATCTTTGCGGCATCCTCTTTTTTCAAATTTTTTCTCTATTTATTCTCTATAGCCTTCTTTATTTCAGCAATATTCGGTAACACTTTTCTTTATGATTATAACAACAACAATTAGGTTGAATAAAATCAAGTGGGATTGGAATTCATGAAGGCATCAATGACAAATGAGTTGTTACTGTTGACAAATATGATTACTTAATGAAGAATGAGTTTCTGCCGAGTAAAGTGCGTCATTTAATGTCGGGACTATTCTTGAATTGATTTATCATGAACATCCAAAGGAGTCTTCTGTGACAAGTGTTAGTCGCCTACAATTGTCTGAGTAGCTCTTTGGTTCGCCACTAGTGTTGAATTCTTCAAGTACTACGACATGAAAACAATAGAGGGATCGTACAAATACATGTATGGGAGGACAGTGACATTTGTTCCCGTCCTCGATGCCCCATGTGTCACGTTACTACTTGATTATTCGTCCTCCACCTCACCTTTCACCCATCTCCATTTTCTACAAAGTTATGTTGATCTTTTAGAGCTTTAGAATGACGATGCTGAGATGCGTTTGATGCTAAATCATGACCAGGAAAGGTTGAAATAACTATATAATTAATAGATTTTCGAATACTAATAGGGTGCCACTTGATATCCTTGACGAAGTGGTGAAAGAAAAAAAAACGTTATAAATATATTTATAGATAATTAGAATGATTTAATGTTATATCATGTATTTTCGAGGCTGAATTCGATATCGAGTTCCTATGACACTGAAGTTGTAGTGTAGAGCGCAAGGTCACGGGCAGGGAGCATCTTACAATAGTGAATGGCCGAGCAGGGATGAGAGTAGACCTAGTAGCAATTCACTCTTAAATTTACGAGACATTTTATCTTATTCATAAATATATTTTTTGATTAATTATTATTAGGTTTTTTATCTATTTATTAACCAACCAAGTTATTACCAACTAGATCAATGTCATTAAATTTTGCTTCATTTTCTGTGTTAGTAATTAGAAAATTTAGTTGCCAATTAAGATGTGACAAACTATAATTTGAAAATGCAGGTCCGTGTCGTGATGCAGAACAAGTTATTAAATATGCGATTGTGCAAGCACAAAAAGATGCTCGAAAGAACGTTGATTATTATTATGACACGACATGAGCCATTCCCAACAGAGCAAGTGACTACTTGGAGATTCAAAGAGTCAACGAGGTACATATACAGGGATAACGTCGTATTCGGAAAGTCAAAAAAATTTTAAGAGCATCCAATGTTCATAATGATATGACGAATATGTCACTTCAAGCTATTGAAGATTTGAAAGTTGTTATGCCCATTAGGATGCTAATTAGAAACTGTAGTGTGACTTTATAATAGAAAATTACAGTTGGTTCTTGGTAATAGATTACATATTAAATAGACAGATTTTATGAATTACCATCAATATTTTATATCAATCCAGGAAATAATGATGTACAATCGTTGTCTTTGGCCGTGATGAAGATGACGCACATAAACCCTGTAGACATAAACGTCATTTGCAAATCATCCGAGGATAACCAGATAAATAAACAACGCAATTATAATAAAAAATCACGTAACATAACTTGTTTATTATTATTATTATTATTATTATTATTATTATTATTATTATTATATTATTATTATTATTATTATTATTATTATTATTATTATTATTATTATTATTATTATTACTATTACTATTACTATTATTGTTGAACATCAGAAATATTATGTAAATTGATGAAAAAAAAATTTTTCATTTCATTGTTTAGTTAATGTATTATTTATTTAATTAGCGAAACGAGTAAAGGGATTGTTTAGACATTTTGTGAAGACTGTCTCATGATTTAAATGTCAATTAAATAAATCAATTGCTCGACATTGTAAGCATTTAATAATAATAATAATGAAAAAGATTTCTTTTATTTAAATATACATGTTACAGTTTTGATCATTAAAATGTACTGGTCAAAAGATACAGAGAAAAAAATGAAGATGCAGCAGCGTATTGTGATTTGCGGGCAGGGATGACCCCTTTCACTACACCATGTTGGCAGAAGCGTGTATATAAAGAACCTCGCCTCTGACCAAGAGTACGAGTATCATCTCATCATCGTTTCAATCTTGGTTCTTCTCCAGTAGGTGTCATATATATTATGTATTCTGTCAAGGTAAGTCTTTGGAGCTTGACCAGACTTGCTATCAATAGCATGAGTCTTCAACACCACCATTATCATCACTATCATCATTTTAACTATCATCAACATTGGAAGAGCCTCCAATGTGAAACTAAAATGATTAAAAATAAAAATAATAACTTTTTATTATAATTAAAAATAAAATATTGTACAGACATAACTTTAAGATTTATTTGAAAATGAATCACATAAATTTGAAAAAATGAAAAACAAAATATTCAAAAGGTTTTTATTCACACATAAAAATCATAATTATCGCTTGCTTCATATATGCAGTAGTTATTTGATGTTAACGACGCAAAACGAACAATTCGTAATAGTCATATCTGTGTGAGATGACCACCGCTTATGAAATTTTCTACACTTTGCAATTTACGTGTTCATCATTCATAATATACATATTCTACACTCGAATTGACATTTACAGATAAGTGTAATTTTATATTAATAATGATTATATAGATGCAATAAACTTGATTAATTCTACTAAGTTCTATTATTATTATAAAACAATATTTTCACAAATATTAACTTTTGATAATTTTTCATTTCTTTATAGGCAGTAATAGTAGTTGCCCTGTGTACGACAGCTTGGGCAGCACCACAACGACCCCCAAGCAGTGGAGCAGATAAAGATGCTGTTATTACATCACAGCAACTTGAAGTCAACTTTGATGGTAGTTATGTAAACAAGTGAGCTCTTTTACCTTTATTATCAGTAATTGATTAATTTTTCCAAGCCCTTGAATATCCATTTAAATTTAAAATATTATTTTTTTTGTAGTTTTGAAACAAGTAATGGTATTAGTCATCAAGAAACTGGTCAACCAAAGCAAGTTGAACAAGAAACTCCAGTTGTATCACAGGGTAATGAAGCCTGGACTGCTCCTGATGGTCAAGCTATCAGTTTAACATGGACCGCTGATGAAAATGGTTTTCAAGCACAAGGATCTCATATTCCAACTGCTCCTCCAATTCCTCCAGAAATTCTTAGAGCTTTGGAATATAACGCAGCTCATCCAGAACAAGATAACGAAGGAGTCTCTGGTGGCAGGCCCCCAGCTAGAGGTTAAACTTACAATAATCTTTGAAACTCATCATTGGTAATAGTTGTTTGTAGTTCGTGACGACCAATCCTCTGCTTTCTCTTTCTTCAGGTTAATCGTACACCACCCAGGTGAATCACACAATCGGCAATCGTGTGACCTTACCAAAAGAAGGTGGCTTGTCATGGAGTGAGACCCGACTTGATGAAAGATTACTTAACATTATATTCTATCGACAACTTGATACAAAAAAAAATTCCTCTTCGTATATATTGTTAATATTAATATATACTTTTTTTTACAATAACTTACCACTTGTCACGGCAGATAGCGATAATGATAAAATTTAAAACCTAACGATACAATTTAAGATTTACCGAATTAAAACAGCGTGACAAAATAATGAAAAAAAAAAAAAACCAATAAATAAAAATAACCAAACTAAAATATAAGTGTTTTGTTATGATGATTTGTTATCAAATAATGACAATATTATCTCGTTTTGATGATAAATGTATCAAACTATATTACTATTATTAAAAAAAATTGTGTCATACGGTAAATTAATTACAGCACTTTGTGATTTTATATTTTTATCTTTTTGTGTAAATAAAATAATTGAAAATCACAAAGATATATGCACAATTTTATTTTTCATACTCATTACATCATTTTACGTGTTATTCAATCATTTTAGGGTTAATTGATGAATGATTAAATAATTGGGATGTATTCTTATTCTTTTTCATTAATAAGTTAATACTTGGTAACAATTAATATGAAATTAAATTTAATTTTATTAGAGAAGCTAAGTCATTCAAAAAATTTAATCCTAAAAAGATCATATCGTTAGCTAAAAAATCATGCAGATGTGAGAGAGAAAGGATTAATCGTAAAACTTCTAAAACTTCTTAAGACACAAGTCACAGGTCGCGAATCTAATCACGAGTGAAATGGGCTTGTTGTTTTAATTATTGATTCGATTTCAACTATCACATAGAAGATTTATTGTTGGAATATTGAGTAATATGATTTTTACCTAACAGTCGTGTAATTTTTGAAAGGTTTAATCAGATTCAATATGTAATATGATTGAATCATTTTTTACCACACTTATACTCAATTTTTTATATTTTTAAATTTGTTTCTTTAATGACGAAATATTACACATTGTTCATGTTTTTGTGGTGTAAATTTAATAACAAAAGAATACTTCAAGTTGCATAATAAAATTTAAATAATAATAGAAGACGGCTAAAAATATACCATTTTTAGAAAATAAGGAAATTTTTTTAAAATCAATCACGAGAAAAATTCAATACTATACACTAAAGATGTCTTATATGTAATAAACACAATTGCTTATATTAACTTATTATTTACAAGGTTTTGTACGGAAAAAATAACTAAAGGTTTGAGTCGATAGTTGAATATCACCAATCACGATAAACCATTTATAATAATAATTTAATGTTGTTATAAATATAATATAATGGGCTCAATAAATAATAATTTAGACCTTTAAAATTGTGTTTATAGATGTGTTTATTAAAAAAAAATTCTTTCTTTAAATGTTCAACGACGGATGTGCTTATAATTTAATTTTAGACAAAATACAGATATTTTTATCTAGGTAGTATTTTATACCAATATTTCAATAATATACAAAAATGTTCTGTAAACGATACTTGTTTGTAATTAATATACATGAGAATTAATGAAAAATTCATCCAATTGTTCAAACTTGAGATATATTAATATCATGATATTACATTTTCTAATTAACTATGATTATTTCTATGTAGTCCTTTCAAATTTTGTGTTTCTTCAATGTTAAATTTTAGTTCTTAAGAACAATTATTATAAAAATTTTTAAATTATTTAATCATATGCATATTAATGATCTCGCAAAAAAAAAAATTTTCTGCTGGGAATTCATACCGACAAAAAAGTACATGTACGTACGAATTTTTATGATATTTACAAGATATTAAATTTGATTTTTTAAATTTAAGATACTAATTAATAAATATTGAAAATTAAAATATAAAAGAGCATAATTATTTTGATAATCTTTGATGACTTAGTGGATAAAAAAAGATCATTTTTCAAAGCTAAGTAATAAAAATACAATCTTAATGAAAAAACTTTATCGTAGAAATCTCTCGTCAATCATAAAACATCAATCCAGAATGAGAACTGAATTACTAATGTACAAGAATCTGTTTATGTAAATTAGATTAGGTATTGACTGACTATCAGGAAGCATTGCTGTAATTATCGTTCAACTTCACTATTAACTCGACTGATTTTTACAATATGCTCCTAACTAGATTACCGAAATTTTTCTACTAAAGCAGTAATCGAATAAGTAGATATAAAATTCTTTAGTTATCATAATTATTATTCAATACTATTGTTTTTTCTTCACTAATTTTACTTAAAAGTTGGGCATGATTAATATAATTTACTAATCAATAGTTTTGAACGATAAAGTTTTAAGTTGAGTAAACAATGAGTATTTGCTAGATTATTTATTAGTGATTATTTACTACTTACAAATTTTTTTATTTACTAATTACGTAATATTTTTATTAATATTTTAGTTAATTAATAATTTGATAAATTTTACAATTTTATTATAATACAATTTTATTGTAAAATAATGTTTTTGTTATTTTATATTCACAAATAATCATGTAGTGAATTTAAGATAAGATTTTAAGTATTAAAATGTATATAGCTAAATTGTTTAACACCTTATAATTCATTAAACTAAAAAGATTTGTATCCATCAAATTTATGAATTTTTTCAATAAATTCCTGAATTTTAATAGCTATATAGATCTTTTCATATCATTAAAATTAACTAGGCATATAAAAAAAAATTCTACAATTATGTAAATTGATCGTTAAAAGATTTTTGTTGATAAAAATCAATGAATTTCATTTTGAAAATGATTTTGGAGTAATAAACGCTCACGAGAACTTTTTTTGTTTTTCAATCGACACACTAAAAGTGTTTTATTTATCGATATATTTGCGAAATACGAAATAAACACAATAAATATATACAAATAACATCGTAATAAGTCCCTTGAGATAATTAAAGTGTACATAAACATGAGAAGTTAATTATATATAAACACGTGAGTGAGATTATTTAAATTCACATTCCAATCTTTAAACTTGATTTTCTGCGGAAGGATGCGCAGCAATCCAGTCGAGCGCTTTTTGAATCAATACAGGAATAGGTGGCGGTGTTGGAATATGAGCACCTTCAGGTTTAAATCCGTCCTTATCAGCATCATATTTTAAAGATATTGGTACACCATCATCACCTGTATAAGAAAATTCACCAACAGCTTTCATAGCTTCATTTTCTGTTCCAGCATTTTCAAGTTGCCCTTCTTCTTGTGCTTTAATTCCATTTCCAGATTCATAAGACCATTTGTACGATCCATCAGGATTTGGTCCATCTTGTGATTGACTTACAATAGGAATTACATTGTCCGCTGGTGCTGATGCGATTGGATTAATTACAATCGCAACGATCAAAATGATCTAAAAAAAAATAATCCGTCAATTGTATAATATTTCAATGAAAAATATCAAAAATTATAATCCTAATTATATTTAGTAAAATTATAAACATTAATTGTATTTAGATAAATAAAAAACATAAATTATTAATCGTAGAAAAATTTTTAATTTGACATTTTATATTTTATCATTCATATTCATACATGTATATGACAATTAAAGACACCGTAACATAACATTCATTGAATATAATAAATTTTAATGTCAGTTTATATAAGTATGTTGTAAATGTTGATAGTCGAGCTAATTCAGCAGATTTCAAAGAAATATTAAGAGAATTTAATTATAAATAATTGGAAAAAAAAACACTAATAGCACTACTAACAATTGATGAATAATCATTATTTGATAAAGTCAGGATGATTAGTTGATTAATTCCTGTAATACGAATTCACTATACACTAATAAGTTATAGATAAAACGTTATTTCTACAAAACTAATTGAAGTTTGACACAACTATCTTGACCAACTTGTCTTTATTATTGATAGATAAATATATGTATTGCGAAAAGGACCGAAAACTTACCAGTTGTCCGTACATGCTGGAACGTCGTTTAAGCTCTAACGACTGAATGTTTACACTCGCTAGCATACCACCAGCATATATACCCCCTGGATCCGCATTACCAATACTTGCTACTATCGTTTGAACGATCCATTGGTTGCCGACAACCTTACGACTAATGTTTTAACAACATAGAGTCACATTAGAATACTGCAACGAACATGTACAAAGTTTTACCACATTTACATGTAGGAAAACAACAACACAGTACACACATGTGTACATGAAGTGCCACCTACCTGTAGAAGGATCACGGTGTCGCGATGTAATGTTTAAATGTCATGGGGTCCTCAGCAGCAATGAACGTTTAAAAGACGCTTACTCAATTGTCATAATTTTCTGTACTCGCTTTCACGTATTTTTTAGGCTCATTATTTTATTTAAATGATGACGAACTGACTTATGAATATGGGGAAATTAAGTGATTACTCTTGAATCTTTATTTTGTGTTTATTTATTTCTATTGATATATATGTCTATTACCATCATATCATTCAAGACTCATTTTCTTATATGTCAAGGTCGAGTGTCTTCTTACTCAAGCACACGCGAATCTTCACTTATATTTATAACCCATTGAAAAACGTGATCATCCAATGCGTTTGCATTTCTATATTTTATTCATGCATTTGAAGAATTTACCAGCACATTAAATAAATTAAAAAAAAAAAAAACAGATTACCATAACATTACTTTGTATTAATTATTTTATTTTTCTCTTATTGTTATTATTATTACTATTTAAAAAAAGAAAATAATTATGACAATTATTTTCTCAATTGTCGATTAAAAATATTACAAAATGATTTTATCACTCACTCACACACATGGTTTATTATAAACAAAACAATCTATTTAAACTGTCCAATCAATAAAAGAATACTCAATAAAGTAATTCATTAAATATCTTAATCACATATTAAAATAATAAACTCTCTCTCTCTCTCTCTCTCTCACACACACACACACACACACACACACTTATGCACGTTTATATCAGTTATTTTTCTCAATGAAATAATGATCATAGTAATCATAGAGAAATAAATCACTTTCTGAGATTATCTTCCTCTGGATGGGCAGCAATCCATTCGAGAGCCTTGAGGATGGCTGGTGGTATTTCAGGAGCGACAGGAAGATGATCACCCTTTGGTTGGAATCCATTCTCGTCAGCAATATAAGACAATTGAATGTTGCTACCATCTTCAGCGGTGTATTGATAAGATCCTTGAACTGACATAGCACCTTCATCCTTGTTATTTTGTGATGCTACGACAGATCCTTGCTCTTGGGCCTGAATGCCATTGCTTGTTTCAAATGAATAAGAGTAAGATCCTTCTGGATTAGGACCATCTCGAGATTCATTGATAATAGTAGCAGGAGTTGCAAGATCACCCTGAGGAGCTCCAAGAATTGTAACTGCTCCTAACAGCATCAGAACGATGATTGATTTCTACAAATAATAACATGTAAATGATGAATAAAATAATTTAATGATAATGATTGAATTGATTATAATGAAACTTACCGTAGAGTTCATGATGGAGTTTGAGAGTGAATTTTTGGTAGGTTTAGTTGGTTTGTGATGACGAAGGCTGCTACGCCTCTGACTTTTATAGCACTGCTGAAACCTTTGTAAGAGTAGAGGTACCAGTTCTCCCTCTCAATCGGTCCATACTTGTGTATTTTGGTAGTCAAGTATAGTTAATACTACACCAAATAGCTTGCGAAATATTTAGTGTCCCTCCAATGATTGGTTCCTCTAATTTTTCTTTCATAATTTAATGTGACTTCTCTCATTGATATTATGACTGTTGTTGTATTACAAGATGACAAAATGAAAAATATAAATATATGTAAGAATAACTACTATATATTATTTATAAACATAAAAATAATGTGAAATATTTTGAAGGTGACACATGCAATAAACTCGATAAATTTACTCATCGTCATTAATATTAATGATGATGATAACGAAATAGTAATAGAGAATATTCCAAGATATCATTTCTTGGGAATTATTTTAGACTTATCCATCTCATCAACTGATATCAACAGGAATTGTTCAAAAGTGTATACTAAACCTGTCTGCACGAATTTTTTTAAATTAGCAAAAATATCTTGGAATACATTTAAAAACATTTGATTGGAGATTTATTAAGTCTGTGATCATCCCATGACTTTCTAATTACAACTTTTTTACTTTTTTAAACTATCCTCTAATTAATTCTCTACACCATAAAGTGTTCAAGGACAAAGAATAATGCCTGAAGGCTGGATAAAATACCGAGAGGTATAATATTAATGTGAGATATTGAGAAAAAAACATCCCGATAATGTTTATTTAAACGTTAATCACTAACAATTAAGACAAGAATGGTAGAATATGTAAATGAAGTATGCTTCCAACTGTGTGTTAATCACAAATTTATTACTTAAATTTGAGACGAGGTAGCCTGCAGTACGATTATTTCAATTATATCGTCTAGGAAAGTCGTTTCAAGACCTACAGAGGATGTAGATCCCTACGTAATAGATGGACAAATTTGAATGACGCAATAAAGTTGTTAGCAACACCAGAAGCAACAGTAGCAGCAATAGGGCCGTAATGATCACCGTTGCGGAACATTTGCCTGCAGCATCAAAATATATTCTTCAAAGTTATCTTGCGCGAGAAAACATATTGTATTTATGGGGGGAGCATCTGCCGACCACGCGTGAAAGTAAAAATCCCGTAGTATTTGGGTTAGCGTTGACGACCTCTGAGTAGGGGCCACATCGATATGAAAAAAAAGAAGCTATCAAGATGAATATTTGTATATGCGATGAGAATGAATGGCCAAGGCGATGATCTACTTAAAGACGGTTGGTCAGTCACAAAATATAACAGCTATCGTGCTGAATTAAATGTTATAAATAATCATTTAATGGTAATAACAGCCAAGGGAGAGATGCGAAGATGCATACATGGAAAAACAATTTGAGATGTTGGCCCTGAAATTGACCAGTTTCATATCATAAGAAGGTGATGAAGATGATGATGCTCATCAGCTATAGATGCTTTGAAATACCAAACTGGTCCTGCGCAATTGCGCCATCGAATTTCGAATTTACTTTCTTTTTGTAACTCCCAAAAGAATATAGAAAAAAAAATGTCATCATATTGTTATTTCTCTTATGCAACTAATCAAAATTAAATTGGCAGCATCAATGGCTGACGATTATAAATCTCTTTCACTTATTTAGTTCTTCATATCGATATCTTACTATTTCACTTTATTTTCTCTTGCTTACTTCAATGATAATGCTGTCATGACTAAATGAACAATTTAATTAATCATGCGAAAAATACTTTTATGACAATAGAGAGCAACGAAAGTTTTATAGATGTGACCTTTTCAATTTTAATTAGAGAACTTGAAGAATCCGGATGTAAAGTGATGGTCTTGGACATACGTTAAAGACCTCCAGATGTTTAAGTTAGCATCCGTAGAGATGAAGAAAGAATATTTGGAGAGGAACCGATGACGGAATTGAAGAAGAATGGGAGGGAGGGATTTAATAAGGTATTACCTTACCAAAGATTCGTCATCATGTGTGGTGGATATAAAAGTCGAAGACATTTGGTAGGTACCAAGTCAGTGCAGTGTGAGATATTGATCGTGTATCATCACCACCAAATTCTAACAATCATGTATAAATCGGTAAGTCGAAAAATTTTTATTTATTTATTTTTAATATTTATTCTAAATTATATTTATACTTTTAAATTTTTATTTCACAATTATTTTTAAATCGTGATATTTCAGATAATCATTTTGGGTTTAGTGTCCGCTATTTTCGCGGCACCAGCCCAAGAAGAAACTACACCAATTCCTATTTTGAAAATGAACCATGATGGACCTAACCCTGATGGATCATACAACTGGGCTTATGAGACAGGAAATGGAATCCAAGCGCAAGAACAAGGTGCATTCGAGCCATCCCAAAACGAGAACGAAGGTACCATGAGAGTTCAAGGATCTTATCGTTATACCGATGCTGACGGAACTGTATATGAAGTTATATACACTGCCGATGAAAATGGTTTCCAACCCCAAGGAGCCCATCTTCCAACTCCACCACCTATTCCTGAAGATATTGCCAAAGCTCTTGAATACATTGCAGCTCATCCTGAAGAAAACAACATTGACGCACCCAAACAATAAATCAGTTTATTGTATTTCAACCATTTGAAGAAATTATTTTTATATAATTACATTTTTTTTTCTTTCTAATTAATTTTATTGGAAATTATCAATCACTGTTGAGTAATTTGCATTTAATAATTTTACTTAAAAAATGTACAAAATATGTCAATATGAGTAAACAATCAAAACTGTTGTCATTTTTATGATAGACATTTTTTCTTCAATATTTAACATGATTTGGTATTTAAACATTAGTATCAAGATTATTAATTTAATTGCAAATTAATTGTTACAACAATTATTCATCAATTAATTATCGAACGAAACAAAATTGATAAATAAATAAAATAAAAATATCTAAATTAGATAATAAAATTTTTTTATTTATTTTAATACATATTTTTTTCCTCTGAATTGAATATTTTATTTCATAGACTTTTTATGTTTATCTCGAATTTTTTCTGTCAATATTTTTAGATATAATCGACTGTTAAGAAATTTCAAATAATCATAAATTCATCTCATCGTAGACTTCAAATAAAATTAAGTTTACTTTTTATTCTACAAACAAAAACACAACTTTTTTGTAATTTTTTATTGTGTTCTATCTAATAATTTTTACTAATCTGTTATCATACAAAACTTTTAATTAGATTTTCAATAGAAATATTCGTTCGGTTAAATCTACTAAAAATTTAAAGAAAAAAATCAATGAAATATCGATGTTGATCGACGATTTGAACGTCCATGTATATCTCAGTGAAAGTGAGAGCGCAAACGAGAGAATAATATTTACTGGGATCGATGTAGCAGTGGGAAGAGGATTGGATTATTCTTGGAACGATAAAACTTTTTTTTCTTTTTCTCAAGATTTCGAATATTTAAAATTAGTTTTTTCTCATCATCTATCGACATGACATACATTTTATTGAAATTAAAAAAAATAACAAATTCTTTACATTTTTCTCGACAAGTTTTTTGTAATCTATATAATATAATACTTACGTAATAATATATGAGTAGCACTCATTTGATTACTAAATTCAATTTTTAAAATTGAAATTAAACAAATATTTATAAAAAAAAAAAAAAAAATGAATAGTAATTTAAATTATTAAGACTTTTTTAAAAAACTAAAAATTTTTTTTTATTAATTAATCTATAACGGCTTATTAAACTGACTTCTGAATTTAGGATCTTTGGAGGATTTTTTTTCAGTTGATGCAGCTGGTCTTACTTGTTGAATTGGACGTTCAGTTTGATCGTCATAAGATTCTTCAGTAGTAGAGGGTTGTTTAGCTAACCATTCTAGTGCTCGTTGAATTTCTGGTGGTATTGGTGGAGGTGTTGGAACATGTGTACCAACAATTTGTGATCCAAATTCATCAGCAGTCCAACTTAATGATACTGGAGTACCATCAGGTGCATTATACTGGACTGATCCTTGAATTAACTGAGTTTCATCAGCCGTACCAGCGTATTTTCGACTGCCAATTTCTTTTTGTAAGATTCCACCATCAGTTTCATAACTCACCGAATACTGGCCAAGACGATCTCCAACATTTCTTGATTCACTAATTATTTTTTCAGGCTCTCGAAAGTATTCTTGACCACGTGTTGTGCTGAAAAGCAGCAAAATGATCCCCTAAATCATGTAATAATGACAATTAACAGTCAATTAATCAATAGTCACATTAATAAATCAATAATAAAAATTAAAAAATAGGGTCTAGACTTACAAAAATGAACATTTTGGTGATAAAAAAGTGATTCTTGTGGTGGTGGTGATACACTTTATGTAGTTTATAATCCTTTGAGAAAGTGCAATGAATACGAGTTGGTAAGAAAAAGGCAGCGTTCCATATAAAGATCACTCGGATGGTTGCTGCGGAGAAGTTCGCGAGCAACTCTGGGGCAGCTGGGGGCACAGCCGACCTTTATACTGTCCGTCTACACTGAGTCTAGGCCTTTACATAACCCGGGAAAGTGTATACATATTTCGGCGCAACGTTCCCCTATCTTAATGCAAAAACTCCTTACTCCTTTTTTCATCCCCATTCAATGAGACAACATTTATCAATTTAAATAAATATATATACATACATAATTAACAATTAATTCATTTAATATAATTTAAAAATTACTATTAATTTCAATGATGATGATGATGATGATGATGATGATGATAATAATAATAATAATAATTATCATCATCATCATCGTCATCATCATTATCATCCTTTGACTCTCGAGAACATTTATTCCGTGGGAATGAACTCTGTAAATGCATACATAGTCCTTGGCCCCGCTTGCTCCTTATACTATACTGTTGCAGAAGATTGTCGAGAGAATATCTTCACAAGTAAGCTCTGTATTATTGCAAATTGCAATTAAACTGCAAAAATATAAATTGATTCATATCAGGGATTGAATATCAAGTGAAAGGGAGCTCGTTAACAATCTCATGTAAATAGTATACATTATATTAATCACTTAATTCTATTTCATATATTTTTATTCGTTGTCTAATGAATTTTATTTTAATATTTAATGAATTAACAGTAGCTATCTGTATCATCTAAAAAAATGATTTAGTTATTAGATAAAAATAATTGTGTTTCAAAATTGTCATTAAAATAATTTATAATCATCTAATGTCCTTGTAATTATTCAAATTGACCGAAAAATTTTATCAAATGAAAGTCTTGTTTCATTACAGTTATATTATTATGATTTTTGTAATAAAAATATCAACGAAAGTTAAAAGACAGAGAGAAGTAATCAATAATTGGCATGTGTTTAAAATGAAAGATTTCGAATTCTATAAATATTTACAAACTTTTTAAAATGCAAGTATTCTCTTTTTACATATTACGGAACAGTGTAGTGATAATAAATCAAATTAATGTATAAACACATATTGACACGAATACAGGCATATTTGTGTTTGTATTTTTTCAGCCATCTATTGGTGGAGAAGAAAACATGAAGGTGAAATCGAGCAATAAATGTACGCAGTCGGTCACTCAGATCAACTGCGTGATATAAAGAATCCTTTCAATCATTTGAAGCGCGAGAATGATTACAGATTCGCATTCGCGCGCTTTCGGTTCGGTTCGGCATTCGGACTCGGTTTAGCTCGGTTCCATTATCACGGGCGCGACCGAGAGAGATCCACCGTGGCTGTCCGGTGTGGTGACGCCGCGTGGCACCATTGGTGAGAGGTCTACTGATCGGTGTTCCATTTTATTATTCCTTCATCATCATATATACACATATTTATTCTTCTTTCCGTTCCAACAGACTCTTCATACTTGACTGCATTGTTCGCTGACAATCGTAACTACATCCGGCTGCGCACTCGATCATACTCTGAAGAGGATCTAGATCGCGCCGGCGCACATTAGTCATCTTGCGGAGGAGCAATCGCCGTGTGCTTGGATCCCTCAGCCACAATCAAACGCCAACCGCCACGTGTGTCACACCTGTGTCTCTTAATAAATGTCATTAGGATATTTATTTTCACACTTCTGTTATGTGCAGGTGAAACAATAATGTTGACTAATATAAAAGGATCTCAGTGTTTTATAAACATCAGTCATATCAATTCTATCACTGGATATCAATCTATTATTTTATTATCGTCAAGTGGAGTCACTAAAAGAGTCTTGTAAAAAATTATGTTATTATCTTGACAATATATACGAGGGATTAGCTCCCACTAACAGTGAACGGAAGAGTCATTTAATAATACGATGTTTATATGGGGAAACAATAATTTGAAATATTATTAAATGTATGAATAACTAGAGGTCTTAGAGAATTCACTTGAATTCATTGACCCACATTTTCATAGATCGCGATTACTTTTAATCAGTGATTTTAACAAGATTAAGAAGTTTAGAAGATAAAGTGACATATTAATATTACTATCTATAAAGTACCAGCATAATGGATTCTTCAAGTACTGACGCCAGTAAAATGTCTCTCTTGAAGCCGCAAGCACAGCAACTCAACAGCTCGCGTGTTGGACTGATTCCTAAACCAGCAAGTATCCGTAAAATGAGTACAATGCCTGAAGAAGAAAGTTCTGAAGATTTCGACACAAGTAATGCTCATCAAATTGCTGTTATGAACTTGGGCCAACATGATATTGATTCTGATTCTCCAAGTGATCACGAACGTGAACGTGGAAGATTATTGAGTGCTGGGAGTCGAAGAATTGTTATTAAACCAGTTAGTACAGGAAGTATTGGATCAGGAAGTAATGGAAATGGTGGTAAAAAAATTTATTATAGAACAGATAGTTCAGATAGCATTCATGATAAAACATCGAAAACAAAAGAAGATGAAACATTATTAAGAAGAAATGCAAGTCAAGGATTATATCGCGAAAACTCGGTACATGGAGGACGAATAAGTAGAGGTGTTGAACTTTGCAGCAGTGGTCGTCATAGATATCCAAGTATGCGATCTTTAAAGTCAAATCATACAGATGAACATCATCATCCTCCAGCATCAAGTTGGGCGTCAATTCCTTTTGCGGACACACCTCAAGGTCAATCACCAGCTCGAGTACCTTTTCCGGATTCCGTATCAATTCGTTCTCTTGCCTCAATTGGTTTAGGATCTTCTGATGGCCGCAAATTAACGATCAGACGAGTTCCAACATCTCCTTCCGAATTACTCAATATGGTCCATCCACCAACGTAAGTTGTAATTCAATATTTATATCATTTTTAAATTTATCAAGCATCTAAAAAAATGCCATAAAAGTTCATACTTTTATTAGTGTATTTAATAAAAAATACATTTACAGGCCAGTGGATGATGACTCGTCGACATGTGATAGTTATGATTACGGTAATGCTGATGATTCAAGTGATTATCGTCATCCAAAAAGACCTCATTGGGCGAACAAGGCACAATTTGTACTTGCGTGTATTGGCTATTCAGTAGGACTCGGTAATGTCTGGAGATTTCCGTACCTGTGTTACAACAGCGGTGGAGGTGAGTTAATGAAAATCAGGAAGTCTGTATCTTTTCAATTGTCAAAATTATTGTTAATGCAAGCATGTAGATAATCATTAAATGTATAGTTAGAAGACTAAAGCAAGGTCAGTGGATGTAGCTCTTTATTATTATATTAAGTGGTGATCGTTCTCACTCAATGTATAGCGGACATTGAAGCCAAGTGACCATCAGGATTGGACAGGTGACGATGATGAATTAAGTTAAAAACGTATTTGTAATAGACGAGTAATTGAGATTTTATTGAATTTCGCATGTAATTATTATAATAAGAGATGGGATAAGTCAGTATTCAAGGTCATGTATCAAGTTCCCGGCCGGATTATTGCGCCACGTCCGTTTCCTCTAACATTGTATAGACTTTGAAAATTGTGCGTAATTTAACACCTACTTTGGCTGCGTCTATTACATGCCCTTGTACCGAATAATATCTACATGTAGGTGTGATAAATTGCGTGCTAATATTTACGTACATTTAAAGACATGAAGAATGATAAGGTTGATGATGTGCCAGCATACTCTTCTATCATGTCACCAGAGACGACGACGATAGTCTTTCACATGATTAACTAGTACTATCTGTTGATGATGATGAGGACATTAAGAATAAAATACTCATTCTTATCAATGGACATGTAACGTAAAATAAGTTTCTTTACATTATGTAATCTTATGTGTTAAGTTTAAATTACTACGGCTATTATAATTTATACTTAACTTTGTAATTTATCGGACATAGTAAATTATAAGAGCAACTTCTTGATAGTATACCCTTCAAATTCATTATTTCAAATTAAAACAAATGTAGTATCGTATATGAAATAATGAATGAATACTTGAATTTTTTATTGTTATATTATATTCTATGCACCTCATTCATTAACAAAAAACAATTCATATTACATTAAGATTTATTCTTAGTTTTTAGTGCAATAGAACATTCTATATGAATGTAAAAAGATCTTTTATCGGTCATTCAATGCTACCAATTCATACAACTATGCTTTTTTATTATCGAACAATAGAAAAAAAAAAATATATTCATATCCTCAGAAAAATACAAATGGAGGACGCAATTGCGTGCCATGAAACGGAAGTTTCCTCTCTATTAGAAACTCTATTAGCTACTGAGTTATATGTGTAATTTAATTGCCAAGTTTCAGACTCTTTTTATGTGTTTCCAACAAATTTAACATCATTGTGATGTATCACAAACTCAACTCAATTAATTAAATAAACTTAGGCAAACCGATAATTATTTGTTTTACATTTTAGGAGTATTCCTGATTCCTTACTTTATCATTCTTGTGGTTTGTGGATTTCCTCTGCTATACATGGAATTAGCAATTGGTCAATTTACTCGTCGTGGTCCGATTGGTGCTCTTGGCCAAATTTGTCCTCTTTTTAAAGGTATTCATTTCATTATATTGATTATTAATATTGCCGTTTTACAAAAAATACTTTGTTTACATTCCAAGCATAATTTTGCATTTATTTTCAATGATATTGCTTGTATTTCAATTTAACGTGAACTTACATAAAAATTATACCTGAAAATATTATCTTTTTGTTATTTGTCTTTCATTAATTCTTATCGAAAGTCTCATTTTTTTAAAATAAATTTCTATTATTTCTTAAAATGTGAGTATATTTTATAATAATACAAGTATAAATGTAATATAAATATATCAATTGAAATAATTAATAATTATAATGAATTTTTTTAAACGTATAGTAAAAAATTCAAAAAAAACTAGAAAAAAAAACAATTTATTTTATGAGACAATAAAATGCAAGATGATAAGATAATAAAAAATGATAAAAGAAATGCAATGAATTTCACAAAAAATAGGTGCTGGTTTGTCATCTGTGGTGATATCATTCCTCCTGTCAACTTACCACAACGTGATAATAGCCTACGCAATATATTATTTATTCACGGCTTTCAAAACCGAGCCGCCTTGGTCGAATTGCAATCATTCCTGGAATACACCTGCTTGCTGGCATCCTGAGAACAACGATAATCGTAGTAGACCTAATACATCCCGGACACCTTCGGAGGAATTTTTCGAGTAACTGGAATTTCGTTAGTTCTACAAATATAATATAATAATCATGAGCTTGCGTGAATTATTTAAATTAAAACGGTGTAAGGCAAGTAATCAGGGTGAATACGAGTAACAAGGCAAATCCCTTCCATATATTTAGCAAGAAAGTACTGCAGATAAGCTCTGGAATTGAGGAGCCTGGAATACTAAGATGGGAGCTAGTCGCTTGCTTGATAACAGCCTGGGTGATGGTTTACTTCTCCATATGGAAATCAATCAAGTCTTCAGCACAAGTCAGATACCTTACTGCTACACTTCCATTCCTCCTTATTTTTGGATTTCTCTTACGGTCTCTGACACTTCCGGGTGCTGACAAAGGTCTTCAATTCTTCTTTCGACCTCAATGGGAACTTTTGGGTAATGCCAAGGTAATTTTATTGTCAATATATATATATAATCTACATTCAATATAAATCATTAATGATCTATATTTTTTTTTGTTTGCTAATTTTTATAATGATGTTTCTTCTTCTCAGGTCTGGGTTAACGCAGCTGCACAAATATTTAATTCTTATGGTATTGCCTTTGGATCAATGATATGTTTTGCAAGTTACAATAAATTTCATAACAATATTTTCATCGATACACTTGCAGTTTCATTAATAAATGCACTTAGTTGTTTACTCGTTGGAATATTTGCTTTTGCTGTCATTGGCAATATCGCGTTAGAGCAGAACACCACCGTCAAAGCGGTACTCTCTGATGGTAGGTTTTATATTTAAGAAAAAACTTGATTTTTCTGACAATTTAATATTTGTAAAAGAGTATTTCAGTTTTAAAATAGGCCTTCTACAATGTAGTTAAACCAATGTTTACATAAAATAATAATTTTTTTTTTTACATCAATCAACATAAAAAAATCTTTATTCTTAGAATAATTACTTTAGAATATTTAAAAAAAAACACATTCTTGAATACATGAATTTAAAATTTACCTTCAAAGGTTTTGTAATTAAGGAAGTGATTATTTCTTAATTTGAACGAATTGTTACTTTTTTATTTCAATTGTAAAAGTAAAATAATAGTAACAGAATTTAGCAAAGAGTTATTGAAAATTTCAATGATAAAAGATTTATTGTAAAAATAATGAATGAAAAAGTTTTTTTAAAAAAAGAAAAATAACAAAAAAATGTATTGTTTTCTTTAATAATACATAATTGTATTTAATGTATAAATAAATTTTTTATTAAATATATTTAGTTTCACCTCGAGTTACTATTTGCTAATCAATGAATGCAAATTTAAATATTTTATTTTCGTTCAAGGACCGGGTCTGGTGTTTGTCGTGTACCCTCAGGCCTTGGCAAAAATGCCCGCGTCCCAATTATGGGCTGTTTTATTCTTCTTCATGCTCGTTTGCCTTTCATTGAATAGTCAAGTAAGTATTTAATTTCTTATTTATTTTTATTTATTAGTAAAATATATACTACTAATTTATTATCTCTACCAGTTTGCAGTTGTTGAGGTTGTAGTGACGTCAATACAGGATGGATTTCCCAACTGGGTAAAGAAAAATTTACTCTGTCACGAGATGCTTGTTCTTATCATTTGCGCAGTATCATTTGTCTGTGGATTACCTAATGTGTCGCAGGTTCGACAATTTAAACGAAAACTTATCATAACTATAAACATTTATGTATCTGTATTTATAATTTTATTATTGTTTTTAGGGAGGAATATTTTTCTTTCAGCTAATTGACCATTATGCCGCATCCATTTCAATAATGTTTCTAGCATTTTTTGAAGTAATAGCAATCTCCTGGTTTTATGGAGTACGTAGACTATGCAGTAATGTTTCAGAAATGACTGGAAGGGTTCCATCAATGTATATTCAATTTTGTTGGTTCATAGCAGCACCACTTCTAATTATGGTAACGAAAATTTCATTATAAAAGATACGTGAAAGTAACTGAATTATTAAAATACATGGTTATTGAGTTGACAAGTTTATATATTAATTTCATTTTAGATACTTGAAAATTCTTTTAAAATGTCATCGATCGAAATTATAGAATATTTTTCATGAAAAAAATGCATAAAAAAATTGAAAGAATTTTCAGTGATAGTTATTTAATAATTATAATTGACTGTAAAATATATATATTTTAGGCTGTTTGGGTATTTAGTTTAATTGATTATCGACGTCCAACATATGGGAATGGAGCTTATCAATATCCATGGTGGGCAGAAGCCATTGGTTGGGGAATAGCGTCCTTGTCTCTGATCTGCATTCCAGCATTCGCTGTTTACGTACTCATTAGATCCGAGGGCATTACTTTCACTGAGGTATTTATGGCGTAATTTGTATTAAAGTGGCCTTGAATATAAATTAATTCATTTGTTTAATAAAATTTCAGAAGCTTCGTAATTCTATTAGACCATCTTTTGAAGCATGTAAGATGTGTAGACAAGAATATTGTACTCAACCATTACACAACATCGAAGACCAAGTTGTTAAACAACCACTCCAAGAAATGAATAGTCTGATTCAGTCAGTTCCAGTAAATTTTATTGCTGAAAAGCCACAAACATAACGTTAATCATAGTTTAGTTATCTAATGAAATTTGATTTTATTATAAATATTATATTGTATTATAAATGATATGAATATTTTAATAGATCATTAGAAGTGCCAAATTAATTTACGGCTGACCAAAGAATGGCCAATTAGAGATTAAAAATCATCAGCCGAATAGTTTCAGTAGATTATGTATATTATTATATCAATATTTTATTTGAAATTTTTACAAAAAGTAATTATTCAATTTCTTGATGGCATTAAATTTATTTTAAATAAGAAAAATAATAATAAAAAATAAACTATTTCTACTCAATAAAATAAACAGAGCCATCGAACGACACAAATATTCTTGACAATAATAAATGTATTTATGATTGATTAAGGATATTTAGAAATATCCTATAGAATTATAGAATAAATAGAAATCAAATCAATTGCCCAATTTTTGAAAAATAATTAAAAAAATTTAATGTCTGGTTAATTTAGTAAAAAATTATTATTATTATTATTATTATTATTATTATTATTATTATTATTATATGTTAATGTTACAGTTTTATGAACTTTTAAAAGTTCATTTTATCTGATTTTTGAAAATTTTGTCTTCAATAATTATAATAATATAATGATTTTTTAATTTAATAAATTGTAAATATTAAAAGTTTAAAATACAAAAAATATCTCAATGTGAATTTAAAAAAATTCTTATAAAAGTTTAAAAGATTTGAAATTGGGTAGTATTGATTTGTTAATTATAATTACAATAATAAAGTGATGATATTGTACTCTATACATTTAAATATTAATGTTATTTATATTATATATATATAAAAAATATAGCAATAATTTAATTATAATTCACCATATTTACTATTGAGTATTTTTAAATTGACATTTAATAGCTGTAAATCACTTTATTTCTAGTAGAAACTTTTTCATAGGACATACGTGCGTAATCAAAATTATATCACAACGCGAGGGATGAGTAAGCGATAAATTCGTTAACGTACTAGTTTTCCTGATGATAAAATGCAAGGGGATGGTAACAGAGTGGGGACAATGGGGTTGCGCCGTATCGAGAAAGCTCTTCTCCCTTCGCCTCATGTCCATACATATGTAGTATAGCTACTGGGCTTGATACTGCGAGAACTATCCACCTCAGTAAGCTATCGTGCGTGCTCATAAGCTCTTCGTAATTTATAAAATTATTTGTGAAAAATTCGTTTATATCAATCAGTCCGTTAAAAATAGTTTTTCATAATTTTGTTGATATTGATATATGTAAATGAATATTTAACTCATTGTGTTATTAGCTGATTCATTATTTCAACAAAAAATTACGTAAGAATTTTGACAATTAATTTATTTTTAAATTTATTTTGATATTTTGGATATAAAAAATATATTCAAATATAAAAGTTTCACTTAATGTTCAACTACTTGTTGCTCAGACCACGTGTCTTTTGTATTCTACGACTATTATCTGTATTGTTCACTGATTTCATCATTCTACTTAATCTGGAATCATAAATGATTTTGTTGAAAAGAGGTTTAGATACGTAAACGACAAATTAAAGAAATATGATAATAACACTAATTATGATTTAGTAATATAATTTCACAATATATACCGAGTCGAAATTTTAATTAGGTCCTAAGTAGATTTGTTAATTTATTATTAATATCTCATTGGTCCTCAAGCATATTTAACTGAAATTTCTAGTTGAGATAAAGTCACACATCAATATATAGAATAGAAGAAAAAAAAATTATACTCGAAGTGAGAATGATTGGCGATAAATTGCATGTCTATCATAGTGTTTATCTTTCGCTTGATATAACTCTTCAGAATTTAATAAGAAGCTTATGCATACAAATGTGTATAAATGTATATTCATATCTTGATATAATTTTTAGCGACAGTTCGAAGCTTGTCATTTGGATACTTAAATAACGTAATGTTTATTAATAAAAAAAAATAATAGAGAAATCAATATATAATAGCTTTTGAGTATATTTTATTAGCTTAGAACAAATTTAAGAAAAATGTAGATAGTGACATGAATATGCCACGTGCCTTTACTTGGACATATTTATTCTCTATGTACAGGTAAAGGGTATATCTTGGTAATAGAGAGTGAGAGAGCGCAGAATAAAGTGGTAGACGATCGATAGTAAAACCAATACCCGTAAGAGACGCAAATGGACGAAAGCGTAATTTGTCCCTCGTACATAAACGCTAACGTACTGATGTGCTACTTGAATGTTGAGTTCTTTATATTCTTCTTTAGATCACAGTTACCTACATAAGAGTTAAATGATTATTAAATTAGTCGTAATAGCTCAGCTCGTCGCCTTGTTGAATTAAAACAGCTTCAGACTCATCAAGGATTGACGGAAGAGGATTAAAGTCCTTTTATGTTATCATATATAACATAATGTTAATTAAATTATTTATCAATTATTTTTTTTTAATTAAAAAAAATATCATTACAATTATCGAGTAAGTTACATTAATTCATCAGAATAATTTACGTAAAAAGGATTTTTATAGAATAGATTTTAATTTTACATTTTTATAGATATAATTTAAACTTCTTATAATTCCCGTCTATATGGAAATTTTCCTACTTGAATAGTATTCAATAATCATTTCTGTGTAAATTATAAAATTAAAAAATTATCCATGATTACAGTTGAAATGAGTTAAAATTATATGTTGTACAGTAATCAAGAATGCGTTCAACAAAATTCATTCAAGTTAAAAACAATACTAATTTCTGTATTGTATTACGTATTTGTGTTACGTACATTTAATTACTGTACAGTGCATGACTCAATCTGTAAATACTTTTATGAGTATTCTGCAAACAGACTTGACTTGAATATTAAATAAAATTGAAAAAGAAAATAGAATAAAAAAATCTTAATTAAAAAAATATTAATAAAGTTATGTGAAATATTATACTCAATAATATTCTACATATTTAAACAAAAGAATAGTTTTTCTGTATTATATAATCATGAAAATATGATAGTAGGAATAATGAGTTATTTATTTAACAACAATACAATGAGAAAAACTGTGAAAATTTACAGTAAAAATGTCACCGCTGAACGGATCTTGTGTAGCTGAGTCAAGCTCTGTACGAAGCCTTTCATCTGACGATGTTTCAGCAAGTAAATCCAGCAAAAAAAAATCCTGTTGGACAAGAGCGACAGATCCTGCTCACCGTCGTGGACGTAGGATCCAATTACTTCAGATGCTAGTGCTTCCTTTTATACCGATACTAGCTTTGATTGTTCAAACTGCTAATACTCTTCATGATATTCTCATCTATAGACAGGAAGTTTCTGATATTGAAACTCAGGTAAGTTGATTGCTTTAGAGCAAATAAAACTTCAGTAATATATTTTCATCTTCTTCTATTTTGTATCTGTAATTTAGTAAAATTAAATTTTTTATACTTTATTACTGTAAATATATTTGTAAATACTTTGAAAAAAAATATATCCTACGAGTGTATTTATTTCAAGTGCTTTATAAATTTAACTAGTGTTTTAATTATTTACTTTATCGAGTAAATTTAAATTATATGTTTATTATTATGTTGAATAAAAAAAATTTCATATTTTGATAGAATCAAATAGTATTGTTAGAAAAAATTCACATAGAAATAAGTCAATATTAATATACGTTTTATTGTAAAACAAGTTATAAATATACTTAAAACAATGATTGAATGAGCAAAAATATATTATAATTGACTGTAATAATAAAATTGTTATAATTAAAAGAAAAAAATATCCGTGCTTTCCAGTGGTCGGGGTGCGACCCGAAAGGTCCACACAACTAACTTCCCAGTAGAAAGAATGATAAGAATTAGCTATTTGTTCAGTTTTTTAATTATGCAAAAAGAATAGCTAAACCGATTTTGCTAAAAATCTAATCAGTTCTAAGTTGTGTCATTATGCGCTGGGGATCTTAAAACGTGAAGATATGTCAAAATTCGGGATTTACGAAATCAGATCCATTACTATAACTTCCCACTAAGAAGTTAAAAATATTCTATAGTAAAAAATTATTCATGCTATTTATTATAATTAGAAAGTTCTTTACATATACAATTTTATGATTAGTGTAGGAAAACAAAAAAGTTCAATCTATGAGAAGTAAAAACGGAAATTTAACTAAAATAGATTATTTTTACCGACTTATTGTGAATAAAGAAATGTATGTTTATAAGTGATTTAAAAAAAAATTATTATTATTATTATCTTGCGATTCGTCAGGGGTGTTTGGCCAGGGATCCCAGGGCTCCGACCCACCTGGGGCCTGACCAGACGAGATTATCCTGCAGGCACCCGACTCCCTCAGGTTTGAGGGTGAGCCGGGGCTGCAGCCGATCAGTCATTCTTTACAGTCGTCTCAAGATTCGGAGAGAACCAAGGATGACCGCTTTCTGCATACGAGCTGCGAGAATCTCAGCCTGACTACGGTAGACTGGTATTGTTCGAAGCTCTGTCAGAAAGCGGTCCCTCATCCCTCCGAGGGCGCCAATCACCAGGACTATCACGTGCGCTGTGTATTCGTGATAGACATTTCTCATGACCTCCATGAGCTCTCTGTAGCGTTCCTGTTTACTCTCTTCTTTCGCACGTATATTTGTCTCGGCCGGGACTCAATGTAATATACGTGCTTGGTGGTATGGTCGAAAAGAGTAATATCCGGCTTATTGTGTTCAATGCGTTGAGGCGTAGAGAGCGGGTAATTCCAAAGAATTTTTGCTCTCCCGTTCTCAACGACTGACTCAATTTCACCGGGCACATAGGGCAGCACTGGTGTCTTGTCTATTCCGTAAGAGTGCCGAAGGTGGCAATACAGCACTCTTAGGGCGGCGTTATGCCGGTGAATGTAGGCTGAGCGCGCTAATATCAGACAAGCCGATAATACATGAAATAGCGTCTCATCTACATCACCGTGGCAAACTCGGCATCTTGTGTCCTCGAGTTGCTCGTGCATAACATCACGCCGATAGGCGAGGGTGGAAAATACACCATCTTGGCAGGCCATAATGAATCCTTCGGTCTCAGAGAACAAGCCAGCTGACTTAAGGTATTGAAAAGTCAGCTGGTGTGACAAGTCCTGTGTTTCGAGATGCCGGTAGAACACACCATGTAAGGACTTTGCCACATGTTCGTCGAGCAGTTTTAACTGCTCGGTTGTTTTTATATCGACCTTTCGCTGCCCTCTGGTCAATTGCAAAAGCCTTAGACCGTCTGGGCTGCTAGGGTCGAAAACTGAGCCGAGGTTCTGCGCTGCCTGATATGCTGCTCTATATAGGAACGCATCCCTTCCCAATAGTTCAAAGCTGTTCACGAACTTGAGAAGAGGATCAGAGCTCTCATAGATGTCATAAGCAAGGCCTATCACTAACCTGTCATGTAGACACTCCAAACTCAGTAGTCCACGACCTCCCAGATCACGGGGAAAGTATAGGCTCTGGACAGAAGATCGCGGGTGATGACTTCGATATAACGTCATCACTTTCCTCGTGATAATGTCCAGATTTTTAATCTCTCTCTGGAGCCATTTAAGAACTCCGAATGAGTATAGCAAGACTGGGACAGCGAGCAAATTCGTGGCTTTGACTTTGTTAGGGCCTGATAATTCAGAGCCCCATATTCTCTTAAGTCGCCACTTGTACTCGTTGCGGAGAGTATCTTTGATGACAGACACGTCCTGTAAAGGAGATTGTATCTGTCCAAGATATCGGTATGACTCTCCAGCATCCAGATGTTTTATGATGCTCCCGTCTGTAAGCTCGACATTATCACTTCAGTTCGGCGATCTTCCTTTTACTAAGTAAGATGCAAAATAGAAGAGGACTCCTTGCAACCTGTCAAGCCACGTTTGCTGCCACGTTGTTCGTTTATCTGCCTCCATACAGGTTCTATTGCAGTCAAAATCCTCTCGTTCAAAATCTCCGTAAACAATTTATAGAGAGTATTTAGACATGCGACAGGCCTGTAGTTTTTAGGGTTAGACAGATCACCACTTTTGGGGATCAGCACAGTGCGCCCTTCAACGAGCCATCCAGGAATGGGCGTATCTCCTCCCATATATTCTGAGAAGATACGAGCCAGATGCTGGTGGGATAACGTCAATTTCTTCCACCAGAAGGTGGGGATTGCATCTGGCCCAAGGGCAGCCCAGTTCTTTGTGCCCCTTAGAGCATTCCTGATCTCTTCAATGCTGACTCGTTGAAACTCTTCAGGAATTCGTGATAGATGTTCGTCACAGAATTCTCTGAAAAGTTGAAGGGCTGGAGTGTCTACATCTAGCGCACTAGCGCGGCCATATATTTCGGTCCAGTAGGTTTCGACTCTTTCTGCACTTGGAGGCTCATAAGTGACAGGAGCTTGCGGCTTAAGAAAGCGCGAAGGGTCAGATTGGAACAATCTGTTGTCCCTTCGTCGCTTGTACCGCTTTGCTAATGAATTTTTAACAGCCATTAGCGATCTTATTTTGCCTGTGTACCTCTCCTTTAGGATCAGTAACACGGCCATATTCAAAGTGTGATGTTCACGTCTGATACTCGCCACGATACGCCGAATTCTTGGCGTATAAGGCCTGTGAGTATTTAAGTGATCCATCATACTCTGAATACGAGATGCACCCTGTCGAGCCTTCTTGATCTTGGTTGCAATCTGTTCGATGCGTCTTTTCAGGCTTAACTCAGGATTGACAGGTGTTCGTCTGCCCTGAGTAAACCCTCGAGCCACATCATAGACTGCATTGTTGAGTGCAAAAAGGTCTACACTATCTGGTATCCGATGGTCTAGATCTTGGTTAGCGCTAGCTAGGTGTTCTGCAGAGAGCGTAATTTTCCGGAGAAAATTACCCTCTCTGCTGGTAAAGTCCTGTTGATTGGTGCCCTCAGGGGGAGGAGATGGGGGTTCTGCAGTGAGAGAAGGGTGAAACGGGAGTATGCTACACCTCGGTGCGGGTGTCTCGGGTGTCAGTGAGACTTCGTCCTCAGTCTCTGAAGCGTCTGATATTGAAGAGTCAGAGTATGACTCCTCATCTATCCACCGTCGAGACTGAGTATACCGCACCTGCGATGCGAGCGCCGCCTGCGTCAGATGTTGTAACTCTGGGTGCATTTCGCACCATAGAGTATGCAGGCGCCTGGTATAGCCTGAGGTCTGTGGCTCACATCTTTCCCAACACTGCATCAAATCCCGTCTCAGCTCCTCTGTCCACCTGAGACGCTGTAGGGGTGGTCCGTGGTCTACATCCATATTGGAACGTATCATAAGGCCCCTCCCAACTGTTCCATGGCCCTCATCCGAAGAGGGCCAGTTGTGGGGGGCCGTTGCAGGTCTATTGTTAGGAACCTGTAAAAAATCCTTTGCAAGGGTGGTTAGCCCACTGCAAAGGTGGTGATGTTTAACGAAACCGAGATGGATAGTTTCGTTCCTCACGCCCAGAAGGCCATCATCTGTGAGGAGGAAAAACTGGATGTACGGACTTATTTATTATTATTATTATTATTATTAAATAGAGTTATTTAAAAAAATTGTCTACTGTTCCAATGTATTTTCATAAAAGTTTAACTTCAAAATAATTTATTTATGCAATCATCTATTAAACAGCAACCTTTAAATCGATAGAGCTTTTGATTATTAAACAATGAGTCGTAATGTTTAATCCGAGATGTTCTTTTTTCAAATGGCAGGTAATCTGAAGGGGTTTGTCTACATCTCTTAGGGAAAACAGGAGGAGTTTAATGTTATTATACAATTTTAAGAGGAAAGATGCAGAGGTTTAGAACAAACCCATTTTTGAAAAGTCATCTTAGATATTTTTGAAATCTAATATTATTTATTATTTCAAACAAATATAACATAATTATAAAAAGTTTTTTTTATGTTAAAACATTTGAGTTTTAATTGAAAGCAATTATAACTGGAGAACATTCATAATGCCAATTACTCGTTAAGTATTAAATATAATAGAAATTTCATTTTTTACAAGAGTATACTTGAAATATTGAATCAAGATCAGTAATCACAATAAAAATGTCGTAGAGATTTTAGACATTTTAAAGGGCTTCTGACATAAAACTCTTCTAATAAGCTTTAATAATCGTGGTAAATGATCATTTAGATAAAAGTAAATAATAGGAAAATGAAGGAATTAGTAAGAAATTGTGCCAAGGACTGGTGTTGTTTATCCGAGAACTTTCATAATGCCCCGATCGATCAATGAGTGTGTCGTCGTGTAACGAATGTCGAACAAATATAGCACACCCACTATCTTTTCTCCTTTGCAACTGTAACTAAATGTAGTAATTCAATGCACTTACCTTTCTACGTCAAGTGGAAAAGTAACTGGAGTAGCTATCATTTACTCTTCTTTACTCTGTCATCAGGTAACTATTGCTACAGATCTTGGCAAAGTCGTCACAGGAATGCAATTAGAACGATCTGAAGTAGCATTTTTTATCTACACCAACGGAAGTCGACTACGATTCAATTTGACTCAACGATATGCTGTCACCGATCAAACCTTGAAAAATATGACGACATGGCCACTTGTCACTGTATCTCGAGATGAATCAAATACCCAAACATATGATGTTATCAACAAAGAAGCCTTTCAAGCACGCCTTGATGACTTTAGGCAAGTTTATCATTTAATAATCTTTACTTTTTAACTTATTTATTTATTTATGTTTATCATCTACCTTATAAAACTTTATTGTTGGACGGCACTTTCAAGGTAACATTCAGTAGTAAACAGAATTACTATGCAATCAAAATAACTATTAGCTTGAAAAATAAATTCATTTCAATCATTATTTGTTTATTTTAAACGAATTATTCGCTAAATTTACTCAATCTTTTTTTCATTTAATAACATTTAAAAGCAAATATATTAACATGATAAAAATTTTTTATATTCCATTCAATGATTAAACATTTAATTGGCAGGAAAAAATTACACTATTTTCCACTTTTTTATCATTTCAAGTTCAACAGCTATTGAATTAGTTGACTTTCTTTTTGTTTATTCTATTTATTACATCTAATGCATAGTTCAATATATATATCATTATCTTTTTATTCTAAATGATCAGATTTATTAGTTATTATTGGATCATAATACAAAATAATATAAATATGATGAGACTTAAAGACATATTGGTATGTATTTGTACTTAAAAAAGTAAGAAAATAGCGATACTGTTATTTCAAAGAGGGTGAGAAAGGAAGCAATAAGATAGCCTTAATATATTCAAACTATATCTTTGATTATTATTCCAATTAATTGATTAAATTAAATGGTAATAAGTTGAAATGATAAAAAGATAAGAGACGAATCGATTGAAAATACTAAAAATTCAACATACAAATCTACTTATCTGAGATAAATCGTGGTGTTGTATTGGAAGTACTTAAAATTTAGATTACCCTTAAATTAAAGCCAGTATTTTTTCCTTTATTCGATAGATCGATTTGAGTGTCCCTGAGGTTCAATAAATCGGTCGGGTCGCTCAGCCACAAGTCCAGCACTCACGATAGCGTAATAAATTCGTTCAAAGCAGCCGTATGGACGTTGATGATAGGGATTGACATGGATGATCGCATCGTCGGGCATTTGGAGTGTGCAAATAATAAACGATGATGAGTTTTTTATTTTTCAATCGAGCATTAATTGTCTTTGATTTATCTACATTTATTTATGTAGCTCCAACATATTTAACTATTTACCCGTAGTTTTGTAATAGTACATATCATCGAATTTCAGTCAATTTTATATTTAGTTATTCAATAGTGATATAAATAATCAAACTCAACTGTATCGTACTGAAATTTACTTTTTTTTTTTTAATAATATAAACCATGTAATAATGAAAAAGCTGATAAGGTCAATATTACAATGTTACCACTCACAGGTTCATTTATATTGAGATTTTTTATAATTTATAGCTATTTTAGTTAATATTTATCATCTGTTACATAAATTATTTATTATGATAAAATTCCATTATTGTTTATCGTTATTGAAAAAGAAAATATTATCAAATAAATTATTTACTCTATTAAAATAAAATAATATAAATAAATAATTGATCATTTCAATTTATTATGAAAAAAACTTTATTGCGTTTTTATAGCAAAATATTTCTTGCAATATAAAATAGTAATAAAAAATTATCAATTCTGTTAAATATAGATGATAATTATGATTGTCAAATTGTTTTTTTAAATTTATTACTGTAAAAATTTATCTTTTATGTCAATCAAAAGAATTATTGCCATTTCTAGATGAAATTCTATTCCAATTAATTATGACATCAAAATTTGTTTGGGAAAAATCAAGTCTTCTTTAACATAATAAAAAGATATGTAATACGTTGTTGAAAGTTTTCTGATAATTTAGCCTTTTTCGCTAGATTGTTAATAAAATTTTTTGTCAGTTAACAGCGTTTTTACTTATGATTAATTTTCTAGTTTAATAAAATACCTTCTGTACCTCTTGAATAATTAATTATACGATATAATTTATGATAATAAGCAATTTTATTTGTTGTATAATTGTAATCAGTACAAATGGTTTGTCTTCCAGGCAAAAAATAAGCCCCGAAGAGAGTACAATTGCTGAGGTAATGGCTTGGTACACTAGTGTTAACGCAGCAATGTTAGATATTCTAACTAATCAAATTAAAGAAACAGATAATAGTGGAGTGTGGAGGTATTTCTATTTAGTTAAAATATCACTATATATTATAAAAATACTAATAATAATTAATTCTTGATATATATTGAGAATCATTATTCATTGTAATAATGATTTACAGATATTTAATAGCTTTTAAAAATCTGTTGAGAGGTATTGAAAGCCTTGGTATTGCTTCAGTTTATGGAATAAATTATTTTGGTCGTGGAATACTTGTGGGTGACAATTACGTCAGTTATGTACGACATGAAGCTCTCAGCAGAGATCTTTTGAATGGTTCTCTAAGCTATGTTCCAAGTCTTAAAAACCTTTACGCCAATTTAACACGCACAATGCCTGAATATGGAAGAATTAAATCGAGGTACCTGATACGTTAATTGAAACTTAATAAATATTTATAGTTTTAAATAAATGTATTGTTTTTCATTGAATAAAAGGAAATCTATACAATAAATAACTTCCCATCGGGAAGTTAAATATTCCAACAGAGTAGTAGTTCGAGTAACGTTATTATATTAGGCTAATAATAAAATTTAAATGAAAATGAAATTGCAAAAAAAATTAATTTCAGGTTCAAAGTTACTTTAAGACTAAAATAATAAAAAAAAAAAAACTTGTAAATAGACTTGAGATAACTCAATTTAAATGTTTCTAGCTTAATATCCTCGGAAAAGCAGATATTTTTCAGTGGAAATAATAAAACTAGGTGATTTTCAATAACTTTTATATTTCAATTCGAATGTAAAAATATTTTATAAATTATTATATTTATTGCCTTTTAATAAATATTAAATGTTTCAAAAATCTAAATAATTTATTATTATATTCACATGAGCTTGCAAACAATCTAATGTTACCTCATCATGAAAATATACGTTTAATAAACATATTATTTTAAGATTTAATAAATTTAACGGCTGTTCGTGTTCAAATAAATTTTAATATTTTATTAATAACAATATATAACGAGACAAAATATCTCTGTAAAAAATTTATTAAATGTATTAATCAATTAATGATTAATAATTTTTATAACGGATATTATCTCTTAGGTAAATACATAAACAAACCTTTATTAAATTTTTTGATAATTAATCATTATGACATGTATGATATGACATTGTATTTAATAGTAAAAATCGAGACTGCGATTAAAATAAGTTTATCTAGTATAATTAAATGTCTAATATTGATTTATAACTAAAATTCAATGATTTTCAATTATATTATAACTTTATAAAATTTAATTTTAAGTATAATTAAAATAAATTAATCAATTAATAAATATATAATTTACTTACTTTCATTTTGTAATTAAAAAGAAACCAACATATTAAACTTTATTTGTATCTTTATTATTAGACGAGATGAGATTTTAAGAAACTTGAGGCGAGAGCCGAGTGTTGATGATGCGATAGCTTACTTTGATTCAATGGCCATTTATGTGGACGAATTGCGGAAATTACAACAAGAGTTACGTCACATGATAAGGTATGATATTAACGACTATAATCTACTAATAGTTATAATAAAATATCTTTACAATTAATTGATTAATTAACCATAATAAATTAATAGGGATCATGTTAATTCAACATTAAAAGATGCCAGTAACAAACAAGCTGCTGGTATTGCCATTGTTGTTTTGGTTCTTGTCATATCACCAATAATAATTATTCTCGTTCGCAATGCAGTCGCAACAATTCAGGTGAAAGAAAAAAATTCTAAACTCATTATAATATTAGAGATCATTAGATAATAATTAATAATGTATTGTTTATAATATCAGAGCCATTAAGATAATTAATTATTTATGTTTACTTTATTCATCAGATGTATGCAGCAAATCTCGCACAAAAAGCACGTGAGTTAAAGCGTGAAAAAAGAAAGAGTGATACATTATTATTTCAAATGCTACCTCCGAGTGTTGCTCAACAACTGAAACAGACGCAGCAGGTTGAAATGCGTATGCATGATAATAAGTAAATTACGTTTGTGATCTTTTGTTGCTAATAACAGCAATTCATTTCTGATAATACAGGTTCCAGCTGAGTATTATGAAGCAGTCACTGTATACTTCAGTGATATTGTTGGATTTACGGAAATTGCTGCTGAAAATACACCTCTCGAAGTATTGTTATAAAAAAAATTCATTTTCTTATTGTTTTAATTACTTTATTTCATAATTTTATCATTATAATTTCATTGAAATACAATTATTTTTTATTTTGTATTATAGTTAGTTTATGTTAAATAAAAAATATATTTTTCCAGGTGGTAACTTTTTTAAATTCTATTTACAAATTATTTGATGCTCGAATTGAATGCTATGATGTTTACAAAGTTGAAACTATAGGTGATTCCTATATGGTTGCATCAGGCCTACCTGTTCGAAATGGTAATAATTAAAATATTCATTGATTGAATTTTAATTTCAATCATTGAAAATTTATCATAAATATATGAACATATATGAACCTAAAATTTATAAATATTTCATCTATTATTATCAGTAAAATTAATTAATAATGTAATAGACACAGATAAATTTTAGTAATTTAAATGCAGTGTAAATGATTCGTCCTATTAGTTTGAAATTATTACAAATTGATTAAAGTCAATATCAATGATATTCATTATTTGAATTATGAAAAGAATGATTCATATATCAATTAAAATAATAATACTAATAAATTGATAGTTAAGTCATTTTAAATACAAAGTAAAAATTGTTTGACCAAAATGTGAATGTGATAATAATTTTTTCAATTCAGGTGACAAACATGTATCAGAGATTGCAACAATGGCTCTTGATCTTCTAGATGCATCATCAGTATTTCAAGTTCCTAAACGTCCCGGAGAACGTTTACAAATTCGAAGTGGAGCTCATACTGGTCCAGTAGTTGCAGGTATCGTTGGAACAAAAATGCCACGATATTGTTTATTTGGTGATACAGTTAATACTGCCAGCAGAATGGAATCAACTGGAGAAGGTAACAATCATATCTTATTATAAATATTAATAAAAACAATTAATAAAATTTTTTTTTATTATAGCACTTCGAATCCATATCAGTTTAGAAATGAAAAAAGCTTTAGATGCAGTAGGAGGTTTCAAAATCCAGCATCGTGGTTTAGTCGATGTTAAAGGCAAAGGTCTGATGGATACATATTGGTTAGAATGTAAAGACGGTGGAATAGCACGTGCTGCTGAACTAGATCTTCCAACCTTCTTTGAGGATGTACGACCAGTTTTCATGAGGCGACTCCGTGAAGATGATACTCTTTGATGTGAGCCTTATTCCCGTAGGGATCTTTGGTACCTAAACAGACAAGGCCCTCTTCGACCAAATCCATGTATTCGATTATCTCAACCAAATCTCATTGACCATTTAAAAAAACCACATCAATCAGGCAAAAAAACACGAAGATCTCAACCTAATCTTCATATCATTACAGTTAGAAAGCCACCAGAATCACAATCTAGCATTGAATCCCAAGACTCAGCAATAACCTATCAAGGCACAAGATCGACACGATCATCTTGTCCACCAAGTTATTCTCCAGCAAGTCAAAGAAGTCGTTATTCTCAACCGAATCTTCCAACTCTCATGATTCCTTATAGTGATCATCATAGATCAAGTCTCTCTCCAGATCGGAGAATCAGAATGTCTCAACCAACATTAAATTCAAGCTTTTCTGGTATGAGTTTTGGTGGTATCAAAGGATCAAGATTTTCTTATTCGAGTTTAAGAACATCTGGAGACAATAGTATCAATAGCCATATTCAAGAAGAAAGATTATCAACTCCAAATGTTCATTCTTTTGGAGACACGACTACAAAATATGTCGGAGTTCATCGAGGTTCACGGTTGTCACAACCCGATATTAGACGTATTCTTCGTTCTGCTGATAATACCGGAAAAAGAGAACGATTATCACAGCCTACCCTAGTAACTGGAGATTATTATCCCCAGCGTGTACAACATCAACGATTATCTCAGCCTTGTTTATTGAGTACTTGGAATGAGAAACCAATTGGCTTACTTTCACCTATAAAACACAAAAAGTTTGGTCCTTCATTAAAGGTCAGTCAACGAGATAGATTACATCAATTAGACTTTGGAGCTGCAAGATTTAAGTATAATAAGGATGTACATGCCTCGACTAAATTTAATCGTGACAGATTTTCAATACCTGAATTAGAAACGCAAAATGACTTGAAATTAATCGTTGGAACACCAAAACAAAGATTTAGTCTCGATAGTCAATTGAATCCAGAAGCAAACAGAAATCGAAGACTTCTTCCAATTGCGAGCTCTCCGATTTCAGAGCATCAAGGAATTTCTACTACTAAAGAAATAGGAAAGGAACCACAATTTATTCCAACTGATGGATTAGAAAATGTTATAGTCGCAACAGCATCACCTTTGATGCCACCAGCAGAAAGACAATTTCTTGCTCCAATTTTGAAAATCCCACCAACTTTACCAATACCATCTCGAGAACGGATGTCAGTACCAGAAATAAGAAATTCCAGTCTTCGTAGATTATTAGATCCTCCAGCAAAACAAAGACACAGTATTGCTGGAAGTTTTCGTCAATCTTCTCTCATTCATCAAGAATCCACTTCTGAAAGTGAAGAGCTTTTTAAAGGAAGAATTCCAAAAGTAGAACTAGAAAAAATGATTGAAAAAGACGAATTCATGGATCAAATAGAAGAAAAAGTTGAGCCTAAACATATTCAAAAACATTATGCATATACTTATGATACTAAAGATGAATCAAGTGAAGTTATAGGTAAACTTAGTGTTGCATTACCGAGAAAAAAATATTTAGAAAGTAATTTTGATGAAAATGAACAAGTTATAACGACTGTTATTGAAACAGAAATACCGATGATACTTAGTAGTCCAAAGTACATGAAAAAAACCCACGTTTATGGAAGTGAACCACCGAAATGGATGAAAAAATGTCTCGAAAGTCCGGGGAAAAAAAATGATTCGGATCAAGTTTTAAAGATTAATTTAAAAAATAAAATGAAAACAAATGAAAAAAGTCCTGAAAAGTCGAAAAAAAAATCATCACCAAAGAAAATAACTTCTGATAAGTATTTAATAAAGTCTGATAAATCTCCAGATCTTGTAACAATGGCTGTAAGTGATGAGTACAAAGCTAAAGAGACTTGTGTGAAATTGAAATCATCAAGTAATCATGGAGAAAATAAATATGAAGTAACAATTAATTCAGATCGATTAGAATCGGATATCTGTAGAATTTATGGGCTTGATTGTGATACAGAAAGTGAAGATTCAACTTCCGTATAAAAAAGTATAAAAATTATTTTTAATTAAAAAAATAATTATAAATAGTTAAATCATTTTATTATTTGTTCATTTACGTTTATAAAATCATATAAATGTAATACTCTTTTTTACACTTTTTTAAAATTATGCTTTGATTGCTGCTTTTACAATGGCATAAAAATAGAATTTTTATTTATTAATTATCAATTGTGTTTCTGAGCAAGGCACATAAAAAAATTGTACGATTTATAGATTACAAAACAACAATCGGCCAGCGTATTTTTGTTTCCTTATTGAACATATTATCTATTTACAACAATAAACATTTCAATTATTATTTTCTTTCATTTTAACATTAATTAGTTTGTTAACTGGGCAGTTAAGCGCATATTTAAGTACATTTCTAAACAAGTATAAAAATTATATGATGCAAAAAACCATCTTGAATACTCCGGAATCAAGTCTCAACAATTATTTGTACAAATAACTCATTTGTGTGATATTATTTCAATTTTTTTATCATGATTATTTAATTCAATTATATTCATTTTATTTTATTATCGATGAACTCCATTATCCATGTTGGTTGAAGGTAATATGTAAACAATTCGATCTCCTTCTTTTTTAAATAATGGTGATATTACTTCTGGTCTTACTTCAATCTGCAAAACTTTGCTCTTATTTCCTATCATACATTTAAATCTTGAATCTACATTTACTTGTAAATCGCTTCCTCTCATCCTATAATGAGAAAATATATTTATTTTTAAGTAATATGAATCGTAATTTTAGCATCATAACTATTATACAGAATATTAATTTATTATTTAGATCATTTTTATTAAATTATTTTTTAAATTAATTATTAAATATAATAATAGCAAATGACAATGTTGAAATTATTATTGGAATATTTTAAATATAAAAAGTTTTGTTTGTTTGAACTTACTTGTAATATCGAGAACACAAAACTCCTACAAGTTCACCGACACGATTTTCCATGGCATCTATATAGAAAATGAAATCATTGCCTTTATTGGAATGAATCGTTGCAAGCTGATCTTTTCCTGGAGAAACACTGACTCCTGTAATTTCAGCTATTGGAATACCTTTTCTCATAGACTTAAATTTCAAACTTTCTAATTTATAAATTGCATGATCAGTTACAACTAAAACTCGATCCGTTTGTTTACCGAATTTATTAATTTTTTTAATAAATGCACTAAAATCAATAGTCTTGAAATGTTCAGTACTTTTTAAATTATGCATCGCAGAATTATAAGTATTATAATGAACATTTTCTTCTGGTTTAGATAAATAATTGCCTTCCCAACGTCTTTCTTGACCCCAATATTGGCGTTTTGATCGTAATACAGCACCAGCTGCCATTTTTAACATCAATTGCGGTCTATCTTCCGGAGGAATAACTCGAAGAATCATCCAAGCTCTCCATCGAGAATACATCATTTTCAAAGCTGGTATTACTGGTCTTATTGCATAATTATCACGCGGCCATGGTAACAGTTTGCCATATTTTTTCATTGTTTTAGCAGATTTGAATGTTTGTTGAAGTTGACATATATAAGAACGTTGTTTATAACGACGATAATGTCTCATTATTACTAAAATAGCTCGCATCCTTTTATAACTTCTACGACATAAATATCCTCGCCATTGTTTTTGTAATAAAACAACTATTCCAGGTATCAAATCACTCCGAGCTTTCTCTAGAGCAAATAATGTTCTAGGTGAACGAATGAATATTTTTGTCTGACCATATTTTATATCGTGAGCGAATCCTTTCTCTTCCATCAATGTCTGGACACCGTCTCTATCATTACCACCACGAAAGTTTGGCCAAGTGTACTGAGAAATCATTTTATATCTAGATGAAAGAGTCAAATATCCAAGTTTAATATTTCATAAAAAAGATATTATTGGTACTAAAATATTCAATATTCTTTTTATTTTACCTTTTCAAAAATTTATCGTAACGTTGTCTATACACAAATCCTGCACGCTTAACACGAATATATTCAAGTAATCCAAGATATCTCACTTGATGTTCAACTTCCTCTTCATCGAACACCATAGGTAATTTAACTTCATTGGGTTTAATACATCGTACATAAAAAGGTTCTTTGCTCATTAAATTTTTCACCAATGCAATCATTGAATTTTTAAACAGTGTGCTAGCAGTTAATGGCCTCTTTGTCGTCTATAAATCAATCAAATAAATAAAGAATTTATGTAAATAATAATAGTTATCAACAAATATTATTATAATAGAAAATGATGTTATATAAATAAATGTTATACAATATCGAATTATAAATAGATGCTTTAAAATTTATTAAAAAACTTACTTTAGTTATATTTTCGGATCCTTCTGGCCACATAGAACTCACTATTTTATTCTGACTATTATACATTAAACGTTTGAAGTCTTGGAATAAAGTATCTTTATTTTTATCTAAAAAACCTTCAACATTATAAACTACATCTCCAGCATAATGTTTTATTCGAAATTGCGTTTTATGTTGCAATTCTTTGTCCATTGGATTAGATTGACGAGTTGTAAAATGCTTGTGATTTGCTAATCGTTTATCCATTGCTTCTAACAGCATCTTGAACAAATAAAAATAATTTTTTAAATTTAAACTAAAAATTATTCATTTTTTTACTTTTTTATTGTGTAACAAAATTATCTCTAGACCATTAAATTTTAATAAATATTAAAAAATTATTTATTTATTTATTTATTTATACCTCATCAGTAACTTTGCCAACATTCAAACAAGCTTCATCCATAATGGCTATAATTCCTGTATATGGTTGTTCAACTAAATCACAAATAATTTGATTGTTAAAATAGTCTACAAACTGCCAAGTGATACCTTCTCTTTTGTATTCTTCTTGTTCTTGTTTTAGAACAAGTTCAATAAATAACTGTTGTAATTTTTCATTGCAATAATTAATACAAAATTGCTCAAAACTATTGGTATTAAATATTTCAAAACCGTAAATATCTAAAACTCCAATCAACGTTCCTTTATAACTTTTATATGATGAATTATCATCAATATTAATTGATCCATTTATTCTTGAAACAATCCATGAAAATAATCGCTCATAAATAGCTTTTGCCAAAGCATCTCTGCCATATTCAGCTTCTGTTGATGTGTGTCTCTTCTGCATTACTTCACCCCCTGCTGCAATTACTCTTTCAGATAATGCAGTGCTAAATTTATTGGGACTTATTGAAAAACATTTTGCAGTTTCATTTAGGGCTGTTTTATTATTAATTACTAGACTATCATCTTCTAAAGTAAATGTTACATTGCCCTAAAAAATAAGACAAAAAAATGGATTAATTAAAAAACGTTTGTTGTAATAGTACTTTTGAATGAAAATTTGTTGAAAGAAAAAAAAAACTTACAAGATGTAATATACCAGCAATGATATCCCAAACAGTCTGTATTTCATTTTGAGAAAACCCCAAAGTCTTCATTGCAGAAATGACTGCTTTATAGTCATTTTTGTCAGTCGCACTCATTTTATTATCTTTGTTACGACTTACATACGAATATTTACCTACATCAGGCACCAGTCCAAGTTTATTTAACTCTCCTTCATTACATCCATACAATAACTGAGAGGAAAAAAAAATAAATTAATTTACTCAAGTATAACAGGTAGTATGTCATCAAATAATAAAAAAATAACCTGATAAAAACAATGAAAATTTCTTTCGCCTTTTTGTTGATGAACAACGCGAGATTTTTCAAGAAGATAATTTGTTACATGACCACCAAATGGATCACCTTTGAAGTCAAAATTAATATCCATATATTTTCCAAATCTTGATGAATTATCATTTCTATTCGTTTTTGCATTTCCAAAAGCTTCTAATATTGAATTTGATTGAATTAAAATGTTTTTTACTCTAAAAAAATTAATTTACAATTGGGTATTTTATCATAAATTGAATATTCTTCTAACTCATAACTCTGAAAACTCATATAAAAACCTTTCAATTTCTTGTTGACCTGATAGATTAGTTATGGCTGCTATATATTTCATTATAATTTTGCTAGCTTCTGTTTTTCCAGATCCTGATTTGCCACTTATCACAATACACGTGTCTTTTCCTTGTTGTTTCATCTCTCTATGAACAGCATTTGCAATTGCAAAAATATGTGGTGGATTTTCGAAAAGTTCTCTATCTACCAAAAAAGATCACAAGTTAAAAGATTATATCAAAAAAATATAATTGAATATATAAATTGACTAATTTCAATTCTTCAACGTTTGATCTATTTTAGAAAAATCAAATATATTTACTTTTATACTTATTGATTTGATCTTGTCCATAAATATTAGTGGTTCTATAAGGATTAACACTAACAAGAACTTCTCCAATATATGTATAATATTTTTCGCCATTGAATCTGAAAAAAATCATCTAAACTAAACATTGAAATAGAAAGAAACTTTTGTAAATATATTTTTGTATCAATTTAATAAATAACAGCCATGTAAAGGAATTTGTCTATATATCCTTCTATTATCTTTCGGTACTTGAGATAAAAATTATGTCAAGATAATACTTATCATTAAATAGTGAGTAGAAAAAAAAAATTTTTAAATAAAAAATAAATATGAGTCATACATATTCCAAGAATTGTAGCGATGAGTAAGATAAATGTCTTATAATATTATGCACTTAATCATCTTAAAATAAAATTGTATCGATTATTTTTATCCATGATAATCATCGAATTAATATGCATATCAAGAAATATGACTAAGATTTGCCGTAAATCTTAAAAAGTCGTCGCATTAAATGAATCATATATGTATATATATATATATATATATATACAAATATTTTTGAATAACGATAACTTTTTTACTATTATTTATTATTTCCAACACTAAAGAATTTTTGGAGCGGATAACTTACAGAATATTAACTAGTAAACGTAGGAGTGTTTTGACTTTCCTTTTGATACTATTTAGTCATTATTTTTTTATAACTTGTATAAACACAAATAAAAAAAAATGGATTCAAAATAAGATATTTAAAATACATTTAATCGATATGCAATAAGATTAATTCAAAAGAGTAGATTGATATTTTATTATTTTAAATTGCTTTTATTTTTGAAAAGTTTATAAATAAAGTTTTTAATTTTCAATTCATTATATCTTCTAAAATATAGCCACACCTTAATGTCCTATAAAACGTTTTTACAAACTTTTGAAGAGTATTAAATGATAAGACTATCATTAACGATCTGTCAATTATAATTTGCACAATTAAAATTGTTTATAATAATAGAGAGTATTTTACTGTAGAATTTAAAATAAACAAACTGGAATAAAGATAATTATTTTTATTCCGAAACAGAAAAAATATTAACCTTGTGCGGAGATTATTAACCACTTTTTCAATTGTAATTTCATCCAGGAGAACGAAATCACCGATTCCCACAGACTCTTCTTGAGTCGCCATTCTAACTTGTTACTTTCCTCAACTTAAACTTGTTTAACCACTGATCATAAATATAAAATATAAATTTCTTTACTTTTTATTTCACATATGAAAATAAAATAAACGTTATAAAATCATTAGCAAATATATGAAGCCATGCAAACGGTGGTTTCAGCTTTTACATTAACTCCAATTCCAATGACGAGACTGCTCCACCTGACAGTTTTTCATCAACACTTGAAGAAACTTTCTGTATGTGTCATCACACAAGTTCCATATGAAGGGGAAAGAGAATCGTTGAGTTACAGTTGAAAAAATGCCATTACTTAGCTTCATAAATTTATCGATTGGCGGCGCCACACACTTCATCCTTTTTATTATATTATATTTATAATAAATTAAAACTTGTTCAAAACTTTGTCAATAAAATCAGATTTTATTATTGTTGAATTTTAAATTTTTTTCACCAAACCTTTCCAGAAAAGAGTTGTTTACAAATCTGTCTGCGTGCGCGTTGACGCATGCGTATAGCTTTTTACCTGTTAGTCAGCATTCCCGCCAAACTTATTGTTTACTCGTGTTTATTTTTAGTATAGCTGTTAGTTATTATGAGTTGAAAAGAAATTACAACTAAAAAAGTTTATATTTAAAAGTTTTCTTTTAAAATTTATATATTAAAGTAGTGGATAAATAATTAACATGAAAGAAGGAAGCACAAATACAGCATCTACGTTACATACAGTAACTTCAGAGGTTAGAAAGATGACCGTTACAATGCTTTTTTAATATTTAATCAAATAGTTTTAGAGTTTTATTAACAAAGTTATTATTTTCAGCAAGAAAAAATAAAAAAACCATTACACACGCTTCAACCAACAGCTACAGACAAGGAAAATTTAGTCGCAGGAGGTAGAGCACTTAGATCATCAGTATCTAGCAAAGGATCCGTTAAGGAGTAAGTTTCTTTATTAAAATTTATACCATATAATTTGTGTACATTTGATTGATTATTTGTGATTGTTAATTTTATTACAGTGAAATGTCAGAAAAAATGAAGTCTGAAGTTTTAAAAAAAGATAATAAGAAAACTGTGAAGAAAAACACCGTAATTGTTCAAAAAGACAAAATTACGTGTAAAGACAAAGCCTGTCAAACTGCCAGGGGCGAAAAAATTATGATTGAAATTGAAGATTTAACATCTGAAGGTATAAAGATCTAATGAACTCAAAAGTTTTTATAAATAATAAAATTGAACTAATATTTTTCTATAGCTGGTCCAAGTGAAAATTATTGGCAAGTGTTAGCTGAAAGACGTCGAATTGCTCTCGACGATGCATTAGAAGAAAATCGAGACTTGAGTGAAAAAGTAATAAAATTAGAGGAAGAGAATCGAATTTACAGAGAAATGTTGGATGAATCAAGAGCTCTTGTTGAAGTTCTTCAGGTAATAATTAACACTTATTTATTGAACTGGATTAACATTAATGGTAATAATTGAAAGTAGTCAAAAAATCAATTATTTATAAATTTTTACAAAAAAGATATTTATATTATAGGAAATGATTGGAGAAGATCGAAATGATATTAATAATTCATTGGAAGATAGTGTATTATAATGTTTATAGATCCATCTTTAAAATAAGTCGGTTTATCAATTAATGAATGACGATATAAATAATTAATTATTAACAACCGTATTTGAGTACTCTTCAATTAGCATCAAGTTTTTTTTTCTTTATATAAAAAAAATTTCCCATCCTAGCAATGACTTTTGTAATTGATTTATCATCATTGTAATGTGCTTTCTAACAACGCAATAAATTCATTTTTTTGTAGTGTGATTTTAAAAGATTAAATACTTTTTTGTATATAAAAGAAAAAAACACAGATTTAATTACTTTTTTATAGAATATCATAAAATATTTAGAGTTTGTGTTATTCAGATTTTATATTTAGCAATTATAAAAGTTGTAATAACTTTCTGCAACAGACATTATAAACATTTGATAATTAACATAAATAAATAATTTTCAGTATTTTTAACTATGTAAATTAATCTACTTAATTGATAATATTTTCAAATGCACGTACAGTTCTTACATATCACGAATAACATCAACATTGATCATCAATATAAAAAACAACAAGAATACAAGAGTATAAACAAATTACGTAATTATTTTTAATCAGAGAATTAAATTTAATCTTCATCTTTAAACCGACGATATATTGACTGTACGTAAGTAAAAACGCATTTCCAATCAGGCTTTTTCATTTTTACCATGTCATCTACATCTAGAAGAGGTGTAATCCCAGCCACCTCTCTGAAAAAGTAGTACAAATCATTTATACAGTTTTTTTCGATCGACTTTAATAATAAATTTCATCTTACTCTGCTTTTTCAAAGGCCAACTCGAAGTTTTTTCTACGATTCTCTGGTTTAAGACTTCCATAATTGAATGCTTCAGGTCTAAAATGATGTAGTAATGCACAAAAAGCAAGGCCATTGTTCCAACTTGTTGAAAAGTTATCAATTTGAATATTCTAAAGATTAATAGTTCAATGTAACTTTCAAACAGGATAATTTTGAAAAAATAAATGATTCATTGATATAATTACCTCATACTCTTTAGTTTTAGAACGACACCATGCTAACAATCTTTCTTTAATTTGAAGCGCATTATTGTGAACAACAGGATCAGTAAATTTGAAAGAAAATTCTTTTCCTGGAGTCTTTGGTGTACTAAATAAGAATGAAAATTTTTTTCGTAAACTGCTTTGTTAATTACCATAATTACAAATAATAATTTATATTTGTAATTACCTTGGAGAACTTGGTAGACTATTTTGTCGATCAAGTTCACGAAATTTAGCGAATGGCGACATGGGTTTCTTAGCCACTGAAAAAGGAACATGCAATCAAAAAAGGGTTAATAAATTAATTGAATAAGTAAAGGACTAATTATGCTTGTTATATTATTAAAAAAATATCTCTTTCATGCACCAATAAAATAATTATGAATAAAATTGAAAGGGATAAATATTCTATAAAAATTATTATCAGAAGAAATAAAATGAAAAAGAAAGAATAAACTAAAACATAATTGGACGATTAACGCGAGACTGAATCAATTGTGAAGATTTTTGATTATTTTTTATTAACAGTTTTTTTACATTGTAAAATGATTTAATGTCGATTTAGCAATAAAAAGATTATTTTCAATTCAAGTCATTAATATTTAATGATTATACTGATGATTGACATTCAAATATAACCATTTTTTATTTAATTAAATTAGTTATTATATGATGATACTAAATATTTTTTAATTGATAAATTTAAAAAATACTAAAAATATAAATAATAAGTCAAAAATTGATCCATAATAAAGGCGTCCTGCGTTAGATAATCGACCAGTTTAATTATAATCTATATCTCTACTAAGCTGGTAATCATTAGCAACAATCACTATATCGAAACTGTTAAAATTACATTTTCAATATTTATCATTAGTTCTTTTTCCTTACTAATTACTAAAAAGGCCGCTAAACTGAATAAACAAAATTGAAATAATTAACTCACACTTATTGATGTTCTCATTAACCTTTCCATCATTTCTAATTCAAATATTAAAGAATAAAAATAATGATAATAATAAACTTATAAGAGTTAATTTAATTACAATTTAATTTAATATTCATTTTTACAACTCTTAATAACGATTTTATGTAATAATAAAATTCTTAAGAAATATTAATGTCGATTATCACGGATAGTTTCTTCAAATAAACTGTCGAATGCTTTATCAACTTCTGACGCGTCATCGAAAATATGAGGCATTGTGTGACTTCTTGAAAGTACTCCCTGAGTCTGTTTAGGAGAAAATGATCGACGATTTTTTGATTCTCTATGTTTTTGATCATTTATAAAATAACTCTGAACTTTTTCCATTTTTTTAAAAGTATCAGATAAAGGTTCAATATGTTTGGAAGTTTGAGCACTTATTCTAGGTGGTTTGTGAGGTGGATGATTTGGTGGCGGAACTTGAAGATGATTTTTAGATAATGCTAATTGATGCCAAGACTCAGATTTGGATAAAACAATCGATCTGTGAGGTTTATTAGCACATGAAACCAAGTACTCATCACTAGAATCAACTGGATTGGTTGAATACTTCTTCAGAATAGGTGTGGTTATCTGTGCACTAGTAAACCCTAATGGTTGAATGTGCGGTGGACTAACAACATTAATTTTCGGTAGTACTGTAGATACATATTGAAGCGTAGGAAGCATCAGAGCCTCTGGTTTATTTCTGTTAATATTATGAGATTTTGATTCAAATATATTAATTTTTTCTTGAGTATTATGATATTCTATTAATGGTTCATATGATTCTCGATCATTAAAAGTTTGTATTGGATGAACAATTGGCAAAAAATTATTGTCTTGATTGGATTGAGTATTTTTATTTCTTTGGCTTGTATTTAAAACCTGATTACATTTATTTTGTTCATCATTTTGATGTTGAAAATGACGAATTAGACTTTGTTGCAGCATATTGTGTCTTTGAACATCATTGTGAAGAATCACTGATTGAGGTGTTGATATAGTTTCATGATGACAGTTGGGAGATAAAACAGGGGTAAAATGTTGTACTGAAGATGTTGGACTTAAAGATGGCGAATCCTCCATAGTCCCAATAGCACTAGTATATCTGGTAATAATTCGATTTTCACTAATGTCTTGATTCTCAATATTTTGATCCATAAATAAATGATCTGATGTATCATCATTTGTAGTGTAATCTCTATTAATTGAATCACAGTTCCAAGGTTTTTTATCGTTCTTATTATTCATTGAAGAATCGACAAAAAATTCTAATTCTCTTGGCGCTGATTTAGATGGTACATAGATTGAATAGTCACTCTCAGGATAGAAAATTTTTGGCACAAGTGGTTGATACGTCTGTGAAGGATGTGAACAGATTTGTCGAGGAATGATCGATGAGTCATGTTGTTCATTCTCTATATTATTTGCTTGAATTAAATCATTATTCGTTTGTACTGCAACACTTTGTCGTCGTTGCATTTCGGTAATATTTATTTTAATGTTATCATTATTATTAAACACTGCATATTGTCGATTTTTATCGTATACATCGTGATGAACAATGTTATTATGCTGTTTAATCGAACTATCATTTAATTCTTCACTTTTTAGAATTTTTTCAGGTTTTCTATTAACATTGGGACGTCCACTTAATTGTACTAGTGGTAAAGATGACGAAGATGATGATGATTCAACAGATTCCTGATCAAACATTTTCATTTTGGCCCTTAACATTCCATTAGAAGCACAAGCTGGAAGATAAAATGAAGATAAAGGTTTTTCTGTATCTTTGTTGATATTTTTTTGTAGGCTATGAATTTTTTGAAAAGGTGAGGTAGCAGCATGATTGAAAATGGGCAATTTTCCAGAAGAAAAATTATGTAAACTTGAAGGTATTTCTCTAAGTTTATTAGATCTTAAAGATGCCACTAAAATTTTCCCCTTTTCTCGATCTTTAGTGAAACTTTCTATACCATCATCTCTAGAACTTCTTCGTGATGATTCATCAGCAGAAACAGGTAATAACGGCTTGTCAAATGTAGTTTTAATATTAGAGAATCGACTCTTCCAATTTTTGTCAGCTATTGAACTGGTTTGTCGATAATTGAAGCTCTTAAAAGGTTGATTTACAATCGTATTCCCATTAGTTTCATTATTTCGATTAATAAGTGCAAGAAATTTACGATCATTTTCAGTTTTTGGTTCAAAAGAAGGAATGATATTGGAAGTGTGAGAAGCATTCCAAGACAACCGATCACTAATATCAATTGGTCTCTTGAGACCAGGACTAGTTGATTGAGATTTTTGTGCTTGAAGTTTTAAATAATTTGGAATATCAATGGTATTTGCACGTTTAATCTTGAACTTTTTTGCTGAAAATTTATTACACTTATTGATGAATGTAGAAGGTTCAATGACATCAATAGCCTCGTTCAATTTTTCTGCAATACTACCATTCATTACTTTAGTCTCTTTTGATTCATGTTTAGCTGGTATTGGATTGACCTCGATGTCTTTACTCTTGCTATGGAGCGACTGTTGTTGATTTATTGCGTCCTTCATATGTTTGTCACATGCTCGAGAGTTTTCAAAAGCCTTCTCTTTTATTTCTTCTTTTGTGATATTTAAATTTTCCAACTGAATTGTTTGAGGTGCAAGAGAAAGTCGTTGAGAAATTAACGAAATACCTGTTCCTCTTTCTTCCAACCATTTTCTAGCTCTTGCAAGCTCTTCACTACTCACTCCAATAGTATGCCTGTCTCTACGTCTTAAACTTTGTTTTTTTTTTACTACCGTCGGTACAGAATTAATCGTAGATGGTGGTTGTTGCGGTAAATCTTCCATATTTGCATTTTTCAAATTAGCCACAAGATTGGAAATAAGTTGAAGAAGATTCAGTCTATCACTCGGTTCTAGAGTTGAACTGTATCGGCTTAAAGCATCACCATTAACACGACAAAGTATTTCCTGAAGACGTACCAATGCAGTTTTAATATCAGAGACAAGAAGATCTCCAAAGAAATTCAAATCCATTGTTTGAAGTGATAATGGCAGCTTAGTTTCAGATTCGTATTGAGAATTGCAACGGCTCAGCGGATCGAGGGCCAGTGACTCGGCGTTGGCAATACTGCGGTTTGAACTGTCAGCACTTAACTCAAGAGCCGAGCGTAAATGTTCTACTAATATGGGCAATATATTCTTGCACTCACCAACTGATCTTCCAACCACTTCGGCTCTCTTTGGAGTTTGATCCTTTGGTTCGTGTTGTTGAATGTCCAGTGTTTTTCCGATGTCCTCGAGGGCCCTCATCATCTCTGAAAGAACGTCTGCATCAACACCAGCCCGTTGTCAATTATTTTGTTCAACGAGCCAAACCTGATGAAGTCTCCTGGGCATTTTGTAGATTTCTCGCCTGATGATCTTCTTCTTCTTCTGGCCGCTGATGATCCACTGATTTATTACTGATAGCTGACACTAGATTCTTATCATCATCCTCTGCTACCTCGTTGATAGATTTAACGCCTGAAACAGTTGTTTTGTTTTTCCTCTTATCTTCCAACAGCCAATCATAATGATGTTATGATATCAAGATGTAAGTTGGACTTAATAAAACTATTGTTGGCGCTCATTTTACTAACTGAGTGAATGATTATTGAGTGGTGAATACAATTCATTGATTTTAGCACCTAAACAATTTATGTATGAGCAGTTAACTGACCTTGAATTTCCGACATGACGAAGAAAGATACTCGAGAAACTGGCTGCAATGAAGAAAATTTTGTGAATATCATTTATTGAGCCAGTAAAACGATTTTTATTTTTTTTTTAATTTTTTTACTGAGTGAAACTAAATATTTTTGAAGAGCGTGAGTGCATAAAACGAGATTACTTAATTATATGAAATGAAACAGAAAGCACTGTAGTTTAGTAGCGGCAACAAAACATTATTAAAGTGAAAAAAAAAAGAATATTTTTTTTTAATACTTTTAGAAAAGCCAACAGTCTACACGAGGTCGTATCTCTATAAATAATTTTGCGCATTATATAGGATAGATGCAAAAGAAGAACGAAGGAAGCGACGTACTCATTGGACTTTTTTAGCCGTTACGTCTTTATTCGTATCTTCATAGTAAAGTTATAAATGTGCTTGTATATCTCTGGAGGAAAAATCGAGCCAGCAGTTGGTCTCGTACGTCGCCTTTTACGGTCCGACGAATAAACAACATAAATGTATAGTAGGTAAAGTGGAAATAAGCTGCTATATTACCACTTAGACTCAATAAGATAAATAAATAGTCATTTATTGAAGGAAATTTTTATTGAGAAAAAGAAATGTATTAAAAGCTATGAATGATGAATTTAAAGACAAAGATAAAGAATATAAGCGCAACAAGTGGAGAAAGTTAACTTGGAGTCTTTTTACCTTACACTGAGTTGGCAGATCAATATTTGCACGATGATGATGATGATGATGATGATGATGACGAAGAAGAGCACCTGAATCTTCTTGGTAGTTCCGCAGTATCTAAACGACTGTGTGACTTGGCTCAACTTTTCCGGAGCCACTTATACACATATACATGTACCAAACTCGATCTCCAATCTCACAGTTTAACGTATGCCATCATGCGTACGGAATTAGACATACTCAAAATAGACAGCCCGTTTTGTGTGCTTCTATGTTATATTGCAATTCACCGACTCGTCTGTATAGACTCTAAGCTTCTCACTCGTCGACTCATGTCTTTTATAAGAAATAGACCAACGACCATTAAAAATCAAACGGAAAGTAAAGAATCACTTCCATGTTTCCTAAATTCATCTTCTGTAAAATTTGCTCCAAATACTCACTGTTAATATTCTTTTTATTATTATTAATATCATTTTGCCTGATAAATATTACAAATTTTTTTTAATTATCAAGACATAATTATTTATTGTAAAATTACTTTGTCATTATAAAAGTGATGATGACAACTGCGATAACTGTAATTACTTGCACTGATGATTAGTAACATTCAATTGTCAGCGATACCAGGATGTTGTAAAACAATGTAAGATTCAGAGAATGCATTGAGGATATGGCTCGATAGATACGTCTCCCACTTGATACTTTTCTCCCTTCTACATTCACTATTGCCTTCCACGTTGGTGGAGGCCACTTTCAACTGAATACCTGTTAACCTACTTGGGTCAGTCTTTGAGCCACTTTGGTTGAAGAATCATCATCAATTTACTCATCTTCATTTAACTTTATCAAGTGAAAAGAAAAAAAAGAATTTCACATACAACATTCATCTTTATTAACTTTTATCTCTATTAATAAAATTGCAAATTCATGTGTATTATGTGTAGTATATCAATGTGTAAAGAGAAAATTTAGTTTTTTTTTATCTTTTAAATAATTAAATATTTTTTTCATGTTTTTCTAAAATAAATAAAATAATGTGAAAGTGACTAAACAAGTTGATTTATTAATTATGCTCGTAGTGTTTTCTTGGCGTGCTTTGTATTGTTGATACGTGTGTAATATCACGCGACAATGAGTTCCTTGAACCGAACGCATGCATTCAAATTACTGTCAATATTTTTATTATATAAAAGTTTATGAGAGAGCATAAGATAAATCTATGTGGATGCACGTAAGTATATTTACTATATCATATAGAGGACAGAAATGATAAAAAAGTATTAATTTAGATTTCAAGATGAAGGGGTGGTTTGATGCATTTCGTCATGACGGTGGTCCAACGTTATATAGTTATACTAACCGTACACCCGTAACGGGTGACGTACACTTGATAACAATATTTGTTGTATTTTGTACAATTTTTACGGCATTTCTTATTATATTCCCAGGCATACGCAAGGAGGTACGTGACGTAGAAATAATGAAAGGTTTTAAATGAAAAAATAATGATATTTTATTGCAGAGAATCACAACGTTCTTTACTGTAACTTTAAGTCTCTTCGTTGGAACAAGTATACAAGGTCAGTTATGTTAGAAAAAATTAATCATCAAAAGAGAAAACATAAATAAATCATTAGGAATGATCTAAGTAAAAACAACTCTTCTTCACTTTATTTCTTCGGGATCATATTGCGCAAATTGTGATTTCTATTCGTGCCCCGTATGTTCTATTATAGTTGCACAATATGGCTCCACCTGGCATACGACCTCGTCCTCAATCGTTAGCAGCTACAGCGTCTTCTCCAGGCATAGGACCTCTGCAGAAATTGGTGGCTTCATTGGATTAATGCATATAAACATTACTTATAGTTGTAAGATCTGAAAGGATACAGCTAAGTTAACCTTTAATGAACCTTATTTATTATTACAAGTAATTGTTTTATTTTTTCAGTAATTAACTACACTGAAAGTACAGTTGACGGGGTTAGTGATGTTGAATATAATGAAAGGTTTTGGTGGAGAAGTCCCACGGAAATGAGTGAATCGTTTAAACATGCTTTGTATAGAGGTGCACCATTTCCAATAATTTCTCTTGCTGAATATTTTAGCCTTCATCAAGAAGGTTTTTCCTGGGGTGCTAAATATCGAGAAGCTGGTCATTATGCGTCAATAATGCTTTGGTAAGTCAAATAAATCCAACAGATTGTTCTAAGAATTTTTTAAATAGATTCTACACTTGTATCCGGGTTTACAGGACCTGTTTTGCCGCTTGGTTAATGATGAATCTTTTGCTGGTGGTTGTGCCCCGTTATGGAGCATATAGCATGGTTTTTACTGGAGTTCTTATGTTGTGTACCAACTTGACATACTGGTCTTTACTTCCTTGTGAACCACTTGTTGCTCATATTGATGGATCGACATTAGTTTTTGACTTGGGTTGGAATTATTGGCTTGTCCTTGTAGCTGGTAAGATTTTAATATTAATATGTACCTTTATAATTTAATGATAACTTATAAATTTGATTCATTCAAGGATTTAGCTGTCTTTTTTGTGGAATAATTATTACAGTAATTGACTTAATTTTCCCACATCAGTTTTCAACTATTCTCGAGGTTGATTATGACACTCCTTATGATAGACATGTTATTATAGAGGAGAGTTTTGATACGAGAAATACTCGTAAAAAATTACCAAAAATGAATGAAGACGATTTTGATGAAAGAGTTTCTTCAAGGTAAATGTATATTTTTTTTTCTTTACTTATAAATTAAAATTTTGAACACTTCAACGTTTTTTATATTCTATTCTCTGTATGATAAAAATCAGCATTCCATCGAAATTGGGAAGTAACAGCCAAAGGATACATGAAGGCGTTGTAAACTGTGGATTTGTATCTCATGAGATGTCAGATTTTCATCACAGAATGAACGATGATTCAAGCAAAGCCAACTGGTCATATCCATTTCCACCAATTTCACGAAGGGTCATTTGATGCTCATCATATTTATGTAATAGACTAATTTATATTTATCATATCGATCTTTGAGATAATGTAATAATTAATTTTATATGACTAATTAATTAATAAATTTATTAAAATAATGAAGATAATAAAACGAATGTAAACAACTGAATTAATCATAAATTAAGTATTTTATTATAATACATGTACACGTTTGCTAGTTATATACAAAAATTGGTATAAATTTAAAAGTTTAAAAATCATTGATGCCTAATGAAGATAATTTATATTATCCAAAGTTTTCGAAATGATGAATGAAATATGGCAATTTTCGACCTTTATTCACTTGATCACAAGCAGACATAACACTTTTTGTTAAAGGTCGAGGTCCACAGCTAAATACCCCTATTTTACTAACATAGCTGTGTTTTTTTTGCACAAATTTAAGAAAAGATGTCATGTCTGGTCTACCGAAATGATTAATTGCTTTCAGTCCCGTGAATATACTCTTTTTTGACAGTCTTTGGAAATGATTTTCACATATATACTGTAAGACAAAAAAATTATTTTATCATCATTTGAGTTATCTCAATATTTTATTTTGATGATACATTGAAGAATAAATAACTTACAAGCATAGTTGTTCGAAGATCAAATTTGTGAAAGAACTGAGTTATAAATATGTGAATTTCTAAGACATCAGTTACGTCTTTACGTTCAACATCTCTTAGAACGTCAATAAACCACTCAAAATGTTTATGAGAGGGGCAAATCCACAGAAAATAAACCTTAAAATTTAAAAAAAAAAAAATTAAATTTTTCAATTACTCTCATTTTTCAAATTCAAAAATATTATAATTTTCACTGTAGAAGTAAAATAATAAACATTAACAGGTTTTGATTATTATTGTTATTTTTTTTTTTTGTTTTTGAAATAAAATTAATATTGTGAAGAAAGTTAAAAAATTTATAGCAATTCTATATTAAAACAATATTACTCGACTGTTTTAAGAATAATTTCTTCACTAATTGTTCATGATACTTGAAAATGTAAACTAATATTAAAAAGAATATACCTTTTTACAAGCAACACCAGAATATCTGTTAGTGGAAGTGCCGAAAACTAAATCATTTAACATTGAAGCATATGGAGTAACGCCTATACCACCTCCTACCATCACAGCAACCTCAAACTTATACCAATCTTGATTACCACCTCCAAATGGACCTTCAATTCGAATTTTTGGATGTTCATCTTCTGGATTATAATTACATGGGTCAAAATAGCTTCTAAGTTTCCATGTCCAAGGTCCCTGAGCCTTGATATGACATGAGAGAAAGTTTTCATGCGGTGCCGAGGTCAATGTAAACGAGTGAAACTCGTTAGATCCAAACACAGTACAAGCTAGTCGTACCCATTGACCAGAAAGATACTTAAGGTTTGGAGGACGATAGAATTTTATTTTTATCACATCGGAGGGAAGCAATTCTGTTTCAATTATATCCAGAGCCATGTACTTGGTCCGAAGACTTACAACCTAATAAAAAGAGTTTTAAAATTTTTTTACTTTCGAATATTACTCATTAATATTCATACCTTGTCCAAAGCGTAAATTATTCCAGGACCAACAAAAAATATCCAAAATCTTGGAGCTCCCGTTAGTCTTGCTAATCCGTGAATTAAACACAAAGCATAAAGTAAAATGTAGAGGCTGTGAGTTGACCAAAAAAATTTATATGCTTTCTGCCGAATAGTTGGATGTGCAAAAACAAATATAATCGTCATAACAATGACAAGTAAAATACCAGTTACTCCAGTGATAGTTTGAAATAACCAAAAAGATATTGTAGGTCTTGCATCACTGGGAAAACTCATTTCACTTGTTAAACATCGTAGATGTGAAATAGGTTGCGTAGATACATGATAAAAATTGACAATATGTCCTACAGTATGAAGAACAGAAAAGAAGAGTGCAGTGCATGCCGCGATCTTGTGGAATTGAATATGAGAGTCTAATGGAATGTATTGTTGAATAGAAAATTCTTTCAGCTTTGTTAAAAGATTTCTTGACATCGTTAATAGCAAAAGACTATAGCAGAACGAAAGAGCTGCTGCTGATCCACGAGTTATGGCAATTCCTACGCCCATGATATGTCTTAAATCGGTATGCTCTGTCATAAATGAGTAATCTAGAGAAAGAGAAAAAAAAAGTATGATCAATAAAGGTATAAAAAATGAAAAAAATAATAAATCAACTTAGAAACTTACGTATAAATCTTTCGACAAATAGGGCTATCGTCACGACATAAAAAATGAAAAGGTAGAAAATATTTTGACGATTTTCTTCGAGAAATGTTGAAATTCCGTCCCATTGTTTTCGTATCCAACATTTAGTTGCTTCTGGAGGTAATTGTTCAATATGGAAGCTAGTCATACGAGCAACATTTGTCGAAGTATCCAGGAAGTTTTGTTTTGCTCCTTTGCAGTCTAATCCAATAGCCACAAAATCACCTTTGTACTCGTTCATCATCAACTTAAAGTCATTGTACGTAAGATAGTCCTTTCTTTCCAATCCAGCACCCTGTGAAACTCGACATTTACCTCACCGTCATCATCATTATTATAAATATAAACTATCATGTTATAGAATTTTTTTTTTGTTTTTTTTAATAAAAAATCTTAAAATATTCTTTAATCAATTTAAATTGATTATTAGTTTATTTTATTATGTTATATTATTTGAAATATCAATGTAAAGAAAAAGAAATCCCAAGAAATTAAAATAACTTATTAAATTATTTTCTCCCTGAGTATTGATAGTTTTCTTAATAAATAATAATACTGACACATGGCTAACTAATAATTATTATCCTTCACAATATTATGAAAAATTTCTAAAGAACTGATAATTATTGTTATTAAAATGAAATTTTTTGCAATCTTGGATTTCATGTTCTTTGAAACATAATAAGGAAATAATAATTACTTGAAACATTCCATCAATCAGCTCCGTCACATGATCGTCTGATAGACTAGTAGTTCTAGCTATTTCGACTAATGATCGTAACATTTCTGATAATTCTTCTTTATCAATGACTCCATTACTATCTTTGTCACACATATCAAAAATAATTCGAAGTTTATCTTCAGTTTTGCCTCGTGAAAATAGTAAAACAGTATCCAAAAATTCCTAAATGTATAACGCATGTTAGAAAAAAAAAGACTTGCACAGAATATCAAAGTATACTGAAAAATAAATCTGAATACCTGAAAAGATATTCGGCCATCACCATCTTTGTCGACGATATTAAACATTTTCTTGACAAAAACAGCGTCAGGTCTCATACCTAACGCACTAGCAAATTCACTTTTTGACAAAGAAGTTCTCATGACTGTTACTACCTCACCATCTTCGGTTTCCTCGCTTCTTCGTCGTCGCCTTTCACCCGGACGTAAACCAAAGGTCAAAGCATACGCTTCCCGAAAGAACTGTTCGAGTTTCTTTTGTCTCCTTTCCTTAGTTTCAGCTTTAGCCAACATTATGTCACGATTTGTATGTACTATAGTCAAGTGTTTCTTATGGGCGGCAAGGAATGCCTCCAGTTTAGCGATAAACTTTCCTCGAGAGTTGAGTGAATCTAGTTCAAGGACAAGGTCGTAGTCTCGAGGGATACGCAAGAGTACCAAAGCCTTTCCGTGACCGCTCTCACATTCCTAGTGATGATGAAAGCAAATTGATGACTCACCAAATACTTTAAAAATATTTTAGAAAACTTTTATGTCACCTGAGACTCTTCAACAGCGACTACATTGACCCCACAAAAATCGAACGTCCGCAGATTCTCCCCTTTACGATCTACTATATGAAGAGCTGCTTCTGGCCCGAATTTCACTTTAACCAAACGTTTATGATTAGCATGTAACCATTCTCGAACAATCATCTTATCTATTCGACCATTACTGATACATCCATTGCGTCCACTACGTCGTTTAATAGATTCTTGAACAATTTTCAATTTTCTTCTTCTACGATTTTGAAGTTTTATTACTCCATACCCTGCACCAGCACAAAGAATTGGAATAAAACCCAAAAAGATGCATGCATAAATATAGACTAGTTCACTTCCTTCAAAGTAATCATATCTTTGTAATGGTACGCAAGAGTCAAGCATTGATCCTTTAAGTTGTTCTGGTTGTGGACAAGGATCTGATTCTGTCCACACAAAAACATTTCTCTGAATTGATTCAGGATTAATTTGAGTTGTGTTTGTTATGACGTCCCAAAACGTTACTCGTTTTATTTCATCAATTTCACTTTTTGTAAAGACTCTAAAATTATTATAAACATTGTTATTGATGAAATAAATGATCATTTATTAATATATATTGACAATTAATTGATACGATAATAAGCTTAGATAAAACTTATCAAAAATTACCCAGAATCCTGATTTTCAAACCAAAACCGATCCGAATCTCTCAATCGTTCAAACTGTTCTTTTATTACAGTAGTAAATAGTTCTCCAGGTCCATCAGATGATTCCAACATTCCTCCAATGTAGACATCAATATTATTTAAATTATTTCCATGAATTTCTTTAAGCTCTCGAAGCATATCGGGATTTTTTTTAAACATCTCTGGATTTATTTCTTCCCAAGTCTTCCTTTTCGGTAAATTAAAATAAGTCCTAGCTGTGTTGTAATCCGGTAGACCGTTATCTCGTCCACGCATAATATTGAGAGCGCCAAGGTCTCGTCGAGAAAATTCCATTGGACCAAATAAATTATTTCTGATATCATCATTCAATAAATTATCTTCTCTTTCTGCTAATTGTGATGCCATTCCCATTATTAACTGCTCTATTGTATTATTTGATACTACTTCCTATTGGTGAATACAATTTTTATCAATCAATTACACTATAGTGAACTATTGAACTTTATTTAAGTGAATATAGTATCATTATCTTGTATTTTATTACGAAAAAATGGTTTACTCACGTTTGAATCCCACCACGTACTGCACAATCGTATTGCGGGTTTCCCTGTCCGGGTCATTAGAAAGTTGCACTTATCGTCGCGTCGATAAATTCCCGGTGGAATAAGGGTATGGCCGAAGCGAAAAGCAGCACTCTGGAATATATGGCTGACTCCTGGATGAAGGTCCGGTTTGTAGCCTGAATAATCCATGAGTTTTTCACCCAATAAAGCAGGTAAATACTCATACATAATGATATTCTGTAAAATTTTTATCAAATCATTCAAAATACTAATCAATTAAACAAATAAGTTGAAATGTTATCAAACTAATCGAATAATTAGTAAGATTTTTATTTCAATAATAAACAACAATCATTTATATTGAAAGATGAATAATAAAAAAAATATATTATTATTTTTAGTTTAAAAAATGAGTCAACTTCAACAAAGAAGAAATATATATTTATTGAAATAACTGTAATGAATCGTTTCAAGAAGATGAATTAAATGTTACTACATTTGTACCTGAATTGTTCCAACAACAATCCTTCTGGCACGTTGAAAAATATCTTCATCTGACATCAATGGATTCTCCCTTTGGACACGAGCGGCAATGACATTGTGCCAACGATAGAATAGAATTCCAAAGGTTAAAAGTGCTGGATGTTGATTTGTCCTTGGATCACCGAGCACTAGAGCAATTGTTAGATGATCAATTATTCTTGAGAAGAACAGAACAAGAGAAGAACAAGAAATAAATATGTTAACTAACAATAAAGACGTTCAGGATTAAGCATTCCCATAACATTAGGTACAGCATGATTGAATAACGGTGCCCTCATTGTATTCCGGACAGGAAATTGACTTGATGATTCCATGACAAAACTGCCATTTTTAAAACTTCGCATAATATTTGCCCAAGCTTCGCTGCTTGAATAAACAAAACTTCCATCGATCCAAGAAGTCACTTTATTTATCTAAAATTGATATAAATTAATTCAATAATTAAACTAATACTTGTATTGTGTTTCTTGAAACTTCATTCTCAGTGATGAAGTAATCACTTCCGATATTACGAAGAGATACTACGGTAATTTCTTCATAAAGGTAATCAAAATAATGAGTACGAATTTTAATGAGCAAAGTTTGTTTAATAATAAAACTAAATGCAAATAGATAAATATATAATTGACCTGTTCTCGAGGACTATTAGGATTGTGACCAGTTCGACGATCGTAATTAGCTCTCAAGAAGGGAATGTATTTGTTCCCCTGGCAATCTTTATCGAAAATATGATCGCATTTTTCCACTTCTATTCGATGAAATTCTATAGGACAGCCACTTTCACTTGCCATTATTATTTCTGCAGTTACCAGCTGACCTGTGAATTATCTAAGATTAACAAACGATTCATTGTAATATATTTAGCTGTTTGAATTGCTACTATTTTAAAACTTACCAAAAAATGCAAAAAGTGCTGTTTTATTTTTTGTTGATGCTATACCGTCATCTCCTTTCATAAATAAGTCACTTAATTTTCTTGGAGATGGTCTATCTTGGCCTGCCATCATGTAAACCCCGTCAGCATAGGCAGCAGGTATTTTTCTTATCAGCCTGCTGTCTATACAAATCAAAAATATTTCGTTATTTTTCATTATCGTTAACATTCATTGGAAGAAATAAATGAATGGTAATTAACACAAGTAACAATGACCTATCCTACTATTCAATAACTTAATCATTTCAATAAGGATATTTTTAATTTTTATATACATTTTCAGTCTTTACATTATTTATTATTCAAAATTTTTTGACACTTGATAAAATTTTCTCTATATTAAACAGATTTCTGAATGAATTTGATTAAAATGATAATTTAATTGAATATAATATAAAGCAAGGTCCGTGAAAAAGGAAAATTGCTTGAGCAATTCTTTAAGAATATTTAATATTAAATAAATAAATTCAATTAACATAATCTTACGAAAATCGAAAATAAATTATTATTTCATTAAATACTCTTAGATATTTTTCTTATTTCAATGTCAATTTGTTCTTATTTTAAGTCGTTGATAGTTGAAGACTCCATATATAATATTCAAAATAGGTGTAATTATTTTAATATTATATTACGTAATTATAATATATTTTTATTATCATTATGATATAACTTTTCAATAGATTTTTTATAGAAAAAAGAACATAATTGTTTAAACACTAGAAAATATATTTAAATATAAGTGCAATGATTAAGTGGAGATATTTTTTAGCTCTTAATTTTTTTTTTAGTAACATCCAATTATTGATTAGAAAAAAGTAAAATAAATGATAGTGAAATAAAAAAAAAACACTTGCCAACAGATCCCCAGTCAGGATGAGCAAGATTGTTGTACCAGCCATCGTATCTTTGTTTTTCAGTGTACCTTCCACAATCTGTAGTTTAAAGAAACAATTAACTCGAGAGGTCAAGATAATATAATAATAATTTTAAAAAATCCATTGAATGAGATTTCATATTTCAATAATAAGGATTATATCTTGAATAATTTTTCAATTAAAATTTTATAATGATAGATATCATAAACCAATCAATAATATGTTATATGATAAATATAATTAAGCAAAAGATTGAAATGAAAATCAGTTGATTTTTTATTTTTTTCTTCTTATGTTCCACGGTTGCTGCACTTAGGTTAGAGATTTATGGGAGATAACTATTTATATTATTTTTCTTTCCACTTGAAGACCTCCATCAAGTTATATTCTATCTTTTGTTTTTTTTTTTTTCATGGGAATAAACATTTATTTTTCATGACAGATGGACAAATTTTACATGGATTTGGAAAGTAATTAACTTCAATAATCACATGTGCTTTGTCCCACATTCTTGAACTCAATGACGCTATTAACGTTTTTCTTCATTGCTTATCACCATATTTATTTTTATTGCGACAAAAAAGTTATTTATTCATTTCATTCCATTTAATTGTGCATAATTCACTGAAAGCTGTTAACATTTTCAGTTATATCAATTGAATAAATGAATATTTTTAGTGCCGGTTGAGTGAGAAACTGTAAATGTTTCGCTTTCTCCTTTCACTTATTCTATTACAACTTCTATCCTAATTCTTATGAACTAATTTAATCATCTTTTCTTCTATCTATATCTTTTAACAATTGTTTTAAAATCTTGTTAATTTTATACTTTTATTACATTTGGTTTCATTCTATTGTTTAGGATACTTTCTATTTTAAATTATTTAAAATTTTTCAATTGTTTTTTCAAGTAACGAAGAATGAATAATTATCTATTTTAATCAAAAATTTTTATAACATTAAAGTTTACCAGTACTTCAAATATTTTATATTATTATTATTATTATAATTATTATTATTATCTATATATAACTTTCAAGTGATCAATATAACAACAATTTTGAATATTATAATTAAAGAAGCATTAGTAAAACAAATAATCGAATAAAAATGTCGTTGAGTAGTACAAGTCAATATACGCACCAACTATTAAGATTATAAATTGAAGAACAAACAGAAGAAAATTTCCATGCAAACTTGACCACATTGTAAATTCAAAAAACTACCAATCACTCAAATATCACCAAAAAAACACCACGTGATTATCATTTCGTCAAATAGAACTACCAAAATGATATAAATCTCCTTGAAGATGATGAAAATACAATGGAAAATGAAAAAATTAGTAACTTTTATTTGATGTCAACGTTGGATGAGTACAGAGAAAGGAATCGACACTCAGACTTTAGAGGTAACGTCTGCTCTATGTTTAGTAGTGGGACATGGAGAAGAACCAAGACTCTTCACCCGAAGTCCGAAGAGAGATCCCCACTCTGTTGAATTGCTTCGTTGTTTCTACACTCTAAGAGCCAACCTGCCGGTGAAAGTCGTCGGCCTATTTTGTTTCGTCTCTCCTCACCTTCTCAACTCACTCAAGTCGTGCAACGTCACCTGAAACTTGCAAATGTAACTCCCTCCCGCTCCTCTATCATCATCATCATCATTATCTACTCTTCTTCTAGACAATATTTTCATCTTCAATTTTCTATCATCAGTTAGTGATCTTTTTCATAGCCAAGACAAGCCGTTTTATTAAAATTATGATATTGGTTGCCTACTTTTATTTCTTCAACATCAACGGAAATGAAAGGCAAAAAAATGTATAGAGGTAAATTAACAAACACCAAAATGAGATCAAGGACACGATTTTATTGGTCGCAAGGTCCTTACGATGATTCCGGTCCAATTTCTTACTCTTACGTGCCGAGAAAAATGAACAAGTTGATTTTAATCTTAAACACACACACACACACACACACACACATTTAACATAATATCTGTATACATTTTCTATGATGACACATGTTAAATTTTTTTCATCAATGATTTCATTACGTCAATCTCCTTCAACCCGGAATTTCACAATTTAAATTAATCTCATCAATTTTAGATTCGATTAATATCAAATTAATTATTAAACAAAAATTTCATTGCATATATAACTTAATTATATTAATGAATAATTTAGATATCTTATTATTAAAAATTATTCAATTGTTTGTCAAAATAATGAAAATTGATTTGTTTTTCTTTATTGTGAAAAATTCATTTGTAAATTAGTATTTTATTATTTTGTTTTGTAAATATATATGTTATTTTTATTTAATCATATTTAATATCTAAAAATAATTAAATTTTTCATAATGTAAAGCATGTCGATTCCAATTAATTGTATAAAGATTTTCAGCAACTAAATTAAACTTAATATTAAAAATAATTTAGATTTAAATAATTACAGAAATAATTAAATCTGATGATAAATTGATATTAATTTAAAAAAAATAGTTGGTGAAAAAAATTACGAACATTTATTTTGTTGCATTGATGAATAATTGTTTTTTTTTTAATTACTTCTTATTACAAGACGTTACATTCAAAAAAATACAATGTTTATTATTTAAGTATTAGAAAACTTCAAAATATTATTTATTAAACAATGATAGTTTTATTGTAATTAATATGATGTTTATTAAATTTCTAAAACATTGATTTATTCCTTTGTTTATTATCGATGAAGAATACCTTTTTTGTCATTACAGTGACAAGCCCAATTATAAGGATCAAAATAGTTTACTTTTTTCATGATGAAAGTTCATTATCATACGTATTATTGTGAACGACTATAAAATCATGTATCTAAATTTTCATCAATTTTCTGGTTGATATTTGTGATCATGCAAAAACAATGAATGCATCTTCACAATTTTTAATTGAGTTGTTTATTTGATCGTTAAGATATATAAACGATAATGAGATGTCATCATTTATCTTTCATTGAAATTTTGTACTACTTTCTTAAATAGAAATTACATTTTTTGCAACTAATAAATAAACATTAAAAATAATTATAATCCAATTTTCATGTACTATTATTTATAGTTTAAATTGTTATAAAAGTTTTTTTTGTTTACTTGTATGTAATAGTATAGATGAATTGTATAGAAAAGAAAATAATTAATAATTAACTTTTTCATTGTTTTTTTAGTTGCCCTGATTGATATGTTAAATAAATCTTCATATTACCTGGAACTTGGTATAAATGATAGTCAGAATGAGAACTTTTAATTATCTTCATATAAAAAATACGGATGATCATCTTCATTCACATCTCATTTGTTTTTCATCTATTAACATATATTCTTCGAACAATCAAGTGGAAAGGAAGGTTACCGGATCAAGACAGTCTGTCTTTAATATGACCTTGACCTTGAATTAATTTCGTATAAATAAAAAGTGTTGAGTTCGTAATGAAAATGGTGCTCACGTTAAACAAAGTAGATAAAATAAAATATAAGTAATTATATTAAATTGTTCAATCAGTCATCAAAATACTTCAATTAATAATTCAAAGACATAAAATCATACAAAGATGCAAAGAACCGAGTTATTATTGCAAAAATGTTGTATAAGAATACATAATCGTTATGACTTTGAAGAACTTGAATAGTAATAAACGAGAGCTGAAGCTGGAAGTTGCCAATGGGCTGCATGAAGTTCAATTATTTGCAAAAGAATTTTTCTCACTGATGGAAGAGTTGAATTTTCGACAAGAAAAGTGTCACGAACATTCGCTAAAAGTTGTTCGAGTTGAATTGGTAACTCAACATCTAGATCTTTCCCCACACATGTAAGTATATAAAATAAACTCTCCATCTACGAACAAAAATAAAAAATTTACTAATTAACTTGATAAATTTTCAATAAATAATTCCATCATAAATGTATATAATATCTAAAATAGTTAATCATTAAAAATTTTTATCTTAAACTATAATGTAATCTAACAATTAATCATAATATTTCTGTTAGTTATTTTAGATTTATATTTAATTAATTTTAATCAAATTGATAGCTTAATTTATGTCAATACTAAATTTATAAGTAATTTTAAGATTACCTCTGGAAGAGAATTTATAAATGATGGTTGCAAACAATCCAAACAACATTTCCAAAGTAATGTTAAAAGAACTCGACCTGGAGGAACGCCTTCGTGCTGTGTTTTTAATTGCAACTGACGTCGTTTTAACTGTAACATTTATTTATTGGTACCATAACATATCATAAATTTCTTATAAATTTTTACATTTATTAACATCCAAAGTACCTGGCAATACATTTCATTAAGGAATGTCATGAATGCTGAGAAGCGATGACAAACTGTAATATCTTGTAAGGATTTTGTATGATCCTGATACCACTGTTGACAAGTATTTAACAAAGATTCAAGAAAAGTTTCTTTGGTTTCTTTCTAGATGAAAAAAAAAATTATTCCATTTTTAATAATTATATAAAATTAGTCTACTAATCCATTATCACTTATTGAATAAGATGAAAACATGTCTTACCTCAATAATTTTGATACAAATTTTCGCTGCATGTTCAGCATATCGATTGTGTTCTACAACTCTCGTAAGAATATGTCTAACTAGTTCCATTAATGAACGAGAATTCAGAACATTTGGATCTGAAATTCAAATAATTAAAAATTTTTTCAATAAAAATAAATATTAAAATTTCTGTACATGTCTATACCTTCAATAGCTTTGATTAATACATCTTGAATAGCAGTAGGAAATTTTCCTAAAGCTGCTATATCAGATATATTGTTAGCTTTTGATACTAAAACATCGTTGTTAAAACTTTTGGATCGCTTTAATCCATAAGAAGATACAAATGATAAAGATTTGGTTAATTTTCCCGGTTTTGATGATGAATGTTGTGATTTTGGTTCAACATTAAAGTGAACACGATTTTGATTACTTATCTAAAAAAAATATGTAAAATATTGAAGGCAGTACTATAATATAAATATAAACAATTGAATAATAAATAATGCATACGTGAAGTATATTTCCACTGGAAGCTGAAGTATTGAGTACATGAGAGTGGCGTACTAATGGACCATGATAATTGACGACATTGTGACTGGGATGTTGATACGGCAACGGCTGTAATTGTTGCTGGGCATACAAATATCTATGTATATTCCCACTGGATTTACTCTGCTGGAGATAATACGACGATCGAGAGTCAACACAGTTTGTCATAGGTTTATTATTGTGAATTTCGTTGTGCTTCATTGTAAATTCTTTAGCATGAACATTCAACGGTTGGCTCGCCGTTATGAGTCTTTCTAATCTTCCACCTGCATTGAATATGTTTTATGCATTATTTATTGCCAACATAATGTTTTTACATGTACAAATTGCTTAGGAAATAATAATTATATCATCATGATAATAGAATACATTTTTTTTAATAGTCTATGTATATATTATTTGAATAATCAATAAAAAATACTTCCTCTACTCCGAAAATAAAAAAAAAAGTACTGAATTAAAAAGTTAAAATATGTTTTTCATTTACCTGGAGGACGATAAATTTCTAAACTTGGCTTTGATTTCTGAGCAATTACTGGACTCGTATCCCTCATCTGCGAATTTGGTAGATTAAAATAAAATTCCGTTCACAAAACATAACAAAATTCGTATGTTAAAAAATATGCGACCCCTATAAAAACATATTTAACAGAAGAGAAAGTTCAAAAATGTAATTCGTGGCACAATAAATGTTCATTCACACGATCAAAAAATAACAAATGATTTGATATTAAAAAAAATGTCTCGATTACAATTTTATTAAATAGTTGCAGAAAAGACGATTATTCAATTATAAAAAGCATTAGATCAATAGAAAAAAATGATAAATTCAAAGATGTATATAATCCAACAATCGGACAAGTCTTTCGATCAGTACGTTTATTCTCACTCCAATCTTAGAGAGTAAGTTTCTGATGACTAGTAACTAATAATAGCAAGCAACAGACACAGTCATATCGTCACAAATATATATATATATATATATAAATAAAAGGAAGAAAGAGAAAGAGGAAGAAAAATTTCAAAAGAGACGACGGAAATAAAAGACGTCAAACATTTGCTTTTTAAGTTTTAAGCTCAAGTATTATTTTATTTTATTATTATGCCAACTTTTTATTCATGAATTATTTACAACAGTTATTCAATTAAAAATTTCATAATTAATACTGGTAGGAGAATAGATAAATTCAATATTATGTAAATGATTGAAAAAATCGATTTATAATTAATTAAAATGACTCATACAGAGCCTGCACTCCTTTTAAGACTATTTCGTCATTTACTTGACACTAGTATGAGGAAAATAATGGACATGAACTGTCTCGTAGATATTAGCAATAAAAAAAATTAAATGAACTGTATTTTTCATCATGTGCAAACTAAAATAGATTATACTACGCGTAACGCACCGATGTTTAGTAATTATCTACATAACTACGCACGCACGTTTTATTATTTTTTTTTTCACCTCGACAATGAGTAACTTGAACTTTTGATCATTCACACTATTGAAAAAAGAGCTGTCAATAATATATCTATGAAGCTCACGTCATCGATAAAATATGTTTAATTTTAGTTTTAAATAAATGTTTTGACTATAAATTAAAGTATAATGAAAAAAATATCAAGAAGGTGCGGTTGAATTTAATGTGATGCTGGCGTGCGTAGCATCATCTAGTACTGGTGTATTACATTATGCGACATAATCATATGATGCATCATGTAATGTCTCATATGAGATTAGTAATCCCCTCCAGGTTTGTTATTAACAGATTTTCATTCGTACTTCTATATCTACAGTCACTTTTAAATTTATTTATTTTGCGCGCCCCGCAATAGGTGCGCATTTATGTGGCCGCATTGACTTAACAACGACGCCTCTACCGATCAAGAAGCCTAACTTTGCCCAGATAGCAGCGCGCCCAGTGGTGAAGCCTGGTCCCCGCTGGTAAGCCAGTTTATCGGCAGTTAATCTCCAGCCTTTGTCTGTGACGCTTCAGCTGTAGGAAAAAAGACTTTATATTTTCACGAATTCTAATTGTTCAGTTATTTTAATTGTTTAAATAAATATATAATTATTTATAATTATTCTTCTATGATTTATTGTAGTGGTAATCCCCATTTAGTTCATAACCGCTACATTTACAATTCGCAAATGACATCTGACAAAATAGACTAGCATTAAGTTTTTTTACATATAATACATACTTGAATGATTTCAATTGTTGGATAAAATAAAATCGAAGATGCAAGTAATCTTGTATTACTTCGCACAATGCATGGAATAACACATGAATGTGCAAGAATTTTTTTACATATGACGTTGTGATTTGAAATATCTGTTTTCATTTATAATACTGCCAATTGTCGCTAGTAGGGATGGGCGATATTGAAAAAAAATATCGATATTTCTCATCAATGGTTATCGATGTATCGATATTTTTTAAAAAATATCGATATCAAAGTCATAAGCGGGATAATTTAAATTGAAGATTTTAGTGACCTCTGGTGGAGCTCTAAAAAAGATATTTAATTGTTTTTAAAGTTGATTTGAAAGTTTTAGGGAATTAGTTCAATCATCTTTTCGTTTGTTAATTATAATTAACTAGGATAATGAACTGTTATGCTTCAAGTAAGTACTTGAATTCTATTCATAAGTTTTATTATTGGATTATATCTGTAGATTTACTATGTAAAATTATTGTTATATTTATACATCACTTACAATAATCCTTCATAACCTAACTTTCTCAATTTTTGTTGTTGTTAATCCTTTTGATATTATACGCAGAACCCTCGTCAGAAATGACATTTAGTTTACATTTTTCAATCAATCATGAATCTGCGTGGATCTTCTTCATATAGAGTTTCTAACCCTTTATCATCTTTATCTATACTGAACATGATGGTTTTTCACTTTTTTTAATAATAAATTGATTAATAAATAATTAATAAACGCGTGAGACCTGATGTTGAACGTGTGACTATTAATGGCTTTTGGTTAGTTATTTAAAATACCACGAGAGGTCTCTACATGGTCGATATTACGAGAAAAAATATCGACCATCGATGTATCGTCTATGAAAAATATCGAATAAAAAGACTCGATATCAGAAAAAATTTATCGATATTTCGATACATCGATAGATATCACCCATCCCTAGTCGCTGGAAAGTCTGGCATCATTGCATATGCATGTAGAAGATTTTTATCTATCGTCTATCCTATTAATATTACTATCATATAAATAATACGTATACATATAATAAATAATTATAAATACTTTAATTCACATGAGCAATAGCGTCTATTAATTATTACTATTATTATTAATTAATTAATTAATAAAGTTTCTGATACAAGCTTTGATAGATAGTAACAATGTTGCCAGATGTTGCTGTACAACAAATCATTGAAAACGTTGATGATTCAAATTAAAATTTAATATTTATTCTAACATATTTAATTGTAAATAATATTTATATAATCGTAAGTTTGAAAATTAATTTCAAATATATGTACTGTAAAATGTAACGTCACATGACATGAGAAGACCAGTTTTACAAATAGTTGGCTTGTCGGAACGCTCTTGCACCAAACTGTACTCTATATATTTGTGTATAGTCGGATTGAGAAGAGAGTTCCACATGTGCTCTTGTACGCTTGCGCAGTAGCGAAAAACGTGGTAGAAAGGGTAAGAAATCAGTGGTAGGGAGTCCGAAAGCATTGAAGCAACTGAGGAACTCTTTTCTCAGTTCGACAATAAACACAGTTCAACAGTGTAAACACGTGTCGTAATTTATTTATGCAAAAATGAGTGAAAAAACAGAAGGAGAAATGACTGAAGAAAAAAAAGAAAGTATAAATAATGTTACATGGAAGGATTTGGTAAGTTTTTAAATAAAATTTATCTTATAAGTTTATTTATTACAATATTATCTATTACAAAAATAACCTTTTACGATTCGTATATGTTTCACTACTACATTATTGTACAATTTAATAGTTTTTTAATATTTATTTTATTAGGGAATAATTGACATATTATGTCAAGCGTGTGAAGATTTAAAATGGATTGTACCAACAAAAATTCAACGTGAAGCTATTCCGCTCACTCTTCAAGGTATTCCAAATTTAATGATACAGATTAGATTATTATCAAATGTATTTATTTACACTAAAATATACTTCTTTCTAACAGGAAAAGACGTAATTGGTTTAGCAGAAACAGGATCAGGAAAAACAGCAGCTTTTGCTCTTCCTATTCTTCAAGCACTATTAGAAACTCGACAAAGATTATTTGCGCTAATTCTTACTCCAACTAGAGAACTAGCTTTTCAAATATCTGAACAATTTGAAGCTTTAGGTTCTAATACAGGGGTAAAATGCGCCGTAATTGTTGGAGGCATGGATATGGTATCTCAAGCTTTAATGTTAGCCAAGAAACCTCACATTATTATTGCCACACCTGGACGATTAGTTGATCATTTAGAAAACACCAAAGGATTTAATTTAAGATCTTTAAAATTTTTAGTAATGGATGAAGCTGACAGAATTTTAAATATGGATTTTGAAATTGAGTTAGATAAAATTCTTAAAATTATTCCTCGTGAAAGAAGAACATTATTATTTTCTGCAACAATGACGAAGAAAGTTCAAAAACTTCAAAGAGCATCTCTGAAAAATCCTGTCAAAGTAGAAGTATCTACTAAGTATCAAACTGTTGATAAACTTCAACAATATTATATTTTTATCCCTTCAAAGTTTAAAGATGTTTATCTGGTTCACATATTCAATGAATTAGCCGGCAACAGTTTTATGGTATTCTGTTCTACATGTAATAATACCATGAGAACTGCGTTACTATTGAGATATTTAGGTTTTATGGCAGTGCCACTTCATGGACAAATGTCACAAAATAAACGCTTAGCAGCGTTAAATAAATTTAAAGCAAAAAATCGATCTATTTTAATATCAACTGATGTTGCTAGCAGGTAAAGTTATATTGAAAATCAATTATTTTTAAAAACTTAATTTTTAGTATTTTAAGTTCTTATATGTAATTAATGTTTCTATATATTTTAGAGGTCTTGATATTCCTCATGTTGACGTGGTAATTAATTTTGATATTCCAAGTCACAGTAAAGATTACATCCACAGAGTTGGAAGAACAGCGCGTGCAGGTCGCTCTGGACGTGCTATAACGTTTGTTACTCAATATGATGTAGAATTATATCAAAGGATTGAACAGCTTATTTCTAAACAGCTTCCACTGTATAAAACTGAAGAAAATGAAGTAATGATCTTACAGGAACGTGTAGCTGAGGCTCAGAGGCATGTAAAAATGGTAAGTATGAATACTATTTTTTATAAATGAATTAATTCATAACTAATAATTATATTATATACAACAGCAAATTAAAACAATCGAAGATACGAAAAAATCAGGAAAACGCAAAAAACGAAATGATGATGATGAAGACGATGATACAGAACAATCATTTGGTGTTCGTAAACGAGTAAAAGCAAAATTTAAAAATAATAGAAAAAAATGAAATATCGATTAATATACTAAAAATGAACGATAAGTGTTGGAAAAAAAATTAAAAAGTTTGACCGAAAAAACTGAATTTTCTTTACATTATTAATAAAAATATTTCCGCTTAAGTATTTTAGTTAGTTTCGCTAATTGTTAATCAAAATTAATAAACTGATTGTTAATTATAGAAAGCGCAGTGACGATTCTTAAGAATTTTTATTTCGTAAAATCGCGGTGCAGCTAATCAATTATTTATTTATATATATATATATATATATATATATATATATATATATATAGATTTATAGTTTTTACGAGCCATTATCGATAGTAAATTTATTACCAAGATTCTTGCTATTCAAGAAAGAAAACAAGCTTTATATTTTGGTAAGATAAAGAGATCACTTTTAAAAAACAAATGCATATGTGAAAGCTGAAAGATCTTTGTTATCTAAATATACTATTTAAAATTTAGTTAACCGCAAAATAAATGTATATACATACATATAAAATGTAAATCGAAACAACTTATTCGTTCATTTTGAATGGGAAATAAAATATATTCCGTAATATTATAATTCACTATGTCTACACATTCTGTACAGTAATTCAAATTCAAGGATTTAATACCTCAATATACTTTATACAAAAAGGCTACTTATTATCTATCATTAAGACATACCATAGCATGAGAGTGCCCCACCACCTCGTCGATTTTTAAATATTTTTTTAAGCAACTGGTGGATGTTGCACCGCATGTTTGTACTGGTATTACAGAGTCAGTCGCCAGCGAGCATTATCACACACCGCACACTATGCGCTATAAGTGTTTTCCTCAGTATTTCTCACACATTACTCATAGTTTACAATTTACCGTCCTTCATTGAGTGGACTTAATTTCATCATCATCTTTTATCTTAATTATCATCAACTAAATCATGATTACGGTCCTTATTCACGGTCAATTTTTTTTGAGTAATAAACAAAAAAAAAATTTTCCTTCAATACATAAAAAATGGATCAACAGTTATGCACATGAAAAATATTCAAAGTATTTTAAAAAGTCTTGCCAATAAATAAAGAAATATTTAATGATATATATGTATATATGTACTTATAATTCATAGATATATACATACATACATATATATGTTTATATAAGCTGTTTTGCATTTTTTGTCTCATAATACCGGTACAGAAATAGTGCATTTTTTGTAGATCCTCTGCAAACGTGAAAAATTCATGATTTTAATTAAGATCTCTGTCTTCTAAGTACTTATACTCGAAAGTAAAGCCTTCTTTTTTTCTTTGTCCCCATTTTTCATAGTCAAAGTAAATATACGTTCCCTAAAATCAAGAAAATGTATTAAAAAAATTATTTTAGTCCTGACTATAAATAATTAGAAATGTTTCATCACTTTTTTTACCTGTTCATATTCTTCATTTATCACTTTTGGTTCTTCATGCCTCTGGAACCACATCATATACTTCGTATGAAACCTCCAACTTTGTTTCTTGAGTGCTTTGGCTGCCAAGTACTGGCCCTTGGAACCCTCCATGTAATAAAAAATAAAGAAAAGCGTCTCCGTCGATAGTCGTTGAAAGAATTCTACAGTATCAGAGTGTGGCAGCTGTACCTAAAATTTTAATAATAAATTAAAATAATTGAAATTAAAAAAAAAACCAATTTATACATATCATTTCTAATGGTTTTTTCTATAAACTTAATAAAGTACAGAAATGGCTCTATTCATGGAACAACAAAATCTAATGCTTTAATATAATCAATATTCATGGTCTATATTATATATATTAGAAATAATTTCAATATTAATAATGTTATTTTATTAATTCGATATTTATGGTCAATACTTTTTTCTAAGATAATAATGGTTTCATAATTTGATGTCAAGTAATAAACATCGATCTTAGAGAAAATTTATAATTTTAAAATAATGGAAATCATAATGAAAATGAAATTGAAATTTAATAAATAATATTCGTAATTAAATGTATTGCGATATTCATTCTAACTATGCTATTTTTTCGATTTTCAGCTCGAAAGAATAGAACAAACGAACAAACCTTAAAAGAATGGGTGATTCATTAATAGTTTTTATCACAATTTTTTAATCAACTATTCATAAAGCTATGTATCAAATTTACTTAGCTTAAAAATTTTTTAAAAAACAAAACATCTCTTATGACGAATAATAAAACATACTTGTTGATAATAAGGTGGCGTCTGACATAAATTTCTGGGTAGATAAGATCGAAGACGTTCAGAATCAGATGGATGTGGCATATGATAATAGGCAGCTTCCATCATTTGGAACTGCAGTTGATGTTCTTTTTGTAAAGGAACAGGACCCAGTGGTGCGACTCCAAGCAAGGGCGGAATGTGCGCCTCAGACGTCACAGTATTGGGTTTTGAATTGTCAAAGATATTTCGGCTTGGTTCACCAGGGGGTATTTCCAAACCTGCTCGAACAATTACTTGCTGGGCAATAGATTTTAAAGTAGACATGCCATCGGGAAGTTTAGAAATAAGACCGTTGGCAGTGGAAGGAACTGGGGAGCACGCATTCACTTGTACTGGTGATGATCTACTGCTGACAGATGAATGAGGCGACGCTGATGGAGGAATTGGAGTGATCATTTCTGCATTATTATTATGATTTTGACTTGATTGATTATGCATCATATGGCTTGATTGCATATTTGAAGCTGTTGCGGATACGGTTGCTGGATTATTATGCTGCGACTGCTGTGAAACAACCTGAATTTGAGATTGCTGCTGTTGTTGAGCAATTTGTTGCTGTTGAAGTGTCATTTGAGTTTGAGGTTGATGTTGAGATGTGGGAGTTGGTGGAGATTGTTGAAGTTGTTGAGATGGAGTTGTTAGTTGCTGAGGTTGTTGCTGAAGTTGTTGATTCATAGATTGTGATATTGGAGATGTAATGTTAGACATTGGTGACGATAAAAGGCCATTCTCGTTGTTTTGAGCTGTAGAAAACATTTCATAGTAATTATAAAATGTTAATAAATCAATTTAAAACAAAATAGTAATAGATAATAAATATTACATGATATTTTAGAGGTAGAGTGAACAGTTTGAGAATTGGTGTGTGAGGCAGCTACTGTGGCAAAATTTCCGGCATTACTTGTAACAACATGATTACTATTAGAATTAGGCGAGCTATGGCTAGGTGTCATGGGAATGGTTTTGCTTGGAGTGCTGCTCGATAGTAAAGTTGATTTAATGCTGGCAGTGCTTCCCGTCGTTGGAATGCTCGTTTGTGACGAGCTCAGTAGCGGTCTTACTGCAGTAGGTTTAACAGGCTGTAAAATAAAATTAATTCAATTAATGATTTTTTTCTCCTTATCAATTTATAATTTACTGAATAATTTACCTTAGGTTTTTTATCATTGTCAGTTGAACTATCACTTGAATGATTGTGCATGGTAGAACTCAATGGTGGTGATGGTATCGGAGATGTTCCTGAATTGGTAGACGTGGGTGTACCTCCAGTTTCATTACTGTTGTTACTGTCAGTCGTTGCTGAGGATGGAATTCCAACTCCTGAAAGCTCGACTTCATCAAGACCGATAATATCGTCATAGATATACTCATTTTCTTCAAAGTCTGGTTCTTGTGAAGACTCAATGTAATACTCTACATCATCTTTTATCCGCTTTATTGTATGTACTTCAACTGACATATTATCCAACATGCGCAAAAGTGTTTCCAATTTACGAATATGATATCGATGTTTATCCAGCTTTGATTTTAACTCGTCCATTCTATCCTGCTTATCTTTATCCAGTCTCTTCTTTTTACCAGCAAGTAAAGATTCTATTTCTGATTCAAATGTATCCAATTGTAAATTTAATGCATCTATGGAATTTGCAAGCCAATTGCTTACTTCCTCCCTTTCTTTTTGAGCTGGATCTAATTTCTGAGCTGCGCCTAAGCCTTCTTTCGAATATGCCTTTGTCTTTGTTTCCCGTTCAACGACTTTAAATCGTTCCATTTGCTAAAAAAATACAAGCTTATTAGCTCAAAATAAATTAAAATCAATCAGCGTGAAATTTAAACAGACAAAATATACAAACCGTTTCAATTAACTTTCTATAATCCAGTAACGTACTCTTATCTTTAATTTCTCCAGAAGCGATCCAGCTTTTAATCTGGTCACGTAACCTCTGGAGCTTCTTGATTTCTTTCTTGAGATCAGCCTCATATTTCTCTTTCTGATTGCTATTAGTCGCATTGTGAACTTTTTGCCAAATATCTTCAAATGTATCCACACCTTCAGTAACTTTCTTAAGGCACCTGTCTATTTCACCTACACAAATCAGAATGAATGTGCTTTAACAATTATCATTATTAAAACAAAATATTAATAATTACATTGACATATTAAACATAAAGTTAAGTAAAAAAAACAAACTTTAAGTGATAACAATGATAGGAATAAGGATGGAAGGATTCAGCAACGCAAAAAGCGTCAGACAATGATGCATTAAAACATTACAACAGGTACTTAATAGATCAATGAGATAAATTAATGTAGTATAATAGATATATTGATCATAAAAATACAAGGAATAAATGTTAATAATAAGAATTTTGTTAAAAAAAAAGTAGAGGTGAATGGAGGGAAATTAGTGGAATGAGAATAGGGGTTGGAAGATATAGAAAAAAGACTCGGTAAATGTAAACACTCTAGATAAATTTCGTACCTTGCAACTTTCTCGTAGCAGCCATGGCTATGTAAACATATGGTGCGATAATTCATGCATAGTCCGAACGTAACAATGAAGATACAAATAAATTTTTCGTGATAAATAGTCGGTTAACTAATATTTCCTCGATATGATATGGGAGACTTAGCCACAAGATGGCTTCCGTTTTCAAATGACAACGACCGACCGATCCAACACGCAATGGTAGTATTTGTTGAAAATGTAGCGCAAGTTTCAAATTTTGCAACAGTACAGTAACCTCACTTATTTTCACTATTTATTTGTTTACTTCATTCAAATAATGAAGATTTACTTTTAATATACAGTTAATGACAGCATCAACAAATGGTATATATCAAGTACTTATTTCTTTGACGGGTTTATACACCTGCGTATTACTATTATTTTATTCACAAACACATTTCATCGATTTACTTATGTGTGCTCACGTAAGAATGAAAAGTATTCTATTCAAATCTCTAACTTTTTGTGAGAACCTCTACCATAAATCATAAAATATAGATGGGATACTTTATTAAAATAGTTTAATATAAAACAGTTTATCAAAAAAAAAATACTATATTGCATAAAAAAACTCAGATTTGAGAATATATAAAATACTTAGTACATAGTACGTCAACTAACATGTGTAGTGCTAGTGTCGACTTTGATTGCCTGCAAATATAAGTACGTACAATTGGCAACAAATAATAATAATATTATAAAACATCGGTTGAAAATCCACCAAAATTCACTTTTAAATTTTTTATGAAAAATAAACTGTTTTTTACTAAATGCATATATTTATTACATTTCTCACAAAAAAATAAAGAACGTTCATTGGTATCCTCAAATTCTGAAATTATACTTAATTTTTATTTTATTATTAAAAAAAAATCGAAATTTTTCGGTATTTTTCTTGTTTTGTTCAAACACAAAACAAATTGTTTTTTGCAAATAGTGTCTTTATGTTAATTGAGAATCACCATTTTTGCAAGGGTATTTTTATGAAATTCTACATAACAAAATACTTTATAAAGTATACGTTTATTGAAAATCTTATGATTATCCAATTATTGTATAGAGTGCGTTATTGGTCAATTTTGTACTTTTGCAAAGTTCCGAGCTTTCAGGTTAACTTTTATGAGGACACTTCTTTAATGTTTTAAAGTAAACAATTAATTAGTGAGTTTAACGTTGCATAATCTTTTAATTTATGAATATTAATAATACATAATTATGTGTAAATAATTGTTAATTTAATTTTTCATTATTTCTTGAGTGAGGTTATTTTTCTTAATTCGAAATGGGTTCATTGACCAGTAGACAAAACGCTGGTGTTGAAGAGGTTGATATTGTGTCAAACCATGCTTACAAATATCCACCACGATCAGGTAATTATTTTTATTAATTTTTTGATAAACAATATTATCAATTGTAAACTCATCAAATTGATTGTTTTAATTTTTTAATGTTAGGTAATTACTTCGGAAGTCATTTTATAATGGGTGGCGAAAGGTTTGACACACCACAACCAGAAGCATATCTTTTTGGAGAAAATGCAGATTTAAATTTTCTAGGCAGCCGACCAACACCTTTTCCCTATCCTCCTCCACAAGTGAATGATCCAACAAAAACATTAAAAAGTTTAATAAATATCAGAAAAGAATCTTTAAGATTAACTAAAAGTATTGATCCTACACCAACATCATCAAAATCTAATGATACTATAAATGCCATCAAACATTATGGAGAAAATGATATAGATAAAAAATCTACTCGTTTTAATATTGAATTTACATTCGATTGTGATGTAAGATGTGCAATTACTATTTATTATTTTTGTACAGAAGAAATCACAACAAAGGGGCTTTCGTAAGTATCTTATCTCATGATTTTTTTTCAGTATTAATCGAGAAAATTTCTGGGAGATATTTATTTTCCAGATACATTCCAAGAGATTCTTCAATGAGTTCAGAAACATATCACTATAAAAAAGGTGCTAACCAACAATTTATTCAAACATCTCACGTTTTCGATCCAAGTTTATACAATGAAGAAGATTTACTTTATAATACCGATAAAGAAATTATTCCAATTGCCATTCACTGTGTTGCTGAAGAAGGATCTGATGAGCCCAAACAATCGCACACAACGATAGCAGTAGTAGAAAAACATTCAGATGGCTCTTATATTCTAAAAGCTCTTAAACAAAAACTTTATGTAGATGGACTTTGTTATTTACTTCAAGAGATTTATGGAATTGAAAATAAAAATACAGAAAATACTAAACAGCAAGGTAGTGATGAAGATACTGAAGATAATGGATCTGAATGTGTAATTTGTATGTGCGATGTAAGAGACACTTTAATTCTACCTTGTAGACATTTATGTCTCTGTTATGGATGTGCTGATTCATTAAGATATCAAGCTAACAACTGTCCCATTTGTAGAGCACCTTTTAGAGCTCTTTTGCAAATTAAAGCTCTTCAAAAAGCTACTGGGGCTATAATTTCTAATCCTCCATTACCAGAAGTAAGCTTTTGGTACTATAGCAAAATTAATTGAAAGAAAATGAAATTTATTTTGAAATAAATTATTTCTTTACGTTCATAGGGTAGTTGTGAAAATATTCCAACAGGATATGAAGCAGTATCTTTAATTGAAGCTTTAAATGGTCCATATACTCCAAGAGTTATTGCTCCAGCTCCAGAATCTCCAGATGCCCCCTACACCCCGGATACTCCTGATACTGACACTGCTAATGCTATTCAAGCCGCAGAAGCTTTAAACAGGTAAACAATTATTAAAAATACACATTTATGTCGAATTATTTGTAAAAGTTTGAGTTTAGTTATATTTGCGTTATTTTTAAATTTAGAACATTGTGTAGATGTAAAAAATTCTTAAATTTATTTCAGGTCATCCGGAAGAGCTCCCATTTCGAAACACGTTGGCTTAAAAGATGCAGAACTTGCTGGTGCTAGATCTAGTGGAACTACTCCATGTCCTACGCCAGAATTTCGTATGTCAGTTTTATTAGCAAGGGATGAAACTGCTGGATCTCAAAAAGATCTTCATAGTCGATCTCCAGGAGTACGAGCAAAAGTATCAAATCATCCACGTGATAAAAGCGTATTTAGAGCAAGAGACACTCTAAGACTCGTCAATGAAAAACAGCCAGCTCATTACGATGTAAATTTTTTTAATTATTTTAAGCTGATTGTATACTTTTATTAGATTAAACAAAGATATTATGTATAATGTGTTTTACAGAGTCAAGGACACGATGAAGACAGTGAAGCCGAAAAATTATCACCTCTTCTAGACTCAACAACGAATACAGACCCTCGTAAATCTCATCGTATTTGTGATATGGATATGGACGATGATTTGACTAATGTTGTTACTGAGAATGATGATGAAATAAACTGTAATTCTCATTGACAAAGAATTAATGTTTATACGAATTTAATGTCAGAATCACCATTAGTTCGCAAGATTTATCATTAATATAAAATTTATAAAAAAACTTACAATTGTATTATAGCATTACCAAAAGTGTAATTAATTAATTGGCTAACATTAACATATTTTATAAGGGAATTATCAATGTAGCTTATATTGTCTGATAAAGTTAATTTGTTAAAATTATTATGAACTATTCTTTTAGATGCTACTGCAGCAATATGTATTTTTTAATATCTACAGAATTATATTTGTAGTTTAATCTAAGTGTTTTATCAACTTCTTATAGAGTAGTTATCTAAATGTAAAATAGGTATTCATTGTAATTAAAAAGTAATTTGGAGGATATAGAATAATATTTAAATTTACAAATCATACATACGTTATTTTATTTTTCATTTATATATTTATCATGATAAAATGGTGCTTGGTACTATAAGAGCATTTTTTATTTATGTATGAATATTTAAGATAATTGTAATAATAAAAAAACACGGTTTAATGTTGGTTTAATAAAATTTTATTTGAACCAATTTAAAAAGTATCGTAATCAATTAAGCTGTTATTAAAGTTTCACGAAATTTTTTCCATTGATCCAAAGGTCCGTGTTCCGGAAGATATTTGACATTACAGCCATCGGGAGCAAGACGACCTGCTGCTTTCAAATCTTCATATTCAGCACGATCGTATTTGGTGAAACCCCATTTTTTAGAAACGTAAATTTTCTGACGACCGGGAAACTTGAATTTTGCACGACGTAAAGCTTCGATCACTGCTGCCTTATGACGATCAGATGATCGAACACTCATAATAGGTTGACCGATACGTACACGAGCTACAGTACCTTGAGGTTTTCCAAATGCACCTCTCATTCCTGTTTGAAGCCTAAAAACATATGTTTAATTTGATTTATTTTAAAACATGTTGAACGGCATTTTTCTCTGCATAATATGTCGAAGAAAAATTTAATTCCGATCAATTAATTTTATGTTCAAGTTTGAATTAATTTAATCTCTTATACTGAATTATTTTTTGCATCACATTATGAAACACGAAAATTTATATTTTATTACCAAGTACGTTAAAAAAATCGACTTACAATAAGTAATAAAATTAAACAGATAACAAGCAAAAATTAATTAGTTATTGGTTTTCTTCAATTGTTGACTTTACAACTAATGAACCCATTTGATGCATTAAAATATTTCTATTTCAACGTTTATAATTAATATTTATACAAATATTTTAAATTATTTAATAATTACAGTTGAACAATATGTGACAAAACAAATAATCTTACCTATCAGCTCCAGCACACGATAACATTTTATTAATTCGAATAACATGGAAAGGATGAAGCCTCATTCGAATATGAAATTGATCTTTTCCAGCATTTTTAACCATGTACTTGTTACAGCAAATTCGTCCTGCTTCTAATGCTTCAGAACTCAGCTGTTCATATTCATCAGATACCAAGTGTACACATAATGGGAAATCTTCCACACTAGCTTTCTTTTTTCCTAGATCGAAAATACGAATTTTTGGATCTGGAACTCCTCGACAGAACCGAGATTTTGGGTATGGCTTATTCTTACAGTAGCGATAACTGAAATAATTAAAGTCATTAATGTTAAGTATTGTAATGTATAACCTAAAAACGATAACGCTTTTTATATTATTGTTATTGTTGAATCTCATATAAGTATTTTCCGAATAATCGAATTGGTTGAAAGAAAGCATGTTCATCGATTATCATTTTTTATAATTATTTAAATATATATTGTTTGTATTGTCATTGAATATTTAATAATAAATTAAGCATGACACTTACCACCTAGCAGGTCTGCGACCCATTTTTAACCTGAAGAATGCAAAAAATAAAAAATATAAATTAAATAATACTTGTATATAAGAAATAAACAATCAGTAATTATTAAAACAAAATTTTTGTTTATAAAATAATAACGATCAAAATATATAAAACGGATCTAATAATCACAAAACGTACCAAACCCTCACGATTCCTAAAGAGAAAGGAAGTTGGGTACAAGTTTTATGACGTCATGTGATAAGTAGAGAGAGATATCTGACGATAAATTACCGGTTACTTTTAAAAATTTATATGAAAATACAAGGGCTGGGGCGAGTGTATGTATGTACCCGTGGTCCATTAATGACTGAGTTGTTATCTATTGAGCCCGACCTATATCCTCCGAGTAATTACCGACTGCGGGAGAATTTTTTTTGTGTAGAGAGTTTTCAGTCTATAACTTTTCAAGTTTATGCTATGTCAAAAAAAACCATAAAATTATTACTCAAATATTTTTTACGACTCAAATATTATGTTTAAAGGACGTAATATAATTTTTTTAATAATAAAGAAAGTAGCGAGAATTTTAGCGATTAAGATTTATCAACAAAAAGTTTTTCTAAAATAAATATTTAATTTTATTCTGCTATAGTGTTCTATCGGCCATCTTAGCATTTAAGCATGAAATAATTGATTATTTATTTTATTAGAAAAAAAAACCAAATCGCGACTACTGTTTTCTCGGTTCGACTATACATATATTCGTGTTAAAAAGTAAACTTTCTAACATAACCTCTACAATGTAGTTATATTTACAAGGAACTTACTTTTAAAGCCAGTATATTTGAATAATTATTTTTGCGACATATGATGGAATCGACAAGTAACTTAATAAACCATAAAGCTGGAACTTCAAAGAATTTATCTCGTAATAATCCATGATTTTACTACGAAATAACTTTATTTGTCACTTAAAACATACTTTTTTTTAGATGCCAAATTAAGCATTTCAGATAGTGGAGTATATTCTTTCTTATCAATTTGTGCAATTTGTTTACCACAGTTATTTCCGAGTGAATGGAATGCTGAATTTAATCGAAATTATATAAAGAAATTATGTCAATACTTAGGAGCAAATAAACGCATAGAATCAGTGATGCTTGTATTTGTGGAAGGAAATAGTAGTCATGAATGTAACCCTTATATTGAATTATTACTTCAAGAAAAAACTTTCAGCCAAAAAGCTATAGTTATTATTCAACATGCAGTATTATTTGCAGTACAAAATGGTAAGATTTATATTTATTTAAAATCCTTGTGAATATAATAAATTTTATATTTATGCAATAAATATTAATAATCACTTTGAATAAAAATGTTATCATCATTCTCAGGAATTGTGTCAGGTAATTCATTGTTAAAAATGTAGATATTTTTTAAAGTAGAAGTTTTTATCTTAGTGTGTAAATTTAGAAAAACCGTTTAATATTCATTATTTGATGATATATAGTGCCCTCTAAAAATTAGTAGAAATATTGAGGTACAAATTATCAGATATTCTTTTTTTAGAAAAGTGAGTCCTTCAGTGAGTTCAAAATAAAAACTGTGTAGTTTATGACGAATAGAAAGATATTATTAATGACAGTATTTTTTAAAATGAATTATAGCTTATTTCAATTAACTTTTGGAGGACACTATATTAAAAATGTACAATATATGTGTGATTGACAAATTTTTAGGTGAATATGATGCACGGCAACGAGTATTAGCACGACGATTAGCAGAACTTTTTAAAGTACCTTTTGATTTGATTGAACTATATGAACATTCTTTAGTAAATTTGCTTAGTAAAGAAACAGAATGTCGTACAGAGTAAGTAAAAAAAATTGAAGAATAAAATAATTTCTATTAAAAATCTATTGAATTTTAGCTTATTCAATATTTTTTTATGTTTTAGAGAAGAAAAGAAAGAAACAGAACGTCGTGATAAGATACGGAGAATAAAACGTTATGCATCAGTAGGAATAGCTACGATAGCTGGAGGAACTTTGATAGGTTTAACGGGAGGTTTAGCAGCTCCTTTTATAGGAGTAGGTGTTGGAACAATTCTTGGAGGTGCAAGTGCAGCAGCCCTTACTAGTACTGCAGGTGTTGCTATAATTGGCTCTGTGTTTGGTGTAGCTGGTGCTGGATTAACTGGTTATAAAATGAATAAAAGGGTTGGGCAATTAGAGGAATTTTGTTTTGAACCTCTTTCAAAATATTCAGTAACTGATCAACAGTTACATATTGCTATTGCTGTTACTGGTTGGTTAAATAATGAAGATTCAGATAGTATTACTAAGCCATGGAGATTTTTGGCTATTTCTCGAGAACAATATGCTCTTCGATATGAGACTAAATATTTAATAGAATTAGGCCAAGCTTTGGAGTATATACTTAGTATTGCAATATCTTTTGCTACTCAGGAAGCGTTGAAATATACAGTTTTATCAGGACTTATGAGTGCTATTGCTTGGCCAACTGCTTTGCTATCAATGTCATCAGTAATTGATAATCCTTGGTCAGTTTGTTGCCGGAGAAGTTCAGAAGTTGGTAAACATCTAGCTCATGTTTTACTTTCTCGTCAACATGGTAAACGCCCTGTAACTTTAATTGGTTATAGTTTAGGAGCTCGTGTGATTTTTTATTGTCTTCGAGAATTATCAGAGTTGGGTCGATCCCAAGGTATTATTCAAGATGCTATAATGCTTGGGGCTCCAGTGACCAATAAACAAAAGCAATGGGAAAAATGTACCAAAGTTGTTGCAGGAAAGATCATCAATGGATACTGTCCTTCTGACTGGTTGTTGAAATTTTTATACAGAACATTATCAATGACTTCAGGAGTTGCTGGATTAATGCCAATTGATTGTCCCAGAGTTAAAAATATCGATTTAGGATCGGTAATATCAGGTCATATAGAATATTCAAATAAATTGTTAGAAATCATAGAATTTGTTGGAGTAAAAACTAGATCTATCAATGCTCTAGATGATAAAGGAGTACTTAAAAAGTCAATTTCTGAGTATCCAGCCATTTCTAAACCAATATCTAATTTATCACTGCGAGGATCTAAATCTGATGAGAGCCTCAATGTCTTCCATCTTCAAACTCAAATGATTCATAAACAGAGTTCCTAATGGTCCGTCCTCAAGCTTCTAAGATTTTCTATTCTAATTGGCGAAGATATTGATAAAAAATTATTTTTCTTAAATTTAAAGGGGAAATATTAATTCTTTAATGATGAATTTGATCTTTTCAATAAACTGTGCATATTATATAAATTTCTAGCAAAATGAAAAATTGATGAAAGTAAATAACATTTGATAAAAAATCGAACTCAATTCCTTGTGATATATATATATATATATATATATGTAACAAATTAATTGTGATAATTTTTTTGTTTGAAGATTATAAATTATATTAAAATGTTAATTTTTTTATCTTTTTACTACAATTAATTATAAATACGTACATTCGAAAATTCAAAACGTATCAATTTTATAAATTTTATCAACAAAGCTTTAAAATTATACATAAAAAATGATGAAACTATTTTCTGGTGGTCAATTACACGGGTTTACAGGATGAATATACATGATAAATACATTAGAAATATCTATATATACATATAAATTGTTTATTGTATGTTTTTATAATCAAATGTTTATAAAAATTATATGCTATGTTATTATTATTATTATTATTATTATTATTATTATTATTATTATTTGAATAAGAGATAATAATATTTATTAATAAGTCAATTTTTTAGATAAACTATTTTATCACAGTAATAGGTTACGGAATATTCAGTATGATTGATATTCAATCGTTTAACTTTTTTTTATATCAATTTTTTTTTCCTATTTTAATTATAAAACAAATTATAGTATTTTTTATAAATGTATCAATACATCAATCTCCACAAACTATTGAATATCAAGTGATGGTTTATTTTAAATATCGGATCATCTATAACAATATCCGATTACCTATAATCTGTGAAAATATTAATTAAATACTGTTTAACTATAAGATTAATCCATATTTAACTAATTGATCAAAAATAATTAAAATAACTTTTATCGAATATCATCTTGTGAAATGCATTGTAAATTTAAGAAAATTTTTATAGAAGTAATAAATTATCTACAATGTTGTTGATGTAACAGCATTAAGTCCATGAACAAGGATAGTTGGAGGTAAATCTGCGGTAAGTTCAGTTAGAACTTGAAGGTACTGTTTATAAAGAAATTCTTGATCCCAGGTATTGGTTGCTGGTGGTGCGGGAAGATAAATGAATGTAGTAGCTGTTTTTGTAGAATTTTCTTTGATCAATTGATTTACCCTCAAAATGTACGATTTTGAGATATTACTAAGTTCTTGAGGATCAACATTTGAGTCAAAACTTCCCTCTTCATATTTACTTTCAATAAGAGGTCGACCTTTCAATTCAGTAAATTGAATTCCCCAGTTAGGTACTTTTTTAATAGACGCTGATATTCTTAACATATTAAGTAATTTTTTAATTCGATTTTCAGTTGTAGTTTTTGGAAACTCAATGCTTGCTAATCCTGTAGACGTTGATTCAGAAATACTTAGAGATGAATTTTCACTATCTGCCATTTCACAGTAAAATACCCGAAGTTTCAAATTATTCCAACTTTTTACCATATTAATAATACAAGCTAATTGAAGCATAAACAAAGAGGTTGTATCGAATGGATCTTGATCATTTGGTTGAAAGAAATTTACTGGCCAAACGTCAATAAATTCCAAGTTGGAATTTTTCGTAATTAAATTTTTATCAAGTAAATGAAAATGTCTGCACAAACATAAATTTTTTTTCATCTTCAACACATCCATACACATTCCAACGTATTCAACAGAGTCCATTGTTTTTTCATTAACATTTTGTCTCAAACGAAAAACATTTCCATTTCCATTAATCCCTACATTTTCAAAAATCGTAGTTGAGTATCTAGAACTCTGAAAGAAATTTTGGGGGATTTCATCATCATAAAATCCAAGAACTATTGTATTTGGTTTCATAGCACCCATTCCAGAAATCCTAATTAAATGATGAAGACCTTCTCGAACAGTTTTTGTAATAGTGAGTTCCACAAATGCTTTTACTTTTAAGTGGTCGATAAGACTTAACCAATGTGGATACTCTTCAATAGTTGGATCAATACTTTGTAAAGTAAAATCACCAACTTTTACATGACCGATAACATAAAGGCCACCTTTTTTTAAATCATTCACAAAATCAATAAGAGGACAAGCAGATCTTGGTGATGAAACCATTAAGAGCATTTGTGGTCTCCAAAATTTAACATGATCTTTTCTTGAATCCAACATTAATAAATATTTCCTCACTTGATGAAAAATTAACGCTTGTGATATGCTGCCCCAAGTGGCATTTTTACTTGGCGAAAATAAATGTAAAACTATAATTAATATTAAACAAACGATAATACTCACAGAGGCATAAATACTATTTATAATAAACATCATTATTAAAGTTCCGAGTAGTCCAAATGTGGCAGTATGCCAGGTAAAATAATTAAATGTCGGTCGAAAGTTTGGAGCACTTGCCAATTCTAACCCCAAACATGCTAAATTAGTTGCTAAATAACTTAATAAAAATAACACTGAATTTATTTGAGCGATTACATTCAAAGATCCAATAGTTAAAATAATTTGAACTAATGTCCAAGATGTAAAAACAGCGGCAATTGGATTTCCATTCCATGTTCCTCGAAGAATAAAGTTTAATCCTGGTCCAAAAATATTATCTTTAGCAAGAGCTTCTAAAACTCTGCTAGAACCAATTAAATTGCTTAATCCTGCACTAAATGTTGCTGTTAAAATTCCGACAGCTACAAAAGGTGGCCATAAATTAATTGGCATCATATAAATAAAATTATTTTGTAGTAAAAATCTGCTCGTCGTTGCTGCTGTCAATATAGAAAGAATGATGTAACAAATAAAAGTAAAAGCAACTGCAGATAATGTACCACGAGGAATATTGATTCCAGGATTCTTTAGCTCTCCACTCATATTAGCTCCTGCCATAATGCCTGTAACACCGCTAAAAAGGACTCCAAAAACACTGGCAAAGTTTGACATGGTTCCACCGCTTGAATAATCAGCACTATAATTTGAATAAAGATTTGATTTCAATGTTGATCCTAAAAGTCCGGTGTAAGTTGCATTTAAATGAGTAGTAGTATTTTGTACAAGAGTGTTAGCAGCAGGCAGTTCAACTTCCATTGCTCCTTGAATAAAAAAACTTAAAATCACGCTTGTAAGACAGATACAGACAATTGCCAAAATTGCTACACTTGTTTTAGCAAACATTGAAGCTCCAATAAGACAAACAACTAGGTTGGCAGTGTTAAGCGCTGTACAATAAAGAAATCTCCACCATCTACCATCAGGTATTACGGATTCAGTACCTACTAAATAACCGTTTGGACCAAAATTTTCTACTATCCCTTCAGCACATCCTGAGATGCATAAAGCACTTGAGACTATATTAGCCATAAAAAATAATGTTCCTATTGATCCACCAAATTCTGGACCAAGAGTTCTACTAATCATGACTAATTTATTTGATAAGAGAAATTATAATTTTATAATGTAATAAAAAAAATTGTAGATTGAAAAATTGATAACTATTTGAATATTTGTTTTCAAGTATTATTTTAAAATAATTAACTAATAGTATATAAAAGGATACAATAAGCTCCACCACCTTCAACAGCTCCATTAGTAGAAATTGCACATACAGAAGATACGGTAAATACCAAAATACCGTAAGCAATTAAAAATTGTATTAAAGTGACGAGTAATCCTGCATTGCCAACAATATAACCTAAAAATATAACAATGTTAATGATAAATATTGTTTAAACATACAATATTTATTACATAAATAATGAAAAAAATTTATTTACCCATGCGTATAAAAACTAAGGCACTAAACATAGACAAAGTAACTGGACTAAAAACTCCAGCAAATGTTCCAAGAGTTCTACTGTTGTTTGCCCCAAGACTACTAAATTCAACGTATCCATCAGTTTCAGGATTTGATGGTGATTTTATAAGACCGAATAAATTTCCGATTTTTCGAAAAACATTTTGCCCACTAATTAATGGCGCTTTTTCATTAGATATTCTTATGTGAATACGATCTGCGTTTGTAGAACCAGTCTCATTCGCAATCATTGTCTGTAAAAAATGGATCATTGAAATAACTTAATTTTTAAAATAAATGTATTTAATTTACCTCTACATAATATAAAAATTACTTACAACTTATTAACTTTCTCTTATTTTTATTATCACGAGATATGCAGTCAAATTAATTCCAAACACTAGCAGATAACTTTAATCTGATGATGTCATAACAAATATGATATATAAAGACATTAGTTTTTCAAATATGGTATTAAAAAACAGTATTGGAGTAACAATCACACAGATGTTTAACACACTACCGATACACCCCGTTTAAAACTTCACACTTTACACAGTTATTACATATTATTGACATGAAAGACAAAAGCAAGTTTAAAAGCTCATTTTATTCAAACGAAATATGTAGATTTCGCGTAAAAATAGGGATACTTTTATGAAGATAAAATATAATTAATAATTTTCAATAGCGTTTATAAATATAGGCCAACTTTGTATATGTGATACACTTGTTGATATAATTTTGGGTTTTTTATTTTGTATTTGTACACTGACAGAAAAAATGTGATAGCTAGAAAGTATACTAGCGGCAAACACAAAATATACTCAATTTGAGTATAATTATTTTTTGATGCAAGTACATTTTATATCAAAATGAAGTTTAAAGTGTACTGTACAATCATAATAACATTAACTTGATTTTAAATTTTTCATCACTCAATCCTAATATAATATTAATTTATACCAAGAATAGCGATTACTGCATTTTTGTAAATATTTTGTTTATCTCAAGTAGGTAGATAATAGAAGAAGATTACAAAGTTTACTTCAGTTGATAATATAGTTTTCTTACACTGAGAATCTTCCTTACTTACCACAAATGTATTTTATACGGAGATCCCGTATAAAGCGTACTTATGCTAAGTATAATGCTGTTTTACACTTTAAACACCATGTTCTCACATTATGAATCCTTTTTTATTAATAAAAAAATACTTGTTACTTGATTCAAGTATATCAATTCTTCACTGCAAGTATATTATATACTTAAATTAAGTATACGAAGTACTCATGCTAAAATTTTTTTCTTATTAAATTTAAAAATTTCAAAATATAAATAATTATATTAATAATAAAAAAGTTACTGTTATACCCATTGGTATTGGTCAATTTAAATTAGTGACCATTACTAATGAAGTAATTTAATGATTAAATATTCAGTAATTAATAAATAGATGAAAAGTAATCTTATAATAATTACAACAATTACTGTTGTACTTTTAAATACGTGGAGCTGCTACACTTACCAAATATTTATACCTGTATAACTTTTAACAGGTGCAAAATAATAAAAAACTTTGCATGGATGAAATGTTCCATTTTTAATTCTGCACATTTTGAGCCCAAAATCGGACTGATCGGTGCATTTGAACCAAAATGGGAATGATTTAAATAATTCATTGTTTATAAAAATAATGAAAAAATCAATGAAAAAAAAAAAATTTTTCTCTAAAAAATGAAATTCAATATCTCCTTTTTCTAAATAAATCGCCAAAAAGTAATATTTCTAACATTTAGTATTTTTTATTAATTTCCTTAGACGCGACTGAAGCTTTTGTCAATAGTGAAGCTTCAGTCGCGAATAACTTTTTATCTATCTTAGATATGTTCAGTGCTTTTTTTTTATTAAAATTACATTCTGAACAACTTTTATTTAAAACATTTTTTCATATCTATCATAGAAATCGAGAAATTCGCGAGGGGGGGCGGTTTTTCGCGATTTACTTCCCCCCTATGCGTGCCAAACAATTTTAACCTACACCATTGTGTTTCTCGCAAAATTTCCGATCCAGTCATCTATAAATCATTAATTTGGCCGCAGTAAACCAAAATTATCTCATTTCCCTCGTTTGATTGGACTATACAATTATCCTAAGGACACAGAAATATGACATTTTGCGTTTGTTAATGTATTCATAGCCTCTCATCAAAATTATAATTACCTCTATGGATTTTTTATTGTTCAATTAATAATTTATCTATCATCATCAAAGATATGATATTAGATAGTTTATAGCTAATAGTCCAGTCAAACGAGGGAAATGAGATAATTTTGGTTTGCTGCGGCCAAATTAATGATTTATAGATGACTGGATCGGAAATTTTGCGAGAAACACAATGGTGTAGGTTAAAATTGTTTGGCACGCATAGGGGGGAAGTAAATCGCGAAAAACCGCCCCCCCTCGCGAATTTCTCGATTTCTATGATAGATATGAAAAAATGTTTTAAATAAAAGTTGTTCAGAATGTAATTTTAATAAAAAAAAAGCACTGAACATATCTAAGATAGATAAAAAGTTATTCGCGACTGAAGCTTCACTATTGACAAAAGCTTCAGTCGCGTCTAAGGAAATTAATAAAAAATACTAAATGTTAGAAATATTACTTTTTGGCGATTTATTTAGAAAAAGGAGATATTGAATTTCATTTTTTAGAGAAAAATTTTTTTTTTTTCATTGATTTTTTCATTATTTTTATAAACAATGAATTATTTAAATCATTCCCATTTTGGTTCAAATGCACCGATCAGTCCGATTTTGGGCTCAAAATGTGCAGAATTAAAAATGGAACATTTCATCCATGCAAAGTTTTTTATTATTTTGCACCTGTTAAAAGTTATACAGGTATAAATATTTGGTAAGTGTAGCAGCTCCACGTATTTAAAAGTACAACAGTAATTGTTGTAATTATTATAAGATTACTTTTCATCTATTTATTAATTACTGAATATTTAATCATTAAATTACTTCATTAGTAATGGTCACTAATTTAAATTGACCAATACCAATGGGTATAACAGTAACTTTTTTATTATTAATATAATTATTTATATTTTGAAATTTTTAAATTTAATAAGAAAAAAATTTTAGCATGAGTACTTCGTATACTTAATTTAAGTATATAATATACTTGCAGTGAAGAATTGATATACTTGAATCAAGTAACAAGTATTTTTTTATTAATAAAAAAGGATTCATAATGTGAGAACATGGTGTTTAAAGTGTAAAACAGTATTATACTTAGCATAAGTACGCTTTATACGGGATCTCCGTATAAAATACATTTGTGGTAAGTAAGGAAGATTCTCAGTGTAAGAAAACTATATTATCAACTGAAGTAAACTTTGTAATCTTCTTCTATTATCTACCTACTTGAGATAAACAAAATACATTGGCTCACATTATACTGATTCCAAGTAGAAAGACTACTTAAGGCTGGGCTGAAGTCAGAAAGTTTCCCGGAGTTGACTTTACGCCCTCGCGTTGTGCGGCAAAAGGCCGAAGCTCGATATCAATTGAAATTGAGTAGGTAACAGGGAAATCGTTCGAAAAATGATAATTTTCAGGGATGCACTACAAAAAGGGAGCCTTAGGGTACCAAGAAATTTACAAATTTCAGAATAATCTGTTCCGAGCAAGACAGAGCACAAAATATGTCTATCTATCTCCGTCTTATTTTTCAGAGAAGACTGCGAGTTCGAACAGTTGACGAGCAAGCACATTCCCCACCCTCTGTTACTAAGCCTGAAGCTTACGATATCTAAACATAAACAAAGCAAATGAAAATTGCTAGCTCTATAGTCAGAAGGTTCGCCAGTTATTTTACCGAACGGTGTTCGATTCCAATTGCGGCAAAATTTTTTTTTTTATTTAAATTGCATGTAATTGCAATATTATCATGCCAAAAATGAGTTTTAAATTTCAATTTTTATGTAAAATTTTTTTTTCAATTAATCAATGACAAATGAGAAAATATTTTAACAGGGCCATTAACCTTTTTTTGTACAAATACATTGATAATAGCCTTTTTTAACAACTTATTAATAATAAAAAATTGTTTAAACAATCCGCGGTGAGTTCCGATACTTCGCCGGCAAGCTCGACCCCCACTTTCTGTGCCCAAGCCTGTAGCTTATAATTTTCAAGCATCGTTTACATAATTGGAACTATAATAGCTCAGTGGTTAGAGCCCCGACCTTTTATTTTGCTGGGCAGGGTTCGATCCCAGTCATAGGCAATTTTTTTTTCTGTTTCTTGTTCAAGTGACTTTATATACTTATAAATCAATTCATATATTTTATTACATTATTCTTCCAATTAATTACGAAAAAAAACTTGTTTTTCTGAAAATAAGCTGAGGGTGAGGAACCAGTTACTATGAATTCTCTTTTTTAGAAAATGTTGTCTTTAAAAGACACTATGAATTGATTTTGAACTTATGCAAACAACCAATTATTGTATTTATATAAAATTTTAATGAAAAAAAAAATTGGCTATAACTGGGATCGAACCCTAATCGGTAAAATGAAAGCTTGGTGTTCTACCTACAGAGCTAACATATTATCTCTGACATTATGTTTATGTTTATAAATTGTATAATGCAGGCTTGAGTACGAAGGGTAGGGATAGAGTTTGCCGGCGAAGTGCCGGAAATCCCCGTGGATTATTTCAACTACTTCTAAATATTTCTAAATTGCTTAAAAAAAAGCTACGTTCATATAGCTATAGTAAAAAAAGTGTTTATAACCCTGTTCATATGTTTTCCGACTCGACGTTGATAAATTACATAAATAATTGAGAAAAAAAAATCAAATCGTTGGTAAGAATTCATTTTAGCATGTTAATATTATAATTACATGCAAATCTAACAAATGAAAAAGAAAAAAAAAAACTTTACCATGACTGGAATCGAACCCTGCCCATCAAAATGAAAGACCGATGCGCTAACCACCGAGCTATTATGATTACAAAACATTTATATATGCTCAAAAATTATAAGCTGCAGGCTTGGGCATAGAGAGTGGGGGTAGAGCTTGCCAGCGAAGTGCCGGAACTCGCCACGGATTGTTTAAACTACTTTTCAATGTTGATAATAATATGATTAACTTGTTAATAACATAACATTGTTAATACATGTAAAGATGTATAAGTTGTTAAACACAGGCTATTATCAATGTATTTATACAAAAAGAAAGTTTATGGCTCTGTTCAAATATTTTTCGACTTAGCGTCAATAAATTCAATGAATAAAGAGAAAAAAAAATCAAATTGTTATAAAAGATTAATTATAGCATGTCAATATTATAATTACATGCTAATCTAACGAATAAAGTAGAAAAAAAAAATTGGTTATGACTGGGATCGAACCCTGCCCGGCAAAATAGAACTCTGACGCCCTAACCACATGGCCAGCATAATCTCGATATTGAGTTAATGTATATTTGTTTTTATACTACATGCTTGGATACGCCGACTTGGAATTGAGCTTCCTTATTAACATTTATACCTAATAAAAATGATAATAATGGATGAATATATGTATTTGAAGTTATTTGCAGGTATTATATTAATTAATGTTAAATGAGTATCATCATTTTTTTTTATCCTAACTGCAATAGTCATCAAAGTGTAGGGCATTGTAAAGTGATACACTATGTTTACATCACATACATATATTACCCGTACACACACATACAGAATTTACTCGCCAAAATGCAGGGCACCATCAGTTCTGAATACGGATTGAGCATTTTTTCAATATGGATGACTGAGGTCATCTGCGAGCATAATGCTGTCACCTATCAGAATTTTTTCAAACTAATTTTCCGGAGAATATCATCTGGAATACAAGATTTCTAATTATTTCTAAATTATTCAATTTTATACTATGAATTGATTTTTTTAACATTCAGACAGGTGGCAAGGACTGACGCAAACACGAATTTTGGGCGAAAAACGTATAAAAATGAAATAATTAGTGATTTTTCATCTGAATGATGTGGCCGCCATTTTGAAATTTAAGCGCGGCAAGTCAATTCATAATTTTTTCATTATTCTTTCTAATTTTTTTAATAAAAATATTCACTATATACAAAAAATTGTTGTTTACGTCAGTCCGGCATTAATTCCTCTGTAATTTGGTACCTAATTTTATAGAAATAATGGTAAATTGGCGAAGAAATTAGAAATTTCCCGATCCCATGTATTTGGATAGGGGGAATCAGTCGCCTTTCTGACTTCAGCCCAGCCTTAAATACAAGTACTTTATTTTCATAAAACTTGTATACTTTTTACTTCTTCAACCGCTTGTAGTCTACTCAGGAGTGGTATATTCTGTATTTAGACTAAGTTTTTTTTTTATTCATTTTAAAACGAAGTTTTACTGATTCCAGGTACTTTCTTTACCTGCCTTCCGAAACTTTTTTACCTATCACTTTTATACTGGGGACAAGTAAATTGTATAATTCGCCACCGGAAAAAATTTCTGTCAGTGTAATGATTCATCCCTTACACTATTTCTTTATTTCTAACGTTAGTTAGACATGTGTATGAAGCACAACAACAATAGAATGACCCAACAGATGTAAGGTTATGTTTAGTTGTGTGAATGTATATATAAATTGAATAGAACGAATCAGATGGTAAATTGAGTTTAGAGTAACAGAATCAACCAATCATGTTTCGGGAATTATTGGAAATCGTTTTTTCTACAGTATTTTATTTGCACGTGTGTATTCTGCATAAAATTGGCGTTAAATCAGTTAGGTTAGAGTTAGTTGGACTGTGGAGTGTATGAGACAAAAAAGCAAGATAAAATTCAGAGTAAAAATCGAGATAAAAATAATTCATTTAGTGCCAAAAACATACCAGATGATAAATAAATAAATAAATAAATAAATAAATAAATATATAAAGGATTAACATATATTTAATATTTAAGAATGGAAAGTATAAATGATAAAAGTATAAAAAAAATGTGTAGTACATATGAAGATGAAGAAGAACGAAAACATTTTCAACGAATAGTATCGGCTTTCAAACACTACAAGTAATTGAAATTTATTAGTATAAATAAAGATGCTTCTTCATTTATTTGAATTAATTAATCGATAATTTTGGCATTTTATATTGCATTGTTTTGCACAGCTTTTGTTTTGAACAAAAAAAAAATTATATATACTATCATTGATTTGTTTATTGTTTAAAAATAAACATATAAAATAATTGTTATTTACACATTTCCATTTTTTAAAATCATAAAAACGATGAATTCATGATGAGTGGAGAATTTAAGATAGAAGCTGAATATTTTAATATCTAATAATTAATAATAATTTTGTTCTTTTAGACCACATTCTCTCCAACGAATAAGAAAAACAGAAAATTATCTTAATTCGTTGCCATCACACCATCAACAATTACTCGTAAATTACCGTGAACATTTACAACAAGTCAGAATGTGTATTGAGCACAATGCAGAAATTATTAAATTAATAACTCGAGGTGCGCCTTGCATTTTTGAAAATGTCAGCCCACCAAATGATCAAAATGAAAGTGTAAGCAATATTCTAAATTTTTTTTTTCTAACGTTTGATATTACTATTTCATATTTAATTTTTTGTTTAATGTTACTTAAATAAACAAAAAAAAGAAAATTTATAGAGGATAAAAAAAGTTTTCACACACTTTAAATATTGTTGCGTTTTCTATTAGTTTTTATAATTATTGAAGTTATTATAAGTGATAAATATATAGTGCTCTCCAAAAGTTAGTTGAAATAAGCTATGATTCATTTTTCAATAACATAGTTTTTATTTAAACTCACTTTTTGAGGACACTGCATAAAAATATTACATGTATCATCTATAACAATTGTAGTTTATCCTAATATATTTGAAGAAATCATTATAATATATTGCAATACACATAGATGTAATATATATTCGATTGTATTTATTTGAAGGAAAAGTAATTCGTTGCGATCATTTTATTCAGTTTTTAATAAAAATTCATTATCATCGTACTGATATATAGGTAGGTCTAATTGCAGACACTGAATCCTCGACCAATTTTGGCGGACCAAGAAAAAGTCCAAGCAACAATTAAGCAGTTGGTTAGAGATTGGAGTATCCAAGGAATCGATGAAAGGAAAACTTGTTATCAGCCTATTATTGATGAAATTATAAGGCAATTTCCATCAGAGCATTGGTAATTAAAAGTTTTAATTTTTTTTTTTTTTACTATAATAGAAAGTAATAATTAATGTAATATAATTGTAAGTGGTATTTTAGTACATCTTCAGAAATAAACATTCTTGTACCTGGTGCAGGACTTGGAAGACTTGCATATGAAATAGCAAAACGTGGTTACCGATGTCAAGGGAATGAATTTTCATTATTCATGTTGTTCGCTTCACATTTCGTTCTTAATAAGTAAATATAATTATTTTCGAGTATTTTACTTAAATTTATTATTAATCAATTACTAAAGTTATTAATAAAGATGTAGGGAAGTTAATTCATTTAAAATTTATCCTTGGGTTCATCAATATATGAACAATTTATGTTCATCGCATCAAACTCAGGATGTATTTTTTCCGGATGTTAACCCGAGTGATTTACCAGAAGATGCACAATTTTCCATGACTGCTGGAGATTTTTTAGAGGTACCATTATTTTATTTTATGTAAAAAGAATTTTAAATAATTCATAAGTTTGGTGTAAAAAAGGTTTACAATGAGAATGAACATTGGAATTGTATTGCTACTTGTTTTTTCATCGATTGTGCTAATAACATAGTACAATTTATTGAAACAATTTATAAAATTCTCAAACCTGGAGGTCTTTGGATTAATCTTGGTCCATTATTGTATCACTTTAGTGATATGCCTGGAGAAGATTCTATTGAGCCAAGTTATGAAGTAATACGTCAAGTAATTAAAGGATTTGGATTTATTATTGAGGTAATTTTTATTATTAATAGGTAATAATTGATGATTTGTTATTGTTTATCAAGATCTGTACATGTATTTTTTATTTATAGAAGGAACAAACGCAAGTAAGAACACGTTATGCTCAAAATATAAACAGTATGCTTCAATGCGAATATAACAGTGTTTACTTTGTATGCAAAAAACCAAATAGACTCACAGCAATTGATATAACAAACGAATTGGATACGAATGGAGTACATGAACAAAATTTTCTTCAAATGAAAGATAATATGAGCTAGCGTGAACAAAAATTGATTTATCAAAAAATTCAACTGAAAGCATAATTTTTCATTTTACATTATAGGTATAAATAATTTTTTTTTCTGTAAACGATTTTTTTCAACGCAAGTAAAAATGAATAATCAAATAAAAATGGTACAAAGATGAAAAAAAGTAACTAGCACAAATAGTAATTTACGTAAAAAGTAAAATTTACATTATCATTAATATGAAATTAATAGTGCCTTCTTATTTTTTTTATTTAAGTTAAAATTATGATTATAATTACTCGGTAGTACTGTTTTTAAAATATAATTTATTAACATAGTACTATTATAATAGAACTATTAATTCTTTGACTGATTGTGAAATATTTTTACTTTTGTTTTTTAGCTAACTATTTACCTTCAATTATCTAATTATAATGAAATTTACGATTATAGTTTTATATAAAAATAAAAAGATACAATTCACAATTGTGATATGCAATACAATTATTGTAAATTATCTTACTTAACATACGAAATATATGTAGACAGAACTTATTCTTTTCACAAGTTCACAATGGCAATATTCAAAGATTTAATATTAAATAGTTCTGGACTTTTTATCGACTTTTTTCTGAAATTTTAAAAGGATTTTCAATATAGGGATAGTTTTTTTATATATTATTATTATTATATATTGTTTATATTCAACCAAGTAAATTATAAATAATTTAATATTTTATAAATACTGGTTTAAAAATTTCACGAATAAAAATGGAATTTCTTCGGTATTCATTTGTAACATTTTACTGCAACTTAAAAAGCTTTGTTTCAATCTGGATAATTGGGAAGCGCTAGCACCACGTTCTACGAATAAATTAAATCTTTTGAGTTTAATATTACTAGTAATGCCCAATGCTTCTGCTTCCAAAATTTCCTTAAAAAGAAACATTAAATAAATTATGTTTGATATTCATTTTTTATTTTATGTACATTACTTACGTCTATTATCTCTTGTGTTATCTTATTTAGTTGAAATAATGTGTTCGTCGACAGTAAAGGAACCTGTAATAATTATAATGATTAACTTATTCTCAATAATACATTATTAAGAATAAATTTATTACAAAAGAGGTTAAAATTTGATTGAAACTTACAGGTTCTGTGCTCATATTTGGTTTCGGTGGCTTAACAAGATAAAGTGATTTATAAATATCATCTAAAGGAAGTTTATCGTGTAGTGTAACCGAAAATAATGGAGCATCCCATCGATTCTTGCTATCTGGAGGCTCATACCTATAACATAAATTCTTTAGATACTATGTTTAATTTCGATTATAATTAGGTTAAATTTACCTTGTAATCAAAGAATCGAATATTTCACGGGAATATTTATCATCATCCGGCTTTTGTTCATTTAAGAGCCAAGAATGTTCAGTAGGAACTTCACAGTAAATTGTACATTGAGGAGTTTTTAACGATTTTGATAAACAATATAATTCATAACGATATCCTTTAATGTAATTAGATCCATCAATTATCAGAATGTCATTTTTATTCAATAAATGTTGAGTACTAGACCTTATATCATTTCTGATAGCTTTCTCTTTTTTTGAATCTATAAAAAAGAATTTTGTTTGTTGAAATTTAAATAATAAATAGTATTATGTTGTTCAAACTATGAACTTACCAGCATAGAGAATGTTTTTATTGTAACCTGATTTTGTAATTATTTGAATTTCACTAATTATATCTACTTTTTTTTCACAAATTTCAATGAAATATTTTCTTAATTCTAGTGCCCGAGTACTTTTTCCACTTGTAGGAGTTCCTGTTATGATAATTAATGGCATTTTTTTCATAAAAAAATAATATATATTTAACAAAATTTTTTTGTAACCTCAACTCAAAAGTCAATTGACAACATGTGTCCAGTATAGTATAGATGTTGTCACTTTGTTTTTCTCACATTATGGTGGTAGTAGTGAGTCATTTAAAAAACATTTTAAATACAAAAAAATACGCGGGCAAAAGAGAAAGCACAACAGGTTTCGTCTTACTGTCTTCTACTCAATACTTACTTGTCTTCTGTGATTGTGTTAATGCCAAGCTCCGTTATTTGTTATCTGAGTATATAAAATTTGATTATCGTCAGGTATAAAAATTGACCATATCGTATATATCTTAAGATATTAATCAATATATATATATATATATTTTTTTGTGAAAATGCAATATATTGGAAAACATGATGAATCTCAAAGTTTAAACTAAATAATAGTTGACTAAGAAATAATAATAATTTTAATGTTTTTGAAATAAATCGGTTAAAAATACATTAAATTTATTCTAATTGATATATTAAATATTTTTTGACAGAATTGGAACTGTTGACTTAATTTATTACAATGATACAGAAGACGATTTACATAGCTATTGTTTCTTTAACAATCAATGCATTAGGACTTCATGCAACTCAAGGTAAATTGTGTTCAAAAAAATCAAGTGTCTCCTTTACTCGAAATTTAATACTCAATAATATATATTTACGTAAGTATTCTTTTTGAGATTCTTGACGTATTGTGAGACATTTCGCAAAGTTTTTTTTCATTTTGTAAGTTAATTATATAAATCATCTCATTAAATAACTCTCCTTAATCACGTAATAATAACAATAGGATCTTTATTGAAATTGATGAATATAAATATTTTTATTTAATTTAGATTCTTCAAAAGCCAAGCATGGAAAAACTGTTGTTTGTTACGTAGCATCGTGGGCGCAATACCGTCCGGAGAAAGGTCAATTTGGAATAGATAATCTTCGTCCTGAACATTGCACTCATCTTATTTATTCGTTTGCTGGTTTAAATGCTACAACATGGACAATTAAAAGTTTAGATCCATGGGCTGATTTAGAAGATAATTATGGTTTGTTTAAAATTTCGGAAAAACTTTTATTATATAATAAATATGTAATTATTTTCACAATAATTAGGCAAAGGAGGATATAAAAAAATGACTGCTTTACGAAATAAATATCCTGACTTAAAAATATCATTAGCTATTGGAGGTTGGAATGAAGCGAGTGCTAATTATTCAGCCTTAGTTTCATTGCCTGAACGGAGAAGCATTTTTGTAACTAGTGTTCTCACTTTTCTCAGGTAAATAAATAATATTAATTAGTTATCAAAGATATAACATTATTCATTTATAAATATTGATTTGAATAAATAATGATTATTCAGTGTTGAAAAATAGTAGATTATTAACTAAGGGAGTAAAGTGTGATATTCTGACTTGGGTGTAAAATTGCATCCCAAGCCAAAGACAAGGGTGGCAAACACCCAAGTAAGGATATCTTTGCTACTAAGAACATCATATCATTTTTTATCGTATCATTAATTAAAGTTTGCTGTCTGTTTTTATACGGGATAGAATTTATTGCTTTGCGACCTAAGGGAGAAAACTTAAACTTTGAGCTGGGGTATGAGAAACAGTACATTTTACACCACGGGAGTAAAGTAATGAGATAAAATCTCAGGGATTATAGTATATTTTATACTTAGGAAGGGAAAGTAGTCTAGCTCAAACCACGTGTAAAATTACAAGTAGTAAACACGTGGTTGAAGGTAATCTAATTGTCCTCTCTAGGGTTGAATGTAATTTTTTGTCATACCTGTATGAAAAGTTTAATTATTCTCTGATGAAAAAGTAAACTTTACACGCAGGTATGATTAAAAATCTTTTTTTAGACAACAAACAATTAGGTTTTGTTATCTATATGATATATAATTTGATAATAAAAGAAACATACTTCAAAAGCCAATTTCAGTGAACTTTTTTTTACTGTAATTATCTCTTTATTTATTCACCTTTTTGTTGTAATTGTTTTTTTCAGAAATTTTGGATTTGATGGTCTTGACTTAGATTGGGAGTTTCCAGGAAAACGTGGAGGAGTACCTCAGGATCGTGAAAACTTCGTTAGTTTAATAAAAGAATTAAAAACCGTATTCAAAAGTAATAATTTATTGTTAACAGCAGCCATAAGTGCTGACATATCAACAATAAATGAGGCCTATGATATACCAAAAATCTCAACATATCTTGATTATATTCATGTCATGGCATATGATTATCATGGTGCATGGGATAAAAAAATTGGAGCAAATGCTCCATTGTATTGTTTTGGTGATCGTCTCTGTGTTAATGAAACCATCAATTATCTTATAGAACGAGGAGCACCTCCTTCTAAACTTGTTTTAGGTCTTCCAATGTATGGAAGAACATTTATTGCAGTATCCGATTTAAATGATAATCAAAGTCCAATTGGTGTGGATAGTTTAGATAAAGGATTTCAAGGAAACTATACTAGAGAAAATGGATTTATGGGTTATAATGAAATTTGCCAAGAACTAATAAATTATCCTAAAAATTGGAGATGTGGATGGGATGAAAAAACTAGTGCCGCTTATGCCATTTCTAAAGATAAAGTAGTTATTTATGATGATCCAAAGAGTCTTCGAATTAAGGTAATAGTTAAATAATTATTTTTCGATTATACATTAAATATTGTTTTATCGAACAATTAATTATTCGTTATTTTCATTTTTGAAACTATTGAGTATGTTTAAATATTTTTATTCAATAACAAAACAGTTATTTCATGAATGTTAATTAATATTCTCAATTGGAAACATAATTTATAATAAGAAATTTTATGATTTATTTTTAATATTCTATTAGTAATAATAAAAATAATTTTAATGAAAAAATTATTGCCGATTTTGCTGCAAATCTAATCAGTTCTAAGTTACGTAATTATGCGTCGGATATAATTGGTTCGGACCTATTACTATAACTTCCCACAAAGAAATTAATGAATAATATAGTTTTTCGTAGATAGAATGATACTACATAACTAATAACTGATTTTCTTCTTTAATAATTAATTGTTTAAAAAAGAAAATCGTATTTGTAACGGTATTAATAGATTTTTTTTTTCATCACGTCTAACGTTAGTTATCTAAACGATGCCAATAAAAATTTATTTTTTATTGTTGCAATTTTTATTCATTTCCTCTTATTCAACAATATCACCAATTTTATTTTAATAATTTTTTATATTTAAGGTTCAATTTGTAAAGCAAATAAAATTAGCAGGAGTCATGGTTTGGAGTATTGATACAGATGATTTTCTAGGAGAATGTGCATCTATTCATGACAATATTTCAGGTATTTCACAGAATATGGATTATCCTTTGATGCGGACGATAAATTTTGCATTGACTGAAACCCCGAAAGATAATCTATCTCACTCGATTGAGGAAGACATAACCACTAAAAATTCAGCATCTTCATATTTATTAAACACAGCTTTAATTCTTTTTTCAATCCTTCGGTACATTTTATTGTCATTCACTTAAATGGATTGTTAAAATTTATTATTACACTGTGTTGTATTCTGATATGTCAAATGATTCTTAAAAGTATATTTTCATTGAACAATTTATTTTTTTTATTTAAAATTATAGAGAAAATTTTTTAGATGAAAAATACGAATATGAAATACTTGAAAAGCGAAATTTATGATAAATCAAGCTAATTAGATATGATATGTTTTGTAATGAAAAATAAATATTTTATAAAATGGTTGTCGTTTAATAATACAAATTTAATTTTTTCGGATCCAAAGTTTTTATTGTTCAAATTATCATGGTATTTATTAAAATCACAAAATATTTTAAATACAGTGCTGATGCAAAATCCAATAGTTTTTAACAAAAAGTGTTTTCTTGTTAGGTTTTATGAATGAGTTATTTCAAACCAATATTGTATTATCCTGATGAGGTAGTAGTAAGTTTTTGCTTTTACTTCTTTTTACCTATATATAAAGAGAAAAAGTAAGAAATATTTTATTAAATGGAAAATCATAATTTGCGAATATTTATTAAAATATTTATAAGTATAATGCATTGTTATTTCTACCCGTACCACTAACTGCCATGTTTGCTCCACCTGCCATAGCTACAATAAAAAAATTATCATTTACATAATATAAAAATTCACAATAATGAATTCAACATATTTTTAAACTACTTGCCTCCTGTTCCTGCTTCCCACATTTTAGCTGGCATATCAGCTGGATATTAGAATTTTTGAATATCATGAAAAAAAAAATTGACTTGGTATTTTTCATTATTGAATTGTAATTAAAAAAATTAATATGGAATGGAATGGAATATTTTTGAATAATTGTTTTTTTAATCAAAAACTTTTGAATGTTTAAAATCAGTATAAAAGTACTAGATGTAAATATCTTACCTGCCATTTTCATACCGTTGATGACACCAGAAGCCATACCTTGCAGTCCACCTGGTCCAGATCCACCTTACATTTGAATTTTAATTATTTTTTTGCTTTTATAAAAATGTAAATGATTTGAAAGACTTTACAGTTGAAGAGTGTCTGTTCAAAAGATCGTATTTCCATTATCAGAAAAATCAACTTTTATTTTTAATAAAATACGATATACATTATGATATTATACTATTCATATATACTTTATGTAAACAATTTAGGAAGTTTTTATTGTCTTATGTAAAATTGGTTTATCAGGGAAATACGACTTTTTAAACAGACGCTCCCCAGCTAGCAAAAATTTTTTTGTAGAAAACAACATTTAGTTATAATAAACAAACGGCAGAATTGCTATTAGTTATCAATTTTTAATAGTTTGTTTATGATTACTGTATTATTATTTTGAGTGAATAAAATATTATGTCAATTCAAAATATTATTACGTAGTTGATTTGATTTTATACAATTTTATTTATTGTTATTGTAATGTATTTTCTGAGATTTATTTTTTATTTTTCGTGGAATAAATTTATATTTGTTGAGAAAGTAAACCTATGATCACTTCTCAGAGTATAATTTAGTCCTTCTTGAACTAATAATAGTAAATAAAATTAGACATTTTTCACAGTGTAACTGGGTCTCTGTTTATACATATATTTCTTTATAATTTGAGAGATAAGAATTGAATAATTTTTTTGAAGAAAATTGTATTGTATTTTCAAAAAATTACATTTCATTGTGAATTATGAATTATAGAAACCATCTTAAAACATATTTATCGATTATGGCTAAAATGCTTTGTCCTCAGTGTATATAAGAAACTTAAGATTTGATGATTTTTATGAACACAAATAATGAAGAAAAATGAAAAATATTTTTGTTTTATACCCCGGCTCAAAGTTAAAGTTTGCGTCTTTAGGTCGTAAACTGACGCATTCTAACCCCGTATAAAAATAAAAGACTAAAAACGTCTGCGCGCATCTCCATATGGGTATTGTATTTTTCTGAGAGAAAGAAAACGTCACTTTTTAAACGTCAAAACAGACTATAAACTTTAATTTTGAACAATGATACGATAAAAAATGATATGATGTTTTTAGTAGTATAGATATTCTTATTTGGGTGTTTGCCACCCTCGTCTTTGACTTGGGATGCAATTTTACATCCAAGTCAGAATGTCATTCTTCACTAAATTTAGGTTACCATTAAATGAAGAAATTGTTATTACTTACCGGGTGGGGGTGGTGGAGGACCTTGAGCATTACCTAAAAAATTGTTTGAAATAAGATGTTGTTTTCCAAAAAATAAAATTAGACTTTCTAATTATAAAAAAATAGTAGTAATATTAATTAGAAGCATTGTTAACAAATAATCGAAATAATTGATACGTAAAAATATTTAAAAAATAAAAAAATATTAAATTAATAACAACAATACATACCCTCTGATGCACTCATCATACAGATCATGCCAATGGCCAAGAAGATGATTAATTTGCCGTAGGAAATCATTTTGAAAAAGTGTTTTGTCGTGTCAAATTGATAGCTGTGAGAGTAACTTCACGAATTAGTACTATGCATATTTAGGATGAAAATGGCTCTTTTATACTGATTTTCATTCAACAAGGATGTCTAATTACGTGATAATTACTGAATTACGATTAATATCTAAAATTGAATAAAAAAAATATTCTCGGAATTATCTATAATTTTAGAAATTGACTTATTATCTTGTTATTATGCTCTGTTTTTTTATTAATTTATTGTCACGAATAGATTATTAAGAGTGTTATTAGAGTGGCCTGACGGCGAAAAAAAGTCTTATATAATCTACAGTTAAACATGCGTTATGCAACCACTGAAAGATTATATCAATTTTTCGGTCATTTTATTCATGTAAATCATCATTACTCGATGCATAATCCGTATCATAATATAAATAAATTATGTAACAAATAAATCATAGCAAGATTGAAATATGATGAATTAAAAAAAGAGACTAATATTGTTTTCCTTAATTATTACTATATTTATTCGTTGAATACTGAAGCAAAATACTTTTATTTCTTTTTTCAAGTAATTTTAATGAAATAAAAATATTTTACTACCAATTTTAAAGAAGTCATTACTATATAAGCATCAATTTTTTTGATCTCCTGTGACAATTCACAAAAAAAAACTTAAAAAGCTGTATGGATTTTCAGTAAAAAAAATTACAAAATAGCCATAAAATTTAATTATTTCTAAGTAAACTAATTAAATTTAATTCCGTCTTTTACCAAATATAACATTTTCTCATGACATTTTTTTTACCACTTATAGGAAGTTTATGTATGTAAAAATATTGGTCACATCAAATTTTATTTTTGATTGTGTTATAGTGTCTTCCAAAAGTTAGTTGAAATAAGCTATTCGTATTTTTCGATTCGATATAAACAATACACTTTTTATTTAAACTCACTGTACTCTCGGTATATACACCAAAAGTAACAATGAGAGAATACCTGACAATTTTTACCTCAACATTTTTATTAACTATTAATTAATTAACTACAATTCATTGACGATTCATTTCATTTAAATTCTCTGTCTAAACATTTCCGTTTCTGAAGGTAAGAGACCTTTTTTATGTCAATTGATTGAGCTTTTTTACACGGAAATAATTTTTTCAATAATTGTATCAGACGTGATCAGATTTAACAATTAGCGGAATAAGATTAAATAAAATCAAAATCTAATTAGATTTGTTTATTTCTCCTATTCTATCAATTTATAATTTATAAAAGAATTTTTCAATGCACAGGGCGCAAAATGACTATTTTCCGTGCCAGCATACTGGGCGCAAAATGGTTCTTTCTTGACCTAGGCTGCTTATCTCTTTACATACAGAAACTAAATGCTTGTACTAAACTAAACACTCAATCTCAATGGATTCTTTAAATTTGATTATGTGTGGCTTGACCTATTGTTTATTTTATATTCAAAACTCAGCACTTAGTCTTGAAGTGGTCATAAAACTGAAGTAATCCTACCTTAATCCTAAACAGATGATAATTTTTTATTACTTTCGAGTCCTTAGAGAATTTTGTTTATCATAAAAATTCGTCATCAGAACATGAGGCCTGCATATTACAAACCATCTTTTATTTATTGTAGAGAAAATAGTAGGGAAAGAAAACTTGCTACAATTTTCAGTCAGTCGAAAGACAACTTTTACAGTGATAAATACTTTATAATACTATTATAAATTATTAATGACAAAAATCATTAACAAAAATGACTTGTATAATCTACTTTAATAATAATTCCAATATAGATTCAGCGCCCTTAGCATTAAAAATATAGTATTACTTTAATAATTTATCTTTATAATTTTAATCTAGATTTAACGCCCTTAGCATTAAAAAATAGTATGTGCATCTCGGGCAGCAATCGCTGATCCTCGACTCGTGTGAATTTAGCTCCCTCGCTTCGCTCGGGGCTAAAACTCACGCTCGTCGGGAATCAGCAATTTTGCGCCCTTGATGCACAATGTACTATTTCATATGATTGATAAAAAATGACAGCGACCTGAGATATGAAACAAGCTTTTATTGCTCACTCCCGTGTATTTTTAGTTCTTTTTTAGGGGAAAATAAATGTTTAGGTTAGCTCTATTGAAATTATTTAACAAAATTCGGATGGTAATTCTTCAACTGTAAAAGAAATAACTGAAATATCTTCAATGTCACCAAACATCAATTCATCCAATAGTTCCATCCTTTTATTCCTGTTATTAATTATTATTTCTAAAATAAAACAAAATATTGAGCAGATTAATCCAACTGCTAAAGCTCCGAAAGCAACAATCAGTGTATTTATATTGATAGATTTATAATTAAATTTTAAATTATTCGAATATTTATTTTTAATAATTTTTTCTTTTGCTATGACTGAAATTAATTTAGTATACCAAACTCTGGAAATACCAGCTTGTTCTAAGATCATCAAAATTTTATCGATGCGACGGTAAAGTAACCAGTCAAGGCGCATCATAAAATGATAAGATCTAAACGCATTTGCGGAGTATTTGGGAATTTTAGTAAATGATGCATGTAAGGCAATGATATGATCATCAATACATGCAGCAAGTGTTTTGTTGATTAAATTGTGCACGCATCTTTTATAATGATTTAGAACATGTTTATTATCCCTAACAACATCTTTTGATTCCTTTGATCCTACTAAATAAGAATTTACTTTAAAATCTTCAAATTTTTCTGTATTTTTTTTTAACTGTGGATAAATGCAATATTTCATCAAATCACCGTAAAAAGATCCGTAAATTATCAAAAATAA